TGCCTATGTGCTGTCAAAGTATAAGATGCATATCGGAGGTTTTGAGAGCTATCTACAAATAGTAGGCGAACGATGACAGCAGATTTCAAAGCGAAAATGCTGGAGACATCTACGTGTCTTCATAGCTATCACAAAAATTTTAAGTATCTTACATGTCCAGGAACGAAGGAAAAGTAGAGGCTGTAGCCCAGTGTTAGTCTTACTGCAGACCGTCTTAAGAGGGTATAATTATAAGTGTTCACATTCATCGGGTTCGTGGGACAAGTTCATTAGCAGCTTCATTGTTGTAGATCAGCAACTCTGGTCTAAGTTAGGTACTCTGGTAATTCAAACGGCATGACCTGTTTTAAGAGCAGGGGACCGATACGCCTATCTAGACAGATGGGCATAGATATAGTAATTATTTATTCGGCTTGCTGTTGGCCACATCAAGTATACTCCCCTTTCCCTCCAATACCTTTCTGCGACACTCACCAGCAATGAAGGGAAGACATATTCTTGTTTCATAGTGAACTACAGAGTTCAAATGGGAGATGAACATCTGGGAGGTCCCAGCTGGAAGGATCCGCATCAGCATACAAACATAGTACAATTTTGGACTACTCCGAAACTCCCCCCAAGAGAATGAAACAGAAAGTGTGAAGCGCACATGCAGGCCATCTGTAAGGTACGGGCACTCCTCAGGCCGGAATCGAATAACTTGGACACAGCCCACTCGGACGAAAATTCTCAGTAGGCGGTTCGGTCCTCATGAAGAGCGTGGAGGAAATTAAGGTACCGTTCCTATCAATTGATATCCCGGATTTCAAGGTGCATGCAAGACTCACGGAGGGGCCGCGTGTTTCAAGAAATCGCATCATACGTAGTAAGTGCGTGCGTGTGTATGCGAGCGTTCTCCGGAGAGACAGTTGTATGCATAACAACTACAACTACGTAGTTGTGTACGTACATATGCCCAGCACGGTGTCATTGAATATTGACACCGCAGCAATTATCCACGACGGCATGGAGTTGAAGCCTGAGGCTTGAACACCTCAGGGACGGCATGGTAGGATTAGCTAGTGGGGTAATACCCCAACGCCTCACTTTTGCCAGGTGAGAGTAAATGTATGTGTTTTGGTAAAGCCAGTTAGTCGACGCAGGAAAACGGGCAGCCGTACCATGCTAGTTGTTTGCCTTCTCCTGGTGGATGTTGTTGTTCGACGTGAGGCTGTGGAGTTGCTCCTGAGGGCGCTAAACCCAAACAGGGGCCGGATGACTAAGCTGCGGCTACGCTTCTATTTGCCTCCTTTCCCGAACACTCCTCAACAACATCCCACCACATCCAACCAATCCTGCAACAAACCTGGCAATTTCTGCCCTTCCAGCATATCCAACCAGTCTCACGGCGCCACGACTGCTTGGTGCCACACTTCAGGCTGCTGGTGCTGTCAGCACTGAGCTCTGGGGGATACCCAGCTTGGGGCTGGTGACAGGACCACCACCCGCTACTTCAGGAACCGGCCACGCTCTTCCTCTCAGGCGCCTCCGACCCTCAACAGTAAATGATGTTTCATTCTGCTCCAAAGTACCTGAAACAATCTGCGAGAATGAGACCTGACCCCTTGCATTTCCAATGTCGTCATTCTACACACTTTTTTTTTTCCGGAAGAGGAGCCAATTGGCCAGGGTTTCTATCCACTCAAAACGGTCCAGAGTATACACCTACTCTATGGCGGGAGAACGGTCAAGACAGCCATTGCGTGTGGGCCGCCTAACAATCCAGCCTGATATTGGTGGAAAAGGCTTCTAGATACCTACCAGGTTCCTCTTGGCACTAATTCGAACATTTTTCGGCCCGTTCCGAGCACCCGATCGCTTTTTTTTAACCAAAACCCGGATCTTCGCTTTTGTTAATATCCGGGGAAAAAAGAAAAAAATGAGGCGAGTGGACAGGGCTGTCACTTCAATGTGGGACAAAAAATAGCAAAGAGAACATTGACACTCTCCTGCTGCCCTCTTTGCTCCCATATTCCCTACTTGGAATGGTGTGCTACGCTTACCTAGTTATTATTATTGTTATTATTATTATTATTATTTTCTTTGTGGATAATAATGCTGCGCAGTATGAGCTGCAGGAATGTATGTTCTGGCACCCACTTTGGCGACCCAACTGGGCATTCGTCAGGTAAGATGGTCTTGACCGCCGCTTGGGCTGGTGGCCTTTTACCATTGGGCATTACAGAAAGCTTTCTCTCTCCTCTTGCTTATTTTCTTTTCTTTCTCAAATCAAAATCTCTGCTTCCTACGTCAATGGATACGTTAAAAAGTCCAATCCAAGGGGCAGTGTTTCGAATATCTTCCACGTGGAGGTTGTTTTGAAGCACCGAGTCCAAGTGGCAGTCAATGTACTTGTCCTGCGTCATCGTTTCTTGCTTTGTCTTCTCAGACCAGTCCCCCGCGAGAACTTTTCGGTGTGCACGGTTCAGATTGCTCGCATCACTTTTTCTCGCTATAGTACCAGGTTCAAAATTTGACCCCCCAATGATTGGTGGTTTGGTCCCAGCACGATCATCAGGGTCCTGGTCTCCATCCCAATGTCACGTGTTGAGCAATACGAGGCATAGGTTTGAGCCCTACCTGGAACCGTGATGTATGCTCCGTGGCAGGCATACTTGCAGCATCGGAAAAGATATATATACATCCACTGGGGTTGTCATCTCATCCCTTGTGTTCAAGTTAGTTTCAACAACAACTTAATTCTATATCATATACACATACACACGCATTCTCCAACCTCGTTTTTCCCTCCCCCCTTACTCACCTACCTCCCACAAAGCCAAACAACCACCTCCTATCCATAAACAAAGTCATTGCTTAGAATCTGGCATTCTTCTCAAAGCTACAACAGCTGCCATGGCTCATACACGCAAATACCAACAGCCCCATAGCAATTCCGTGAGTCGCGAGTTGCCTGTAACAGACTACCAAAACCCATATCTGACCCAAGCCGTAACCGCCCAGTATCACACGCCTCATACACAATACCCAATTTCTACCTCTATCGCACCGGCCATGACCTACTCCTCGTCAACGGATAGCAACAGTTCCACGAGGACGGCATCAAGCATGATCTCTACGAGCAGCGGGCACCAACAACACCCGGCATATTACAGCATCCATCACCCCACGACATCGGCAGGTTTCACAGACCCAATGTATCAACAACAACGGCAAGCTTCCGTTAGCTCAACAGCTAGCCCAGAGTATGTAATGGTCACTGAAGAGCCCGCGACAACACCGTCAAAGTCATCAAGAGGTGCAGGGCTAGAAAGGTATGCTCGACGTCCCTCCCCTGGATCTTATTAAAATGGAGCAAATACACATAAAACACAACTCTACATACGTACCGCCTCGAAATACAGTGAACGGCAACACTGACAAGTTATCTCCTTCGCACTACAGGTCCGGCAGCAGATACGTCTGCATGTACCCGCGCTGCGAGAGCAGTTTCAGCCGCTCCGCGGATCTCAGCCGCCACTACCCCACCGTCCACTTCCCGGACTCTGTCAGACTCAACTGCCCAAAGCCCAAATGCTCGCGAAAAGGTGAGCAGGGCTTCACGCGCCAGGACCATCTCAACGAGCACCTGCGCCAGTACCACAAGGAGCCCGTCGCCAAGCGGAGATCTTCCAAGTCTTCCGCGCAGCAACCAGAAACACATCGCTAGATGGCCTCCTCTGCCCGCCTCTTCTTTTTCTTTTCCTTTCCAATACTCGATCTATACGGATGGCCACGAATATCCATCCCACCATATTCCCGCTAATACGCGCTAATATTACCTTTTTCCACGCCCCTTTCCAACACTATATTATATATATTTCTCCACCACTTTGCCTAGTATCGAGCTGGTTCTCGAAGACCTACAAATGATGGGGAAAAGGGCAGTTGGTGGTTAAATAAGACGGCAACGCTCAATTCTCTTTTCTGAAGGATGATACTTTAGTCCTTGTCACTTTCAGCTGCGCTGGTTTGCGTCTTCCCCCAGGCCCCCTCTTGTTTTGCGCGTTTCATTCTCTTCTCGTCATCTTTATTCTTGCCTATTATTATTGCCGTACTTAATCTTGGCCTTTTTCTATCCATTTCTATCTATTTTCCTTTGATCTTTACAGATTTCCTTCCCCCATGCTTTACACAGCGAGCATCAGATTGGAAACGGTGTTTATCTACCTCTTGGAGAGGAAAGGTTCTATTATCCATTTCTACGCAGCATTTTACTTCTATATATATACATACTGTGTGTACAGAATGCGCCATTTTTGTTTTGTCATCTTTGTTTTTTAATGTATGATATAGTCTTGATTATTCAGTGTTTATGTATATTTTTATTTCAATTTTTCTTTTTCATTTTTCATTTTTTCCTTTCACGTTTCCGCGTTTCTAGCATCAATTTCTTCCCTTCTACGCTCGTTTCTCTCTCTCTCTCTCTCTTTTTTTTTTTGTAATTTTACGTTACCTTTGCGTACACTTTTGCTGTCTACTGTTTTGGATATTTTTGTTTGCATCACTCTTCGGTTTACTGGACCTGCTTCTGCTATTTTGCCTGTTATCTTTTATTTTACCTATATATATCTTCCAATACAGAATCTTACAGAAGCTTTCTAGAAAATCGAGACAACTGTTCCAGTGCTCCTTGTAAACCCGCTGCATGTGCATTGGCAGCTTAGGTGTGATCAGGCCCGAGAGTCAATGTTGAGGGCATTCTCATCTGCTTAGTGTGGAAATGTTTACTCTTCATACGGAGTACATTGATGTGAGATGTTAAATAAGTGTGACGAGAGGATTTAATGGCTGTTGTCTAGCTATATGCGCAACGACTGTTGCATGATTCAAGAGTGAAAGGATGGGGATTGCCTACTGTTTACATTTTATACGGCAACATGTACGAATATTATATAACGGTGAGCGGGTGAGCAGAGTATTAACCCCTTGAAATGGGGTTGAAATAGCCATCACTCTCTCTCCTTTTTATAAAAAAAGTTATCACACCCAAAAAAATGCAGCCAAACTTGGGTAGGGTGTAAAGTAAACAAGTCCTGACAAAAAGAGAAAAAGGAAAAACAGAACAAAAGAACAAAACAAAGGGTACCGGTAGAATTCAACCCCTTTTCCTTTCCCCTCCCCCTTCGATCACATGCATATAGAATGCATAATAACATCCATGGATAACTTCCCGAAACCACTCCCCTCTTCCCCTCTCCCCAAAAAAAGAGAAAAACCAAGGATACCCCCCTCACTAGCCACACCCTCACTTAACCTCCCAAAACCCCCCAAAACACTCTCCCAGCACCCTTCCCTTCTCATCAAAAACCACACCCTCCCCCTTCAGCAGCCCCGTCTTCTCCGTGGCATAATCGCCCCCATTGCCCCACTTGCCCTTGTAGCCGCCCACGGTGCGATCCGACGCCAGGACGCGGTGGCACGGCACGGCGGGCGCAAAGGGGTTTGTGCGCATGGCGTTGCCGATGGCGCGCGGAGACGAGGAGAGGTGCGCGGCCAGGGCGGCGTAGGTGGTCCAGCGGCCGCGGGGAACGGAGAGGAGGGTGCGGTAGACTTTGCGTTGGTGGGGGGTTAGGGAGGGGTAGGTTGAGAGGGTCTTGAGGGTTTGGGTGAGGGTGGGGTCGGGGTGAGAGGGGCGGAGAGGGGCGGTGGTGCTTTTCTTTATGTTGGAAGGGGTTTTTGAAGGGAGGGTGAGCTTGGTTTGGGTAAGGGTTGATTTAGGGGTTCTTTTGGGGTTTGTGCTAGGCGTTGTCGAATATCTTGCGTTGGAGGCGCGAGAGGCGCGCTTTCTGCTGGAGATCGTGGAGGTGCTGGAGATGCTGGAGCGCATGGAGGCTGTCATCTTGATTGCGCTTTGTGATTTGAGCGCAATAGAGATAGTGTTTGGGATGTTGTTTCTTTGTCGTTTAATAAATGCTGTCAAGGTAATCCCCCGTCCTCATGCATACGGTTATCATAAACATATAACCCAGTGTTGATATAAGTAAGCTCCTTCGGGCTCAACTGCCCATAGCTCGAGAAGCAGTGCTGATGCTTTCAAAAGGGCCTGATGAAACGTATTAGCGTAAACCGTTTGAAAAGGGCGCGCTTCAATTAGCACTGGTACTATACTCTTCGTATATAATCCTGACGTCTCTTCCCTTGAGAAAATATCTCGTCGGCCTTCTCTCTGCCTCTCGTGGGATAATTGACGCGATCTATATATCCCCATGGATGACTCAGATATTACGAGGCAGGGCCTACAGCCAATCACAGACAGTGTGCATCTGTGTTTCTGCACCCAATATAGCCAATCAGAGTGCTGTCGGCGTATAAGTTTCTCCGTCCCGAGAGTCCAACCCCTGATGCGTGCTTCAGGCAAGTATCCAAGATGCAACGACACACGAACAAGTGTGCGTGAAAGGGGTGAAAGGAGTGCCATGTCCGAACCCCCTATCTTCACCATGGAGGGAGTCTAGACATATGAGCCCAACCCATCTCTTCGGGGCATTCCTTCGAAGCTGCTATCACCATCAAACTCACCATCAAACTCTGTGGGCAACTTGGTTTCGGGCCCATCTTATGTTCTGTCGCAGGCGCTGGTTTCTGTTACGGCTTTCTGTAGCCATTCCTCCCCCGTACTGGCATTTTCGAGCATTGCGTAACTCTATTGGGTGAGCACCCACCTACGAAACCTTGGCCTCGCGACCTTGCACTGCTTTCAAGAAGATGACGAGTTCATTGAGAGGGCTCTTGATCCCATTTCGATCTCGAATCTCGAAGTTCTTTGGGATACCTTCTCAAGTGGCATCGCTGGAGCGTGCCAAACCTTCCACGGTGACAGAGGAGCCAGATTATTACCGAATTGGCGGATTTCATCCTATCTCCCTAGGCGACACCTTCCATCATGGCCAATACACCATCCTGCGTAAGCTGGGATACGGCCAATATTCCACAGTTTGGCTAGCCAGAGATTCCGGACATGAGAAATATGTAGCGCTCAAGGTGCTAAGGGCTGACTGTTATGGTGGCCCGCATGACATCTTTGAGAGAGAGATCCTCTCACGAATATCCGAAATTTCTAACCAAAGTTCCCACCCGGGCTGCAACTACGTGTCTCATCTTCTTGAGCAATTCAAGCATACAGGACCCAATGGAGAGCATGTTTGCCTTGTATTTGATGTGCTCGGACATCACCTGGGCTTCCAAGCTGCAAGGTACGAAGATGGGAAATTACCTGTACAGGCTGTGAAAGGAATCACACGGCAGCTTCTTCTGGGGCTCGACTTTCTTCACAGGGAGTGTGGTATCATTCATACTGGTATGGCATATTATATTATTATCGATTTTCCAGATGTTCATTCTGATGCTGACATCTCTCCTGTGCTGTTAATGGTTGGATAGATCTGAAGCCAACAAATATTCTTCTAGAGCTGGATAATTCAAGCAGCACTGTGTCCCAGTATTTGTCAGAAGTTCCCGTACGGGTTGACTCTCAATGTGGTGCGCCTCTTCGAGAGGTTATTTCCACACCGCTCATCTCGGAAACACAAAATTTCCATATTAGGATAATCGATTTCGGCGTCGGTAAGTAGGCTATTTCTGTCGCCTTGATACATGTACAGTACATTGAAACTTACTATTATGATTATAGCATCGTGGAAGGAAAAGCATCTGTCAGATTTAATCCAGTCACCTGCCCTGAGGGCTCCGGAGGTAACAATAGGCGCCCCCTGGGATTCTGGTGTGGATATATGGAGTCTTGGATGTCTTGTAAGAGCCCCCCTGTTTGACGAAAACTTTGCATCGCAGTTACATTCTGACTATAAACTGGAACAGGTTATGGAGTTTGTGCAAGGAATAGTGCTTTTCTCTGGGGAAGCGTCGTCAGGGGGTATATGGACAGCTGAAGACGACCATCTCGCAAGAATGATTGAGATCCTTGGTCAATTCCCATCCCACTTCATAGCAAAAGGCCATCGCGCAGCACACTTTTTCGATAAGCAAGGTAAGGCAATCCTACCAGTATCTGGTTTCGTATTTTATCACCACCATTTTAATATGTCTTAACTCTAGGAAACTTTATCCGCATTCCTAACATGGAGGCCACCAGCCTTGAACGCTTGGTAAACGGCAAAACAAAGCCATTCCTAAAACCCATTGATATGCCCGATGCCGAGGTCCCGGTTTTTATTGATTTTCTTAAAGGCATGCTTGCAATTGATCCAGCATGTCGAAAGTCCGCGGCTGAGCTGCTGGAACATGACTGGATTCGTTTGTAGAATTTAGCAAAATAAGGCTGTGAATGAATTGCAAAAGGGCAGGCGGCCAAGGGGAACAGCGAAGGAGGAGGAGGAGCCGGAGGATGAGGCGGTGGTGGTTGTGGCTGTGGAAAGGGGTAAAGGATTAATTTTACTCAGGTCTCAGTTGAAAGGCTGGTTTGGGCTTAAAAACATCTCTGTAAAACAGTTTCATAATTCTTTATCAAAACCAAAATTAAAGAGTTCAGTTTCAAAGTGACAAGGGGTTTGAATACACATAGCAAGAGGATTGTGTATTAGGCTAAATTTCAAACATAATCAAAGAAGAAGAAAAAGGCATTCTTCTGACCTTAAGTGCCGGAACGCCTACATTACTGTACACATATCACTGCGTCTTGGAATGGACACATAGCGCAATCCCACCCAGCACCATAAACATGCCCAGCCACGTTGCTTCATCCCAGCACAAAAGGGAGTTAGCGAGTCGGAAAAGACTATTGGAAAAAGCGGTTGGGGAGATGGGGTGGGTGGGATTCCTGATCAGAAACTCACATTTCGATATCACCTTCCCCTCAGCACACCACTCCCCCAGCACGGTAAAGAGGAACGCCATCGAATTTGTGATGGGGACGCTGAGGCTAAGTTCTGCGAATATCGAAGTGGAAGAAAAGAAGGAAAATGAAAGATCAGCCAGAGCAGGAGTGGTCTAAGTATACGAGCCGATATCGCCAAGGGCCATCAAAGGCGATGTATGTAGATATACAGTGGTTTTTCTACAGGAAGTAGAAAGACCCTCAAAAATAGTTTCCGGCGAGAATATACATACATACATACATACATACATACATATATATCATATAAACAACAATAACTCGTACATACCATGCTTCCCAACCAGCAGAAAAAACCACACACTCCCCGTGAGATTCAGCAGCAATGGCACGGTATAGCCAGGAGTCCGCAGGAGATTTGCAGCCGTCCTCGACAGGGAGAGAAGCTTCTGCATTGCCCATGAGCTCGGGCTAGAGCTGGAGGCGGCATCCTGTTCTTTCTGCGTCTGCGCTTTCTGCTCGTTGCGAGCGTTAAAGTCGACCGCTGCGCGCCGGATGAAGGGGGTTGTAAAGCCCCAGGCGACGCCGACTAGGAGGAAGCTGAGCACATAATTGAAGATGCTTGGGGGCGTTTCCGCGGCGGGAGTGTCGCTGGAATTCATTGTGTATGTTGCCGTTGAAAATACTAGTAACTAATTTGAGATGTTGGACTTTGGTAGTTTAGTTATCAGGGCTTCCTGATCCGGGTTAGTGCAAGAAATGCTTCATAGCTGACTATTATATATACATATTTTCGAATGACCATCTTGCATATCAATCCTACTAACATAGTACTTTTCAATCTTCGCTTATTACGTGGAATTACCTTCGTTCAAGAGACAACAGTGTCGCTTCAATAGCCAATATTAAAGGATCATCCAACAGCGTCTATCATTTTTGATATCTTTTCTCCATCAGTCTCATACTAACAGAACCAAGAAGAACCGAGGACCGCATGTGCCAGACGCATTACCGCAGCGATGCGTTTTGCCTGGCTTCGCCGGTCCAAAGGGTGACGGGGAGACCACCGCTCAGACAAGGCTCACGGCAGAAGGCTATATACTTTAGAAAGGTTACCTTGCGCAAGGCGAAACTTTGGAGGTACTTAACGTAGTGAGGTACGCACTATACAATTCAGCGGGGGAAAAGAACGACATTGAGTGCTTCGTGCCAATCGACCTTATCGTCCTCTGTTCGCGGCTGGGCCGTGCGAACAAGACACGGTATGCTCACCCTAACAATGCCTGATAAACTTGACGATGCCTTCAAGCTTATCCTTTGTTACCTAGTGAGGTAGTAAAATGTTCTGCGGTATACGATCGCTTGATGGTTGTGATTGAAGGGTAGCTCTTTGTTGCCCCAGCTCTCAAGTATCACTGAGATTAGCTCAATATGCAAAAAGGCCCTTGGAATCTCAGAGCCTGTCATATAGCACAGCTTCACTCTTCTATCCGTAAGGTAAGAACTTTGCATGCTTATCTCTATACCTATAATTATACTTGAATGATGAGGAGGAGTGAAAAGCTAGTTAAGTGCAGTAGACAAGATACATTTGGTCCAGTTTGCCAACTCGAACATCTTCTTCCTAAAATGTAAAATTAGCAAAGTCAGTGCATGCGAATTAATGACAGGAGGGAAATGGTAATCCACATACCATAAGCACTTTGTACGATTCCACTATTTCTTGCTCCTCAGCAATGAACGTCTTCTGCCTCTCCGTCATCAGGTGTATATCATAAGTCTGTGCCCGGTCAAAATCAATCCAAACAACCCGGTCAGGGTTGGGGTCATCCTTGACGATAAGCATATTCCGAGGCTTTACATCATGGTGTAAAACCCCCGCTTTGTGTATTTCACGTAGCCCCTCAATAAAATTGTCCATGCGAGCCTCTGTGTAGTTGTGCAGATGAAGCATTTCAAGATTGGGGATGTACTCTAGGAATAGGGCACTGGGTGGGTATTCGTCTTCCAGGAACATGTTCAGATGAGGTTGACATGCCCTTGGATCAAACTTGTCCATGGTCCCTAGAAATCGAGGAATGATCCCTTTGTCGCAGAGGCCCCAGGCCTTCAGGCGACGGTAAGCTGTTGATTCAAGGACATGGATATCTAGCTCACGATCAGTGGGCTCGTAGTAGCGTCTTGGACCTCGTCCTGCATGCTGTCGAATTCACAATTAATCGACCGAATAGTTAATTTTGAGGATGACGATGACGATGATGATATTTGCTCACCACTTTCATGACACATTGTTGTCCTCGAACCGTCACAAGGAATATTTCAGAGTAGTCGGATGCAAAAAGCTTCTCTCTAAAAACAATCTCGGCTGGGCTGACCCCGTCTAATTCCGTCGCTGTTTCTTCCATCTCTTGCACTAAAGTGCTCACCAGCGATATGAGGGAGAGCAGTTGAACGGGCTTGAGGTTACAAATCTTTGGCTGGAAAATCTTGTCAGTGGGTTTCTTTCAAACATTCAATCACGGGCAGGGGTTCAAAGTTGGAGTTGTGAAATATTTTTGAGGTCTGCCCAACTCATACTAAGTACACTCTGTAACCATATTTCTTCTAGGTACGTTTTCCTGTATCTCTCAGAGTCTTACTTTAGAGCTAATTATCCAACCTAATCTTTCAGGAATTTTGAAGCTCGTTCAATAGTGCTGTAATACACATCTATTTTGGCATATGGATACACTCTCTCGCACTCATACTTAGCATTCTATATATATGTAGAATGAAGAGAGACATGAGACATGAGTATCGTTAAGGATATTAACATTAAAGGAGCACCTTCATTCCACATTCCACACATCATACAACAGCATATTTCGTCCAAACATATTTCATACATGCATACATACATCATGAATAGAGATACAGGAACGGAAAAAAAAACTAAAACTAAAAATAAAAAACGAGACAAAATCAGGGAAAATCAACAATAGAAAAAAGTAATATCCGAAAACGAAATGAGTAAAAACCTGGAAAAAGAGGCGAGGTATACATATATATCTGCGTGTTGGGGATATCGTCACAAACAAAAGAACAAAGGGGAGATAATAGACGCTCACGGTTGATTCTATGATTAACATATCGTCGTTGTAGATCTATCACATTCCGTAAAAGAAGAAGGCGGGAGAGGGGAGGGAGGGGGGAATAACCGCACAACGACAGAAAAAGGAAACGGAAACAGAAACCAAACCGCACCAAAACTCAGGCGAGGGGTGGGGTTAATCGTCAAGTAAAATCGGCGGAACAAAAGCACTAGGTTTAACTAATGCGACGATGTGGCATTGGCGCGAGGGGTGTAGTATTGATTTTTTGGGTCAAATTTCATTAATTTTTCGTTTCGCTCAGAATAAACATAAATTAAAGAAATATGGAACCCGTGGTTCTGATGGCAGTCGTTGCGTGGCTGGTTTATCGTGGTGATGTCTTAAGCGGAAGACAGGAGGTAGAGATGTGGAAGAAAGGGGGAAAGAGGAGATTATAGGGAGGATGACCTGAGGGTGTTGGCGTGGGTGTATGTAGTTTCCGCTTTCTCGCTTGCGAAATAAAGGCATAATAAAGACCTAAAAAGGAGAAGAGAGAAGGTACTGCCTTCTCACACACCACGGAACTATAATTTGTCCAGAAAAGGAAGAGACCGCGCTGTTAGCATATGTGGACTCCCAACGTGAGAAAATGGAGAGGATAGGAGAATAACGCGCAACAAGAGAGTAAAGGGGGAAAAGTAGGGAAGGAAAAGAAAAGACTAAAACTCACCAGCCTCGTAATCAAAAACCACATTGCCCCAACGAACCTAAACAGTGACAATCCGGCAACACTCCACAGCACCACAGCCATATATATCGTACTCCGTTGTTCCCCGGAGGTATTGTCCGGATTAATCCTCTCCAACCCTACTGCGCTCAGCACAACTGCCGCAAGCGCAAAGTTACAAAAGATCCACACAAGAACCACCGCGGACCGGAAACCGCGGTAATAGTCCTCCTGCTTTTCCTCGTCAGAGAATGCACGTACTTCCTTGGGCGGCTTTGAGGCGAATTTGGCTAGCTCGGCTTCATACTGGGCGTTTAAGTCGCCATCGTCTTGTGGGATGGCAACGTCGACTTTCCCTGAGGGTTTTAGGTTAGCGGAAGGGAGCTTCTCGGCTTTGTCATCGCCCTTGGTGCCCCAGGTTATGTCGTGGGTGTTGCAGAAGGCGTAGATGTTTAGGACATTGATGTATGTTGGGGTGAGGAGGATGTATTGAAGGAACTAGTATAGTTAGTGATTTTCATTTTGGGAGTAGAGGAAACGATGGGTTTTCTTACGCAGGTTAACATATGCCAAGGATCAAAGAAAAGTAGCGACGCAACAATCCACAGCACATACGTCGACATGAGTGACACAATCATAGAGAAGAACTGGTGGTTACTAAAAATTGATGACAAGCTAAATTTGCCATCCATCGTCTCGGCCTGGATCGATTTCACGGTTATGAAAATGGCGGCAAATGTGAGATATATCATGATCCCAATCCAGAAATAGACCATGGTCATGTAGAACTTGTTCGAACCCTGGGGCCGATTTCCCATAGCCAGTATAAAGGATGTCAAGAGCGTTGCGAGGTAGAGCCATTCGAATACCACTCCGAGGATGCGCCCGGCGTTTCCTAGCAGACTTGCGGCACCGAGGGACTTGGTGAGGATGTGGAAGACTAGGAAGAAATTACCCTAAGGAAGGGGTCAACAGGTGCTTGACTATCGATAAATCACCCCTATAGAAGGAGGAAGAAAAAAAACCTACAATAGCAAACCAAGCAAATAACATATTAATCGTTTGATAAATGAATTCAATCATGAACATGAATTTCCGTGTAGCGCTATGGTTACTCCGGAAGACCTGATAGAAATGTGCAATGGAATAGACAGCTGCGAAAAAGCTTCCGTTCAACCAACGACGGCGTTGGAGAATAAACTCGGCCATTCGGTCAGGGACATCGGTCTCGCCGGTGGATGATTTGACGTATTGTAGGATCCATTGGCAGTTGCGTTTGGCGACGAGTTCGAAACATAGGATCCGATCTTCTGCCAGGTACATATTCGCCGTGAAGATGCCAGCGTTTGCGCCGTGCATCTTCTCGCCAGCAAAATATTTCTCCAGGGGCCCTTGGCCATTTTTGTCATTCTGCAACGCCACATATCGATAGGCGGAAAACGCGCCGGGAAGCACGGAGATAAACCCAAAAGAGGATTCCAGTGGCTTGTCAAGAATGTTGCTCATTTTGTACTCGAAATTTTGCGCAGCTATCAGGGGGTTGATCAGCTTCTTTCCATGGGATAACATGGCTTTGATCTCCCCACAGGCGCCCCCACACATGGGTTGCAAGTCGAAAGCGCGCCACAGGTGGTAGATAGAGTCCCTTCCTGGTTTGGTTCCAGCATCGAGAAGCACACAGATATTGGGATCAAGAACGCGACCAAAGGCCTGGAAGAACCATCGATGGGAGTTGATCTTCTTTTGATTCTTCTCCTTTAAGCAGAAAATCATCTGAACAGGGACTCCAGACCGCGGCTTCAGATGGACTTGGTTGCCTTTCAGTTCCATGCCTATCTGCGTTGTATACTCGTATATGTGTGCAGTAACATCTTTGCCATTGACTTGTTGCTTGGCGATCCCATCTTGATAAACGCCTAACCCAGCCAAGACAGCCCTAGTTCGCGGGTTGATTTTGGCACGTCCGTCGCTGACAACGCAGACAACGATTTTTTTCCACGCCTCCTTCCCCCAAGTTTTACTGTTGGTTCGCGAGCACATGTACTCGATGTTTTTAAATACGCCAATCATAGTCCTTGCGAAGAGGAAGTCATCTTCGTTGTACATAGTCACCACAATGAACAGTTCCGTGTGTCTGGGTTTTGTGAATAGCCTCTGACGAAGTGTGAAACGCTCATTGTAAAAGTCGGCTGGGTCACAAGTCGCTGCAGAGTAGCGCATATGGGTGAATTCATCGCGCTCGGGTGGTGCTGCATGGTTTACCTGGCTCAGCAGCTTCGGTGGGATGGGGCAATCCAAGACCAAATTGCCGTTGAACAACTGGACTTCTTTCACCGTCTTCCATCTTCTAATGGGTGCGGGGCTGGGAGTAGGGGCAATGGCAGCCTCCTCAAATGCCGTCAACCCAGAATTTGGGCCGTATGAATCATGTCGTTGTTGCAAAATGGGCACCTCGTCGTCCTGATAAGGCTGTGGAGTCTGCGAGGGAATGTGGCTCCCTTCATAGTCGGATGGCGAGGCAGTGGGCTGGTATGGCTGGGTGTAGTATGCGTCATGATGAGCTTCGGGTGAGATTGAATATTCTGTGCGCATAAAAGGAGAATGTCGATACGGGTGGGCAATTTCGTAGGCTTCGTTATGGCCGTAGGAGTTGTCTATATTCTCTACCGAGTACTGTATAAGTGGCAAACCAGTCAGCATGTGCCCTGAATCAACGGTTCCTGGAAGCACAAATATATCCATAAGCGTGTGGGTGGTTTACAGTTGGTTGGTCAGCCAGTCGGTCTGCTGAAGGCATTTCCAGGTGTCCATATGGTCTGGATGGAGTGTCCTCCAACTGGTAGCCATGAAACGGCCTGCCCGGCGACGGGATGCGATTGGGGTCCGGCCGATTTGGATTCATTCCGAGATCATGAGGATCATCGTCCTGCGAAGGGTCTTAGAATAGAGCGATTGTCAGCTTCGGGTACTCCCCGCCTGGTGCTTTCCACTGGCAAAAGATAGTACTTGGCTAAGGGCAACAGATGATGATAGATGATGCAGGGTAAAAGTGAACGAGGGGCAAGAAAGTCATGCAGTAACAGCATGGAACGAGAGACGCTCAATCAAACGAATGAAGCGCTGAGGGAGACAGCAGCGAGTGGATGGGGGATAGTTGAGGGAGTCGACATCACCCTACGGTGACGTCGTGAGATTTTGAACTCGGACCGGATGGTTGCGCGGCTCTGCTGGTGACGTTGGACGGCGAGGAACCACCGAACCAGGGGTTGATTGCGAAGCTTATCCCCCCCACCACCAACAATAACAACAACAATCACAGCCATGGCAACAATGACAACCACAGGAGACAGCAACGCTGGAGAGGGATATGGACTGACCGAGTCGGTTGTACGACATCCTGCTCTTCTGCTTCTCTTCACCCTCCCTCTACTCTATCCCTGATCTCTGGCGACAAGGCAGCTAGCTTTCTGGATTCTCTTGTTCGGGGTTGGCACTTTGGAGCGGGTACTGGGGGTCGAACGGGGGGAACCTTAGCTTGACGAGACAAGGTTTCGTGTGCTGGGCTTCGTCGGTTAGGTAGTTATTGAGCGGAGAATTATCGATGAGACAAAGATGGATTACTTCCGAAAAGAATAGCTACTGATTTCAATTCCAACAACAGGACATATCAGACACTCGGAGCATTCAAAAAATAAAAATTAAAAAAAAGATTGACGCAAGCAGTTGGCACGGCTGGCTATTTAGCGCGATGCAGGCCAAGCTGCCAAAGCGAGGGTTGTCGCAACGACGCCGGATGATGGGCAGACTCCAGTCAACCAAGTGAACCAACCGAGAGCACCAGCTAACAAAGACTCGAACAGACGGTTAGCTGCAGGGATGGTCTGCTTCAGGCTAAAAATAACAGCTCCTGTTCAGCGCAGGAGTGTTGGACCAGTCAGGATTGGGCGTAGTGGATACTCGGCCTTGCATGCGGAAAATATTTACAGATCCGTAGTCTCTCTGAAATCCTCTGAAAACTATGAATTTATTACTCCGTATATGGCTGGCATTGCGCTCCATCCCTGAAGGTAAGAGTCACCGGATTCCATTCCCATATAAATTTCCAGCGCTTAGAAGTCGTCAGCCATCGTGGCTCGGGGATTGGCTAGCTTGGCAGTATGGTCATGCCGCGCCACACCACAGACGGCCAAGAGGGACTACGAGGGACTACGCCGTGGACTGCGTTTCAACTTTCAAAGGATATGGCGGATGCACTGCCATCCTTGAAAGAAAACCCCCCAGGATTCCAACTTCTCCTCACTATCCGTATGGATGTACGCATGGCTCTAACGCATCGTCCGAACCGCACATGGACAAAAACAAAAGTGGAGCGTCCACTCTGAAGCCTGTCGAGGAAACTCAAGACGATGAGGAATCCGATGGCGACTCACGGCGCATTTCAAGATATCGAAAGTGTCGGGGCTTGTGGGCGTTGGATGGTCGGCATTCGCTTCATGTAAGCTGTTTGGTACCTTCTTCTTCTTTTTTTTTTTTTTAAATCTCCCCTCATATTTGATTCTCAGGCCTGGGATGTGATGGTATTGCTACGAGGTTTGAATTTCTATATGTATTCGACGAGGAAGATTCTCAGCCACTCACCATGTTCAAGACGTGAGTTATGGCTGCAGATGTTGATTCCTATTAGATAGAGGGCAGAATGGAGAGCATTGAATTTAGCAGTGTCTGTGCTATGCTGAAAAATGTCATATCCCATCCCCTTCCTAAACATGCGCCCTGATATTCTAGATCGCAAACCGTGCAGTGTGAAGGGTTAGGTGATGCATCCCAAGGAGTGAGCGGGCAACACGCATGTTGCCCACCGTCGTGATGTCAATGGTGGCCTAACGGGCGGGAGATGGTGAGTGTGCTTTGTGTTTCGCCCAAGTTACTCAAATTACAAGAACAGGGCAAGAAGGAAATGGGAACAGGCGGAAGAGAGAAAGAAGAACCAAAGAAATGCGGACCGCACAGCTATCCTTTTATATCATTTTCACTGCCGCAAAGGATAATCATTGCTATTATCCTTATCAGAGACTTGGAGAGGAGTGATGCTCGATCCCTCGATAGACAAGGCCAGCGGCTGCGAATGTGTCTGGGGAGAGAGGAGCAATGGACAAGGCGATGGATTCCTACAACTAAGCGCAAAGTCACCACATTGAGAAGAGGGCTGCCAGGGAAGTGGCTAAAGACAGTCATAGTGATTACCAAGCTATATGGAAAAGCCGGGACTAGTATTCACAGCCAAGGTCGTGCTCCATGATACAGACGCCAGGGTGCTCCGCCATAGTAAGCCTTGACAGGAACTGGCCGAATAACTCAAGCATCCAGCTGCCAAACCCCCAGTGTCCAGTGGCTTGAATTTGATCAGAGGAGGATGTGGTGCAGCCATTTGATAGGCAGATGATTTCTGAGGTCAATTCCTCCATCGTTGATGGAGGAGTTGATATTTCGCGGCAAGGTAACCGCTCTGCGCCTCTATACATCTATGTATGTACATATGGACACGAACAAGACGAAATGCGTCCGGCTTTCGAAGTAGAATAACGATCGACTTGATTTACCGGCTAGTGCTCTGATCTCTTTCGCAACTCAGAGGACTCTTGCTTTATATACACTCTATTCTAAATCTATTTATCATATAAATCATGAAACACTACGACAATCCTTAGATAATAATTAGCAGCTGAATGAATTCTTGAGTACTCAGCAAGTGGTGCCTTTGCTGGATATCACCAGTTTGCTGTGTTGTTTGACAGTACTCATTGATAAGATAACGGCGGCGCGGGGATGAATTTCCCCGCGGCTACCAGCATCTGTTCTCCTCACCGTGATCAACAATCATACACCGCAACCCAACCTCACATAACTACCGCTTTTACTGTACACAAGGGAACCTCGTAGTGCTCCATACCTCAGGAAATCAGACATCCCATAGTCAGCCAACTCCGAAATGGCCGCGACAAACCCCACCACGGCTAACCCGGCGGAGCCAAAGCCCATCTCAGTGCTCTTCGTCTGTCTTGGAAACATCTGTACGCCCCCGCCATCCGGCCAAAAGTCTCCCCGCTACTTCCCACAACACAACCAGCTAACATTAACACCCATTCCGGGCCCCGTTTACCAGGCCGCTCCCCCATGGCCGAAGCCATCTTCCGCCACCAGATAACAACCGCCGCTGCGCCCCCCGAGCTAGCATTCTCCACAATCGACTCCGCCGGCACCGGCGCATACCACACCAATTCCCCGCCAGATCCACGCACCATGTCCACCCTCCGCAACCACGGTATCACCACCTACACCCACGCCGCGCGCAAGATCAAGAAGCAGGATTTCTTCGCCTTCGACTACATACTCGCGATGGACAGCGAGAATCTGGAGAACTTAGCGTACGAGCGACGGCGGGCTGTTCGGGGAGACAAAAAGAATGGCCAAGACGATGCGGAGGCGGAGGCGGAAGGGGCAGGCGCGAAGATTGCGGAGGTCAGGCTCATTGGCGATTTCTCGTCTGATGGGAGCGTGACGGCGAAGCCTGGCGAGGGGGAGGTGGTGGGGGATCCGTATTATGGAGGCAAGGAAGGGTTTGAGGTGATTTATGCCCGGCTTGTCAGGCTTTGCCAGGGGTTTTTGAAGTTTCTTGCTAGAGAGGCGGAGAAGGGCGCGGGGGCTTGATTGATTGATTGATTGATTGATTGATTGATTGATTGATGTGGACGAGGTGTCTTTGATTGTTGGTTTTGCTGCGGGGAAGGATGTCATCTTGGGCTCGCCATTGGGCTTGATGACCGGATGGGGGATTGCTTAGACATCTGCTTAATTAGCTGCCATTGGGATACGGCATAGCTAGCTATCTATGATTTGGTCCTGTGGCGGGATATGGAGCTTTATATTTGGCGTTGCCCTTTGCGTGAGTGATTATGTTTTCCCTATATTTTCTCCATTGTACTTGTTGCGGCTTTTACATACTTAAACACTTTAACAACCTTCTAGATAGAGAGATAGAGCTTTAGCTTACACTCTTTTGTATGGCATATGTTTATACATCTCAGCGCAATGGCCAGGGATACAGTGTCACTTCAACCTTTGTTGACGATCATAGGTGGGAAGTGATCGCACAGAGGGTATCATTAGATAACGTGGCTTGATGAGAGACTGGTAGTAACAAAGCTCGGCTCTTGCGATCTATTTATACAACGGATGGAATGGTAAATGATGAATATATAGAATACATACATGGAACCGAACAGACGGGAAGCGTGTACGAAAGAGTTTTTGGTTGCAATACGCCACTGGATCGAAGGGATACCGTTAGGATATGTGATATAGGAGAGGAGAAAATATGTCGCAAGGAGAATGTGAGCGCTGTGTCGTGCAGAATGTTAAATAATAGATCGAGAGGAAGACGAAGTACAAGGGTCGAACTGAGGGCGTCTCCATTTGCTCGGCGAAGGCTGGTTGATTTGCAAGCAGCAGAGGGGACCCTGTGAGCGAGGACGCTTTACACCTTGATTTGTAGAGACTTGCTGGAAGGTAAGTTGGACCCAGATGCATAGCCTGCAATTTGCTGGTCAAGACAAATTTCCGCGAACAACCACGAATTCGGGAAATTGTAATGGGTTCTGTGGATACGACAGCAGCAGCACAAATGCACAAGCCGCTAGGGTACGCGTGATGGCAATGAATACGGATATGAATACATATCCAAACCGGCACGTCATATCATATCATACCCGCTGGCTGATCTGGATTGCGGCCCTGCACCCTAACCGGATAACATTGACCAGCGGATCATATGGCCTGGCCTCCTTCGCATCATTTTCCACGGCATGATCCAAATGCTCCAGCTCTTCATCCCGAATCCGCTTCAGCGTCCGCACCAGCGCTGCCAGCTCCTCATCTGGCTCCTCCCCGCGCTCCCGCGCATCCTCAAACCAGCCCAAAATCTCCCGCACCTGGTCGTTATAATGCGTGCCGATTTCCGTCTCGACCGCCTCTGTGCATGCCATCGCCGCTTCCCGGCCCATCCTCCCCGTCGACCATCCGAGGGCTGTCGCGGCTATTTCCCAGATGGGATACATTGCTGTGGGACGCACGCGGTGCTTGGCGACGAGGTTGTTGAAGGTTGTGAAATGCCCAGCTTCCTGGTCGTACATGTGTTTCATCAGGGGGCGGAGATTTGGATTGGAGCGGGTGACTAGGGGTGTCTGAGCAGCATATATGAGGGTTGCGGCAAGTTCGCCAGCTTGGTTTACTCTGAGAGCGCTGTCAAGGTAGTCCCGCTGTGCTTGGGTGAGGACCATTCGCTTTTTGGGCGGGTTGTCATCGCCGCCGCTTGCTATGGTTTGAGTGGGATTGCTAGTGCTTGAATGCACATTCCGAGACGTAGCTGGCGTCGGGTAAATGTTGCGGCGGGCTTGTTGGTGTGGGTGTTGGTGTTGGATTTGGATTCGCCAGCCCTGGACGACATACGGAGTGCGAACAGATCGTCTACAGACAGACAATGACATCCTGAGCGCAGGAACAGAGTCCATTGCAGGTTTGTGGGCGCATAACATACGGGATGCCACCGTAGATATAGCGAAGCACTGCCTGAGTGCCAATTGCCTCTCTAACACCACGTACTATATATACTCTGTAATCTGTATACAAACTTGAAGTTGAGGCTCTGCGAAAGGCAGTTTGAAGTGTGGCACTAACCGTATCGAGAAGGCGTTTAGTCAGCAGTTACATCCGCCGTTGAAACGTCATGAAAGAGCGACAGCGAGACTCGACGCCGCGAGAAGATTTTGACTGCTGGGACTTGTTTCCGGGTTCACACATCTACGACCATTTGCCTTGGCCGCATGAACCGGATCTACGCGTTGTATTATTGCCCTTGAATCTCTCAACCCCGTTTTCCTACCCCACCGGCTGTTTGGCTGGTGGTGACTGGGTTAACTGCCATTCACCATCGCAGACGGGATTGACACTCCCCTTTGTCCAGAGGCACATTATTTCTAGCTGTCCGTGTCTCTATACAATCATATACACATTGTATTCTGTGTCTCCCAGGAATCAATCCCGTACCGCGATCTCCAGAGACGACTTCTTTCCACGCGCTGATCGCCGCTTCTCTGGCCCATCCCGCTTCAGCTGAAGTTCGCAGCTGCCTTCGAATATGTCGGATATTGACGCGGAAATCCTGGCGCTGGCCGACGGGGATGATTCCTCCGACGAGGAAGCTGCCGCCGCTCAGCCAAAGCGTGGCTCGTCCGGCGAAGCAGGCGGAGGTGACTCTGGGGAAGAGAGTGGTGAGGTGTCAGGCAGGAGGAGTGGGAAGTCCTCTGCACGCACAAAGAGGACAAGAGATGCCGGCGATAAGGATGATGATGGTGCAGACCTGTATGCATTATTTGCTTATATTGAACTGCCTATTCACTGGTCATTATCTATCTTGTCTTGCATCGCTATCTCTACCTTCTCATTGTGTTCCTCTCTCCGACAATCATAGACCCAGCAAAGATGCTAACTTCAGCAAATGCAATTAGCTCATCCTCTTCCTCACGATCTCGCACGTCTCTACGGTCTGCCTCGATGTCTGAATCCGATTCCGACGACGTTTCCCCGCCTCCTGGTGACCAGGGTCCCATTTTTCCTTATGAAAAACTGTTCTATTCCGCCAAGGACAAGGCCGAGGTGATGGCCCTGCCAGAGATACAACGCGAGGAACTCCTATCCGAAAGAGCACAGCAAGTTGACCGCCATAACCAAGATCTCGCTCTCCGACGTCTCCTCGCCTCTCGTGAACGAGAGGAGGCTCGTGCCGCTGAGAAGAAGAAACGCAAAGCCGGAGCTACAGACCTAGAAGAGAGCCAGCGCAAGAGTTCGCGACAGAAGACTACCTTGGGAGGTCGCAAGGTTGGAGAAACCTCTGATGCCATCGAAGCGTACAAGCGCCAGCGTGAGCAGAAGGGTAAACGAGACGAGCAGCGTCGAAGGGATGCGAGCTCGAGAAAGAAAGATAGAGCTAACGGCTCGACTGACGGAGAGCTCTCGGACCGGGATGCAAATGGCGAAAGCGATGTTGAATGGGATGAGGGACCGCGTCGTCGATCGCCCTCTGTGCCCCGGGACGATCCTCCAGCTGAACTGCGGGATATTCAGCGTGCTCGCGTTGGTCGCAGTAACTTTGCGCAGGTTTGCTTCTATCCGGGTTTCGACAGTGCTATTTCCAACTGTTACGTTCGTGTTGTTATCGGAGTAAATAAGGAATCACAACAGAATGAGTACCGACTCTGCTCGATAAAAAGTGCGTTTTTCTGCCCCTGTGTCCATGTGTTTTCACTCCATGCTAATCCTGGTTCTTTCTTTTACTAGAATTCACTGAGGGTAAACCTTATGCCATGGAAGCGCCTAATGGAAGAAGTTTCATCACCACTCAATATGCCGTTCTTGCCCATGGCAAGGCGGAGAAGGAATTCCCTTTCATCGCGTGTTCGGATTCTCCAATCACTGAGGTATAGATCCTGTTTGAACAATATTTTAACTATGCAAATGCATCCTAATTCCATATATATATCTAAATAGGCCGAATTCAACCGTTACCGGCAAACCATGGCTGTGGAAGACTGCAAGATGGCCACCAAGTCCATGGTTGCCAACAAGGTCGCGGATATCAACCGGCTCATCAACCACCAATTCACAAAGGAGGAGCTGGAAGAAAAACTTCGTCGCCAGGGAACCAATGATAACAAGATGAAAATATTTGAACGTATTCAGCTCGAGAAGCGGCGTCAAGAAGCGATTGCAACTGGTGATGAAGCCGCCATTGCCCAGTGTGATGCTGAACTGCAGCGTTTTACGGGGCCTAAGTTAGCCTTCGGTACAACTCTTGTTAAACCCCGCTCGACGGAGAAGACGCAGCAGGAACGCCTGCAAGAACTAAACCGACGCAACCAGAAACTCAATGCCGAAAATGTCCGGCGTGCGCAGCTTGAGGAGCGGCGGCGTGAACGACTTGCTGCGGCTGCTGTTGCGCGTGGTGAAGCTGTTGCCAACCGTTTCGCGCGTGTGAAGACGAAGGCGAGAACCCACTATGACGTTCATGGGAACCGGCTTCTGCCGAAGGGCGCAGAGGACGGAGGAGGGAGCGATATGAGTCGCCCTGTTACTCCCATCACCGGCGCAAACACGCCTAATGGCAATAAAATAAGCACGCCTACACGGAATGGAAGGAGCGTGACTCCTTCTAGTACGAAAGGTGTGGGTGATTCGACGAAAGTAGCGCGCAAAGGGGGCGTCCCTGTTATCCGCCATCGGCCTACAGATGATGAAAACATCGCAGCGTTGGATTTTGAAATTGATATCGAGATTTAAACGGCTGCTCTATCATGGCCCAGGTAGTCTACTCACCTGGTTTGTGTGCGGCGGTTCCTGGAGCCACAGTCCCTCGTACGCCAAGTTCTGTTTTTCCACCTCTGTTACGCTACCTTCCTTACATCGACAAACACATGTCTAAACAAAAGAAGCCCGTTAGTACATGGCGTTCCAGGTTTACTTGTTGTTTTCATTTTTTTCTTATCCTATCCTCTTTTTTTTTTTTCATCATCGTCGTATTTTTTGTTCTTCGATCGGGTTTATAGTTTTCATGCGGATACATAGGATTTTTGCCGGTATATGCTTCCTTTCTTTTTCCCTCCCCCCAATCCCCCTTCCCACTTTTCCTGCTTTTTCTCATTCTCATTTCCTTTTCTTCCTTCTTTCTTTTACGGCGCCTGGTCCTTTTCAATTTCTTACTTTCCTATCCTTCACTTTCCCTCTTTCCTCGGCCTCAATTTACGTATGCTTCTATCTACTCTGTATTTCTGCTCGCTTCTTCCTTTACTCTCGTCCCCTGCAAGCTTTGTTGATAGCCTTTTTCGGCTCGCTCCTGATGTCTTTGGTTTAGTAATCCTCATCTCCATTTCGCAGTTTTTTTTTACTCGATGATGTTTTGCTTTGTTCCTCCGCGACCCATGCTTTTCGCCTCAAAACTTTGCTGTGGTGTGTTGCTTTTGAGCTTGGTTTCGCGACTAGGGGACGTGAGATGGACTTCTGAGTGTCCATATGCGAGACTGATAAAAGCGGAATGGAATTCCAATTGGAAAATATTACCCCGGAAGGAAAATAAGTATAAAAATGGAAGGGTGAGGAATGAAATGGGAAAAGGGCGAATGGTTCGGAAGACACGGGCCAATGCGGTGTCTGCTTGCGAATTTGTATTTCTTGTATTTTCTTCAAGAAGGCTTTTCCTCTATGCTCGGGAACTCCATTGTCGTTACCTTCTATCCCTGTTTCCCCCCGTTATGCGTAGATAGACTAATTGATGCTCGTCTGCTGGAATGAGGCTTCTCCATTTGATCGAGAATAGTGGACATCACGTGAGCCTACCTCTGGCTGAATGCCAAGCTTCCTTATCGATAAGATAAGACCCAGCCCTAGCGTGTTTCCGTCGCGTTTCCGGCGCGTCATCGCGTTGGATGCTCGATCGAGAAGATTTCAACTTCCTCCACTCAACGACGATATATGTGGATGCATGGACTTTCGTTCTCCGGATATAGTTAACTCGTCAATACGCATACCATTGACCACTACATTTTCTTCAGCCTTAGAATGCCATACTTTTCCCCTTAAATTCCGGGTTTCAGCGGAGGCCGGTTCGCCAGTCCGGGTCGGACAATCCAGAGCCTACTCCCAGTCGCGCAATTTGTTTACACGTCGTTGTCTCTCCTCCTAATAGGTTACGGTAGCAGTTGGAATTGGAGTTGGTAGAATGGAAATGGATACAACTCCCACTCGCGACCCGTCGCGGTCCACAATCACACCGGACCGCGATGCGCACGGTGGAAATGACAGCGATGATGCCGGCGTCAATTCGCCTGCCATATTGACGCCAGGCGCAAAGATTCGGGCCATTATGGCAGCGTATGATTCTGATTCTGATTCTGATCCCGGTTTGGGGGGGCAGCGGGAGAAGGGGCTGGAAATTAACCACTCAAGTCGCCCTACTAATAGCAGCCACAATCATGCTGCCAGCAAGAAGACAGAGAAGCCTGTGTCAAGGCCATTGTTTACACCATTTACTTATCATCCTCAGGATGATGACGATTCTATGGATGAAGAGGAAGAGGAGTTACCTGTGCAGCCCAAGGGAAGGATGGCGGCAAGGATGCAGGCGTCAGCGGCGGAGCTGGGTGCAGCTGTGCCCCAGAGGGACAGCTCGCATGAGCGGGGTTTGATAGGGTTGATACAAGAGCCGGAAGGTATTACTGAGGGTGATAAGGGTGTTCCCCCTCCGGTTTCTGAGGATGAGGAGGAGGAGGAGGAGGATCAAGATGTTCGCGCACCTGGAAGGAGGAAAATATCTGCTGTAGCAATGGAGTCGCGTCGTTCGTATTCTCCCCTCTTTGTACCGGAGGGGTCGCCCGGACTTAATGCAATTACGGGCGGAGCCATGGAGACGGACGATGAAGTCCAAACAAGCACAAGGAGAGCCCGTCCGAGTCGCGGACGGAGATCTGCCTCGATAGTTTCGAACCGATCATTTTCGCCCCTGTTCGTCTCTCAGGATTCTCCCATTGCGAAAAGAGACTCTGATAATATGCGGGATGTCGTGGAAACGGATGATGAGGATGGGGGGATCGGATCAAAAGCCCATAATAGGCTTATGGCTCTCGTTGAGAAGAAGCGAAAGGAACGCGAAGCCCGCGAACAGCTAGAGGCAGAGAAGAAAGCCGCCAGGTTACAAAGATCGAGCGAGCTAGAAGAAACGCTACTAAGCTCTGATCGACTCAGCGACGACGGTGATGATTCGGAGTCTGGGAGGAAGTTAACGCAACATTCGCGCCCCTCTGTGCGAAAAGCAAGTAAGAAGGCATTGCTGGAGATGAATCGCGAGACTCAACGTATGAGTCGTAACATGCAGCTGGCACACCAGGCTGTGACGAAGAAGAAGATCACGCTAGATAGCTTTTTGGCTAAATTTAATAGCAGAAGTTCGTCGATGAATGCGACTGCGACTACAACTCCTGCAACTGCTTCGTCGGATCGTGAGGAATGTCAACATAGGCATAGCAGCACACCTCCCACTTCGCCGCTGGAAGAGGGGATTTCAGAGGGCAAATCCCTGGATGTGGCTGCCAAAGATAACGGAAGTGGAGTTAACGTGTCGAATGATGATGACGACCCTTATCTTCCATCCGTGGCAGAAGTATTCGCTGCATCCGTTCGGGATTCTCACGCACAAGTTGATCCCTCTCGTCTGGAGCGGCGACAATCGAAAGCGCCCTCCGTTGCTCCAGCACCCGAAGTATCCAATAAAACAACACGACCCGTTCGTGTCCGTCTCTCCCGCCAATTGGTCGCTGAGAGTCAAAAGAACGACGCCGATTCTGATTTGGAAATCATCACTTCTCCTGCTAAAACCCGTCGCATCGCTGTGTTTGAGAATCTTCCGGCGCGTAATAACCAGTCATCCTCCACATTGCTGAAACTTAGAGCTCTAGCGCAGCTCACGTCTCCGCCGCGCCACGGACATACAGCCATGATGACCCGGAGTGAACTGGATAGCGACCTGTTCAGACGCGCACGGCTGCAGGCGTTACAAGAACGGCAGGAGAAGATTGAGCAGTTGAGGGCCAAGGGAATTGTTATTGAGAGTGCGGAGGAACGTCAGCGTGTTAATGATGAGGTTGAGGACCTGCTGGAGAAAGCTAGGGGGGAGGCAGAGGAGATTGCGAGGAGGGAAAAGAAAGCGGCGAAGAAGAATGGGGAAAATGTGGATGTCGTTGATGTGGATGATAGTGAAGATGAGGATTATGAGGGAGCGGACGAGGCGGAGGGCCTTTCTAGGTCCGAGGAAGAAGATGGAGAGGACATTACGGTCAGTGATGAGGAGGAAGAGGTAGAAGAGGAAGAGGTAGAGGAGGAAGAGGAAGCCGAGACATTAGAAGAAGGTGACAAGTCCGTTGATGAGAGAGATGAGGGTACCGGGTTCATCCGTAATGAGGCAGACGAAGCTGAGGCCTCTGAAGGCGAAAGTGAAGGGAGCGAATTCGACGATACGCAAATAAACAGAAGAAGCGGGAATTTCCCACGGAGAAACCGAAGGAATGTTCTTAGCGACGATGATGACGATGATGATGATGAAAATGGAGACGTAGATGCCATTCCCAACCCACAAGAAACACCAGCCCGACTATCCTCCCAGCCTCTCATCCCCGACCTTGGAGCCTTACGGACACCATTAATGAACCTAACGCAAGCATTCGGTGCTACTTTTGCGGATAGCCAGGATATCGAAGAGGACTCTCTCGCCGCGCTTCGCAGAATGCCAGATACTGAGTGCCCCGTTGATCAACTTTTGCTAGAGCGAGACTCACAGGAAATTGTTCGTGACAGCCAAGGGCAGGATTCCGTCCCGCTCGATTTGTTTGCGAGTTATCCACGAGCCGATGGCGAGGACCGGGTGTCAGAGTCCCCTGCTGCTAGGACGATCACATCGTACTCTCAGGCGCCTGAACCTACGCAAGATGCTGGCTTTGTATATTCCCCTTTTGACCAAGGGAAGAGATTTACTGATGCGCACGCACTGGTGCCAGCATCCACCATTGATACGGTGCCAGTTGCTGATGATGGATCTCCTATTGCCCGACGGGCTGGTCGAAGGCTCCTGCGCCGTGGACCTGTGGCCGATCTTTCTGACGTTGATGAGAACAGCGATGATGATGAAGGGCTCCTAGTCAAATCTGACGCCTTTGATGTTATGCGCAAGGCTGTGATCAAGAAGAAGCAGAATGCTGCCCAGATTCTCTTTGACAAGTCGAAAAGTAGGGCGCGCGATGTTGTTGATGAGGTGGCTGAGGAGTCTGAGGATGAATATGCGGGGTTGGGAGGGGCGAGTGATGAAAGTGCTGATGAGGAGGACGATATCGATCTTGGTATGATTAATGATGATAGTGGAGAGGTGGTTGACGAGAAGGAGTTGGCGGCACTTAATGCGTACGTTTTGCCCGTTATGTATTGACAATGGATACTGCCTTGGAGATTAGACTAACCGGATCAAATTTACAGAACTCATTCAAGACAGCAAGACGAGCAGCAAGTCAATAAACTGATGAGGGATATAACTACTGGTGCACTTCGGCGCAGGCGCGGAGCAGGTGGTGACGACTTGGATCTTTCCGATTCCGATGATGAGCGTCTCGCAGCACGCCGTCGTGCAAAGAGAAGGGAATTCGCCAAGATGCGCAAGGCTCTCCTGGCTGATGAAAAGATAGGGCAGATCGCAGTGGATCCGAAAAAATCTGCTTTCTTGCGCACTATCGAAGATAGGGATGTGGACAGTGATGTGCAGATGATGGATTTCATGGAAGGCGGAGATGTGAGCAGTTCGCAGGACACGTCACAGGACAATACTATCGGCCGCCATCAAAACCACGCAGGAGTGAACGATCATTCTGCCGAGCAGGACGATGTTTCCATAGCCAACAACAAGCGCAAGCGCCCACTTGACCAGTCGGGTCCCGATATGCTGAATCGTGCGCCGTCGCACATGCGTCGTACAGCGGAGAGCGCGATCAGGAACAAGCCCTTGACGCTCGCTGAGATCCGCGAGTCGGTATCTTTCCTCCTTGATGGGGTCGATTCTAATGCCTCAGAACCACCCGATGAGGATATACTACTCTCCGATGAGCAGATGGATGGCGAGGCCTATTCACGACACGGTGAAATCGCCGACGAACAGCAGGAAGAAAATAACCTGGAAACCCACCCCTTCCCCGCTGACAATAGCGACAGCAACGACAATCCTATCCAATCAACCACCAGTGACACGGGCTCCAACACTAACCACATCCACCCCCGCCGCCGCCAGCGCGGCAAAGTCGTCGACCGCCTCTCACTCCGCAGACAAGCATCCTCCAATGCCGCCCGCACTTCCAACACCTCAACCCCCACAACAATAACCACGACTTCAGGCACCCGTCAGGCCTTCTTCGCCAACGACAGCGCGCCATTCTTCAAGCGTCCACCACCCCTGATCCGGCGCGCAACAACATCTTCGTCATCTTCGTCATCTTCATCCTCTTCCGCGGCGAGCTCGTCGGTGACGTATGGCGCGGGTTTGGCGGTGTCGGTGACGGAGTCACGAGCGGGAGTTCAGTTGCACGGTGGTAATGGGAAGAAGGGGTCTGTGAACTACTATGCAGCGGCGAGGGAGAGGCAGAGAGAGTGGGAGCTCAGGAGGGGGGAGAAAATGGACAGCCAGAGTGGGAAGGGAGTGGGAAACGGAGGGAGGCCGGCCGGAGGTGTTTTGAGGGGATTGCTAGGGGGTGGGGGTTGGGAGTGAAGTTCTTGTTGGATTTAAGGGTATCCTGCTTAGTTACTTCGCTTACCTTTTTGTGTATTCAATTTAAGGGACTGGTTGTACGGAATAGTATTTTGCTAGTGGCATGAATGGATGAATGAATGGAATTTCAATATAACTCGGTCTCATATCTATCCATTGTAGCCTTTTCTTCCTCTGTTGGTAATAAAGATTACACTTGAGGAATGGCATGCTCTCGTGGCTAGGGTAAAATTTACCCCTGATAAGTCATAACAGCATAATTGCACTTGGTCTCGCATAGCTGGGGGGTCACAATATATCCCACTCAACACCAACCACCCACTTCTCCACCCTGACATCCTGTCCCCGAGTTTCATCGGTACTCCCAGCAACATGTGCGAAACAATCCACCCCTTCCCTACCCTCTCTCATTGGCCTGTTACTTCCAAATTCTTCAATTTCCATCTCCCAAACGAGCCCGCGACGGATTCCTATTCTGTCCCCCTTTGACACGGTATGAGTCGGCTGAGATGATGACGCACTCCGGTGTGGATGCTGCCCTGGAGTGCCAGAAATACTGCGATTCTGCGTGCGTGATGGGGTGGAGATGGGGTCCCCAAATACTAGGATTTTGCGCGATGGAGGCTCTTGTCGAATTGCGGATGGCACTGTGCGATGGGCGCTTGTACTGACGGTGCCACTCGCGCTAGCTGTGGAAGCATTGCTTATGGGATTAGATATGATTAACGTCACAGGAGCAGGATGGCCAGAAGTATACACGTCGGAGGACGCCTGACGGCGGATATCAACCACTTCAGCTACTAGGTAGTAATTAGCTGGTCGTGCTGGGGGGAGCATTTTCATCTCCCTGGGTCCCTGGGTGCTGCTCGTCTGTGTGCTGTGGAATTGGGATGCATGTTTTGCTGCTTCTGCTTCGAGCAGCCAGCCGCGGACAGAGGCGGCTATGCCGCCCGGTACACAGTTTTGGGTGGTGGAGATGGAGCGCCTAGGACGACCAGGGGTAAAGGATCTTTTATCCAAGCTTTGGGTATTTTGGAGATTCTCGGGGGGGTTGGGATGGGTCAAAGGGAGGATAAAGTGCGGTTGTCGTCGTTGTGAAGGGGTTGGCGCACTAGTTGGCGTCATCTGGAATGAAGAGGTGATATGAGTAGATATGGAAAATGAGGAAGGCTGATGATGATGTAAACGGAAATAGGGCTGTTCAGTAGGCGATGAAGGCCTCTCGCCATAGGCTATGCTTGATGGAAGCAGTGGGGTAACTGACTCATGGGATATGACTTGACGGAATGGAGTATTCGGTGATGCGATTGAGGAGACGGGTGAGTGAGGTTGGGGCGATGACGGAGACGTAGATGGATGAGACGGGCATGAAGAGATTGTATCCGCGTTAGGGTTGTCAAGAGTAGGAGATGATACTCTCCGACGTTTTGCCTTGCGTCCTTCAGGTGTTGGGGGAAAAGTGGAATCGATTTCGGCATCAACATCAAACCCCCCTTCGTCGTTCTGAGTTTCTGTGTATCCCCCTAATGGGGAAGAACTAGAGTCATCATGGAATAGAATTTCCTCCTCATCGCTATTGGAATCTTGTATTTCATCCTCCCTCGAATACATACATGGCGAGTCTCCTGTCTGCATGCCAACGTCTGCAAGGGCAGAGGATGGAGGTACAGCATCGCCAATGTCGGTCTCGACGTCGGAAACATGTCCGCCCCTTTCAGTAAAGTGAAAACGCGGCGTTGCTGCAAACTGAGATGCAGCGCTCGAGGGAGCAGTTGACCCAAAGATAAAACGCGGAGTTCGCGAAACTGATCCAATCCCTGCAGCGGGAGAGGCTCTACTTATAATGTGACTTCGCCTTTCTGGAGTCTACATCACGTCAACACGGTGCCACAATTCTGTGGGAGTTTCTGGAAACGAATATGCTTTCCAGGGGCACGTACTTTAGCTGGAGCCATCTCGTATACGAGTCTTAAGGATTCAGCACACAATGGTCATGCTGCGGTCTGACCTATCTCCTAGGGTCGTTGTTTGTTCGCCTAGCATCCACATGGTTTTATGTGGGAATTCACCTGGCCCGTATATGGGAAACCACGCTCACATTTGCTCTAAGCTTCCGTGCGCTGTGCTGTCTTTATTCTCTCAGGGGGCCAACATTACTGGGGAATATTAGGAGTAACTGCCAAGTCGGCTTATTTCAGCATATAGCTGCCGTTGTATACTGTTCTGATGCTCCACTGAGTTGGTCTCCGTCTCCCCGAACAGCCCCCGGGTTCGTAACTGACTGGTAATTTCAAAACAGATATAGAGATATATATATGGATATACATTGTGATATGTTGATAGGAACTGCGGTCGTCGAAACAAGGTTGTGCACTACGCTGGAAGTGGCATAGGTCATCTCGGCACCAAATCCACTCCCTGCGTATATTATAACCACAACAATATCTAGAACAGATCGTCTCCAATTCCCCAATTCCCCACAGCTGCTTTCCGTCCCATTTCTGTAACTCCAACAAATGCCTCCGCGCATCCTCCTCCTCACCCTTGACGCCTTCCACACCCTTTTTCATCCGCGCCTTCCGGTGCATATCCAATACGCCCAAGTCGCGCAATCCCTCGATTTCCCCCCACATCTCTGCAGAAACAATATCCCCACTGTCGACCTCGCAGCGAAAATCTCAACCGCCTTCCGCGCTGTGTATAAGCACGAGAGTGCCACGAGACCAAATTTTGGCCGCAATGTTGCCGGTTTCGGTGGACCAAGGGAGTGGTGGGGTAATGTGATACGGGAATGTTTTAAAACGGTTGCGAGGGAGGACGACGCGCTAGCTAGTAAGGGCAAGGCCGTGGGTGGGACGGAGGCTGGTGTTGAAATTGAGGTCCCAGAGGAACTCGTCCAGAGGTTGCTGAAACGGTTCGAGAGCCGGGAAGGATATTTGCTGTATCCAGATGTAGAAGCGTTTATGACCCGGATGAGGCGGTGGAGAGTGGGGAGACGGTTGTATGGATCCAGTGATGGTTCTCGGGGATTTGAGAGGGTGATTGTAGGTGTTATTTCGAACTCTGACGATAGGAATGCCAATATCTTGTCAAGCTTGGGGGTACGTGTTGGGCCGCTGGGGTGGATCGCTACTAACACTTCTAGCGGTGTTACTACCAGTGATGGGACTGGTTCGGATGGAAACACACCGGCTGATATAGATTTTATCGTTACTAGCTATGAGGCAGGAGAAGAGAAACCTCATCGAAAGATTTTCGATTTCGCCAAGGAGAGGGCAAAGAAATGCCTTGAGGGGGATGGATCTTTGCTATTGAAGGATACAGATTGGACCTGCATACATATTGGGGACCATTATGAAAAGGATTACGAAGGGGCTATTAATGCTGGCTGGGACAGCTTTCTCCTTCCTAGAGATGGAGATGGGCCTGCTTTGTCCACCTATCGCCCTGGGTCGTTAGCATCAGTAAAACAAATACAGGCCTTAACGGACATATTTCCAAAGCTGGGCATTGATGCATAGAATGCGAGAGAATGGAGATATCACGGAATGTTCCTATTATCGCCGGTTGTAATATCTTGGCGATTAGCATTCATTTTATATCGCGAATATGCTTTGCATATACATCGGAGAGAAAGCAGAAGGGTATCAAGAATTATCAACAGCCCGAGATACGACCTTCAACGTATCCAAAGCAACCTTACTCCCCCATTTAACGATCCTCTTCTCCCTTTTTGATACCACAATATCTGTCTTCACAACCACCTTGCGAATAAAGTAAATTAGGCGCGGGACAATCTGCGGAGTCTCCCGAGTTCGCAGAAACACATCCGCAAGCGCCTTTTCGTCAAGCTCTGTCTCATCCGCTCCGTCGTCAGCCACAGATGGTGCTTTTTCATTCTGCTTCATCTTCTTCAGTCTTTTCTGTTGCGTCTGCACCATGACAGTAACAAGCAGCAACTCAACAAACGTCTTCGTCTTCGGCTGCAAGTACGCAAATTCCAAGACCTTGAGGATGCCCAGGGTAAGCGCACCGTCCGCAACCATGCTGCCAAACATTTTCGCCAAATTCACAATGGCTTTGCTGGTCACTGTATTATCGCTATCACCGTCAACGTCGGCGTCTGAGCCCTCTTCCAGGTCACCCTTCTCGCCCATCCGCTTAAACACATCCCATAACGAGAACATGAACGCCATTTTCATTCTCCGCTCCCCGCAGAGCTTCCGCGCTAGGAGTGTGTAATACGGGTTATGTGCTTCTTCTTCCATAGCACAGTGCAAGACAACACGAGGGATCTCCCCCTCCTGGTTCCGTTTTAATCGCAGTTTCGCCAGGCGGATATGCGCATCTCGGCAGTCAGCCGCCGACATAATCGCGACAAATATGGATCGGCGAACATCGGTATTCATCCGATGAGCTCGGGCTAATTGCGCGAGATCGACCTCGTCACCGCCGATATCGTCGGCTAGCGTGTTCGAAAGAGCTGCCGTGGCATCCAGAACTGCCGAGGCAGATTTGGTCGTGGGGTCATCGTTTTTCCAACTTGCGCCCACTAGCCACCACTTCCCCTTTCTGGAGGAATTGTGGATATCTGCGCGGCCGATGCGTAGGGGCTCACTGGCGCGGAGGGTGCGTGAGTTGTTGAGGGATCCGAGAATTTTCCTCATACGGGTGATGTGCTCGGATGAGATGGAGGATGCGGTCGCGCCCGTTTTTAATCTGTTATTTTTAAGGTCTGTCATAGTTTCGATCATGAATTTTGTACGGACGGATAACGCGCCCTCACCGATCTGGGAGACTGCAGGTTGAATGAGGAGAATTATGTCTTTTAGCGAGGACGGGTCGTCTTGTCGCAGTTGGGGCCCGGAATCTGAGATGAATAAATTAGCAGATGGAACCTAGACGTCCGGAAGAGGGTACTAGGTATTATTACTTCTGATAATTTTCAAAAGTAGCTCTGTATTCATTTCATTGATTTCCTCCAGGAAAAGGCGGATGTAGTCGAAAATCAAGCTACATCCGAGAACATGGAAGTTATAAAGATGCGACAGTAGAGATATGGCATTAATCGGCTGTTTACCGAGTCCACCGTCCTTTCTCTGGTAATCGTCATCAAATCTTTTGACGATTCGTTCTACAAACTCTGCCCCAAAGTCCATGCCCAACACCTTATACATAGCTGCTATGAAGCCAGCATGTAGGATGATGAATGTGTCCTGCAGAACGCTTGGGTTGTAAATCATGTCCATCAACAGGTCGATTAACGTCGAGGTGACACTGTGCCGTGGATAGTCCTGATAGAGTTTCTCGACGTCTCGAAGAATTGAGACGAGGTTTGCTTCGGAAAGTTTGTTAAGATGGCCCTGGGCCTGTCGTCGTAGACGGGCTAGGGACTCTGCTTCACTGGCCGCCGGGGCTCGGAGGGATGGGGGTATGTATTTGCGTGCAACTGTATCCACGGCCACAACTGGTGCGACGTATGGATTTTCCCGTCTTTTGGGCTTGGGAGGTGAATTCTCTGGATCCTCGTCTTCAAACCCTTCAAATTCATTCCCCAGATTACCTCCCTCGCTACTCCCACCACTCCAGTCACTGCCCTCAGATTCGGAAACCTCCTCGCTTCCGCTATCACTAGCCGTATCCATTCCCTTACGAACTTCTCGCGCTGCAGCCTGCGCCTTCAATCTCTTCCGCTGCAGCCATTCATCCCCTTCCCTCTTCCGCTTCCGTGATTCATCCTCCGAGTCACTCCCGCTCGGATCACCGAATAAATCTGCTAACCCTTCATCATAAAATGATTGTGGCAACTTCCCTTTCTTCCCTTTGATGCCCAATTTTTTCTCTAGAGTAGAGATCTCTGCATCGTCCTCCGCCAATTTTGCCTCCACTGCTCTAGATATCCTAGTCCGCCCTGCAGAATTCCTCCTTCCGTTCTCGTCACTTTCTTCCGAGTTATCATCCTCCTGTTCATCACCTTCGTTTTCATCAAGCAAATCCGAAAAGCCCCCTTCTTCGTCTCCATCAGCCCCTTCGTCCGACTCAACCTCAGACTCGTCAATGATCTTTCTCTGCCCCTTCAAGATCGAATTAGGCGCCTTCGCCGCATTTAACTTCGCAGTCTGCTTTAGTTTCCCGTTAACCCTTCCAGTCACGGACGGAGTGCTTCGCATGTTCCCCTTATCATCCCTCACACCCCCCTGAGACCACTTCCCTTGTTGCACAGACAGTGTGCGTTTGTTGTTCGTCCGAGCCGCTTTCCGCTGTTCCTTGCGGGAAAGAGGAGCATTGTGTCGGCGAGCTCCTCTACGACCATTAGTCGGATCTGAAATGCCCAGCTCCTCCCGGAGCTGCTTCGGGAGCTGCGTCGTATTGTAGAGGGGGCGCGGCATGGTCGCGGAGCGGTAAGATTGACCGACTGAATGGGTCCTGCGTCAGATGGCATTCTGAGGAACTTTTTTCTGCCGCGCAAGTTGGAAAGCGGTGTGCGGAGCTTCTACAACCCCACGACAATGAATAAGATTATTTCAGACTCGGTGATTACTAGTACCTAATGACAATGACGCTCACGATATTCTCGATGCGAACGCAGCTCATTTGATATATAAGCTAGCGTATAGCCCCGAGACGGAAAGAAAAGGATATCTGCAATCAATCGAAAATATACAACCCGAGTGCAAGTGCGAAATCAACAACCCCACACACTCCGCCCAAAATGTCCGGTCCCCATCTCTCCAATGATGAGGTGAGTATATATATTTAATCCTATCTACATAACTTCATGAAGGAGGAATTGATAATCCCAAAACCGAACTACAGTTCTTCGCCGCCCTAAAAGCACTCCTAACAGCCCAATCCACAAAAGCGCGCGGCTCCATATTCCTCACACAAAAGCGGCTACCTATCAGCACAACCACCGCTACCGCCTCCCCCTCCCCTACACAGTCAGAAGATACCACAGCAGCCCTACCGTCGACATCACCAGTACCCGCACCCATGCCCGTCCTCGTCCGCGCCACAAACGGACGACACAAAGGGGCCAAGTCGAAGGTGTCGACGATCATTCAGCCGGATGATATTGAGGGGTTCTTTGTGAAATATGCCGAGATCTGCAAGCTAGGGATGGTGGGGATGAAGAAGAGGGATCGGAGTGGGAAGAAGAAGGCGAAGGGAAAGGGTGGGAAGGGAAAGGCGTAGCCAGGAAGGGGCTTGCTTTATTATCGCTCCGGAGGGGAAGGGGAGAGGGTTGTTGTGCAATAGAGATGAGATATGCGAGCTCTGCATCTGGTTGTTAGGCGCCATAGGTGTTTCCTTTGAAGGGTTATGATTGTTTTTTTTTTTTTTTTTTTTTTTTTTTAATTTCCATTTTGTTTTGCATTAGAACTGTGCTGAGCGTTCGACTTGATATTTCAGTGAATGTGGAGATTTACGTATGGGTGGGAGATCTGGATAGAGAATTTTCCTCTTTGATTTGAAATGTGACTTGAGGCCTGGAGATGCATTCGATGTAGCCACGACATTGTGAAATTTAAATGGTGTGAAATTGGAGGATATTGCAGACAAACGCTAAGCAACTATAAGAAACGCCGTATCATAATAGAACATATAAAAGTGCATACATAGCAGACAGATCGCCGATAATAGCGCCAGTGATATCAAATAAAGCCATAGAGGATAAAGGATAGGAGACAAGGACAACGGAAGTGAGCGCTGATGCATATAAAATGTAGTGGAGCCGTGCAGGTCTTGATCAATGGCCGTAAATCGATTGTCGATCGAGTTTGCAGAGGATCATCAGAACTCCTAGAAAACCACTCGGCAATAACCCAAACCGTGCATACCTACCCGCCAAATAGTAACCGTCCATCCATAATCGCAAGGATTCAAGTTCGCCAGATCAACACAAAGACTAAAACGAAAAGTTCAACAGGTCAAGCAATAGCCATCCGCATATTAAAATACATTAATAGATTGTTTCAATAAAGGTACACACCGAGAAGAGGACTGCTCTAGACCATCCTCAATGATGGCATAGTCAATAAATACTATTACTCAGTCCAACTCTTCCTCCCAAAGTTCAAAATGGCCGTTGTCGATGCTGGGATCGGCTGCCTTTACTGAAGCAGCTGTTGACAGTGGGATACCGAAGTCATCCTCACTCCAAATGCCATCGTCAGAGTCAGAGCCATCGTAATGATTGTCTGATTCGTCGGTATTGGTGGCACGAGATTCGCCTCCATGGGCGAGACGAGCCGCGATGTGAAGGATTATAGCTAAAACTTGGATCGGAGTACCTACGATGAAGGAGCAGGTTTTCCGAAGGATTGATGCGGTCGTCAAGATGACTGGTGATCCACCTTCAGGGCTCCAACTTGTTGAGGACTGCGTTGGAGTAAGCTCGTGCCTCTTTGGTCCTTGAAGACAGCGTTGGCGTATGGCTGTGCCGGGACTTGTGGTAAGCGTAGATGTAGTTATTCCATTCATGGGACCCGGTGGACTTGATACGCGGTCTGTCTCTAAGGATCCATTCTCTTTCCAAGATGCGACAGCCTCCTCTAGCCCAGCGGGCTCGGCCACAACGGTAGCCCCGGAAATTTCACGGGTATGGATCGGTTTGGGAGGGATCTGTAGCTGCTCTACATTGCCAAGAGGGCGAGAGTCGAGGGGCGACGGGGGCTCAGAGTATGGAGGTGACGGAAGCCCAGAACGAGCCGACTTGAAAGAGTGGAAAGAGTCCATACTTGATGACAGCGTATCCCCATCCGTTTCGCTTTCGCTGTCCGGAAGAGCTTGGAACCTGGCCATGATGGAACCAAAGGTATAAGTAGGTTCCGTGACATTTCTGACTGCTCTAGCTGGGGTAGGTACGGAGGGCGACCCTTCGTAATTGAATGTGGGTGCACGGCGTGCTTTGGGGGTGTTTTCGCTCCCGTCTGTGGCCGCTCCATCTTCTGAGTCCGCATGACTTCTCCCACATCCTACACCATCTGAGCCGGCCTCTCCAAAACTCAATTTCCCAACTTCGACGCTTGGGTCCAGTTTCGGTCGCCAAGCTTTCTTCTTCCGTGGGGTTCTCGCCTCTTCGGGCAACTCGACAGAGAATCCTCGCTTGAAGGGACAGGGTGTGACTTCATATCGAATAATTGAGCGAAGAACCTGCTTCAATGTTTCCACCTGCTCCTTATCTTGCTCTGTTTTGAATGGTAGTTCAATGCGATAATAGGTGAGGCGCTGTATTCTTATGACAAAAGTTGAATTCCCATCCACACACCAACACTGGCAATTCTTCATGAGAGCCCGCACTACGTCGCCAGACTTGAGGAACATGGTTGAGCCGGGAACTTGTTCGATTTTCAAGTAACCCACAGCCACTGTCCTCTCAGTTGACAGGCGCCACGGCAAGGTCTCGACAGCATCAACTACATAGTCAAGGTCTGAGGAAATATCGCTGGGAGGAGCGATGTGGGTGGAATTGGGGAGTTCGAATTTCACGATTTTGGCAGAATGGTGGTGGAATAACACTTCATTGGAACCCGGGCTTGGGCCATCGACAGAACCCAGGCTATGGCGTAACCTCGCGGGCGAGGTCTTGGAACGCTGAAGAGGTTCGCCAGGATCCATTAGATTAAGTATCCGCAGCGGCGGGGGACGCCAAAGAAGCTCGACATGGAAGGGACGCAACGAGTAGGGAGCAACGAGAATGGAATGCGTAGGTATATAAAAACAGGGCAGTAACTAAACGAATGATGACCTAGCCGTTAAATCGATGGACGAAGGCCGTATCAGAACAGATGATGAAACCTGGTACCTGGTGGGAACGAGGGGTTGAGTGAGGGTCTGGAGATCGGAGCTGGGATACGGGACGATGGGGCTCGGCTGGCGCTTAACCTTAGCTAAGAGCTTAGCTAAGGGGAATTCTGCGTGACATCAACTTCCATCCGTGGATGCGGTTGAGCGTGGATCAAAGATAACCATATATCCGGAAAGCGAAGATACTCTTTTCAGCGGTGTTCAGCTTTCCATCGATTATTGGCTGGCTATATGACCTAGATATTGCCACTCAGGACATCAGCAATGTCTAATTTCGAACCAAATGCCATTATTCGCGGAGCCCAGCTTACACTAGTAGGAGGTGAGTGTTCCCGTTGATGGCCAGTCGATGCACAGATTTCAGGTGCATTGCATATCTACACCGATTCTACTCGCGAGATAAATTTATGTGCAGGAACCTCAAGATCCATCCTGCTAATCGTCTTTGTTATTTGCTTGTTTGTTGCCCAATTAGCCCATAGAGCTCTGCAGAACCCGTCCCTCTTCAAGTCGCAACATTACAGGCAAGCAGCCCTCGCGGTTTGTGCCGGGATTGCAATTCGACTCATAATTTCTATTCCAGTATGTATGGAATAGATCATACGTCGTATTGATGGTTATTTTAACACTCTCTTTTGCAGGTTGTTGGAGTTAAGTTCGTAATATGGCTTCTCTCCTGGGTTGTCAACTTGGACGCGGCAACATGGGACGATACAATCATTAGCCATCTTGACTTTATATCAACATACGTCCTACAAGTGCCATTCTTGTTGATGACCTTGATGCGCTATATTACTCCTACATTAGACGATATGTATGTATTCCAAACCACCGCCGTACCTAATTGATGTGGCGACTCAGTGTCTCACTGCTTACTGCTGCTGAAGGTTTATGGAATCTCTCCGATGGGTTGATTCGACCTATATCGAAAAACACAAATCAGATCATCCCGAGGGTTTGCGAGCCCTGTATTATCCCCATCTCAGGATGTATTCAGTCAGGAGGGATGGCGCCACCACTTCAACTTTGGCCTCGTCTCTAAAGACCTTTGTGATCCGGTATGGCCGGAGAACTGCCACCTCCCTCGCTGTCTATTTGCTCTCGCTGCTCCCAGTTGTCGGAATATTTGTGATCCCAGCTGCCAGTTTTTACGCCTTTAATAAAGGGGTCGGACCTATACCAGCCGTTGTCATATTTGGCTCTGGGCTTGTTGTCCCAAAAAGGATTGTTGTGATGTTTCTACAAAGTTATTTTTCGTCGCGTAGTCTTATGCGAGAACTGGTAAGAAGATGCCGCTATTGTTTTGTTCATCTCGTGCTATTCTTGGTTAAAAATTGCAATTTATTTCATCTTATTCTGGAGAAGTTTATTGACAACATTGACAGCTTGAACCATATTTCTCTCGCATCAAATACACGAAAGAACAAAAAAGGCTCTGGTTTCGTGACCGAGCCGGTGTTCTTTTTGGATTTGCGATTGGTTTCTACACTATGCTTACAGTACCTCTCCTTGGAGTTCTAGTTTATGGTATTGCAGAAGCGTCAACAGCATATTTAATCACCAAAATTACAGATCCTCCCCCTCCACCGGCATACTCCGAGGGATTCGCGGCAAGCCAAATAAGTTGGCGAAACAAGCATGCATTTCTTCGGCTATCATTAGGTTCTCTGGATGTGTACAATATTCAGGCTATCGGCGAGGGACACACTGTCGACAAGAGAGATGAAAGTGAGCCGCAGAAGAAATTCAGCTGAGATTCCTAAGGGTTATCGATCGAAATTGGTTTTATGGTGGCAACTACGAAGTATGCTTTTTTAGCCTTTTTTCTCGGTCGTTTCTTGGGTAGGCGACGTGAATGAGTGGTTACCCCAAGGTTGTACCATTATATTAAATTTGGAAAGTTACGGATCAATATTAACTGAAACGCCTCGCGCGACAGATCACCCTTAATCCAGTATTATTCAATTTCTAACTTTCTCCCCAGATCTTCTGAAACATTCCCTGCTGGGCGCTGCATTCAATTTTAGATACGTCCCCGGAATCTTCGAACCATTCCCTGTCGTGAGAAAGCGACCCTTCACCACCAGCTTCCCTATATATATGGTCCTTTGCCCGGCCATCTTGATTTCTCTCCCTCTTTTCCCTTTTCTCTCCTCCTCATGTTTCCTAACCAGCCGTCTTCGATGGCTGGCTCTTAATCTATTATATTTACAATGGGAAAACTTATGATGACTCAGAGTGCTATATATCCCCTTTGCACGATAAATATCTAATATTTACTTTTCTTACCTCATAGGAACTTGAATCACCTTCTTGCAAATACCCAACTCTACTAACTTTAACGTCAGACTTAAGAAATATAGTACCATGTCGCCTCCGGTCAGTGGGAGACACCCAATCATGCGAGGCGGAAGAATCGAAAGGAGTTTGAATGGGGTTGTTTCCTTGAAGACCACTTAACGAGGAAATATTCAAGCTGACATGTTGGCATTGCCGATTCTTCCGATCGTCTTGGCGTCATCAGAGCGATTAATTGCAAAGCCCATATATGCTGTTTCAAGCTTTATCCTGAAGCCTTTAACACTTTTTTAAATGTGAAAAAGTGCCACTCCGAAGCCCCTAGTACGAGTGACTCCGCATGTGACAATCCAAGCAATTTGCAGACGAAGAGTGACGAGGCGAGTGGCCATCTTGAAAGTGTCCTGACGATACTCACCATCTTTTGGGCCCTGGTTAAGATATTAACACGGCCACGAATAGAATTCCCGGCATTTAAAGGCATCCTGGAGCAGGTAATGGGAATTTTTACTTGGTGTCCTTGTTGGAAAACTTGGAAGAGACAAGGGTCAATTTATGGATGGCGATATGTCGATACTGTACCTACTGGTAATTCCCCAACGACCCTGGGAGGTACATCGGCTACTTTAAAGGCCCTTATTTCAACTCTCCACCGAGAGGTTCATGATATCAATAATGGTTAGCAACTTCTTCCGGGCGATTCCGACGCAGCATGGAGGGGCTCTTCAAAATATATTTACCAGTTCAACACTCAAGGAATATCATGCAACTCATCTAGGAGAATATATGCGACAAGATACATAATCCGGCTCATTAACTTCGAGAAGAAATATACTTTCCTTGACTGCTTCGTTGGATCGTTTTGGTACTCCTATTCAAGCACTACGACCGCCACGCTTTGAGCTCACTGGATTTGTGTCCCCACTGCAACAATCTACCAAATGGCTGATATCCGGGAGGACATTGTGATAACATTTTGTTGTCCTCCTGATTCTTGATTGTTCCACCGACACAGGTTTCCCTCTTCCCCAAGCAAAAATCGGTCAAAATTACCCACCAGTGACCATTCAGCAGTTTCAACAACCGGCTTCATGCAAGGGAAGGGAATAATGCCAATGTCAGCATTGTTGGTTCGGCAGTTTCAGAAGTATGCAGGCATCGTCAAGAGCTAGAACACATGATCTCTACGGCAATTGAATAGCTCATTCATTATCCCTGAGGCTAAATTTCTAATGAAATCGACATCACAAAAATATGGCAGGATAATGGAAGAATTGATGGTTCACCGTCCAATCGAAACTTGCCGAAACTTGCCGAAATATGCATTGCTTGACTAGTTATCCACGTTCGAGTCACTATTTCGGTCCTCAATTATTCGCCGCCAGGCATGTTGAGTAATTACACCATAACTACCGACATATCATGAAAACATTTACTACCATTTTTCAATGAAACAACCGAACCAATGCTCGTGGATCTTTCCAAACATCATTGGGCAAGCTTTTTTCTCATAAATGTTACAGGGGGCTCCTTACTTCTCACCTCCTGGACATGGTGTGAGCGTCGATGCAAAGATTCTTTCAAGACGCTGCCAACACATTTTGAGTACCAATACAAACCGACAACCAAAAACCAGGCCACCAATTACGATGTCTACAGTTTCAACACCGTGGGGGCGTAATTATAGGTCATATGATAGGAACAAGAACTGCGACCCGAGTGTGCTAACCGGGAGAGATAACAACGGCCCTCATGGACCGGGCTTGGCTCCAACGCCCCACAGTTGCTCTTGGTAGATCTTCCACTACCTATGAATCGGTTTGGGGTTGAGGCACTTGTTCAGAGTCTCATCGGGCCGGACAATATACAATCAATTCTTCCGCTGTCGGTAATTGGAATCTAGAGTCCGATTTCCCCAATCCTCTGCGCCCACGTATCCTGATAGACGCAAAATTACGCGCTGGAGGCATTGGATATGATGTCTTATCGAAATCAATCCCCTCGTGAGGGATAATAACAGCAGGGTAGGGGCTACATGAGTGCTGATCGAGGTAATGGTTGGACTCTGCTTTAAAGCCAAAATGAGTGGCCGTGGGTTGGAATTACACCAGGGTTTTTAGAGAATGTTCGAACGCGCAACCAATTTATTCCGCCTCGTTGATTCAACCACGCTGAACTTTAGTAGTCGCTGCGGTCTATTATAACCTTTTTGTCCTCCTTCTTCTGACCTGCCTCCTCTAGCATTCAATTCTATAAATATCGACCAAACCAGAATTATCCCCTGTGTGCAAATACTCAATCACTTTGTGACAACTGCGTGTTTTGTTTACCTGCAGAACATTTCACTTATGACTTGTATCAATTATGTCCATATGCCTCTGGACACTCTCTTCATTTTCTATCTGAGTGAACTCGGATTATCAGAAATTTACCGCACTACGTTGATCGACAGGAGATCTTCCACCTTACTCAGTTTGGATATCGCAATTCCCTATATTGCAATGCGACCGCCTTGCCAGAGCGCACCTTCGTAGGGGGTTGCCGTTTCATCTACAAACCTGATTTATGCGAGGCCCACACTGTGTTGGTTATCCCACGCTAGGAATGTTACGCCCGGGATTCCTGACCCATCGACCACAGGAAACTCATGAAGAGCTATCAGCACACGTCCAATTCCAATGCCTTCATCTAAGCATGTGTTGATTCATCAGATTCGCGTACCTACTTATTTCCCATTAGATGGCTCGATTGGCTGCAGCCGTTGAGGAGTTCTCGATATCATCGGGAGAACTGACAAGCTCTAAAGAATGAGTCTCTGTTGATCTATTGTTCTGGCTGCCCACAGACCCTTATATTATAGGGGGATGCACCTGCGACGCTTTTCTCAAAAGCGTTCAGCAGAGGGATGTTGCAACTTTTATCCTTATCATCTGGGACATGTTAACATCCTGCTTCTCTCTGTGATACCAGCAGGAAGATAGTCGTGAGCTCGGTGTGCGAGTAAAGGTTTTCCACGGCCTTGGCTCACTAGATGTTGCTGGGTTATGATTATCCTACATTGGCAGTTATATAAACCTGGTGTTGCTAGAAGAGAGCTAGACAACTACCTTTATGCCATCTCGCCAACTTTACCCATGACTATTATTAGTTTACTTACCTCTGTGGGTATCCGCAGCATGCCCCGAAAGGAAGCACTAATAGCCTAGATGAGGCAACATGGGCTGACTCTCTGCTGAACAAATACCATGCACTGTGCACAGCTGCACCAAATGTTCAAGTTTTAAAATGAGTATCCTATACTCATATATATGTATTGACCGAGCACGGCAACTTACATGTTCTTCCTCCTTTTCAGTTGCGACGGTAGCCCTTTTTGTCAATGCGAATGGTTCGTATGACACCTCCTGCAGGTTTCAAACGGCACCTCCCTTACATAGAGTGGAAACACCGGACACCAGACCCGGGCTCTAGACCGTGTTGGTATCGATCCTCCGCATTATCTTCGCTACCTTCTCATATAACTATCCTCTTCGAGAATAAACTCGCTGCGACCTATAGCACCTCGACCATTCGGTTGGTAGGCGTAAACGACATTATTTCGATGGCTATTCGTTACAAATTATCTCCATTTGCCTAAATCCTATATTACCTGACTTGCACCCACAGCGAGTACTTTTAGGTGACTGGGCGTCCCTATGTACTATTGTGTAATCGCATTATTACTCTCTGTGGATGCTTTGCCCTGTTATGAGTTTAAAACCCTTCTTATCGTGTCATCCCACGAATCCCTTGCGGTTACCCTTTAATTTTTGGCTCGCTGGGGCAGCTGCCCTCTCAGTTGTGACCTGAGGCTCCGTGTCTTTTTCGAGGCCTTCATGCATACGAACTTCTCTCTGCCTCACATTTCGGTGCTTGCAAACACCGAGAACCACCAGATGCTCGGTGTCTCGATTCCTCCTTCCAGGACCCCACAAGGCTATATCAACGTTCACCCGTACCATCAATATCGGCAGAAAGCTTTCTTCGATTTTTATGAACGAAATGAGTTTCCTGGACAGCAATCTCAAACTCTACCTGGGTCTGAAATGATGTAGCGTCTCTGCCATTCTCAATTTGGAATATTTAACAGCTGTCAAACATCATTGACTTGTGGTTCCCACACGTTGCTGTGACTGGCGGTCGCAGTGTATAGGTGGTGGGATGGTTGGCCATGTCCGCTGTGGGCCGGGTCACACCACCACACCCACGGGTATATATATCACTATGAGCGCAACCATTTAACAAATAGTTACGTTGGCTTTTTGCTATGGATAACCTAGTGGCCATAGTGCTATCTTATCACAGACTCTCAAGCCTATTAAATACAAGACTGCCACTGAAAAGCATCGGATTTTGAAAATCATCTCGGTATGATTACAAGGCTACTACTAACTCACCCTACCAGTCCAATTCTTGAAGAAAACTTCTACAATCTCCTGATTATATTTTATTTTTTAAATGACAATATTCTAACCGTTCCTTCTGTCTTTTATTCTTCTACGGAGTCGATATGGGATGTTACGTGGGAGAGTCTCTGCCACACGGGAAAAAAAGGCGGGGTACAGTCAAAACGTGAAATTAGAACCCAGAAAGATCAAGAGCTTGCTGGACAGCGAACGAAGACAGCCGGCAGCGAGCGAGTTTTTGTTGGTTTCAAGCCTCTCGAAGGCGGGTCCTTAATGTCGATTTGTATGGCGGACTTCAAAAACACGAGTCTTCGTACCACCCCCCACACAACACTATCATACCACAACCGCCCTTAAGATGCACCACCCGATGGACATCGGGGTAGAAGGTCTTGGATACGAACTATTTGTTATATCAAAACGAAAGAAATACGACAGCCAGCATCTCCCAAGATTAACAGTGCTCATCAATTATCTGATGAGATATGGGTTTCAACAGTAACTCATGAGCAGATTGTTGTCTCTGAACAACTCACTTAATATCTTCAGTTTCGTTCTTCATTACCCATGTGGTTTCTACACTATGCTGCGACTGGCGGTCGCAGTGTATAGGTGGTGGGGTGATTGGCCATGTCCGCTGTGGGCCGGGCCACACCACCACACCCACGGGTTATATATATCACTATGAGCGCAACCATTTGACAAATAGTTACGTTGGCTTTTTGCTATGGATAACCTAGTGGCCATAGTGCGATCTTGTCACACTCGCTATACAAAAGACAATGGATGCTGCCGCTCAAACCATCATGAACTGTTCCAAATCACTAATTGCTGGGGACGTTAAAGTGTCGACGGTTGGAGCTTTCTGTCACTATCAAACTTGCCACTGACGAACACAAGTAATGCAAATCGACGTGCTTGCTAATTCTTCTACAAGGCCATGTGATCTGACTCGAGTCGCATTGTGTATCTTGGGCCATCAATTTCGGATGCTCCGACTTGAATGGCATCACAACGTTCCTAAGACTCTTATCGCCGATTAGAATTGGTGTGGGTGCTTGCCTTTCCTGGCAGTTACTATTTCAATCCAAAGAAACTCCAGTTTTATGACATATGTGTCATCATCATGGTTGTGGGGGTGGATATGAATTGGAAGAAATCAGTCAGCGAATTACCAGCCAGTTGGGGTGCTACGACAACCATCTGTTTTTACTAATAATGGTCCACAGGCAAATCTCATATCGCCCAAATAGCCATCTTCGGTTCCCTTTGGTGGGGTTGAGCCTGTGAAATATCGCATAAGGGAATTGTGTCACTGTCGTCTGGGCGAGGATTGCGGGAGAATTGTAGTCAACATTCCTCCTGCTTACCATTTCCTCCTCCCGTGACAACTATCCCAATATTTTCTTCTGTGTTTCGTTGTGACTTTCTGCTTCTAGCAGAATATTCACAAGAACGACTCTTTCTCATCATGTTGTTGCATTCTCGAAGCCACCATGAAGACTATTTGTCAATGATCCCAACTCTGAGATCTGGCAAATGCTATCATCACCATTCCAGCAATAGCCTACCAAAAAAAAAAAGCTATTGAGGTTATGGTTCCCGTTACTGTAATTCTGCTCTTGATATCATTCAAGTGACAGCAGAAACAACTCTGATCACACTTTTTAAATATATGATATTATATGAAAGTAAATGTAATATCTCACTAATCATTCTACAGATGGCCTGAAAATCATGATATATTGTGAGCAAATTACTCTCACCGTGAGCAATATCAGATTGACGATGAAAATTGTCCAAGCACTGAGCAGTAAATTTTTCGGCGATTTTACTGTGAAGAAATGATTTTTATTTTATTTCTTTTATTGTTGTTTGTCTACCCACGTCGGGTGGAAGGAAGTGCAGATGGAATATCTACCTCAAAAGAAACAACCTTCTTGGCCATCAGTTTATGATTTTTTTTCATTCTCCTGGTTATTTCTTTTTTATTTCTCAATTGTTATCTGTTTACCCTGCCACCAAGTGGTATAAACGGCCCTGGAAGGATTAGATTATTGCTTATATAGCGAGTGATCCCAGACCTCCAGTTATCTTGCTGGGGCAAAAGAGCTCACCCAATCCCTCCCTCATGCGGAATTGCTGCAGCATCAGATCAGGATAAGAAGCAAATGAGTTCCCAAAGAAGAAATGCTATAGTTCGCATATATCGACTCCGAGCGTTGACTTAGAAATAGTCAACACTAGTATCTATGGGACGGATGAATTACACTGGGATCGTCTCCGTATGACCCTGTTGCACGCTGGTCTAAAGGTCCTACAAATCTGGCAAAGACAGAATCCTGAACTAAGGCCCTTAGTCTCAAAGACTCTATCCAACGAGCCGCCTCGTTTTACGAACTCCAAAATTGCCAACTCCATCTGGTTTTCACAGCGTCAACAGACTTAAAACGTTCTGCCCCACCTTCCTACGATGCTATATCAAATCCAAATTCGCATCTTCAGGAACCCACTCTGGGATGTCTCCACGACTGAGTGATTGGTGAGCTCAAAAAACCCTCATTGAGCTTCATGGAAGTCAAAAATTTTTGTCCCATTGTCGGCGACTTAAAAGGTTCTGGTTCACAACTCAAAGGAGGCTGGCCTCGATGCCACAATTTGCAAAATGTTGAATGCCGTTGCACCGAGGATCGATCCTTAGGTGGGGAAGCCATCTTAAAATATTCCTATATATCCGTCCAAGCGGTTCTGATGCAAATCTTCATCGTGGATTAATCCCGGAACATTAATAAGTCATGTCAAAATGCCCACAGAGTGCACGACCCTTCAGATGTCCTTGAAAGGAACTCCCACAGAGAGAACCATTCTCGATAGGTGGGTAGTTCAACCCGCTTCATTTACGGCGAATAAACAGGTCCATCCGTTTATTTATATTCCCCTTTTATTCGGTTTTTCATAATGGCCCCTACTGAAAATGCGAGCCTCTCCAACTTCGCTGTCTCCCCGTTCGACCCGGTCTGCAATATGACCAAGACGAAGAAAACCGGCGCTGGCAAAAATTGCCGCGGCCCCAAACTGGCCCTGTCGCTCTGGTAATGACCCATTTGCTTCTAGTTCCTCTACTACCCCAATAGATTCGATTTCGTCCCCAAACCCCTTTCCACTTTTGGGGGCCGGGCCAACACTTTTTCATGACAGCCCAACTAGGCCAGAATAATTTGATGTTTACATGGTTTACTTTTGTCCAGAACGCCCTCACATATAACTATTTATCCGGATTGTTGCTTTTGCTACTTCAATTCCATTCAGCTTCGCCGCCTAGTCAATAATATCCTCTATATAACCCATCATTCATATTCTCAAACTAGGTGATTTCATGAAAGCCGGAGAAGAGAGCTTTGAGGCTGCGCATGTATGCAGCAATATGAAGTATAATTCCCAATGCTGAGTGTCCAGGCATGTTTTCCTTTATTCTACCGAGTCCCTGATTTTCAAAACATCACACAGTCCACCAGACTTTGTTCTACAAAACATCTCCCCCCCCCTCTCGATGAGCATGCCAACACCAACAACCCCTTGATGTTATAATGTATATTCCACCACAGCTACATCTACCCTACATTTTCAGTTTATCATCGCTCCTTTGCCCTATTCATAAGATAATACTTTACCTTTCGAAATATAAAGGAGTTCAACGCTCTTGATGTTCTCCCAAATATACCGATCATGAATTTGCTCTCTTCGGATATTAGGGACGGCAGGCACTCGGCGTCCTCTCCTGTGGAGTGTTTATCCATTTTGACTCTCTTATTCTTAGCCCTCTTTCCTCTTCTCTTTATAAATTTCTTTCCTTGTTGAGTTTCCTTCTATACCTCTCTCTGTTCTCGTCGTTTCTTCTCGTTTCTTACCTTTTTGCTTTCAAAAACGACATTACATTCTCCATCAGTAATGGAAGCAATCAACTATAGCTCTTGTTGTTGGGAGTTCGCAAGACCCCAATCAGACAACTCAACAACGTCGTCAAACAACATCCATCTACGTACTCGACGATTTCGAATCCGACTCTAAATTAGAAGAGAAGCAATTTCTCCTGGGAAAGAGAATCAGAAAACCCTACAAGTGTTGAGGAACATCAATAAAATACACATCAATGCCAGTGACGATGCAGGGTTCTTGAGGGAATTTGACAGAGCTAGATCAAAAGAGAATCCATGAGCATGTTGACCGGCAATCAACAGTGATGGATGATATTGAGACAATTCTGAATCCGATGGTCTGACATGCCCTTGCAACTCAGCAGAGGCTTCTCTGTAGAGCACAAGGATGAGTACTATGATTTAAAGAATGGATGCTTCTTTAAGACACTTCTTCACCACTTGCAGTCAAACTTGTTAGGGGAAGAGATAGCTTCCGAGATCCTTGCTAAGAAGCTCTCACAATACCGGACCGTCATCAAATCTACTGAATCCACTCGTCAGCCAGTTCCCACTATGCAGAGAAGCTATTGCCCGCTCAAGATTTCCCTGCTGCCCCACCTTTCTAGAGGGGGCGAGATGTAGGAAAGCGATGAGACTCGAGAATCTTATGGCACTCCCTTTACAAAAAATATACATCACTGCATTGGTGGGCCATATCGACATATATATATTTATTTCTTCGGGGGGGATTGACGGTGGCATCTACGAGTGAGTCCACGCTTGTGGCCAACGGAGCCCTTCGACATCCAGAAAGATCTGTTGCATGCTAACCCTCGGTTAAGCTCTGTTGAGGAATATTCCATAGTTACAAGATAAAAGAGAAAAGAAAAGAAAAATTCATCTGAAAAGAAACACTGATGAGTACACAATGAAGAACGGAATGCTCCTAACAGTACTGATACACAATGGCTCCTGGTAGCGAGGGATGCCGCTCAGAGACATCTAACTAGGGGTTATACGTCGGGGGAGGTGGGGGTTGGGTGGCGTTATAACCCATGTTACTATGTATGGAGACTACACCCCTCGGGTGACTCAGCTGACCTACACTAGAGTTGATGAGGGTAGTTTGGGGTCAGAGATCCTTGAATGGGCTGTTTATATGAACATTAAATAAGATCCGTACGGCGATGGATCTGCTATGTGGGGACGAGAGGATGAGATTCCTTCCCTAGCATGCAATTCCTTCCCTCTTTATGAATCCTTCTGAACATGTATCCTTGCTGCTTTCTTTCTTCTGAGGCCTTGTTTGTTTTTATATTTTTAACGAAGGATTCCTTTGTTTTTCCTTTGTTGTTTTCTTTTTTACTCTTAGAATGACCAAGGAATCAAGGAATGTAACTAGTATTCAGAGAGATAACAATAAGATCCTTCAATTCTTGTTCTTAACTTAATCCTTACGTGCAACCTGCTATGTATGTTAGCCAAGCCCCACAATAGCCTTTTAGCATACATTTTGAAATATCAGACTGCAATTTGCTCAGATAGCCCCTATTCTTATCTCAAATTATCTGCCTATCTATCTTCCAATCTGCTCCATATTCAATCAATCTCTATAAGAATAAACATCATCATCTAGCTACCCACCTACCTGGCAATGCTAACTTATTAAATGACTATCTGGCTGCCTACCTGCTTGAATGAATGATATCTAGCAATGATAGCTAACGATGATAGCTATCGATGGTATCTATCGATGGTATATATCTATCGATGATATCAAGTGATGGTATATATCAAAGGTAGATAGTGATGATATATTGATAATAGCTAGTGATGATAGATAGATATAGATTATTTCTATTTACCTCAGTTGTATGAAGTCTGTATATGATATCTAGATAAAACTTACATCTTTATATTGATGTCTAGAACTAGTAGCCCATATGGTGAAGCCAAGCAAATTATAGATAGTATAGATAGAAGGAAGGTAGCTAGCTAACTTGGTGTTACCGTTGTTGCAGATTGAACCGTTCGTACCGTCCTGAATCCTTACGCAGTAGTAGTGTACCTCAGATTTGGGTTGGAGTTCTCCACAAATTAAAGTACTGTACAAGACTGCGGGGCCGCTCTCAGGGATATCGTTAACTCAGGGACCTTCCTCTATCACCTTCGACCCTGCTAATCAACTCTGGGAGCTTGATCGTAATCCGCCTGGGGGACTGAGGGCTGGATGAATGTCCTGCCCCGTTTCATGGAGGCTCTGGAGCATGCATAAAAAGTGGAATATTTGCGGAGAATTGCTCGCAATGATTAAATGTTCGCATTGTGTCTGGACTACTGTCTTCCCCGTGATCAGAAGACCAATGGTGATACCTACTGTATGAACTCATTGCATTTGGGAAGTTTACACCTTGCCCCATTCGTAGAGTTCGCCCCATTCATAGAGTCCGGGGCAATTTCAATAAAAAAGAGCGTTTGAAGGGTAGCTAGGTTCTGGCTTAAGGCGAAGATGCCGACGGAGGGTTGCCTCCCACCTCAAATTATCGTCATCTGGAGTAGAAGTGCTGTTCAGTTAAGTTATGGAAGTTGTGATAGACATCAAACTCATATAGAAGAAAATAAGTAGATGAGGAAACCATGCCATTGTTCACATGAAATCGACATACACATTATCCCTATCATTACAGTAACTAAAAAATGGAAGCAAGGCAACAGTTTCTTCTGGTCTATCTTGTCCACACAATATCAGATAGGCGAGCAGGGTTGATGTCGTAGAGCAGTGTAAGGATGGTTGCACTGAACAACGGGGCCTCTTTCAGAAGCAACTGGAAGTTTTCATTTGATATCAGCCTCCCCAGCTTCCAGGCTGCATAGGTTCGTCATTATTTTTGAAGCCATAAAAGGGGAAGTTCAGCTATTTACAGGGGCTCCCAAGCTTCAAGTTGTTTGAGGATTCTCTTGGCTTCTTCCGGGTCACGTTCTTTTGGATCGACTTGAATTAAAGAATGGATGAGCCGCGTGAGTAAATGGCGATATTCTGGCTCATCTTTCAGGTGGCTCATCAAAAGCTTAGACTCAATGAATGAGCTCTGTGCTTCATGGTCGGCGGCTGCGGGATACTGAGGTCAATTCCAATGGGGTTTCACGTAGAAATGGAAAGGAGAATAGGTATTAGATGGGTTATGGGGAACATACTGAGATAATGTTTTAGGTCACTTTTCCTGTCAAATAGATGCTGGTAGGTCGGCACATACGCGAACTAGATAAGGTTAGAGACAACAGAAAAGGGTAGAAAAACATGCCTAGTTTTGATAAAATCATGTCTGATGGGATGGATCAACCTACCACACAGCCTAGACTCCAAAGATCAGACTTTGCAGTTGCAGTATTTGCACCACTACGCTCCAGTTCTGGGGCACAGTAGTTTTCCGTCCCGAGGACATTTGATTTTGAAGGTGTTTCAAATCCTTTGTTCAAGCACCTGTCAGTACAACTATGTTGCATTGGGTCAGAGGAGCTGAAACAGGGGCAAAGGATATCCCTATCAGGTATTCAATTGGAATTGATGGTGACAAACCTTTGCCAAAATCAATTATGTCAACTAGTGACATATCTTGTGTATCTGTCTTAAGAGGAGTCCCATAACGGAGAATGATATACTCAGGCAGATTACCTGGACGTGGAGGTGGTGTGTCCAAATCTGAAACATTCCAGAGTATAACATCAGATTTTTGATCAAACTCAAAAGTCTTGTCCAAAGCCTCATTGGTAAAAGCTTCAGGATGTACCCCTAGGGAAACATTATTGGCACTAATGTCTAAAACATTTGCTTGGTTAATGTGTGTTTGTTATCTACTACTGAGTAGTTATGAGAGAGTAAACACCACCTACCACCATGGCATATTTGCTTCTGATGAAAAGCAAGCACCTTCATCAAGAGGGTCTTCACTAGTACAGTGAGTGAAGGAATATCACTAGGTGCATCAGCTTCTGCATTAAACCTCTCCCGAAGAGTACACCCAAGTGGCTTTAGGCCAAGACAGAGAAATTGGTCTTGTGTGGGGATGTGAGTGTGGAAAAAGGCAACCTCAAGTTTCCCAAGCTTTCGTAGGATACTCATCTCAGAGTTGTCTAGTGTGCTATACTCAAGTCTTAGAACTTTGAGGGCAAGGTATTCGCCAGAATTACTGGACATCTCAAGTGTCAGCTAGTCCAATTCAATAAGCTCAGGTGAGAGGGGAGAGTGCAGGTCTTGTTATGGAGGTTCTTACGTCTCTCTCCCCAACCAAACAGTGGAATAAGATCCTCTTCCCAGCTTTCCAATGATTCTAAAGGAACACAGCTTTCCTTTATGAACCAAGTCTGAGCCACCAAGCACATCATCAATCAGAACAGGACATAGGCCGCTGTCAGTATACTCATGCAGAAACTCGCATTCGCTACCCTGAAAAAGCGTTGTGGTCCAACCAGGTGAGTCGGAAGCTTGATGTTTCTTTACGGGATACTGTTTCGGTTGCGGAGGTGGTTCCATTGTCGGGCTGGGTGTAGGGCGTTTGGAGGTTTCTGGGCGAGATGTAATTAAATTTCGCAGTCGGCCAGTAGACAAATGCTTTAGTTGTAGCATAGACAGAAGCCAATTTCTAAACTGAAAATTTTCCCAGAACCCGAACTCGAACTCGAACTCGAATCTCTTACCTAGTCAATATAACTCAGTTATCCAGGGGGGGTTTGGCAGGGGTGTCGTACGGGAAAACCGTGTTATTTGGGGGGGTCATGTTATAGCACCGCTAACGCGCCCCGTAGATAACTGAACTTTCCATCACATTGAAATCTGGCAGGGGAAGTTCGCCTTTGCCAATTTCAAGATATTGCCTGTATTCCCGCTTCATATTATTAGCACACCAGTCAAGAACCAGTTAGGGACTAGTCAACACTCACATGTTTCTCTAGAGTGCTTGTCACGTTGATGATTGTGATGATTTTGTGCAATGGTATAATTAGTGTTACAAGTCAGGCAGCACAGCTCTTACGCCAAAATTATATTATTACTCTTGAAAATCTCTTCTCATTGTGCTTATTGGCTTGAGTCTATGATAGCAAACTGATATGTGATGTCTGTGTAGAGCCTGGTAATGTGTTTTTAATGAAAAAAGAGTCCTGATATGGATTCTTAAATATAATGCTCAATTGGGCCCCAAAATGCGAGATGCCATTCCAAAGTCACAACAAGCCAAAAGTACCTATGAAACTCAATGCCATCAAATCTGGAATGATCTGTGTATCATCATGCACTCCAAACCGCGTCTTCTGAAAATCCAGCATCCAAAATCACAGAAATGATGGCTGAAAATGGGTTAGCAGCGACGCCGTTCCGTGACCAGATCGGTTTTCCAGTTTTCCCCATAGACCTCTCCCCAAATTTCCGAGATCTCTTGTGCAATCTTGTCGCTAATATCTTTCCATGAAGTATCACCACTCAGGTGGGTCGCGGGGACTATATCGAGTGCGTGGCCAGCCCAAGCCCCTCGATGCATCTCTTTTCCCCGAATCAACGAATAATCGGAGGTTGACCAGCAAGTCTTGTAGAGGATGACTTCACCATAGCCTAGTATATCGATAAACGGGCCTTGAACGTGCTTCTGATCTAATGCGACTGCTGAGGGTCGAACAAATTCATGCGTTGTTAGATTTCTGAGAACCCATTCCTCACTGCATGGATAGTAACTCTGTGGCTCTGGATGTGCCACTTGGACTATATCTACCGGGCTAGGGTGCCCGTATTGAAGATCGAGGGCGAGCCTAAAGAGATCGTGCGGGAAACTCGTTGTAACTGTGGTGATGCTGGTGTATCGAGCGTCTGCCATTCGATACAAACTGACAGGTTTATCAGCCAACTCCTCCGCCAGGTCGCCGCCCAGTTCGATCTCTAATTCTTCAAATTCCAGGCCCTCATCCAATTCTTTCAACTCGTCTGGGGAGAGCATGCCGTCAGGATACTGGGTATTTCCACCGTGTTCGATTGAATCACCCACACAGATGACCGGAATTCCTGCCCAAACACCTAAGTAGCCCGAAAAATGTTTTGCGATCAGTGGTCTCACGAGGGTCCACAGACTCCGGCAGCTAAGACCCAAAAGAAAGACATCTTCCAAGTCCAAGAAGTCGAGAATATGGTAATGGATCTCGGTGGGAAGCTGAATGAGGATAGATCTAGATTTGGTTGTGCACGTCAGAGCACGGGAAGATGGCATATTAACAGGAAGATGGGCCGGCTCAAGTCGCCTTTTCTGGGGAATAGTTTTCCCTGGCTTGGGTAGGACTGTTCTGTGACTGTTCTCCCCATCACGAGATTGGGGGATAATGGGTCTCGCAAAAAGGGAAACAAGAGAGGATGCAGATCCATTGAACAGGTCCTCACAAGGTCTGCATCCCCAACTTCGCTTTTCGCGACGACGAGGTGCAATGAGATGAAAATCCTGTCCCATTTTCAAGCCAGCCCGTCGAAGGGGGCTCTGAGCGAATTTAAGTAATCGAAACCTCTGAACTATAAGCCGATATTCCCTGAGCTTATGTGCGTCTGCATTCGCAAAGTTTTCAGATATCCTGAGGAGCTCCAAGTTTTCTGGTCAACACTAAACTCAACTGCCAAGGCGCTAATGAATAAAAATAAGTCATACAAAAGGTGTTAGTTCATCTAGACAGCCGGACTTCCATGGCCACCGTCTGAAGTTCTGAGGAGCCAGCCAAGGCAATCATTGACCCTCAGTATACGATGAAAAGGGGTGATCTTATGACTCGGCCTTTGCGTGCAGTCTAACAACTGGCTCATGTGTTGATGAAAAGGTGAATAAAAGTATTCAGAATCAGGTTACCATAGCGCATGTGGGATGGTTCAGATAATGGGAATTGATTCTTGTCTTAACTAAGGTAGGTTGATGCAGTCTATTTCTGGCTCCGGAGCCTGACTTGATTGATTGCCATCTTCATTTAAAAACATCAGAACATTTGATTGAGAGAGTTCAAGTTCTGACTGTCAAACATCAGAACTTACTCCACGAGGGATCTCATCAACAGCAGACTGAATCCTCCTCAGATGACCATATTGTAAACATTCTTGGTAAACATATATGCACTCCACTCATCCTTTCCCCACCTCGCTGGTAAGGTCAAATGTTTTGATTGGGTGACGGTAGAAAGATGTGTTGCTCTCCTTATTGACCGCATAGTGGCTGTACATCCTCACTGTCCCTGTGGTTATGTGAGATAGAGAAAGCCAAGATCTCACAATTGACCACCTCCTTCGCGTCCCACAAGTTTAAACAGCTCAACAACACCCCTCACGGTGAGTGTCATGCTGTGTGCATTTTGTCAATCAGCGATGTCAAGGGTGGTGGTACCCTTAACCTCACTGATCAAGAAAAAGAAGTACATGTAGGAAGTGGCTAGGAAGAAGGAGCTGTAGGTTTCCAGGTCGTAGCCAAGGTACAGCTCGAACACGATCCCATCGCCAAGCCAGAATCTCTCTCGGGCACCAGGTATTTTGCATAGCTCGGCCGGCTATGGTATCATGGACATGGCCTTCCACTGCAGTTCGCTCGTAGTCCTCCAGATCCTTTTCGCTTCGTAGTTTTCGACTAGAATACCGGAGAACCAAGTCCGTCCAGCTCAAGAAAAGATGTGAATAGCCGAGGTCCGTCTCTTCCAGTTGGTTGCAGGCAAGTGCAAACCACTTCGTAAGTATCTTGCAGTTGAACCAGACAGCTTGATCGAAAGCAACGACTTGCTGGGCAGTATTTACCAGTGGGTGGTAGAATAGTCCCCTTCGTGGAGCGGGACGATGTTCCAACTGAAAAGGCCGGGAGTATGAATCATGGCATCTCTTGATGAGCTCCTTGAGTGTTGACGGCTGGTGGCCCACTCTTCCCTCAGCCTCTCACTCTTCTGCCTGCCTTCGTTCCGCCCCCGCTCGGAGGAAGAGAGCCTTGTAATCTGGTGAACTGCTATCGGTCATTGGAGAGGGATAAAAGAGTTATTATCAAAAAGCAAAATGGGCACCAGGAATTTGGTGGCAGAGATAGACGATAATCGTATTGACTCCAGCCATTGCGTATCAGTCCTTCTAGGAGCATTCCTTCGTACCAACTTTCTATTTGTTTTCTTTTGTTTGTTGAATTCGATTCTTTTCTTTTCTTTTCTTCCTCTCTTTTGCATCTTGTAACCCAAGTCACGAATCCCTGCAGCAACAAGCATAATCAACCTTTCCAAGTCGGGAAGGCCAGCCCTAATTCCGAGGCTGAGAAAATCCGGATAAAAAGCGGCTTGCTCTTGCGCGCTTGGCGAGGACACAGTTATTGGCGTGGGAATCGGTGTGTGCAGAGCAGACCGCAGGCTGGGCGGACGGTGATCCGGCTTGTCCAATGAGATCCCGAACTTGGGTCTTTCTGTTGCCTGGAGCGCCTTTTGTGGCAACTCGAGACTTATCCAGGTCCAGTGCTCACGAAAAGTTAAACCCGGTGTATCTTGTGCAAAGCAGCTGAGTTTATGATCTAGGTCTTCCGGTGGCTTCGCGGGGTTCTTTTGAACTTATCGATTGCATTGTTTTGTTTCGTGAATGGCGGTTGCGGTATCAGCTGGCTGCTGGGCATTGTGAAACGATGGTGTTTGGGAAGGCATCCTTGGACTGGTTTGACCCAGCACGCGCCGGGGAATATGTGGGATATGTGGATATCTGCGGCCAGAAAGACATCAGTGGTGGTGATGTCGATAATTCTCCCATTCGTTGGAGAGATGTTTAAAGGTACGAATGGATTGGAAGGTGTGTTGGCCCAAGGCCAGGCGAAAACCTTAAGGAAGTTGAACCCAGCTGAAGAAACGGTTGGCAAGCCATGAGATACAGAAGCCCAGTATAGATAGATGCACATGGATGTAGATATGCGTATTTCCCTTTCACATGAATTTTGGTTGCTAGGAGCCTTTTGACCTTTTGAAAATCAATACGGTTCGCATGGAGGTTGGTTAGCACACAGGTAACAGGACATCTAATCCTCTTCACCAGTTACATTCGAGTTCCCTGGGCATAAGGACGTTGATATCTACTGTGCAAAGAGCAGAACTCTTATCATACTTTCACTGCACTTTTTCATCTCTGGAACTCATTCCATCACCTATAAAGGTGGGACGAACAACGTTGAATGCGGTAGCTGAACAGAACCACAGCGAAACCTGCCTCACAGAATGCCCATCGGATCGGTTTTTTTTTTTTTTTTTATCTTTCGAGTTTCCTGATGCCAATTACAATAGAGAACCTGGTGAAGAAGAAGGTGTGAGGTCCTCCGGCGTGCACCCAGAGTTGATTCAAAAACTTTCTCGAAATAACTTCCTTGTGCTGAAGGACTCTTCAGGTGCAATTTATAACTGCGAGTCTCGCCGATTATCTCAATCGAAGGCCTCAGTTCTACTAAGTTACTATTACTATTTCTGAATGTCGAAAGTCGTCGACATGCACGGATGTCAAAATGTCTTCTTCAAAGCTTCACAGGAACAGCAGAACGATGCCACGCTCAGATGGTACGTGCATCCACTGCCGTGCCTGAAATAGCTTTGCTGCTAGCTGGCTGCAGTTAGTCCGAAGCTGCCATCATCCATGAGTCTGACAAGAGCAAAGTCACCTTGCGCCGTTCAAAGTCGCAACTCGCTCGCTTCTTATCCTGGCCTGCATGGGCCAAGGAACCAAGCCACCGTCAACTCTCCAATCATTTAGAATCGCCCTGTTCCTCGGAACTCTGATCCCACCAGGTTCGATATATAGTTTTTCCAGGAGGATGGAGCTGGCAATGGCCCTATCTCAGCAGGGCAGCTATTCTTGTATGACTGTACACAGAGTAAGTAAGTATAGGTCCTAGTGCTTTGAGAGCATCCTCGCCGTTCTGCCAAGGACATTAGTTAGTTACTTACTAACTGTTTAGTAGCTAGTTAACTCTCCAAAAGCTGACTTGGCTCTGTAGCTTAACTGCGCGGTAGTTATCACAGGTCTAAAATAAGAAACATCAAATTTCTCGGGTTGTTTCTCGTAGCCGCCGCGACGGATCGTGCTCCGCAACTGACTGCTGGACCAGACCTGGTGAAAATGGGCTGTTGGGCTGGCCAGTAGCGCTTTTTCCTTGTTCCTTGTGCCTCAGATCTCAACCGCCATAGCGTGCAGTGTGACTTGCAAGAAATTGCAAGTTTTGCGGCTGCGCGACTTGCGGCTTAGGAGCTGCAAGGAACAACAGATAATACTTTGCTTTTGTCTGGCCAATCGTGAGATCGGCTGGCCATGTTCAGGGTCGCAAACTTCTGAACAAGAACGGCGTGGCTGACCCTTGTCCACCAAATAGGATTGCCGTATCTTGGGGGCTGAGAATGGACCAGGTCCCTTGCTAGAGTCCCCAATCCCTGGCTGCCAGCATGGAGCGACAGGTTAATTTCCCTATGTCTAAATTTGCAAATACGATCATCAAAGGGCCGAGTGGAGGGAGAAGCACGATGGTTCAGGCGCGATGCTGAGCTCTGGGCTTGCTTGCTTGGACACGTCGATATAAATCTCCGCGAACACCCCCATCGAATAAGAATATCCAAACCACAGAATTCAAAAGAGCTCGTTCATTACCTGCACCCCACAAGCTCTTTGCCGATCGTTATATCATTAAATTTCTTTATTTCATTGTTCGCGTCTCGAAAAGATTTTTCTCTCTATCTTTGATATGCCCATTTGATTTGATCAGTGCATCGCGAGTATCCCAGGAGTCCTCTCTCTATCCCTCTATAACTTTCTATATATTTCATTGCTCGACAACAATTTTCACCATGCATTTCCAATCGGTATGTGTTTACCCTCTCATTCCTTTTGTCAAACGTTGTATGGCTGACAGCTTCCTAGCTTCTTGTCCTCCAACTTCTGGCGACGAGTCTAACTGCAGCTAAACCAATCAAGACCCGGAGTGAATCGCCAAGTTGTACAGAAGACCCGAACGGGTACTTAACTCCAAGCTGCACGCCCGGCCCTCCCCCAGACCAAACGACGCCAGCCGGACCCGCATGCTACAAAGGCACACAATTCCCACCAGCCGAGGAATGGCTTACATTCAATCAACTATGGGCACTTAACAGCCCGGTCATGTCCAAGTTCAATAGCGAGTCTGAGATGGGCTATATCAAGAAATATATTGGAGAAGCTGCTGCAGCGGCAGGAATTGACAAGTATGCTTGAATCTCCCGTATCCTTCTTTATTTCCTCAGGCGGATATTCATATTGGAACTGCCAAAACGACGCGGCGGCTAACTCATTATCCCAAACATCACAGAGGGATATTCCTCACTATCATGATGCAAGAATCTAGCGGGAACGTCCGCACCGTCGCAGGCGACGGTGTGACGCCAGGCCTCATGCAAGCCCTGGGAAGCCCCAGCTGTTTAGGGACCTCCTTTGGCGAATGCCCTGAATCGAAAATCCAAGGCATGTTATATGCTGGCGCTTTAGGCACTGGCCAGACCGAGGGCCTCTCTGCCTGCTTCACAAAGAATCGCCGCCAATATGGTGCTATGCTGCGCTGCTACAACAGCGGCAGTGTAGTTGATCCGCTCAACTGGGACGTTGTGAATTACGGAACCCCCAGCTACGTCAGCGACATTGCCAACCGGCTGAGAGGGGTGGAGCCCCGCAGGGACTGCGGATTTGGTGGTGGTATCCCATCGCCCGGCCATTGAGTGTGCTGTGGGAGAGCTGTGTTTTGATATCCGTTCTCGCGTTTATCGTTGGAGTTCTTTTTTCTCTCTCTTTTCCCAAGGACTGGTCATAATCTGGAGCGTTATGTTTTGCAATTCTTTCATATATTTTTTGCATTTTCAATCTTTTTTTGTCTTGCATTTTGTCTATACATATCCTCTCATCTGTCGTTGCATATGTCATCCAGGAGATAGACTCTTGTAGATTCCATTGTACTTGTACAAAGATTTTTTTTTTTTTTTTTTATCATGCCAATTAGCCTTTTCCACTTTTCCAGGAAAATCGGGTCTCAGGCACCAGGGGTTTTCGCGATTCAATAGTTAATCGGTCACTTCTTTTCCCTCACACAGGGGCGACTGATGCGTCCCCCAGAAGTAGAAATACGACGGCGATTTGTAGTTTGTCCACTTTGGCGTCGTCTCTCTCCAGCACAGGAGAGCGCCAAGATCTTTTCAACTTTTCTGTTTCTCAGTTTGAAATTTGAAGGCTTGGTAGTGGTAATAATTTGCACTGCATCATCGACGTGTCGCTTGGCGATTTCTTGCTCAGAAAAGGGTTAGAACTAAAATAAACTCTTAGGATAATTATAGAAATATATCTATGGTAGCTCTGAGAGACTACTTAGCATATGTCCAGGACACACACGTATATATATATACAATAGATAAACAGCGAGAAAAAAAAAAAAACTCGGCCAGGGAAGCCGTGTACCGCGGCAAATCGTTAAAAGCACCCCGCACTTACACCTACTCCCCCTTATAAATAGCCGTGGCATTTCCAAGGAAGCCAGTGAACGCCTGCTCCGCAACATGCGGCACAATCGACTTGGGCAGGTCCTCGCCTTTCTCATTGCGATCGTCCACGGTCTTCTCCTTGGTCTTTTCGACCCACTCCAGCGCGGCCTTGAACTCACGCGCCGCCTTCCCCCTCTGTCCCTTGTCGTGGGCGTCGAGCATGCTTATCAGGTGCTCGCACGCATGAGCCCACTGGCTCGCAACGGTCGCCCAAGGCGCTACCTCTGCCGCAAAGGCTTTCATGGCCATGCGCGGCAGGGTTCTTGGGAGCTGAGTGAGGAGCTCCAAGCGCTTGCGGAGCTGCCTGGAGCGGTCGTGGCCCTTTCCGCGCGCGGACCGGCCGGCCCAGAAAGCCTCGATGTCCTTGTCAAGTGCGGGAGAGTGGACCTCTGGTTTGCGGTAGGGCCAGTTCTGGTTGAGGTCGGAGAAGGCGATGAGCGCCTCGCGGATCTGTTTGTTGTTGCCCGCGAGCTCTGCCAGGATTGCCGCCATTGACTCATCGGCGTCGTAGGCGGGTGCGTTCCACATGTAATCGGCGTAGTTGGAAAGGGCGGGCAGGGAGGCATAAGGCTCAATCATCGGGTTCGAGGTGAAGCCAAGGATGTACTTGTACAGATCGGTGGCGCGGCCGGTGAGGGGGTTAAGGAAGAGTCGGTCACGCTTGCCATCGTTCACTGGGAAATTGTCCCAGATGAACATGTTCTCGGTTACATAGGTCGTGAGGGCGCGCTGGACGCTATCGACGGTGATCTTGTCACTGAAGACTCCTTCGCCGGTCCACTGGACGCGGATCTTCTTGTCCAGGGTAGTACCAAACCTCTCCTTATAAGGATCGGGCTCGCTGCCAGCGTAGTTGGTTGGGACCGTCTCGAGGTCGAGGAGACCTAGGGGCTCAATGTACTCCTTCTGGACGCGGTTTAGATAGTATGTCTGGGCTTCCGCCAACCAGTGCCAGTTGCCCTTGTCCTCCCACTTCTCCTTATCCGCGTCGCAGTGGAATTTCAGGGGAATATCATCAAGAGCAATGTAAAAGCTGTGGACACCCAACTCGCGAATCTGGTTGAATTTGGTGACGGTAGTATTGAAATCTTCGTCGGACGAGTAGCAGATGGAAGCACCGGGTGAAAGAGCATAGGTGAAATCTACATGATTGGCATTGGCGGTGGTTATTAGCTCCTTGAGCTTCTCAAGGGCCTCACCAGTGTAAAGATCGCGCCACTCGAAACGGAGCTTCAGGTCATCCTTGGGCGTGTAGATGTAGGTATTGATCTTGTGCCTGCCATAGAATTCATAGTGGTCGAGACGTGCTTGGTGCGACCAGGGAATGCCATAGAAGCCCTCGATGGAGCCACGAATGGACATGAGCGGCCAGTCGCGCACCTTGACACCCGGAACACGGCTCCCATCGACAAGCTGGCGAAGGGTCTGAGCCGCATAAAACGTACCGCGCTTATCCACGCCGTTGAGAACGATGCTCGGGCGGCCCTTATGATGGCCTGCTGCAAGAACATAGCCATCAGCATCGAGGCCATGAGCGCTTTTGCCAGCTAGTGCCTTGGCGACGGCGGAGGCATCGGAGTTTTCCTTATCAGTGCCAATGAAGATTTGCGTGCCGCGTTGTGTCGGGTAGCCATGACGGGAGTCTGAGATTCTGGGAGTGCCACCGGCGGAGATCACAATCCGCTTGACGACGTTGAGCGTGGTTTTGTCTTTGGCATCCCCAGTTACGATCGTGACGGGACCGCGGAGTGAGACATCCCGGCCGAGCGACGAAATCTCTTGCGGAGGAGGCCAAACCTTGGGTAGTTTTGACGGATGATTTGACGGATGACGATACTCAGGGGCAGCGTCGGCTGGTCCAAGGGCCAGGAGAGCTACAACAAAGGCCTGGAAGCCAGTGCGATAGTGGAATAACATGGTGTCCGTGTCAGGAAACCTTGTCAAAAGGTTAAAGGTTGATGAATTGTAGCAGAACTCAACGCCGCCAGGGGTGTTCTTTATGTATTAATTCTTTCTCGTGATTGCGCTGGTGGGGACAACGCAAGAAAAACCACATCCATATCCATATCCATAGCCGTAACCCACATTTTGGATAGGGTCTGAGCAAACATATGGGCCATGTACTTTGTAGAGCGAAGGAATTCGGACTGGATGGGGCCAGCGCTGTGGAGGTTGAGAACTCGGCGGGCTGGTCACTGTCGGACATGTTCAGAGTGCCTGGGACGTTGCAACCGTTACAGCTTGCCCAGTCGCGTGTGCAACATTGCCGATCACAAATTTGAGAGCATATGCTAACGATGATAGTCGGCATGTCCCGGCGTCAGTTACTGGTGGGGGAATCGGGAGTTATCAGGTTTGGCGCGAGTTGTTGCATTTGCTCCGCTCGCGACGATAACATAACAGGCCCTGACGCTCCGAGAAGCAGATTTTTCTCCATAATGGGTATTGTTTCTCGGCATGAGGGGCAGGGTACATGGTAACCTCAGGGCGGATATAATTTATACGGAGCCATCGCCGTATCAAAAGGTCCTGAAAATAGTGAAAAGTGGGGGAGAGCATTCTAGTCACCCTGTTACTGCTCGGCGTACGTCCTCCCAAGAAGCAAAGAACTCCACCGAAAATGAGGAATTTTGCACCTCATTTTTATTAGCTCAGGATTGACTCTTGGGGAAGCCGACCAACTCGGCGGGCACTAGTTGCTGAATACTCTGATGCCGTTGCCGTGGCTTGAGCCAACCGAAACCCCTATCAACAAGCATCTTCTCCGCGTTGTTCGTCAGGGGCATTGCCGGCTCATCTCCGCATCTCATCCTGAAGGACGGAGCTAGGACGGCTGGCAAAGCCCTCTATAAAAGTGATTGGAGTAGCTCAGTTGCCTATCTATACTCACCACTCCGCCAGGAAGATGGACCCTTTTTTTTTTACTGACCTCGGCTGAGATGGCCGAGCGGCCTTCGACCAAATCCACCCAAGATGGGTTGAGTACCACGGTTGCTCCCAAACGTGGTGTCCACGGTATATGTTTCTCCACACGAGAAGGGGGTTTACCAAGATATTCGGCATAATTCCATTACCGCTGCCATGAGCCCATTGGCAACAAAGGAAAGCAGACACATAGGCCGGAAAGAAGACCGGCTCTACGCAGAAATCCAGTGGGGTTGAGAGACTATAGCTTTCGATTCCAAGCCGATGGAGTTAGAGAGTACTGCCAATCTAGTTCTGACTGCAAAAACCTCATGAATGGAATGAAAATGAAAGGGGAGGGGAGTTTCGCTATCCGCTTTTCAACAACTTCAGCTTTCCGTTTGCACTTGGTTCCAGACAGTCAAAATTTTTGGTGGTTGTGAAATGGCTGAATGTGACTGAGCATTCATAGCCATCGACAGAAGAAAACCTCCCGGGTTCCTATCCGAGACATTGGGTCGTCAAAGCCTGAAAGCACCGGAACACCCAAACAAGTCAAATGGATCCGTGGGGACGACTACAAATGTCACTACCTACAAGAGATCTTTGTCCCAAGGCATGCTACAGTATCATACAGGGTCCACCCCGCAGCGCTCAAGAATCCGATGTGATAGATTGAAGGACCGGCAGTGTGGAGATTTCGATCAAAGCGCTCATTCTAGCCGCCACAAATGGGTATCCTCCGGCTCAGAGTGTCCAGGCTCTAACTGCCGCAGTGCGATCCTAGATACCTTTTTCCGAGACACAAATTTACCCCTTTTCTCGACTGTCATCCGAGCGATCTATCGGATGTCGTGGACACGGTGGCCTTGAGCGGGGGATTCCCCTTGAATTCTTCGACAACCGTGGACTCCGTGCCCAGGGGGAGACGTGGGCGTCGCCGCCTGTCTGGTGAAAACATCTCCAAAGGGGCTATCAAGGATATGTATAAAAAGAAGGAATTAGAGTCTACTTTATACTTCCGGAGTAGGTGCGCTTCTGTCCCGTCTGTTTCCTGCTCAATGGATGCAAGCATCAAGGGAAGCAGTATCTAACGAGCCATCATCAAGCCCTCTTATGTTTCAAGACGATACCAACACGCCCAGCGCGTTTTGGAACGAGCAACGCCAGAGACGGACGAAGACGGGGTGTGTGCGGGTCTACCGTTATCTCCCAAGGGATCAAATTCCCGCTGTCGTCGTCTTGATGGCTCAAACATCATACAACCTTCAGCGCCTATATGACTTCCGCTTCATTGTGGCAGGTGGTAGGAACAGTAGGATCGGCCAATGGTCTTAAGGAGCACCGCATTTAACGTCATGTTGATCAGGGTTGGCGCCGGATTTCTGTCTACCCCTTGCAGAGCGACCCCAAGGCCAATCGTAGCCACAACAGTGCAGCATTGTATCTTTGAAAAGTCAATGCCTCTGATCTCTTGAATTGTTTCTGAGGACACTCGTGCTCACACGCGGTAGGCTTGAGATCTACTGTAATGCGCGGATGCTCAATAGATATCAAAGGAAATTTTGAAGGGCACCGATTTGCCCTGGCCATGTCTTCCTTCAACCATTGTCAGGTTTGACTGTAGATGTAACACTTGCAGCCTAATCACCGTTAGAGGGTCGAATACACTCATCCACCACAGCAACAGTCATGCAAGATATGGCTATTACTTAGCTTCCACAATGTTTGGACGTGGAAGCTCCCCTCAAGCAGTTTGGATCAGAGGCCAGAGTCCCTGAGCTTGCTGGGATAATTGGTGACTTGCAAAATTTCATGCTGAACTATAATTAAAATAGTATCAGCGACATTTTGATTAGCGGAGGCGCAGCGGGGTATGTACTGTACCTCCACAGCCGATCTCACACCAGGCGTACCAGGGCCCGATTAACATCCATGAACGTAAGTATTGTTGAAGCCATTCTGTCATCACAAGAACAAAAGAAAATACAATATTACATCCCGCAATTCAGGGGTGTTTTTCTCATGGAAGCCAATACCCTGACCATGCCCAACCATGCTCGCCCCCCGACACTGCTCAGCTTGCCGCCAGAGATTCGAAGGCTCGTATTTCTCTACTATTTCCGATCCATCACGATATTCCGGAGGCTGCACAGAGGCCAAGATGAATCAGACCGGGAACCGCATCTAGGAATCTTGCTAGTCTGTCGCCAAATCTACCATGAGGCCGCGCAACTCTTGCTCCCAAATGCGCGTGTCTTCTGCAACTCAAACGCGGATTTAATTGATACTCTGATGAGCATGAGTCCCGCACAAATAAGGCAGCTTCGGTACATGTTAATTCATCATTGCCCTGTGGGACTCAACTTATTTCCGGACACTGGAAAGTCACAGCCCAACGCTTTGGGTGAAAGTTCTCAGATGAAGGGTCGTGATTTGAATGAGGTCAATTCTAGCAATGCATCCGATGCCGTGGACGATGAGAGTGAGGCCGAGGACCAGGACGATGATGACGAGAAGGTCCGGTACTTCCATCTTGGTGCCATTCTCGGCCTATTCCCGGGCCTGCAGCTTGACCTCCTTGAAGTCTTCTGTGGGGTGGGCGGAGGGCCCTACACGGGCTTTCAAACCACAGACTGCTTCGGGTCCGTACTTGAAGCTGATGGCTACCGGCGGCTCTGGATGTGTGCAACCACTGGCGACGGAAGCGCGTGGCTTGACATACCTTCCACCTGGCGGTGGAAGGAGATTATCACGGCCAAGTTCAAACCATATAACGGGTGGAGAGTCCGCATCAGGCTGCCGAGTTATGAATGGAGCGGGTTTGCATCATCTGATAGTGATGATAACAGTTTCTGGGCCCGAGCTCGGGATGCGGGATTCACGATAGTTGAAAATGAGGACGATTCAGACGACGATGACGCAGAATATGAGGGCGGTTACGGGAGCGCAGATGTAGCGGACATTGTTGTGGAGAGGGGCGATGCGGATTTTGCTGTCAAGACGGACGATGGGCGAGTGATGAGATGCATTGCGCGAGAAGATAATACAGAGGAGAGCGACATGTTCTACACGAGTGTTTGGAACGCTGCGAAGAAGCTTTTCAAGGAACATAGCTGGGAGAGTATTCAGGCCATGGAAGGGTTTGACGATGGTTCTCTTGACTCCTGGAATGAAGGGGATGCTGTCTATGCGATGAGGTTTTGACTAACAGTGCGCTGTATAACTACACACCACGCCCTGCTTTCTCATACGGATCATAGAGTGAAGAGGAAAGTAATTGCCAATTATTCCTCTCAATAGCAGTTTATCATGCTCCACCCACAGAGTGTGATCTCTTCCATCATCGTGGGATCATGCCTGCGGATGCATCGACCGGCTCACTACAGCGGTTAGAAGAGTTATACAAAGAGATCGAAACTATCAGCGAACCCATCCGTGTGACCAATGAACACCGATCATATTGCAACTTATTTATAGGCGTTGGCTGTATATTTTGAAACCGAAATATCGCCATCTCGCACCGGTATCCTTTGGCGGTTTAGTCGCTAACTCGGTTGGAATCCAACCAGCGCCACGATGCACCAGCTCATCACCGCAACGGAATATCCACTTCTGTTAGTGAGTTGAGTTAGCAGACTATCAAATTCAACGAGCTTAGCTGAGACAGTGAGTTTTCTTTGTCTCTTCCCACTCACTTCCTTTCTGCGCAGCAACTACTAGCACCCACCCCACAACTCGGCCCAACTTCTTGATCATATCAAGGGTTGGCTGTCCGGGCGATGTTGGCTATACGGACAAAACTACTCACTCGCGGAATACTCTATCAAACTGACCGCATAAATTCCAGCCTGCGAACCAGCTCGCAAATGTCCGAGGGTGTAACATGATCCCATACCTGCGGCCATCAGAGAGAAAGGAAGCCGGGCGTATTTCTTTGTCATGGCAAACCGTATCCCCAGACACACCATATCCGTTTATTCATGCGCCAACATGCACCCGCCGTCTGGATGGGCTGTGGCCGGGGCCAAAGTAACGAGATTTCGTCCGATATTCCAGCGCGTATCCGGTCTTCAAATACCCGGCATCGGAGGCAACTTAGCTGAGAACTATGCCTGGCTATATCAATTCTTGCAGCACGCATACGGCCTTAAAACACATACCAACTGAACTGTTCAAACACGTTTGTATGCTCTGCGTCGCTGGGAATGCCTTCCCTCCCCAAGGAATATACATCAAATATTGCCAATCAAGGGAATATCCTTGCGAAGGGTAAACAGAGTTTTTGCCAACTCCAACTCCAACCCGTCCATCAAACATCCCTTGGTTAGGTCGTACCAACCGGGCTAAAAGAGAGGACAAACTGGAATCTTCCCCCGTTTGGCACGAGCAGCTGTGCAGATCACTACGTCTCATGCAAGATGTTCTTTATATTGTCGTTCTGGATGTATAGATTTCCACGCATCATGCACGACGACTATCATTCTGTTTACTTCTGCGCCTGTTTGTTGGAATGACAGGGCCGAGACCTCATTTTCTCCCACATCCACACCTACGGCCGGCCTGGGGAAAGCTCTTCATCAAGGGGAAGAGTATATTATAAATGCCACAGCACCCCATGTCTATAATATGCTGCTGTTCAAGGTTCAGAAACCCGCTAATTCAAACCCATTGAAGTACCGCTGTCCACCTGTGGGATATTATTACGCAGGTAAAATAATATTATTACTTTTCATCCCCTTGCCTTCCCACGACGTTAGACAACGAACGCAGAGACAAAGGAAAACCCTCCCGTTGCGAGCCCCGCAATCACCATGCGCTCGTTATCCGTTGCCCTCCTTTCCTTGTCAATTCCCCTAGCCCTCGCTGCAGATGGCTGCGCGAATGGACGCGGTGATTGCCCTGCCCACTCACCTAGTCCTCCTCCGTTACTCCCTACCCCAATAAGGGCTATATCCCCACGGGCAATAGCCGAAGAAACGTACCCGTCAGCAGGTCTGGGGCCCCCATTAGCCGCGTCGGAACCTCCAGCGGCCGCCACCCCCCCTGCGTATCCCGCAAACCCTCCACCACCTGTCAACAACCCGAAAGCTCCTCCTCCCTCTGCACCTCCGGCAGCGTCTTTCCCAACAGCCCCGCAACCGCCGCCAGAGTATGAGGTCCCGTCACACCAGCAAACTCCACCGCGTGGCGAAACCCCGTCGGGGTACGAAATGCCATCGCAGCCAGAAACTCCACCACAGCGCCAATCCCCTCCAGAGTACCATTTCCCATTACAGCAGCAGACGCCACCGCAGCATGAATCCCCAGATTACGAAATCGAAGTTCCATCACACCACGAAGCCCCGTCCTCTGAGTATGAGATGCCGGTACAGCATCACACTCCGCCGCAGCAAGAAGGCCCATCATTATCGGAATATGAGATGCCGTCACAGCACCAAACACCATCGCAACCCGAACCCGAACCAGGGTACGAATCCGGGCCCTCGTATCGCCGCAGGGCTATCCGGAAATTTAGACGCGTGCGTCGGGCGCGGGCTGCGGGGTATCACTAATGTAAGTAGTAGCCAAAATAATAGCAACAATGGAGCTTCTCCATTGCCTTTGAGGCTTCATCGCTACCAATTTTTCTCCCTTTATAGCGGACTGTTACGAGGAACTGGCTAACATACATACCCGCGATAATCTAGAGCCGGCGTATTAACCTGTCCTGTCTGTATGTTCGAGCACGTTCGGTTAGTGAAAATGTCCTCTTTGCAAGATCCGCCTTCGTATTTGCAAGGATGGGTGGGAGACGGGTGGATTGGATTGGATTGGATTTTGTATGAGTTTGGAGTTCCTAGGCTTTGGGCAAAACTAAGGGTGAAAAAGAGGGTTCGAAATGAAATCATATTTTTTATTTATACCCCCTTTGGATAGGTCGTGTTTGTTAACGGGGGGTATGGAGCGGATAGACTACTTACTCAACTTGAAAATTTCGGCATTTATTTATTTATTCTTCAAGTGCTCTAGGCTGGGGATGGTTCTTTTAAAGCAGCGCTTCTATTCGATACATCAACCCTAATTATGCATTACTTCGTTTGATTCAGGGCCAGCTGGGCAAATTCAATTCAATAAGAACGGGGCGGATCAGGGAGGGGGGGAAAAAAAAGCAATAATCTACTTACTGAGCGGCAAATAATCCCAACGCAAGAAGATTTCATTCTCATTTCCAGTTACCATTTCTATGTAACTCTCAAGTCTTATATCCATCTGTTTTCCGGAGGTCTAAAATTTAATTTTTTTCATTAAAAAAAAAAAAAGAAAGAAAGAAAGAAAAGAAAGAATTCAATAACCGCCACCTGATTCAAATATATTACATCCAGGCATGCGTTGCATCCACTCCAACACACCCCACTGACATCCCGGCCGCAAGCACTCGCAACGCTCATAGTCGACTCTCCACAACCGCGACTCCCTCGCCCGCCGCCCGCCGAATAAACCCCGCCACCTTCGCCGGCCGACTGATCATCGGCGAATGCCCCGCGTCCTCCAAGATTTCGATCCGTTCGCGTGCAATCCCCGCCCCAAACGCCATGCGCGTCTGCACCTTGAAGGGAACCGCGCCGTCGAGCTTGCACATGAGATATGAGCAAGGGTAGTGGCGGTAGGCGGGGTAGGTGAGTGGGGAAAAGAAAACGCTGTTTTTTATATTGGTTAGGGTTAGGAAATGTTTCTTTTTTTTTTTTTTTACTTTTGCTTTTGGAAAGGGGCTTACGGGCGTGGTTGGAGTTTTAGCTTGCCGGACCAGTATTTCTGGGCGGAGGCCGGGAGGTCGTTGTAGAAGCGGCGGGGCCCGTCGAGGATGCGGATGAGCTCGTCCTGGATTTCGCGGTTGGTTAGTGGTGGCTTTCATGGGTGGGAGATATGAGGAGACTGTGTGTGAGTGTGAGAGGGAGACATATGCATGAATGGATGAATGGGTGAAGCAATGAAAGAAATGAAAGAAATGAAATACAAAACGACATAGGATAGCATCCATTACCTTCAATTCAAAGCCATCCCATTCTGTGCGCTCAGGTGTCCACAGACCCTTCCCCACCGGCATAACCATCCCAACAATGAATGCAAGATGCACAATCCTGCCACGGCGTGAGATGTACTTCGCAGGCACGACAGCATCACTATCACCATCACCCCTGTGTGCATGTTTTGTGTCAAGATCCCTTTTCACAGCACTGGAGTCAGATGCAACCCAGCCATCACCACCATCTCCGCCATGGGCATAACCCTTCATCTCATCATGGAACATCTTCAGCGCCTCGCACCCGGCAATCGCAGCATACGAGTGCATAACCACGACAGCATCCTTGCCACACTCCAGGACAGCCTCGACGCTGCTTCTGATGGCATCCACATCGCAGGAGAAGTCGGGCGCGGCGGGTGCCATGCCTGGCGACTTGAGCAGGACTGGATAGACAGAGTAGCCGGCCTTCTCGAGAAGCGGCATCACGAACGTCCAGACGGAGGGGGATTGCCAGCCGCCGTGGACTAAGAGGATTGTTGGCTTGGTCGACATTGCTGACTGGGTTGAGAGGATCGTGGTGGGTGGTTTTTGTGTGTTGCTGATGGGACTATTCGAGAGATGAGCTCCAGAGGATGGCTATGACTGCTGGTGCATGAAAATGGGGAGGGATTGGAGGAATCAAGGTTCTTCTATAGCTGATACTGCAGCTGCCTACACCTGGGGTATGAACATCCGCGGCTTATTCGATCAACTTTTACCGCGGGTTCATGGTGGAAAGGTGAAGCGGCTGAGTGGTTTATTTATATCAAGATATCTGACCTGAAATCCTTTCCCCGGGTTGATATTCGTGTGATATGCGAGACATGCAGCAACGGCGAATAACACAGACAAAAGACGTGAATTCGAACAGAGAAACCTTGAGACCTTGAGGATCCCTTTGTCTATCTCTCTTTGTCTACTTCTTTCTCTTGCATTGCAGAGGCCCAACGACACTCAATAATAGAGGAAAAAAAAAAAAAAAAAAAAAATAGAGCATGCTCCGTCCTTTTCAGAAGGAAATCTAATCTGGTTTCAACTTCAACCCAGAAAAGCTTACCGGAGAAAGGATGTCTTTTCATCCCCAATACAAGCATCTAACAAGGGCTTGTGGGCGGGACAACAGGTGCGAATTCCGCTCCTTGCAACACTGGCCGTGCATGCTGCGAATGCCTGGAATTAAACAAAAGGTGGTATTATTGGGAAGGGATCATAAAGCGGTGGGTTTGTCTGATGAGCTCTCTTTCACCCATTGACCTCAGCCCACGCACGGGTAAGTCATTGTTGAGGATATATTTGGTTAAGCACTGACATGGTTTAGTAGACAACCTTAACGTCAACTACTAGCTCTGATATCCGTTGAAGTTTATGTACTGTGTAACTAAGTTTGTGATTAGCAAAGGACGTTAAAAGTCGACTGCCTCAACGCTCGCGGCTCACGGCCGAGTTGCGGATGGCTCAGCAGGACTCCTAAAATACACATTCCATCTATCATTATTTATGCGTATGAGACCGTTGCAGTTTCTGGGGTATTGCCATCACGTTGACCGCGGGGTATTGCGGAGATATCTAGACCCAGTTGAGCAACCCTTGCGGTTCTTGGTGCATGTTGGTGCTAGCCGAAGCAATTTCACAGCAGCCAACATAGTTCCCAGCTGAATATGCGAGGCTTCAGTCTTTACGGGCATTGCTATCGCGGAATCCGTTCTACGTTGGGCAAAGAAATGATGTTGGTATCATGGACAACATAATCATTGCTCTAAGAACCAGTCAAATGCTCAGGAGATGTAAGATCTAGCAATTCGGAACAGCAGGGGGACCCTTGGTGCACCTTACCAAGCGTTGGATTTGAGGACGTCGATACGTGGATCGGCCCGCTACGAACGCGTGTGGTGGGGGAGGGGGGGCTAGATGAATACCAGGCATTTCTTACTCAGACACAATCTGTGAAGAGAGGTTCGGAATTTGAAGCTATGGCAGAGGAAAGGCTGGTCCTCGACAAAACAAAAACAAGCAAAGGTAGTGGAAATCGTCGAACATTTGAAGCCTATCGCTGATAAGAAGTACTTGTACTTAGGACTCGAAGCATTGGACAAGGCATTGGGAGGAAATGAATTGATATATGCTGTTTCTCCTATTACGATGATATCCCCAGGCGGCTATCTCGCAGTTTCATACTTCCAAATCGCGCAATGACCGAAGATATTGATGTTATAATCGATCCGGAGTATGCTTCTGATGAGGAACTGTTCCGTATGATACACACCGTCATGGTTGAGGTGGGGAGAGATTTGAGCTTTGGAGAGCATTGGATAAATGATTCAGTTGCTCTATTTCTCACTCAGCCTGCTCGCAAATCCATTTTAGCGATGCTAAGAAACAAAATATTGTTCTCTGGTCTGGTGAAAATTTACAGGTACTGGCAGTGCCATTGGAGTGGGGCATGGAGACAAATCTCTGGCATCTCTTCACCAGGCCCCATCATCACAAAATTGCCACTGATACTGAAGACGTCATGGTTATTCTGAATACCCCAATAAATCAAAACAATGGACCATCAGAAAGGGATGCCATTTTTTTTTTTTAAATTCAAAGGTTGAACCCAAATGGTTTTGATATTGTCATCGCCGACCGCGTTTTGGATCGGGTCGCAGCGATGTATGGAGAACGGTATGGGAACAGTCCCTTTTGCTAAGTGACTGTTTGAACCAAGAACTAATATGTGGAACACGAGTGGCTGCTTTGGTTGTGGAATATTAATGCTCGGGCATGTTTTGTAATAGTTGTTTTTAACGTTTTTACGTATGATATACGATAGGCTCGAAACGTTGTGAGGTTGGAATGAAGACCTACTAGACGTTTTTTTTTCTGGTCCAATTTCCCACAGCTCAGATACCCCATGTGAATTCGAATATTTTGTATCGACAACAGGTAGCGCTGGCAGAACGAACAACCGTGAAGGCGACGGATTATATCCTCCAAAACCTTTCCTCCGTAGCAACTATATTTCTCTTGGCGAAAATCTCGCTCTCTGCTTCCTCGTGGAGAACAAGTCTCCCTTCCGAATCAAGCATCCTCGCAGGCATAACGTCTCGTAGATAGTCCTTATCGATAGGGAGTACATGCTTTGTCCATTCTGGTCCAGCCACTGAAGTGTAGGGTGCGTATGGATTGTTCACACCATCCCAATCCCCAGGAGGAACGTTCTTTCTGTCCCTTCGCATCCCAATGCTGAGCTTGAAATTGAAAGCTTCAGGCATGGACTCGACAATGCAGGCAAGAACCGCATAGCGGATAGGGTCTGGATCTTGCGGATCAGGGATACAGTGCAGTTCCCAAGCAGGCCCACTTTGATACCAGAAATATTCAACTTCATACCCAATCGCCACGATCATGCTCTCTCCAGCCATTGTCACCTCGTACATGCGGTAAAGAGAGCGCAGCGGAGTATCGTGCGAGCGCCAGAGGGGTATTGCCTGTAAATTCTTCAAGTCCCCTTCACATCGTCGTGTCCAGCAAAGCGATGGATTATCAACCAGGCGCAGGGGAGGAAGAGGCTCGGGAATTGGATATGACCATGAAGTCAAAGAGGCGGGTAGAAAAAGACGCAGCAGGGCAAGGTACGGCCGCTTGTTGTGATGGCGAAGGCGTTTAATGCTGCCTCGAAGCTTCAACGGGCTCTCCTTCGCTCGCCACACATACCATTTCCGTTTCCACCAGCTTATCTTGGGGCGGGGACGTTTCGGACGAGGCGTCATGGCGTCACAGCTGCTGGATCTTCCTCATTCGGCCTGTTGGGGTGTTTTTGCAGGTAAACAGTGGATAGTTGATCGCAATGTGTTGGGGCTGCCAGTGCAGGTCACATGAACACGCCCAAAACATCGGAAATAGCCCTAATCAACTCCATGTTTTAGTTATAGATCTGCGGCGGAGGAAGCCCTGGGCTCCAGCCAAACGGATCATTCCACATCCGCCGTGTAACCAGCTTCCAGCCGACTACATATATCTTGACATTCCACGACGCACAGCCCTGACCAACTTCATCGACATCTCTCTCTCCTCCATGCTGCCCTTCCAAACCCCTTCCCACTCCAACAAACCCCCCCCCCCCCCCCACCACCAGCCAACCACCTCTTCCTCCTTCACTAGCCCTTAATAAGAGAAAGAACAAATTAAACCGCCAACATGCCCCTCCCCTTCGGCCTTCAGCGGCCAAAACTGGCCCACTCCCGCCACAACTTCCAAACCCTTCGCAATAATCCCCTTGCTGAGCTCTCCGGCGCCCTGGGCGACCTGGGCACCTTCCTCCCCCTCCTCACCGCCCTCACCATAAACCACAGCGTTTCCCTGCCCGCAACCCTGATTTTCTCCGGCCTCTACAACGTCCTCACTGGCCTGTTCTTCGGAATCCCCTTGCCCGTGCAGCCCATGAAAGCCATTGCCGCCGTGGCCATCGCCAAACATTTCTCCCCCGGCGAGATCGCGGCTGCGGGCATCTTCGTCGGCGCCTGCATCCTTCTCTTCAGCGTCACGGGCCTGCTGAAGTGGTTTGCGCGCGTGGTGCCGACGCCCGTCGTCAAGGGGATCCAGGTGGGCGCGGGCCTGTCGTTGGTCATCTCTGCCGGTGCGAGTTTGAAGACCCAGCTGAGCTGGACGGGGCCGAGCTGGGGGGACAATTATATCTGGATGCTTGTGGCGTTTGTGGGGCTGGCGTTGACGGGGATCTATCGGCGTGTGCCGTATGCGCTTGTGGTGTTTGTGGTCGGGCTTGTCTTTGGGTTTGTGCTGTTAGGGGCCTCTTCGTCACATGGGAGACTGCCGTCCTTTGGCATTTGGAAGCCTGGTGTTTTTACGCCCGTCGGCAATGAGTGGAGAGTTGGTATTGTTGATGCTGGCATTGGCCAGATCCCATTGACGACGCTCAACTCGATCGTTGCTGTTGTGTATCTGGCTGGTGATCTGTTGCCGGAGGTGCAGACGCCGTCGACGACAGCAATCGGGTTCAGCGTTGCTGGCATGAATCTGCTAGGCTGCTGGTTTGGTGCGATGCCAGTGTGCCATGGCTCTGGCGGGCTGGCCGCGCAATATCGATTTGGCGCTCGGAGCGGGGCGAGTATCATTCTCCTCGGCACCTTCAAGTTAATTGTAGGCCTTTTTTTCGGAAACACCCTGGTTGGCCTGCTGCAGCGGTTTCCCAGATCTTTCCTGGGCGTGATGGTCATTGCAGCTGGGCTTGAGCTAGCGAGTGTGGGCGAGAGCTTGAATACGGCCCGCGCATGGGATTTGACCAAACACCCGGGTTCCGGGAATGCGTCTGGGTTAGGGCGGTCCGGGAGCGGCCTGAGCGACGCTGAGAAGAAGCAGAGATGGACCGTCATGATGGTCACGGTGGGTATGCTGGTTGCGTTCAAGAACGATGGGATTGGTTTCCTTGCTGGAATGGTTTGTCACTGGACCTACAGTCTTCCGGCAGTGGTTGAAAAGGTCAAGAGGAAGTATGGAGAGGGCAGAATTAGACTACCGGGCACTGGCAGGAGTGCTGCCTGATACGATATGGCGCGGCACTGCATGTCAAGTCAGGACTCGGGGTAGCGAAGTGGAGCCCCCTCGAATCATGAACTAACGATACCATAAATTGCGATCTATCTCGGAATCTCGAAGGTAATGATTTTGTGGACTACATTATTCCTCTGGTGATGGGATGGGAATGGGATGGGAATGGATGTGCTATGGCGTCAGCTATCGCCCAGGTTTCCTTATATATATGTTCTATGATGAGAGACCCTTATTTTGAGTAGCCCGGTATAATTTTTCGGTCTGCCCATTCAGTACACAGTGATTGGGTTTATAGCGCATTCTGGCTTTCGGGATACCCCTGGATATATAGCTAGGGATTGAGAAAACAGGAATATATCGTCTCTAACAAGCGAATGTGCCCTCCTCTATCTCAATACCCTGCATCGCAGGTCCCCTCCCAGTTGCACTCTCTTTACAACTGTATGCTTGTGGTTAACTAGGTTTCCCGGATCAGATTAGATAAGATCCTAGCCCTAACTCCCCCGCGTTTTCTCATCCAAGGCTCCAACTGCAACAACTGGAACAACTCCAACAACTTCGGCTTCAGATCCGCCAAAGAGCTACCCCCAGAGCTACCCCGGACTATATCGCCAGCTGCCATATGAGCCAGCATCATCATTCCTGGCACACCCCCAGAGCATGCCGCAACAGGGCCCTCGGCCATCGTCCAACATGCCCACTACTACACCTACCCCATCCCCTCCGCCCTCCTCCATTCCCGGTCTCACACCCTTCCAGCTAGCCTCATTCCGCCAGAATGGCTACCTGGTAATCCCCAACTTCCTCAGCGGCGGCGAGGTCTCCTCCCTCCTCCAAACCACCCACGCCCTCCTCGACGGCTTCCCTCTCGCCTCGCACCCACTAACCTGCTTCACGACCGGCGACGAGTCCGATGACGACACAAGCTACAGCACCAACAACGCCAAGGCAAAACACATCGGCGACCAATACTTCCTCACCTCCGGCAACAAAATCCATTTCTTCTTCGAGCCGGACGCCTTCATCCCCAACTCCTCCCCGCCCGAGCTGCGCAAGCCAAAGGCCCTCTCCATCAATAAAATCGGCCATGCCCTCCACGTCCTCTCCCCGCCCTTTGCTCAGGTCACCGTGCCCTCCACTCCCGCCGCCGCCGGCTCGCACAACGGTATAAGCACAGGGGCCCGTAACGCCGCCATCGCCCGCGACCTGGGCTTCCGTGACCCGCGCGTCCTGCAGTCCATGGTCATCTGCAAGCAGCCCGGCATCGGCGCGGCCGTGCACCCGCACAAGGACAGTGAGTTCCTGTACACAGACCCGCCAAGCGCCGTTGGGTGGTGGGTGGCGCTGCAGGATGCCGGGAAGGGGAACGGGGCGTTGGGGGTGTGGAGGGGTAGTCATCGACGGGGTAACATCCAGCGCAGGCTTGTGCGGTGTATTGGCGGCGAAGCGGACGGAGGCACGGAGTTTGTGAAATGGGACGGTCCTGGGCTGGCGGCTGAGTTGGCTGCGGAGGCTCGTGATGGTCAAGATCATGGGAATGGGGACGAGGAGCCGTATGAACCCCGGGACGAGGATTTCGAGCTGCTGGAGGTCCAAGCTGGGTCGTTGGTGCTCATTCATGGGAATGTGTTGCATCAGAGTGAGCGGAATACCAGCGATAAGAGCCGGTTTGCGTATACGTTTCATGTCATTGAGGGGGCAGAGGGGTGGAAGTATGATGAGCGGAATTGGTTGCAACCTGAGCCCGGGGAAGGGTTTACGAGGCTCTTTGCGAAGGTGTATTAAGTAACGGGAAATACGGCAGATGGGTTTACGCCTGTTGGCCGTTGATTGCAGTGGAGGAGAGCAAGTGATTTGTGGGTGCTGAGTTGCGTAAGTTCCCCTAGCAATGTTTTCATTGCGGATATGCTATATTGTCAGCGGCATGCCCGGATTGTGTTGTTTCGATGTACGTTGCAAGCAGGCATTTTTGGGGAGATATGGGAAATGTGTCAACCACAGTTGAGGAAGCAAGTGACGCTGATTTATATGAATGTCGATGTGTATGATATTCATTTGTCAATGCTTTCGTCACTGATATATGTCTCTTTTGTTTTGGGCACTTCTCTGTCGGGGCCTTGGAGGTGGATTTTTTTTTTAACGACCGTTGCAGTCCTCTATGAATTTAAGATAAACCAGGCTTCACTTGCCCAGCTATGCTATTCTGAATCTATACTATGAACACGGTTACACAGTTGCTTTTATCCATCCTTTTCACCCAGCGGCATCGCTAAAAACGGAAAACAAGAAAACATCCATGCAAACGAAGACATCCCACGAAGGAAATGAAAGAACAAAATACTCCTGAACACCTACCTCCCCTAGCTCTCCAAGATGGGAAGGATATTCTCAGGAAGTCAGACAATACACGAAGAGCACAAGGCAAAAAACCAGGTTTTTCAAGATACACTCAGCATCCCCAGCATCCCCTTCGTCATCCACGCCTGTTGTGCACGATCCACCTCCTCCCGCACTCGCGCATGTAGCTTCTCCACCATCCCGTCAAAAACCACCGACTGGCCCAGGTTCCCCGAGTAAATATCTAGTATATTCATCGCAACCTCAACACACATATCCACAACCCTAGGGTCCGTGATGGATTTATACACCCACTGTAACACGGGTTGCAGCGTGACTTCATCGCGCCCACTGAGCGCCGTGCGGAGGGCGGAGCGGTGTCGTAGCGCCGTGAGGAGGGTTAGGGTGCTGAGTTTGCTGTTTGTAGGGGTGGCGTCGTTGGTGTTGGGTGGGCACAGGACCGCATCAAGAGCAGCGGCATAGCGGCCCTTGCGCAGGTCGAGTTCCCAGGGCTGTTCCCGCTTGCGCTTCCGCGCCGAGGCGGAGGGCTCCTGGGCATCAATGACGATATCAACCCCTTCCCCGACAAAATCCATGCCGCGCAGACGCTTCTCCCAGCCCTTGCCGCGCTTCTGTTTCTGTTTCTTCGCCATGCGCTTGTCGTGTTCGTCTAGCTTGCCATCGAGCAGCGCCTGCATCTCTCTCTGCCGCTCTCGCTCGCGCACCTTCTGCTCACCCGATAGCCGCGTGCGGATGGAGAGCAGGCCAGATTGCATGCCGACGGCGATATGCTTGTCCTCCCTGTCCGAGCCGGTGGTAATGACGCCCAGGGACAAAATGGGAGACGGGTATTTACTCCCGCCTACAACATTCCACCCCGTAGTCTCGAACACTTTCATATGCCCATCCAGCGCGCCACTAACTACCCTTCTACCCCCCGACGCTAACGACAGCGCCGTAACCGTCTTCTGATGGCTCTTGATAACATGCAGCGGCTTCCCCGCCACAACATCCAGCACCGCAATCTTATTTTCCGCTGCCGCAAGCACCGTCGTCCCTGCCGCCAACGGCAACACACTCTCCACCGGCGCCCGCATCTTAAACGTCATTACACTCCTGCCCCCCCTTCCGGGGGCCACCGCCGTCGCCGCTCGCGAATCCCACACCTTCACCAACCCATCATACCCACCCGAATAGAGCAAATCACCCCCCCTCCCTCCGCCAGCCGCAGGCATAAACCCCGCACACCGCACATAGTCCGCATGCCCCACGAACGTGCGCACGCTGGTCTCGCTGGGCAGATCCCACAGCCGGACCGTGCGGTCGTCGCTCGCGCTGACCAGCGCCGTTGGGTTCGCGGGAGAAAACTGCACGGCCCAGACGGGCTGTTTGTGCTCGCGCCAGGTCTTGAGGATGGCGCGGGAGTGGATGTCGAAGACTTGGATGGTGCCGCCGTCGTCAGAGGCGGCGAGGACGCGACCGTCGGCGCGCACGGAGGCGCAGCGGGCGATATCGTCGAAACGGGTGATGGTTTTTAGAAGCTTGCGTGTGCGGATTGAGTAGAGTTGGACGCGGGCGCCGGTGGTGACGGTGAAGAGGTCCGGGGGCGCTGCTGGGCTGCTGGCTGCGGAGGTGCTGAAGGAGGAGGCGGAGGAGGGGAGCGAGGGTTGGGAGATGTGGTTTATGGGGCTGTTGGACGGGGAGGGCAGGAGGAGGGGGTTCTTGAAGGAGCGCCAGTATTGCTGCTCGGGGGTTAGGCGGGTGGAGGGGATTGAGGGGAGTTTTGTTTGCGGGAGCGGGAGAACGGGGGCCGCCATTTGATGATCTGGCGAGGTGGTGGTGTTGGGGAATTGGCGATGGGAGGGTGGAGTTGAGTAGGATCTAGCAAGCAGATGTATAATGCATGGCGTCACTGGGATTCCCGGCTTGCATATGATTATCAATAGATTGTGTAGAACTAGATAGATATAACCAAGTCATGCTGAGGTGTTCGACGATGTTTTTCTTTTTCGATCGAGAAATTTAGTCGGGACGGGCTAATGTTGTTCCGTTCCCGCATACATTCCGATACCAAGCTAAGGAAATATAGATAAATCCGCCCTCCAGCCAAAATAATGAACAAGCACCGCCGCGTTCCTCTAAATCAAACAAAAATAAAACTCCAAAAAGGGATATGCTCTATATCGACTCAAACCAAGTCCAACCAGAACCGACCCAAGCCAAAACCATGCTCACCCACCCTAATCCAAATACATCCCAAAGATCCACGCAGGCAGAGTAAACCTCTCAAATCAGATCAAATCAAACAAAATTAAACGCAACCAAAAAAGAACAATCACCCTGCATATCCCGGTCCCCCACCCCCAACATAGGACACCCTCGCCCTCCCCCTCCTCCCCGCGTTCCCTGCCCCTCCGACGCCACCACCAGAGACACCAATATCAATCCTCCGCATCTCCTCACTTAACGCGTCCAGCTCCCCTCCGCCGCCGCTTCCGCTGCTATGCACAGGGACTTTTGCGGGGATTGGAGGAGCCGTGGAAATCGAGCTTGATGTCGGAGAATGTGAATGATAGTGGGAGTGGGAGTGGCGTGGAGGCTGGTGATTCGAGGGGAACTGAGGCTGATGTGATGCTGGGTTGGGAGAAGGGGAGACGGACGTGCGCGGGTTGTGGCTGTGGTTGGCATACGGCGGTGTATTTATATTATTATTCCCATTATACCCATACGAATTGCGTTCACTGCCGCTGAAGGCGTTGTTTGGCCGTTGGGATGGGGAATGGTGGTGGTTGTGATTGTGATTCTGCGTGTACATAAGATCGTTGCCACTGGCGACAGTACTTGGTTGTATATACGAGTAGGGGCGGGTACCTTGTTGTTGGAGGTGAGCCAGACTTTGAGGGGTGGAATTCGAGTTGATAGTTTGTTGGGGTGGAGGGTTGGGTGAATGGCCCTGGGAATATGATTGGGCAGGAGCCATTGAATGTGGACGCGCCTTTGTAACCTTTTCAGAAGAGGACAATGATGACCGAGTTGCAGTTGATTCGCGTGGCGAGAACCGCGTCGAGTTCTGTGGCGCGTGCTTGAATCGCACGACTATCTCCGGTTTCCGCGATTTGCGTTCTGGCTCTGGTGCCCAGGTGTCCGTGGGTAAATGGTCAGACGGATCAATAACCCGACCGTCATTACCAATTATCGGACCTAGATCCCGCAACTTCTCCACCTCTCGCTGTCGGGCGGCTTCCATAGCACCCTCGGGAGTCCCGTATGGAGGAGCCGGTTGTTGAAGTGCGGAGGCCGTTGATATGTGAGGATTCAGGGCGTCGAAAGAGTCTGGCGAAAATGGAATCCCGTCTAAGGTACCGGGCTCCTCTGAAGGAGACGGATGGGGACTAAGGGATTTACGGGGAGGGACATGTCGGAGGTCAGGGGTTGTTCGATGCGGCCGCTCAGCCACAATACTTGGAGATACTCGCACGAGTTGAGATGGTGGCGTTGGTTGAGGGGGTGGTGGCCGGACATAACTCTGCTGGCGCTCGGGATGGCCATTATACATGTTTCGGTCCCTTTCGTCTACATCAGGCGCTTCGTAGCCAGGTCTTAAGGCTGATGGGACAGTCTCCCCGTTTGACGTGCTAGGTCGGTCCTGAGAACGTCCCCTATCATGCCTGTAGCTATTGTTGTTCGAAGGCGTCGGGGAAGTTGAATAAACGGGCTCTGTTTCTGCAGATGAGAAATTCTGATTCTCGTAACTTGGAGAGTACGCAACGTATGTCTGCTGGTCGTCCATGGGGGACGTTCTGCCTGGGCCTACATTGAGAGGATCCGGCATTGGTATGGCGCCCATTTCGTTTTGAGAGTACTCCACAAGTAGTGGTGGGCTAGAGTGTTGTTGTTGGTGGTGGTGCTGCTGTTGGTGTTGTTGGAAGCCTTGGCGATGCACTGGGGGTGGGGGGGGCGGTCCATCTTCATCCTCATCCTGAACATGCGGCTGCCTGTATTCATGGCGGGGATGGAAGTCCGTTTGGTTCACGGAATTGCGTAACGGGGTTTCAAGGAAGGAATCATTGTTTGAATGAGAGGAACTATGCTGGTGGTAGGGGCTACGGCGATCACCAGCATTAGCCATGACTAGAGATTGTGAGGAGGGCTCCGGAACTTGTGGCTGCGATTCTACAGCACCGTATGGAGAACCACTGGAAGGAGGAGGATATGAGGGTGGGCCACCACTGTAATTTTCTGGCGCAGGCATAATGTAGCTATGTTGTCGGGGAGGTGTCTGATAGGTATCCCGGGAACGTTGGGTTGGTTCAGCAGGATATTCATATCCATTTTGTTCGAGAGAACGCTGCAGGCCGTGGTCAAGCGGTTGGTGCGGATTATTGTGGACATGGTGGTTATACTCCGGTTCTTGAGGATACGCCATCTCTCGAGGAAGCGGCATTGGGGGTGGAGGTCGACGATCGTACTGATCAGCTGGTAACTCTTGAACCTCTCGCGGGGGTGGGCGTTGATAAGGTTGCGGCATGGGAGGGGTGTGCTTCGAAACAACTGTTGGGGGCGGAGGGCCCCATGAACGATTAAAATCATCGGGAGTTTCGTATGTCCGTGGAATCTGTGTCGGAGGGCCTGGCTGGGGCTGCGGATGCGGTTGTGATTGCGGGTGGGGTTGGAGCTGAGGTGGGGCTTGTATTTGTTGTCGAGTTGGGGTAGGGTGGTTGTCTCGAGATGAAGGGCGAGCATGATCAGATGAAGACGGGCGAGCGAGAGACGAGCCAGTTGGGTCTGCTGGGAGAGGCCTTCTTTTGAGTGGTTTCGCCTGACGGGGACCAGAGAGACCTGATTGCACAGTTTCTGTCTTTGCCTCTACTTTTTCTGTTTCCTTTCTCCTCTCGATAACCGCCTCATCCTTGGGGCGGGTGTCGTAAAAGGTCAACTCGATCCTGATATCCCCCGCATATTTCCCTTTGCACTGCAATGAGTGCCAAAAATCATTCTGCCCACCACCTGGGATAATAACGTTTTTAATATCAATCCACGTTTCACCGATGAGATCAGTTTTCTTATCGTCATTGAAGACGGACACTTTCAATTGGGTGTAATCGGGCGATTCGTGGACCGTAAACCGCAACTCTTGATCCCTAAACATGTTAGAAAATGGGAAGGGCATCTGTTAGCAATCGGATTATCATAAGTAAGAAAATATGACGTCGGTAAAATGAATCCCAGCTCACTCACCATTTGGGGGTCTGGCCGCCTCTCATATCGGTTTCTGTCTTCTTCGCTTCCTTCCCCAGCCGCGCGGCACAGTAGGGATTCTGCTTGCCCATTGATTTCCTGTTGGGTAGATTTTTGGCGCGGTCAATGATGGCCACCAGCGTCCCTATCGGCGGGCCATCCACGGACATATCCGCAAAGATGCCAGCAGTATGCTGGGACACCTGCGATGGCTTTGATAGTTTGGAAACCATGGTGACACCCAAGGGAGTGCGGGGAGGGGAAATATCTAGTCCAAGCTGCCTAATCTATTTATTGTTGATGAACAAAAGGATAAGAATTGAAAACATTAGGCAATAAGTCTTTTACAAATGTGGGTAAACGAGTGAAAGAAGAGGTATACGCAAGCAACAATACTTGCGCCGTCGTTGTTGTCTCGACCAAAAGCGGACGAGGCGGGCGGAGAAAAAACAGTAGTGTACGAGGTACGCAGCCAAGGGGCCAATGACGACAGAGAAGTTGAATTAGATCCGGTGGGACCAATCGATTCGACAGGATAAATATAGCCTAGCCAGTAAACGCGAACGAGATATGTGGTGAGCTAAGGCTGGTTGGAGCGAACGAGAGAAAGTAGTAAGTATACTGTTGAACAAGTCCGCGGCTAAAAAATGAGAGGAAGGACAAAAAAGAGAGAGAAAGAGAAAGAATAATCCGTCGCTGTCCATGAACTATTGAGAGACAGGTGGAGGAGAGGCGGAGATATATGTCTGAAGCACGAAAGCTGCTGGCTGGCGTGGTTGGAGCCAGAAGAGGCTGGGAGGACGAGCTAGGCGAGACCAGGGTGGAGCAGGGTTCCGAGGTTGGACAGCGCAGTGCCAGTGGATTGGCCGGGAGCAAAGGGGGTGGCACGGGATAACGCTGCTTTGTCGTCGTCCGTCGTATATTCCTGCGGTCTCCCTTATCGTCCTTGATGCCCCATTGCCGCTGTCTGGCTGCGTCGTGACGTCTGATTCCTTTGCGGATGTTCCAAGGTTTGGTTTGTTGTCGATGCCAAGAGTTCCCTCCCGTGACCTCAGGCCTCCGGACTATTATTCTTCCGTCTCTGTTTCAAGTTTAGCGCTCAGCCCTGCAGCCACAGCTTGGCCCAGCCACCGCCTAATCTGATTAGGAAAGGGGGCTTGGCATCAGCTGGCTCAAGCTCATCCCAACTCCATCGTCGCTGACTCCATCCTATCCTATCCATGATTCGCACTGTTCAACACCTGCGGAGTGTCTTCTGCACTGTTGACGATTCAACATGAATCACGGGAATCATGGTTATCACTATGTCTGGCCATTCCATTGACTTAGTCCGATCTAGCAGCAATTCATACTATTCTTTCGCTTCTTGTATCAGCCAGGTACTTTCATCTCCATCTTAATTCTTCTTGACCCAGGCATTTCAAGAGGGTCTCCCGTCGATGGAGTCCAAGGAATTCAGACAACCAACCCTCCAAATACCATTTTCCCATATCCTGGCGTTTATGTAAGGCCTTGTTCAAAATGCCAACAAACTTTCTCCCGTTCTCTCCTTGGATGGCAATGCTATATTAGTTAGTACCCCTGACATCGCACTTCACACGACGGCTGGTAACACCGTTCGCTTGCGAAGCGGATTTTATGCCCTTCAATACCTTAATTGCCAATTCCTCTTTGCGGGCTATAACCTATCTTTCGGGGAGAACCAAGTTCGGTGTTCGTCTAGCTCAACATATTTTTATTATTATTATTATTATTATTATTCATAAGCTGCACAGACGAAGACCATGAAAGGTTCTATTCATGGCGGAGTCGAGTTCTTAGGCCTCTGAAAGCCCGAAATCGAATCTAACCTCATATCAACGACATCTCTTCATTCTCTAGTTTGAATCGAACATGTTCAAGGGCCCTGCTACCCAGTACCGCGTCTTGAAATTTTACTACAAGCACTAATTTAGACTCCACAATCAACAGAAAATTCCCCTTACGGTAAATGAACCTACGCCTACTCTCTTTGTGCTAACAGTGCGACAAGCTAAGTCCAAGCTAATTCACACATCCACGTCTAAGGGATCTCCCTACCTTGGGCCCATTTCAAGGAGTCCCTGGCTATATTTCCTACGGAATAAGTTGCAGAGACTAGGCCACCACGGATATTCGATGTGAGTACTGCTCCTTGTAGTCGCCATATTGGAATCATTCTAGGCCGGCAAGGGAATCCCAATAGAAATTTGGACACTCTCTCTCCAGCGGATTTCGCCTACAATGGCAAGCGACGGCAACCTCTTCTTATAAATCATAACCTTTGTTAGTGAGCAAGCCAGTTCAAAACCGCTAGAGCTAGTTATGTTCCAAATCAATAGGAAGTTGGCCCTTCCAGAATGTTGCTACTTTCTTCCCACTTTATGCTTCCTATGAAGTAGTTCAGGAAGTGTACTCAAATACCTCTCAAGTCAATACGTCGGGTGCTGGGGCGGGGACGCTGACTACGTACCGGTATACTGCCACGGGGAATCTCTGGCTTCACATCTATGAAAGTTGCGTTCCAGGGAAATACAACTCGACCCCAGGAAGTAAGGGACTATCGTCGTCGGTTCGGTACTACAAGAGGAATGAGTGTACCCTCTAAGTCTTTGCGGAGCGTTCCTATCATTAGACCTAGGGTTAAGGCATCAACTGCCTCTATTACCACCACAATTTCTGATCCTAAAAGGAATCTTACGGTTGAAAGCTGTTATCGGTTATTACTATCTAAAGCCCATTTCTGGATTCCTTGGTATTATACATCTTCTCCCAAATGCCAATATTTTAAAGATATTAATTGATCGCTTGAGGCCATATGGGTGAGTACTTTTCTCATACGGCTATTTTGTTCTTGCTATATTCAATATGTAATAACTAATAATCCTATAAAGCCTTCCACGTAGGCAAAAGTTGAATCATCTGCTATTTTTTATAACCTTGATGTTTTACTATGTGGCATAGACCTTTTCGTTAACTGGTTCTAATGATAAAATTTTGATTACTAGTAATTATTGCGGATATACTTCTCAGCACTGATATTAAATATTCAAGAATCTTAATAAAAGTAACAGGAGATTTTTCAACATTAGGTTCGGAGATAAATTCCCATCGTTTTCAACACTTTTCTTTAAAACCATCTCTTCTATAGTTCCTTCTTCTACCATCTTAGGAATACCGAAAGCTATTGCATTCAATGCTGCATCTATCTTCTGTTTGAGATCTCTATTTTTCAAAATCCCCCCTACTGTAATTTATAGTATTTCGTCACCATTTCCTTGTCTTCGCTACCATCGCTTTTCATAACTATATCTCTTCATTTCTTCTATCTTCTCTTTCTTCCCTTGGTGATTATTATGGGAACCAAAGTTTAAGAAGTATTGAAAACCCCTTAAGAGATAACTAATAGTTGTATATTATTGTTTTATTGACATTAAAGTTGAGCGGAGTGAGATTTTACCCTCGAGTAAGTCAACTTTGAACCCTATAATTAGGAATCTTTCTGGCCGAAAATTTGAACCCCACCTTGTTTAACTGGATGCTCAATTAAATAAATATATTTATCTCCCGACTAATTTTCTATATATACAGTACATTCAACACAAATAGTGATCAAGGCGCTCATTAAGAATGAATTTTAGTTCATTATTGTTACCATCTCTAATGCTTGCTGATGCCCATCACCACTAGGGTTGTGAACCCCGTCATTACGGGCATGTCGAGCCGACCCGCGAAAGAAGGCCCATGCGCAGGCTTATAGAGACTTAACTAAACCTAGTTAAGTAATTGAGGCATGTCACCCGCTATAGGCGCCCCTAGGCTTCCCTAAAAACCCGGGTCGGGTTCGCGGGCTTAATTAAGTGAACCCAGTAACCCGCTCATTCGGGGCACTCCCACCACTTTTTCAACCCGACCCGTGAAAAAAACAACACTAATCACCACATCTATTTAAGCAGACAATGAACCAACCAGAGAGATCTAGGTTAACATTCAAAACAACCGAGATGAGCAAAGAATACTCTATCAAAACTGATAATTATTTTGAACTATTTTAAGGATTTAAATAAAACAAATATAAATTTGAATAGATATGTAAGCTAAGGTCGGTATAGAGTTACCTTATAATTTCAATATTTAGAGCAATTGATCGCTGTATATTTAGGCTAGAACTACCTGTCGGAATTGAACGATTTTTTAATATTGCGACAATATTACCAAATATCAATTGAATCATCATATTAGTGATAACTAGTTAGTTAACTTTGATAATTGATTACATGAAATAACTAATCACAGCAATTATTTATGAAGAAAGGCATGTGGAACCGAGATTGAAGAGTGGTTTTGAGCTATAGTCAATTCTATATGATTGATATCGTTAAAAACCGATTCGGAGCTGTCATAATACAGACTGGTTTCTTAAGGACAAAGTTCGCTATACAAGAAGTATGTTAATGCTGAACATATGCCAGATCATATGCAATGACAACTCTACTACCTTTTTACCACAAATAGAGTCTAACACCATATAATTAATTACATATAATAAAAGGGTAGTAGGTTTGTCATGAATCTTGCCTCACTTCCTTTTATATTTTCCCTCAGCCGCGAAGGCCAATCTATATATCAACTCGAGCACACTTCGTAGTGTATACACTATCAAAGTGTGTAATAGTGGTCCGTAGAGCATTTCCTACTTGCAGAGAGTTTAATTAATTAACTAACTATGAGTTACTCGTAATTATCTAATCGTCAGCAATCTTTAGCCTTATCTCTTGTCCCTTCTTACTATACTATTTATATAGTATTTATCTTCGCTATTTGAGTACTGTGATGAATTTGAAAAGATGAAAAGTTAGTTCTATCACTTTGAATATGGCCTATGTAAGAACAGCCATTAATACTGAGTATTTGCATTATCCTGTATAACTATATAAAATTTAGTTATATAAGAAATATCGGTGACAATTACATTTAAAGTAACGGTAATAAAAATATATGAGAACCAGTAGTGGTTGCTGAAATAAATCGCGGCTGTTTACAAATATATTGTGGTAAGCTAGCACTGTGACCACTGGATTCTCCATAGCAAACGGCCAACGTAACCATTTGTTAAATGGTTGCGCTCATAGTGGTATAGATACCGGTCGGTGGTGTGGCCCGGCCTACAGCGGTTACTTTAGCCACCCATCTCACCACCCCAGTTGCACTCATTCGTAGATATTACAGATGATAAGTAATGATTAATTTCCTTTGTCTTAATGGCCTACTAATATGAATAGAGGTCAATATCATATAGTAAGGTTAACAAGAATATAGTGTGAATTATATTGATTTAAATGACTTGATATAGTAGATTATTAAAAGGATTAAATTCGACAATTTGTCCTTTCAACTATCAATATAGTATTGGTGATAAAGAAGTTTTTTTACCCTGCAGTAGATCAAACTATATTATTTTCATAAGTATAAAATAGAACTGATAAAGTAAAAATAACTAAAAAATAATTGTATATAAAATTTATAAAAATTGTTATAGTAACTATTTGATAAATATATTATATATTCATTACATATTTTCATTTTTACTATTGATTTAAGATTATTAACTTTAAATAGTATATAGTATAGATTTATTTATTTTTAAAAATTATACTTCGGAGAAATGGGGAAAGGTTCAAAGCATTAAATATAAATAATATATATCCTTTATAAAGTGGGTACTTGACTTCGTATTTTATATTTTAAATTAAATTTCAATCTATTATTTTAATACTAAATAGTTTATTACCTTTTATTTATTCTATATTAAAGTTCAATATGAAAATTTATCAATTGGTTTTTATCAATTTTAGTTTTATTTTAAATGCCATAGCTCAAGGAACTTTAGTAAGTGCTAATAAAAAGTTTTCAAAGTTATTCAATAATCTTTATACTAAAATACAATTGCTATAGAAACCACAAATAGCTTCAAAGAATACATTATCTCCTTTCATCAATGAAATGAAAAGTAAAATGACAGGATATTTTCACCTTGATAATAAAGGGATTTTGCGATCATTTGATGAAAATAATAAAGTTATTGATTATAAACGGCTTTCTAAAGAGGATTATATAAGACTAAATAAATGGTATTTAAATAAAGATGAGTTAAAGCTATTATCTGGAACGATAAATTTTGATTCTTTAGTTGATGAAAATGAGATTTGGAATCCATCACAAGAGTTGATTTCATCTAGTATTACTTTAGATGAATCGGAATCTTCAAGTGATATTATGAAATTGAAGTCAAAAAATATTAACATTCTCTCACGTACCCCAGCACTATTGTGCACAACATACTATTGTCGCGATAATGAAGAATGTACTAATCAGGACCCTAAGTGTAAATATTGTGTGAGAATGACAGGGCCCCAGCGGCGTGGTTTTTGCACTGAATAATAAATCGATAAATTGTTAAAATTAACATAGTTTCTTAACTAAGTTATTCTTTAACTTTTTATAAAAATTATATTGTTCTAAAATTATATAATATATAGTTAAAAGTCTTAATTTTAACTTATAATTGAAAAATATAAAACTTTAACAAATAAAAAATTCTTTCAAAATTAACTTGAATATCTTTTAATCATTAGTTAAAGAGAGTTAAGTATTAAAATCTATCAATATAAAAAAAAGAATTAAAATAATTTTAATTTAATAAAAATAAAGTACCTGTGCAATATTTAAATAACTTTATTTTCAATCATGTTATATTCAATTTATATATGTTAAATTGTAGTTTCGATTGCAGTGTATCGGGCCACAGCACCACTCCCACAAGTATATATACCACTATGAGCGCAACCATTTAACAAATGGTTACGTTGACCTTTTGCTATAGATAGCTTCGTGGTCATAGTGCTATGTTATCTTACGAACAGAAGGACCCGGCTGATGAATTATCAATTAATCTACATAATATAAACTATTAATTTTCAATCTCAATATAGAGATATAAATATTGTTTATTAAATATGTAGGCAGTAGCTTCTAAGTTAATTTTTAACTTTAAAATTGAAGTATTAACTATTAAAGGAGTTAAAATAAATAGATTTTCACTTTTTTTTCCTTCATTATAAACGCATGAGGTTGAAGTGTTGATAGTAACTTTTGAAACCTTGTAGATCATATCGCGGAATGTAATATGAATAAAAAAGCGATGAACTACATTGATCAATCATCAAATAGTTATGTCATCAAATAAATATGATAAAATAATACTATGACCATTAAATTTTCTATCGCAAAATCTAGCGTAATTCTTGATCAAATGGTTGCACTCAAAGTGATATATATACTCATGAGCCGTGATGGTGTAGTGCGCGGGGTCAAACACGGTCATGGTCACTTATTCCATCATCTATACATTGTAACTGCTAGTTGCGGCGTAGTGTAGAAACCATATAAGCTATAAATCTAATTCCATTATAAACTATTTTTTGCATATATTAAATATATAAATGGTATATTTGATAGTGTTATATATACTGCATTGCAATACTATTACTCATTTGCGTAATTGAAAATTAGAACTTTCAAAGTTCAATTATCTTCTTTTTTTCAATTTATTACTATTGATTTTCTTCTTGTGGGTTTTGAACCCACACACCTTGGGTCCCCGCTACCTGGTGGGCAGTGGTGGCCGAATAGGGGCTCATAGAATTGCTTATTAGTCAAAGGGTTAGTTAAGCTTTTTACAAACTTAACCTTTTAATGAGCTATTTCTTCTCTTTCACTTATCTATTCAGAGCTTTTATAAATTTGATAAGAGTCTTCTACTGTAGATTCTATTATTGTCAAGTCTTCTCAAACTACTTATACAGTAATGAGATAGTAGTGAGATTATTAACACTGACTTTTTTGAGAATAGAAGAAGATATTATAACAGTCTGTCTCTATCTCTTATCAGTCTCTTCAGTGACAAATTTGTCAGAGATTTCAGCTTCAGTGATCTGATAAAAATTATATTGATATTTTTAATCAGATAGAAGCGTATTGAGAGCTTCATAATCACCCAACTGTGCAACAAAATATGTGTGGAGAGGCTGCAGAGGATATATAATGATTTTGAACAAGTTACAGAGTTTCGCGGGTCGGGTTGAAAAAGTGGTGGGGGTAAACAGGTTCCTGGGTTTTTAGGGGCGCTTAGGCGCGCCTATAGTGGAGAACATGCCTCAATTACTTAACTAGATTTAGTTAAGCTTGGGCATGGCCCCCCTAAGTGCGAGCGTGTTATTTTCGTGGGTCGGGTTCACAACGCTAGTTCGTGAGTGGTTGTAAGGATGACACCAGTGTATGGTGTTTATGCATCTTGAGAGCAAGAGGGAACCAGAGAACAATGAGATGGAAGTACAGCTCGTGCTACAGAAATGGCTCTGAATTTATTTCAGTTCCTGCTGTGGTGAAAAAACAGGTGCTATGGATTTCCTGAAATGGGTCTGTTCTTTGGGCGCGAGCCAATTGTTATTGCAGTCCTTTCTTCGTACCGTTTGCATCGCTCTCCTGGAAACATTCCCTCCCTGGAGACATGATCATAAGCAGTACAGGCAAGGTCGGCCTCCGTGCGTATCTTCATGGCATCAGTAAGGCTGACACCGATGAATGCCAATGCGGCTACGGACTGCGGATCGTGCGACACATCCTCCTGGAATGCTGGAACTGGGCAGAAGAATGACGTTGAATGTGGGCAGGCAAGCCTCCATGTGTGGACATCAAACGCATCCTCTGTAGCTTGTCAATGGCGGTACAAGCAGCAAAGATGATGATCAGGACAGGTCTCCTGGATCAATCCCAGGCAGCCCCGCCCACAGTACTCCAATATAACTCCCATGCGAGTGTAACACCAGTAGACAGAAGTTGAGGAGGGTCAGGGAAGACCTAACAAGGCAGGGGTACAGAACTGATGGAAAGACTGTGGATAGAGGAAGCTCAAGTGGAAAAGAAGTGATTCTTGCAGAAATAACCAGCCCCAACTGAAAGTTATAAGCAAGAATAACTGAATTTCCAAGGAAAAAAGCAGAAACTCATGTACAGTACATAGTAGTGCGCTACATAGCTGCCTAGGGGCGGCTGGGGCAGTCTTTGAATAAATCAATCAACCTGGGCTGGCAATCTTCCCCGGGTCAGTGATCGTTCCTGGGCCAGCAATCCTCCTTAGACCAGCAGTTGTTCATCAAATAAGAATGCAACGGTTCTTCAAAATTGCTTCATATGACCTGGGGAGTCTAGCTACTTCTCACTGTTTAATCTACAAATGCCAGTGGTGGAAAGAATCATTTCTTTTGAATTTTGTATTGTGGTCGGGATAAAAATACGGCGGGAACCGGAGCGGAAAAATTGTTTCCGACAGACGTCGTTCTCCGCCTCTTACATAGCTCGCGACCAAATACGGACGAAGCCGACAGACAGTGTTCCATTCCGCTTTCTTCACGCAGAGCCTACTACAACCTCTTTATTGATTTTATCAATCATGGCTTTGCATCGGCATCAGTCATCTTTAGAAAAGGTATTGGACTTCTCGCAACCGTTCTCGCTAACTCCTCAACAACGTCAAGCGGCAACAACCCTTTTCAGATACCTGATCCAGCATTATGGCTTGGAGCGGACAATACAGTCTGGTTACAAACCTGCAGCACTTATCCAGGCCACATTTGAGCATGTTACTTCTAAAGATGCATTTCTCTTGTTCTTTTTCTCACACATCTATGAAAACCTATGCTCAGGAGTAGCAAATCCAATTGACTCTGACATTACCGTTGTCTTGTCCTTCTTCGATGGTTTCTCTAGCTGGGATCAGAATCAAAAACAGAACGCCAATGGCGCCATTGAAAGTTTTGCTGAATACATTGTTGAGAATTTCCTTCTTCCACGTATGCCATCAGTATACACTTCCCCACCGCCAGAATCATATGTTAATACGAATAATTTAGTCAGAGCTTCCTCTGTGAAGACCCCGCAACCAACGCCAAGGTCATTGTCCTCGATACAGGCATCCACACCTACTGGAACGACACAACGTGTATCTATTCTACGACAAAGTTGTCTCGTGCGTGATCATCACCGGTGTGTGGTTTCTCGGAAGTTTGATAAAAGCGAAGCCGGCAAGCGGTGGAAGCAGGATGGGGAAGATTGCAAGGATGATGACGGAAATCTATTGAAAAACGAATCAAGTGACCGATTTCAATATCTGGAGGTTGCTCACATTTTGCCCCATTGTCTAACTACGGTTTCTTCCCGGGACAATGATCTGGTATGTCTGCAGTGAATGTACCTTGTGTCTCTGACTAGAATAACTGACGCAAAGCCCTAGAGCGACTCAAAGAAGAATGTACTCCGGATTTTAAATATGTTTGACTCTGGTGTTATTCATCTCATTGATGGCCCGAAGATCGACAGCCCGTTGAATGCTCTTACCTTGACACATGATCACCATCGATCGTTCGGTGAATTCCAGATATATTTTGAACCAACAAGCAAACCGTACGAGTACAGAATCGATTCAATGGAGAGAAGCCCTTTTCTACGTGATCCGCTGTTCCCTGTTACTCGCACACTCACCCTTAGTCCCAATCATAACATTGATCCACCATCAGCTCGGCTCCTTGGTGTCCATCGAGCCATTGCAAAGATTATGAAACTTAGCGGCGCAGGCGAATATATAGACACAATCCTCCGAGACTTGGAGGAGGTTGATGATGTGAGGGCTGATGGCTCAACAAACTTGGGGCACATGATGAGTTTACGACTTGGTGGCTGGGTGAACCCTTTGCCTGTATTTTAATTGTATGTAATTTAGCTCCAACCACACAATGAGAAGATTAACCATCTCACACATCTGTTCGACCCTGAACATGCTCATCCATCCCCATATACCTGCTTTTCCCATGGGCTTGTGGGGGGCAGTTGTTTGTTCTATTGATCTTTTGATTCTTCTTGAACAGCAAAGGGGTTTGCTTTCTCCATCTTCTACTGCCTCAACCCCCTCTCCTAGCTTCTTCAGAAGGTCAGGATATCAACAAACTGGGGACCATTTGCCAAATATGGTCAGGCCAATGTGCCCTCTTATTATTCTTCACCTTGCCCTGACGGTTCTTGAGCCCTGAGGACGGATGTAATGGAGAATCCACATCCTGTTATGGACTCTTAAGGTTACAGCCCAGGTCAATGAGATATGGTTAGGTATCATGCCTCTCACCGTCTCCCAACTTGTCAGACGGCGCATGTCTAGCTTCGCCATTGTCCCAAAATTCTGTGTACATCTGCCCTGCCTGAGATTACCCTGTGATTCAAATTGAACATCCTTAATTTGATGTGGAGTTAGACCCTAGGATCCTGGGATTTGAGCCGAAAGTTTAGAACCACTTTCAATACTGCGTTCAAGCCCTGCTCAGTGTACCCTTGGGTTGGGAATGCAGGTATCTTCTACAAGCCCAATCTCCTCTTCTCCTGGCATTCCATCTGTCCAGCCCCTTGTGGGTACAATCTCTTGTCTCTGCTGCACCAAGCGGCTTCAATATGGGGAGACAGTGTGCACTTATCCCTGCACTTCTCTCTTCTGTCATTAAACTGTTTCCATTGTGCTAGGTACAATGGCACCAGCTTTGCCATAAATGCTATCCCTCCCTCGGCATCGTGTTGGCTCTGAAAAGTGTAAGTTCCCGAGGAATTCAGGTCGGATTCTCGCCTTTCAGGAGTTGGAGGATCCCATCAGCGGTAAGTAGGTTAATCTTCAGTAACGCCACATGGGCAACCCTACAGCACTAGAAAAAGTCGAGCGGTATATTAATCTAGAAATACCAGTGCCGGGTTCAATATTTCCCTTCCGATGTTGAAGGTTCTACCCACGACGGACTTCTACAGGAAAACTCAGGATCCAGGACATGTACAGCACATACATTATATATCGATGTCATATTGATTTAGTCTTACGGCAGACTGGAGCCACATGTCTGTGCTGCCTGCCAGGGCGGTGCAGGTCTTCATCCATCCGCAGATTGTCGTGGTCTCCCTGCCCACTTTTCGTGGAGCTTATGGCAACTACAGATGATGTGGGCGTGGCCACTTGCTGCTTCGTACGAGATGGGGAGAATGGAGTGGAAGCGATTGAAACCCTTCACTTCTGATAACGATGAGAATGCCTCTCAACATGTTCTTTGCAGTTGAATAGTGGCTGCTTCCAGCTGATTCAACAACGGCTGCTTCAGGTTATACATTCTCTTTTCTGAGAGTGGCGGGTATGCAGAGTGTCTTTTTTTCTCCAGTTGTATAAATAGTATGAATGGCGTCTAGGTATGACGTACACTTCCATGTTGGTGTCTAGAACCAGTGGTTGTGCAGTGAGAAATACCAACATGTAATAGATAGCTAGCTGTCGGTATATATACAAATACGATTCTCAGCCAATATAACGGGCTGATAGCTAGGCTATATGTCTAACCCAGCAGCAAAGCGTTATTCCATAGCAAGAAGCTACAGGGCACTTTCTATCTTATGAAAATCCTCGACTCAGGTCTTTTATTCCCTTTTCCAATTTTTTTTTTCTTATTTTTATCTACTTTTCTATTTTCTATTTATCTTTTGTTGTTTTGTTTATTGCATTTTTTTTCTTTTTCATTTTCTTCCCGTTCCGCGCGCCCGCCGCGCCGCGCCCCCCCCCCCCGCTCGTTTCGCTCTTCGTTTTTTCTTTTTTTATTCTATTTTCTTCTTTTTTTTTGGGTTTCGAATTATCTTCCGTTCTGCATTTCGAAAATTTCCTCCCATCTTCATTCTGACGCCTATCCCCACGGCGATCATTCCGAAAAGCCCAAAGACAAAATGATAAAATGAAGAAAACATCTAATTAATACACTGCCGCCCTCAAATGGACTGTCTCCTTGGGTTTGCAAGGTCCAAAAAAAGCGATTTAAGGAAACAAAGTTCAGATAGGGAAGAAAGGGAAAATGAGGGGGGGGGGGATAAAGGAAAGCAATGAAGAAGTGGAAGGGGAAGATGTACTCTATCCGCAAGATGACAAACGGACTGAGCAGAGTCAGTCATCAAGCGAACCCCGTAGCACCTCCTCAGCCGCGATTCCCGCCGTCCACATCGCCGCATCATAATCATCAACCGTATTCCATTCCTTACCCAAATAACCCTTCCCTTTCTCTTGTCCGCACCGGCCTCCCTTTAGATAATGTCTGCCTGTAGCATCACCCGAATTCTCCCCATCAACAGGCCCGCTGACCCCGTCATAACCTTCCTTTGCGCTCTGCGCATAGAGCAAACCCCGCTCCAAACGGCTCACATACCCCTGAAGCCGTATATCGTCCTCCTCTTCATAATTTTCTGCATGCGCCGCAACCCCGTTCCCGTTCCCGTTCCCGTTGCCGCTCCCATTGCCGTTCCCATTCTCATTTCCACTCCCACTCCCACTCCCACCCCGATTGCCATATCCATTCACATTCCCACGCCCCGGCCTCCGATGACCAGCCAACCTATCTGCCCACGCCCACATCTTCATGCCCGCATCTTCACTACTCTCATCAACATCCCAACACCCATTCCTGGCACAAAAACTAAGGAAAGCTCGCCACGACTCATCTTTCGACACGCCAACCAGCACATCCGGATTGCCGATTACGATCAACCCTTCCTTCGCCCGGGTCATGGCCATGTTGAATCGACGTCTTTCGCCAACCAGGCCTAAGCCGAATGACTGGTCCTGCTGAATAAAGCGCATCTCGGCGCGCGTGCGGGTCGTGCAGATTATCAGGAAGCGCGATTCAAGGCCCTGGAATGCCTCGACGGGGCCAATGTTGACGGAGTGGAGGTTGTGGTCGCGGAAGAGGCGTCGGAGGTGGGTTACTTGGGTCAGGAAAGGGGTTATTACCGCAATTTCTTGTTGAGTGATGGGCCGCATTGGGGTTGTTGTGAGAGTTAAAGTGGCGGCATTAGAGGGGTAACTTAGGCTGTTGGAGTGATCGAGGAGGGACTGTACGAAATGTAGTGCTTTGAGGGCCTCGCCCTGGTTGAAAAGGCCGCTACCGGCTGGACTGTGGAGGATTTCCTCTACATCATCGGGGGAAGTGTTACAGGTGAATAGTATTGGCCACCGATGGGGTGCTTTCCAGACTGGCCACGATGGAACAGGCCCATCCGGATGTGCTGGAGTAGCTGAGGGGATGAGGGTGTCGCTGTAAAACAGAACGGATGGCATGGCGAGAATGGATGTATGAGACCGATAATTGCGAGTGAGGTTGGTGAATGCTGGTCGTGGAATCGGAAGCATTTCTTGCGTTAGCTTTTTATATGGTCCGGCATTACGGCGCGAGAGTGGGTGATCTGCGTAGATGGGAAGAGAAAATAGGCGCTCAAATAAAGAGACTGAGAATGCCGTGTTGGTATTCGAAACTCGGGGTCCAAGCTGATGCTCATCTCCTGCCATGATGAATAATGGTAAACTGGACTTTGTGTTTGAGGAGTCAACGTTCTCCTTGACGCATAATGGCGTTGCAACCACCGACAGTGGGATACAAACCATTGGCTCTGTCGCTTGCGCCGCTTCATCCACGATCAGAGCAGTCCAGTGAAGCATATCCCGCGGATTCGGTTTTATCCCTGGTGAGATCGAACTAAACATCTCGAACCCCAATTTCATTAGGTCTTGATTAGACAACCGTGCCCTAACAAGTATATGTGCATCCATGCAGGTGGTCACAACGACTTTGTAGCTCATCATAGTTTTGAACTCCGGCATTGAGAAAAGGTCATTCTCCGAATGTGTGTAGGGTAACAGCTGGTCAGGAACTTCTGCGAACGTCCTCGACCATCCATTGAGTCTGAACATTTCATGGGGCTGCAGGTGCTTAGCTAGGCGCATGGCTAGAGTATCGGCCGCTGGATTGGAGGGAGCACAAAGCAAAATATGAGGTTTTATTTTATCGTTTTGATGTAGAAGTTGCAGCGTGCATTCAACCACGGTTTTCGTTTTGCCCGACCCTGGTACCCCAGATATCAAAAATGGAATAGTACCGTAGTTGCGAGTGATTATAGAGTCGACTGCTTTCATCTGTTGATAATTCAAGTCTTTATCTGCCCAGTTATGTTCGAAAGCTCCTTTGGGCAGCATGGTTTGCAAAACACCATCACTGGGTTCTGGAAAGAGCATATGACGAAGCCAATTTCGTTTGTTCTCAATGGAGCCGGCAACTTCAGCCTTGACATCCTCATGCTCCCACAGCCTGCCATCTGTGACGTCAACAACAGCTCTCCAGAGCGGCACGAACAGATCCGGTTGGACAGTAAATTGGATATTGCAGAGTCGAGATGTCGGGAGAAGATGATCGATCCTGATGATGATTGTTTCCTTTGCCATAGATATCCCCCATACAACAGCGTGAAGTTGGTGACCCGAAAAGCCAGGCGCAATGGATCCGGTGAGGTTTGTCTTGTTATGGCTCAGCCATTCAGCTCCTTGCTGGGCAAGTTGGGGGAAAGGGACTATCTGTCGCACGAGCACAGTATCTCCCAGGCCAACTTTTGGTGCGCCATCTTTAAGACCAGGTACATGGAGACTATAAAGATTCTGTCTGGCGTCCGTCAAAGTAAGTATGACGTTATAGAGACTGCGTCCTGATAACTCCTGGGAATAGTTCATCCCTTCCAAGAGAAGGCATTCGTCAAAGTAATAAAGGTAAGATGATGGCGACAGATTTCTGGTGTGACGGGAGATTGACACGGGCACGCTCTTGAGCGTTGGTAAATTTTCAACAGGTAACGGCTCTAGAAACGAAGTCCCTGAAAACCTCGCAACGTATGACGCAAAATCGATACTCTTCAATTGCGTGCTATATCTATCAACCGCAGGGGATCGGTTAATGGCGATGAGATACGCCGGAACATAGCTACGAGCATATACATCTGGCTTCCAAGTGGTTGAGCGACCTGCAGGTTGGTTGGTGCCATTGTAAATAGACCTTTGACTTGGCCATGCCGGGAGTTGTGAGTTGAGAGAGAAGTGGTGTGATTCATCGACAGAGAATGCCTCCCTTCTTCGTTCAAGGTAGTTGAGTTGTTGTCCCTGGAATCCAGCAGGGGTATTCTGGACCCTTGAACTCAATGCCGGAGCTGTATAACCAGCTGAATAAGTTTGAACAGGGACATCTTGTCGTGGAGAATTACTTGATGCGGTGGACGGAACCCCATTTGTTTGAGTCCTTGGATGACTATGTGAAGGCGGGCTTGTTCTCGAAACTCCATTCACACTGTCCACAGAAACTAGTTGGCCAGAGGGGTCTATGATGGGAATTGCACAGGTTCGAGGACGCGAGAAATGAGAAGCCATTTGCAATAACAAAAACGAGGATTTTCTGGGAGACAGAAATCAATCCTCCTTGTATTTCTTCGTGCTTGAGACAGGCATACAGAAACATCGGAAAGAATACAGCAGACGATCGATTGCTTCAACGAAAACAAGCAAAGAGAGAAAAGCAGGGATGAGCAGCTGTCTTCTCGCAAGCTGCGTAACCCAAAATCATCGCCCAGCGAACAGGAAACAACTCCAAGTGTGAAGAGCTAGCCCGGCAGGCGGAAGCTCTGCTTCTGTTGCGCCGCCGACAGATCTTGGTGTTGCCTTGGAGCACAACCACAAATACTCCATGTCAGGAACAAAGAATATTGCAGAGACGATAACAGGGGGATAATAGACGAATAGCAGCCTGCAGCAGGCTCCGTCCTTCCAGCAGCCACAGGGATACAGCTACATCGAAGCTTTGTTGACAGGAGAAGAGAGTTGTTGTGTGTTGTGCTAGATGTTGATGTTGGGCGTTGGAAGTTCCAGCGCGGACGGGAATCTCAGTCAGCTCTGACTAAGCGAAGGTGGAAGAGAGAGGTTGAACGTGGTTGGTTGTTATGATCTGGCTAGTGGCTAGCGGCGTGCAATATATGTGGGCCAGCTACTCCGCACTGCTGGAGATATCGGATTGGGAGATTCGTCCCTTCGATACGGCTATTCGTCACCCGAACTTGAGTGGAAACCGGGTGAAATACCAGCAGACGCAAAAATATTCATATCTGCAAACTCAAGTATGCAATTTGGTCCTCCACCCAGATCCAAGTGAGCCCATTGAAACCTATCTCTCATTGTGTGGCCAGAAATTCCGCAAGGATGAGACCTCCCTTTCCACTTGCTAGTTAATGAATTGGGCAATCCTCAATGTCATGCAAATCATGAAACTGACCTCCGAAGTGCCATTAAACACTGAGGTCCTCCATAAGTATGGATCAACAGCTATTTTGATCAGGAACGCAAAGCCTTGATGTATAAATGTACGTTATGATTTCTTGATCGTCTCAGTCAGGCAAGAATGTTAGCCGCCTATCTGCAAATCATCGATGACATTGTGATTTTGATATTATCATCCATTCTCACTCTCTTCCAGTTTCGGCCCTTCATCTTATTTCTCCCCTTCTTTCCCCTGCTCAAGGTAATGCAAACCACAGTGAATACCCCTCGCCAAACCCTCAAGCAATTTCAAACATGTTGCTGCAAAAGTATCGAAGGCGAACATACTTTAGGGCATAACTTAACTACTGCTAAGTTTAAGGAGTCAAGCTGGGAGCCTTGGGCGCCCAAATCTATTCTATATTCTAAGTATCCATAGATCATCTTATCGACACTCCAAATAATCCACTCGCAGCTTCGGTCAAGATAGCCAACAACAGCTCTGGGCCGAAATAGCAACGAGCGGTTTTGGGAGCAAATTTTGATCCGCCCGCTGTTAGTTATGGTCATGTGATCAACTTAATGCGACATCACATTCCTTCGATTTCAACATCAAACTGTTGCTCCTGATTGATTGATGCCGGCAAAGACATGCCAAACGAATTGGTTTGACAGGACTTACAGAGACAGACACATATCTCTGTCCGCTTTCTATGTTGTCTTTTGTTTCAAACATGCTGTATCATATCTTCACTAGCGGCAATATCCCGTTGTGCCAATTTCAATCACTTTATTCAACAACTGTCCGAACAATATTTTGGCAGTTAATTAGTCCGTTGTTTCTCGATATCAGATCACCAAGCTCTGATGTCATCACTTCTTACCTATCTGATCTGGGTTTCTCGTTACCAGCTCCTTTTCCCACATCTATAATATATCTCGCTCTTGTTGCTTTCCTGTTTCCCACACATCTGGCTCGATTATGGTTGATATCGTCGCAACTACTGGCTCCCTTTCTCCTTTCCTTTCCTTTCCTCCCTTCGAGGACCACTATCTTGGAAAGTTCCCTAACTGGGGAGGGGCGGATTTGATCGAAGATCGATTTACTGCTCAGCGGCCACGTCCGCTCCACAAATAAGTTCAAGTATACAAATTACCATGAGCAGGCTCAAGCACAGCTTACTCCTCTAATATCATGGAATTCATGCCATGTTTTCTGTGCACAATACTGGGCTAATCGTCAGGAATGTCAAAATGTTTTGATGAAAACAGTCCAGAAATAACCGCATATCGATAGTGAGCAGGCGGGGTTTGTTTAAGCCTATCGCAAAGGCAGGAAATGGTCTTTTCGATCCTTCCATTACGGAGGAAGTGGAAACTGCCGCTTGACTTAACACGGGTCTGTCTATACTCCCATGATTTCCTGGTTCGTTTTGTTTTCATACAAACATTAGCAACCATATCATAAGCTCTTAAGGTTTCATGACTTTTCTCGCAAAGCTCGTTTTTGATTATAATATGGGTATTATTCAGATGACGAACCCGTTTCACTGTTGGTGGCTTAGGGCTTTCAACGTCTGGAACGTCCCTTCATCCTTGCAGTGGGATTAAGAGTGAAAATGAAACCTCTTTCAACTCTCTATCTTTACCTCACCCGCTGCCCTTTTCTTGGGTGGGGGACGATTTCTTTGATTGTGAGCAAACGCTCCCTTCACTTTATCAGATCCCACCGTGTTTCTGCCTTGGTTCATTCCTCCCCTCGAAATATCTTTTATACTCAGTGTCACTCTCTCTATGTTTGGCTCCATCATTCACACTCTACATATCGGCAACACCCAGCTCCTCTTCTAGATCTTCCCCGCGCGGGCCAAAACCTTAGCTGAAGACTAACAATCCAAAACTATTCCAATCAGCCGCTATTTCGAAATCTAGACAACCGGCAGGCAAAATTCACTCTCATCCCGCGTTGTGTTCAATCGCAACTCTTCACACCGGTCCCGTGTGTCAAACTCGGTTCTTCACGACCTTTCGTATGCTGGAAGTTTTCAGATTCTATCACCGGAGGATCTGTGTGGTCGTGTCTCTAGCTTTACACGCATAAAAGGGCTACTTTCCTGACTCTATCTCTTTCTTGGTTTCAACTTCTTCTACTTTCTACCAAACTCTCCTCTCAAGATTTCTTACATACGACTACTACTATTCCCATATTTTTTACCTATTAGCGCCTTGAATAATTACATGTCAGTCACTTCAATCTTCGTTAATATCATTAATACCTCCTTGAACTTGATCAGCTATCCCTACTTGTCATCCTCGCAAAAGCTGCCAGGGATCAAGGAGCGTCGCCCTGGAACGTGATGCCAGCCTCCATTTCTGAGCCTCTCAGGGCGGAATCACGGTGTCAGTTCAGCGGGGGGGTATGCTCGACGGAATCGAATCACTATCGTAAAGTGATATCTCACATCTTTGGTCGCAACAAGAAGTGCACTGTCAATATTCCGGAACATGTATGGATTTATTATTGCCGGAAGCACTACCAACGGGCCAGGTACCGGACAGCTGAATGGCCATTCCGCCAGTGCGACCTAGCTATAGAAACTATCCAGAACATGCTCGCGTGGGGCGGAGTGGAGAGCTTCAACCTCCAGCTACGTCGACGAGAGACCTGGCGTACAACTATACAGGCCAACGAAAGTAACAAAGATGACGAAAATGACAAAGCCGATGAGGACGAAAATATCCCAGATGCTAAGGCTGAAGACCATAAGGCAGGCGAGTCATCTCCAAGCAGTATGGCTGGGACATTTACACCCATCAATCACGATCGAAGTATCAGCTCTCGTGAGGAAATAGGGGAAGCAGACTACGACGGTAACGAGGAGCAACATGGGGCCAAGAGTCTGATGTGCAACACGCCAACAGAGGATATAACGACGGCGACGGATAGGAAGAAAAAGAGATCCCCAACTATCATTCCGCGTCCGGTCCCTGAATGGCTTCACACTCGAGTTGGCCCCTATAAGACCTTCAATGAAATCCTGTCAATCCTCCATGACCTGCGCGCGCACTTGGCGGAAATCGTTCACCATGAACAAATTCCTCACTTCCCTGACATCGAAATTCTGCCAAACCTATGCCCACTTGCCGTCACTCCCAGTCGCACCGTCCGTGCTGCTCCTCGTCCTACCCTCCAACCTCTCATTCCTTTCATTGACGCACCTACTCCTCTAACCGGCCCCATCATATCTTCCCCCACACAAACCCTTCCCCGGCGACGCGCTACTAGCTTAACCCTTCACCGTCCTCCTTTTCCCTCCGAGACTGCAGTTCTGGGAGCGAAGAACACCCTAGAGGCCAGCGCTGGCCACAACAGAGTCCGCCGCGATACTTACCCTGGCATTGCGCTCCCCGCAGAAGACTCCGATGCTGCTGACATGGATGCTGAAGTTAGCGATAACGATGCAAGCAATGCATCCCTCGAGTTCGCTATTCGCCGCGCGGTTCGTCTCACCAATGCCAACCGTCGTGTCTCAAGAGTTTCCGAGCACGGCGCGGTTAATAAGACGACGAAGAAGAAGAAGAAATGAGAAAGGCGCTTTTTTTTCAGAGTATTGTGGATCGTGCGGTCTGCTTTCCTTGTCTATCGTACGACGATGTGAGGGAAGGGGTGGCAGGGTATATCAAACCGCAGCTATGAGGGGGCGAGGTTTCTTGGTCTTGTTTTATTTTATTTCTTTCTCCCATTTATTGTGCTCTGGCTATTTTTAACGTTGCGGACCTTGTTGTCGCGTTCCTGTTGTTTTTATTTTATTTTAACTTTTATTTTTTTTTCCTTTTAACCTTCACGTTATTTACAAATCTGCTTTCGTTGTTTTCAGCCTTCCCCCTTTCGGCACTAACATTTTGCGGTCTCTATTCCTACTCAGAGTCTTTGTTCATAGCGTGGGTGGGGTAGCCGTTTATTTTACTCTTGTTTTTTCCCCCTCAGGTGTTTTATTTTCCGCCGTTGTTCTAAAACAGTTTGCTCTTTTCTTTCTTTACGAACCCACACATTCCCCACGTTCGTTTGCGATGGGCTTGTTTGCTGTTCTATACGGTCGGAACTGTTTATCTTCGCTCCGGTATATTAGTTGTGTTCATGGGTTGATTTTTGATTGGGGACTAACTAGTTATGTTCTTGAACTTCTTTTGTTTCCTTCTTTTGTTTTTCGTATTTTTGAATTTGCCCTCACGTTGGCCTATTGGATTACATCGGTTTATACCCTGTTTGGATTCTACGGTGGTAAAAAAGGGAGGCATAATTGTTAGTTACGTATTGTGTTTATGACATCTGCGTATCCTTTGTTAGTGGTTTGACAACTATAGTTCTTCTGTCTCGATTTTTCTTTATACCTATCCCCAGCGAGTCCGCTATCCTTTTTGATATCGTTAGGAAAGAACGATAACGGGGATAGTGATTCATTTGTTATTATTATCTCTCTGCGTGTTGTATTCCCTGCATTCAAACTGTCTCTGTTTACACGGATATTTTCTTTTGGCTTTGGATTTGAATCTTGGATACCGACTTAAAAGATATTGAAATTTTGAGATTTTATCAATTCAACATTGGTATTTAAACCCAACTACAACTCTTTCCATAACGTTCTGCGCTCACTTCCTTGGCTTTTTCACTGCATATATAATATAGAACCACTGATGGAGGTGCAAGGTTAGTTCATTTTAACTATCTAGCGGGCGCAGCACTGCTTAAATAGGTGCGATCACGTGGCATTCTAGCGAGCAATAGGGATGCCAACAACTATATTCCTTAGGCCTCACCACCCCTCCACCACTATAATCAAATCAATCATTCATTATCTAAAGGCTATTCGATTCATCCCCACAAAAAAAGATTGGAGAAAAAATTGACCCTGGATATCGCCGTATCCCGATTCTGGTTCTTGCTGTTTGCCCTGCTCGAAACAACGATCACCGTTTGTTATTTACGCACTTACCCGCTTCCCCCCACCAATTTTTGTTAAAAAAAAAAAAAAAAAAAAAAATGAAAGAAAAACAAAATGAAAATGAAAATGAACTAAAGAAGAGCAAAATGCAGGCCGGATCCGCCCATCCTAATCCCAGATGGAACGGGATTTTCCCTGGATAGCTTTCCATTCACTCACAAGCGTATGGCCGACTCAGGAGAAATTCCCGGCCAATTTTTTTAGGTACCCTGTTGGCGACTCCCTCGTATTTGAACCAAGTATGATTATGATATTCATGAGGTTGAGACCAGGGTTTAAGAGTGAAGAATGCATTAAAGTTAGGGGCCTCTCCCGGAACATTGGATTTGTTCCCCTCCCCCTGAAACTCCAGTGTAGGTTTTCGATGCTGTGCAGATTAGGGCTAAGGTTGAACGCTCGAACAGCGAGCGCCTTTATAAAATGGCTCCCCGATTTCGCCCCCGGATTCAAGAATTCAAAACGAAAAGAAATGAAATGAAAACGTAACTGAGATAAATAAAAAAAAAAAGAAAACAGAAGATACTTGAAGCTGCCCACACTCAGAATCGAACTGAGGATCTTATCATTACTAGTGATACGCTTTACCACTAAGCCACGCGGGCGTATTTTCTATGGCCAAGTTTGGGGATATCCCTGGATAATGATGTAAGCAAGGACCCCACTGCTTAGTTACTTAGGGCGAGCTTGTCGGGCTGCATAGCATCTCCCCGGTGTGTGTGTGTCCGTGAGGAAGAGGGAATATTATGTTTATGCGTGCGTGCTATAGGGATGGGGGAAATGGGAAGGGTAACTTTGGACGAGTGAGATGGCATATCCCAACATCAATTCGAGAAGTTCCGGTGTGCAGGTTCGAGGGGAAATGAACCTCATGTCTGTCTCCTTGTAGAGTTCATTTCTTCTCCGCTGCTATCGCTCTATATTGTGCGCAGTATATGAAGTAGAGTGAAAGGACAGAAGAACGAATTGTGGAATGGTCTGGTTGAATGCAAGCGGGAAAATGTTGAAAAAAACTAAACGCAACGATAAACCCCAGACGAAAGAAGCAGAAAGAGAATGAAAAAAAAATAAATGCAAGACAATGTATGTATATATTGACACACAATCATGACGACAAGAAAAGGAAAAGGACCAAAAATTCCACTATCATACATAAAATGACAAAACATCTAAACACAAGCCCTTCCCAGCTATCTATTTTCCCCGCTCCCCACCCAAGCTACTACCAGCTATAATACTGCCGCTGCCCATAGATCTTCCGATCCGGCAGCGAAACCCTCAATTGCGCCCTGCGTCTCCGCTCCTCCTTCGCCTGACGCTCCTCCCACTCGCGGATGCGCGTGTGCTCCTCCTTCAGCACAACCGTCAAGCTCGTATGCGGCGGCTTCATGATATTGATGTTGCCGCGCGCACGATGGTCCAGCTCTCGGCCGAACGTGCCGCGGCCCACCCACGCCTGCGCGATATAGATAGCCGTGCGGTCCGTGATAGTCTTGCGTTTGCCGGATTTTAGCGTTATGGTGATAGGGCTGGCGGACGTTTGGGATTCGGTTGTAGTGGTGGTGGTGAGGGCGGTGGTACTACCGTCGCCATCTGCGTCCGCATTAGAGACGTTGATTTTCCGGTTCCGGCCCAGGCCCATCCCATGCAGCACGACGGCCTCATCCCGCGCCAGCTCCAGGTGGGCCTTGACGTCCCTTCGCGACCTTCTTGGGGCTAAACCGCATCTGCAAGATGGCGTCGTCGATGTTCTTCCCCGCGATCTGCCGCGCAACCATCATCAGCTTCTTGACGCTGGTTTTGAAGAAGTGACTCTTGCTGAGCGACTCGCGCTCCGTGCGCGCGATCTCCTCACGCCGTGTCAGGCGGCCCCGTCGCCGGATCGAGCGTATCACCATCTTCCGCTCCCAGCGGGCACGGCGGTTGGGGGAAGGCACGAGGGCACGGAGGAGGTTGTCTTGGTCCCGCTCGTGGAGCGGTACTTTGACTTTGGAATTGGCGGTGGAGGCGGAGTCGGCTTCGCTTGTGGCATCTGTGGTGGCATCTGTGTCTGCGGCTGCGTCCCTGGATGTGAGCCGCTGGGGTTTGCGGCTGTCCGTGCTCGAGTATGGGCTGGGCATTACTCCATCGTCTTCGTCGAAGATGGAACCCGGGGCAAGGGAGCCATGGGATATTTTTGGGGCGGCGGGTTGGGAAACTTTAAGATGTCTGTTTTTTGTTTTGGAGGGCTGGGATGAGGTTGCGGGATCCCGTAGCAAAGGGCTTGAGGCGAATGCTCGTCTACATATATGTGCGGTTGCTGAAAATCGTGGTCTGGCTGCGGAAGGTTGTTAGTCGGGCAATGATACATTATCTGCGCAATTCAAGCAATAGGATGGAAGCTGGAATTGGATCAGTTTCAAGCTCACCTGCACGGGCCAACTGCTGGGGAATAAGGGAAGCACATACAGCAGCCATCTTCGCCAGCTGCAGCTCTCAATAGGCCCGGGTAAAGTTGTGAATGATATTTCTAAGTCTCGCGCCGTTGAAATTCGAGTTGAAGGTTGGGCGTGCACACTAGGCCGGATGCGGACCGGAATGGAGGCGCCGAAACAGCCGGCTAATCCAATCACGTGCTATGTGATCCATGAACCCCTGAAAACATTGAGTTGGGGAAGAACGTATATCAATGAACAAAGAAGTTGGTATTATTATATCATTATATTACGTATATACTCGCCTTGCCTTCCCCATTGCCCTCCCGTGCTTCCTTTCTGTTTGTAATTTATTCATATTTCCACGCTCAGCTCACACGGGCACTCCCTATCTATGAAAACCAAAACTCACAAAGCAATGAACATGGCGCGCAAGGCAAGGCAAGTCAAGCGGAGGGATGGACGAACGAATACACACATGACACAGCTGGCTCATGTAGTAGCTGAAAAAGGAGAAGGAGGAACTTACATACCACGATGAAGCGACAAAATATTATGCAAGCTATACCATCGATGCAGACATGAATCGTAGGGATGAGAGCGAAAAGAAGCGAGATATAGGTAGAGACAAAAGTTGAGGGAACCCCCCATTTTTTTTTTCAATTATTGCGATATGATATGAATTGAAACACATGAGGCAGGCACAAAAAACATGAATGAGCTGAGGATGCAGGGGTGCTATTAAATCCGTGTGAATGGTGTATAAGGAGGATGATATATGATTAGATTAGAGTGAGAGAAAGTTAAGGGGGAAAAGAAAACACCAAATACAAGCTGAGGAAAAGAGAAAGACAAAACAATAAATGGAGACATATCATATACACGTACATGCAATCACGGGGCATATTTGTTTTCGCTTTTAGCGTTTGGTGTTTGGCATTGGGCATTAAAGGCATGGATTGGTTGGGTGAGGCGGTATTGGGGGACGGGGAGGATGGGAGCGAAATGGGGGAGAAATAAATGAGAAACATGAAAGATTAAAATTAAGGAAACAAATCGGAGAAGAAACGGGGACCCTGGGTCAGGCTGGGAGGGGGGAAGGGGGAGAAAAAATTTTGTAATCTGCTTTTCCTTCGCCAAATTTTTGCTCTTTTCTCCTTTCGACACCCATTTTTGTTTCAATGGGCACTGCTACCCGCTGTCGTTATTGTTGTGGTTCCCGTCCATCTTGCCCTTGCGCCTGCCCTCCATCCTGTCCCTGGCTCCGCGACTTGGACGACTCCAACATGGCCCGGAAATCATCATTGTTTTTCTTCGCCGGCGCAATTACTGCTGTCAATGGCGATGCTTGTGCGGGCGCATGCTGTTGGCCTGAACCAACACCAGCAGCAGCAGAAGCACCACCCCTCTTCACACCCAACCCACCTCTCCGACCCGACCGCACTCCACCTCCAGGCTGCGCAGGTCGTCGAATAGGAGCAGCAGACTGCTTCATCACAACCATCTTGCTCTTCCCCGCTGCCCCAGGAGCAGAAACAGAAAGAGCGTCACTTTCCATTTCCTTTTCCTTCATCCTCTTCTCCTGCTCCCGCTCCTTGCCCACAAGAATCCTGTCGACCCTCCTCTCCGCCGGCATCTTCAACATCTCTCCCACGCTCCCTACGCGTATACGTCGACCGGGCGCGATTTCATACCCGTCCAAGCCTAGTGATGCGCGACCTGCGTCGTTAACGTCAAGAAACTCCACAATAGCACCTTGGTGGTCTGGGCGGAGGATTAGTTTCACAAGCGCGCCGTACGGGGAGACGATGGCGCTGATGCGCGTGTCATTGACAGTATCTGGGATATTCATCAGGGCGAGGGTGCGGAGGTGTTTGTCGCTGGGATTACTGTCAGTTTGATCGGATGCATGCGGTGCTGAGGAGGAAGGCGATGCGCCGTTGGGTTCCATGGAAGGAGACTTGGAGCGGCCCCCGGCGCCGACGCGGGATATTATTGTAGCTGCTTGGCGTTTAGCGACAGTAGGGGTGGAAATGTGGACATGCAGTGGGCGGGAGCGGAACAGTTGCTCATTCATAGCGAGGGAGGCTTCAGCGGATTCCTAGCAAAGATATCAAAATCAGCCGAATATGACTTTACATGATTTTCAATAAGGGGGTTGGATGGAGAAGTATATAAATACCTTCGTCTGAAAAACAACAAACCCAAAACCCTTACTCGCCCCATTAGCCTTCCTCGGAATCCGCGCCGCTTCAACCTGTCCATATGCCGCGAATAATTCCACCAAGTCATCCTCCGTCGCCTTCCAGTCCAGATTCGAAACGTGGATTTCGCGACCCTCTTCCGTCGGCCCCGTCCTCTCCTGCCGCTTCGTAGGGTCCGATATCTTGACGACGAGAGGAAGTTTCATGGAGTCCGCTGAGCCTGCTAAATCCCCAACGACTTCTTGTTGGGTTCCGTTTAATTCTGTCGCTGCATGAGCAGCAATGGCCGTTTGGAATTGGACGTAGCAAAAGCGTCTGTGCGTGTTGTATTTAAGGGATGGGAATCGGATATCGACGACTTCGCCGTACTAAAAATAAACAAGGAATTGTGCGAAGTTAGTTTTCCTATGAAACTAACGCTGGGGGGTAGTAAAACAACAAATCAAAGCTAAGGCCTAGCTAGGTAAAGATGAATCGTTTACCGGACTGAAAAGATCGCGAACATACGCTTCATCAGCTGTAGGCGCGAAATTGGTGACGAACAGCGTGGTATTTGTTCCGACATGGACGGAGATCGTTTGGTCTTCGAATGTCCGTTGATCTCGCGTCTGAGCGGCCAGCGCATCCTCTCGTGTGTCAAACTCGACAATCGCCCTAGGTTGATTGCCGTTTCGCGAAAGTAGTTTCAAAGAATTTATTTTTCCGCACTAGTTTAGACGCTTAGTTAGATGTTATTTTTCTTGCCTTGTCCAAGAGGCAATATTATCGTAGAAAGGGAATTCGCAAACTTACATCTCTAAAGAACTGCCTGACTCTGGTCTCTGTAACTCCCGACGGTAAATTCTCCACAATGACAGTGGCATTCTCCCGATCCCTTTTGGGAGGAGTGCCGTCATCATCCGCTTTAGCCTTTTTGCTCGCTGACCCATTCACATCCACTTCCTCGACTATGCGCTTCCGTTTGCTTCCCTGTGGTGTCGTCTCATTCTCGACTTCGAGTCCGGTCCCCATCGCTGACATTGCCGGCACATCAGCTGAAAGACCAGTGCTTGTTGTTGCTGCTGCTGCTGCGGATTGATGAGCCGCAGCCTGCAGCGCTTCCTCCTCTCGCCTTTTCGTCAATGCTTTCATTGCCTTCCTAAACCCAACAACAGCTATCTGGAGCTCGTCTGCATCCTCGTAATGCTCGCAGTGATCAATGTACGTCGACATGATCTTTTCAGGCCAGTCCAGATCCGTTCGTTGGAGAGCTTGTTTCAGCACTGCTGTAGCGAGGCTGGGATTCGGTGTTCTCCGCGATGCGCTGGCGCTATCGTCCGACTGCGTGAATTTGCTCCAGCAGAGAAGTTCCCATGTGTAGTACATCATCCAGAACTCGTAGCTGTGCCCGTGCCTTGCAACTAACCCCTTGAAGGTTTCACGGGCGCTGTCCCAGCTTCCGCTTTCGCTTAGGTACCGGATGTAAATTCGCTCGAGACGGAAGAGTGGGTCGTTGGGGACCGCTTTGTTGTCCTTCTCGCCTAGTTCCTGGATGCTTTCTATCGCAGAGCGGATTCCTACTTCGGCAACATCTAGATCTTCGTCTGTCGAGTCGGGTTGGAAGGCTCGTCGACGCAAGTAGCTGCACCATGTGGTGTGGACCTTGATCACCTCGTTAATACCTCCAGTGTCCAACAGGCCAGTCCGCGTCGCTTTGTGCTTGATGTCAGCGATCTGAGTAAACGAGCGCCCGGCGCGTTCGGCGCTGAGGATACGTTGTGACCAGAGAGTTCCGGACCATGGACAATGTCGAGTGGCGCGCTCCAGGGAAGGAAGGGCAGGAATGTAGTGGCTATGTGGACCTCCATTCATGGACGCCTCTACAATGAACATGATATAATCTTCCCAAAACCCAACGTCTGTGGGGAAGCGCAGGACGACACGCTGATAGAGCGCGCATATTAGGTCAAAGCTATATTGGTTCTTTCGCCGGTTCTGGTTCAGTTCCCACTCGATATATGCAACGAACAAGCTCCACTCCGTACCGCTGTCTCCAGCCTCAGCAGCTCGCCGAAGCTCCACCTCTCGTACCTCCCGAGCATTCCACAAGGCTTTGGCGTGCGCTGCCCTATTCGTCATGTCGACCATAGTCTCTTCGTAATGGTTGTTATAATAAGTAGAGATAAAGTTAGAGAATAATTGGAAGGTCTGGTCCCAGGTCATATGGGGTACCTGAAGTCTGTTGACAAACAAGTCCCTTGCATGGGCAAGTTTGTCGGGGGACGGTTGCTTGCCCACATCCCGTACCACAAGTTCCAAATAGCGATCCCAGACCAGATGGCTATCATTTATTCTCCAGTTTGTAGCTTCCGCCGCATTCATCCAAACATCTACGACTGACTGCCACGTAAAGGTCTTCTGGGCCACGATTCTATCCTCTTCAGACCACTGGCGAGATACCGGGGCGTCCCCAGGTTGAGAAGCGGAGTTGTAGAGATATAGCATCCACTCGCCGTATATGATCCATAGCTTCGTGCTGCCATACTCCTCATCAACTGATCGGCGACACAGTTCCATCACACCTACTTGTTCATCAACCGAACGCGCCAGCACACTTTCGTCCTGTATCCACTCAGCCCACAGATCTTCACCGATAGCGAAGAGATGGTCGAGTTCCTCTCGCGCAGCACGCAGGTCTGGTAAAACATCGTACGTGTGAGGGTCCCCACGGGAATCTGGTGACGAAGGCGGATAGACATGTTCGACAAACCCTTGGTGGAGCAGACGAATGAATTTAACGCGCGACTCGTAGGCATGGCGGTTCTGCTGGATATGGGCATATAGCTCTGAGGCCATCTGTTGCATGTTCGGGGCCAACGAGGAGTTTGAAAAGTCCCGTCTGTTGGCCTCCTTCAGACCCTCAGATACATCGAAATGGGGTCGAGGGGTGGAGTGGTTTCGCGGAATGGGGTTGACGGTAGGGTTGAGGGTGGACGGGGACATCTGACTCTCGTGTATTTCAGTGCTGGCATTCCTCCTGATCGGAGGATTTGCGCGGTGAGGCTGGGGCCGTTGCATGGAGGCGAGATCTGCCAAGGCGTCTATTCCCGGAGTAGAGGATTTTCTGGCGGGCTGCAGCTCGCTGGATGGAGGGGTGCGTGTACCGTTGCCTTGGGTGAGATCCTGGGGAGACGGATCGCGAAGTTGTGTGTGGTTGAGGATTTGATGAACAAGCGGCGACGAGGTCATGCCAGCCCTGCTAGAATTCTGGCGTGATTTGTGGTAATTGTGGTGAGGGGAAGCGGAGGCGGAAGCGGCGGAGACAGGGGAAGGCGTCGGGGCGAATGTGGGGGCTGAGCCAGAGGAAGCGGTGGCAGCGGCACGAGTAGAAGCAGCAGCGGGAGTCGACTTGCCCGAGGGGGAGTCCTGCGGCGATAAGAGTGAAATAATATCCATCCTCCTATCCATCGACAAGGGGTAGTAGTATTATTATAGTGAGAAATGGTGGAAAGAAACAGCCCCAAGGTGGGAAAGAAAAAAAAAAAAAAAAAAAAAAAAAGAGAGCAAAATGGAAAAGGAAAAAGAATAAAATCAACGGGGCTAAATCGGGAAGAAGGGTAAACTGAGAGGTAATTGAGTCGTCGCAGGAGTACCAGCTAGTTTGAATAGCTTCGATATCACCACCATCAGAACCATCAGACCTCGAACTGAAGAAATGGCGAGAAGTCCGGCGTCAACACTAGTAGCTATAAGGAAAACACAAGCTACCAGAGCGAAAACCCGAATCTCGATGCCGAGGGAGAATGGGCGTAAAAGGTAGAGGAAGAAGAGGGGCTAAGGTTGATTGTTTGTCGGGAGATCTGAGTTGGGTTCGATGGAATGATGATGATGGGGCGGCGGCGGCGGCGGCGGCAGCGGAGGGGAGGTGGTTGGATGGGATCGAATCGAGTCAAGCACAGCAACGAGAGAGATCGGGGCTGCTGTATAATTCCATTCCTTCGGCGTCCTCTGAATTCTTCTCTTCCTTCAAACACAGCACAGCACAGCACACCTTTGTCCAAGTCGGCCTTCTGCGACCTAGTTCAAGAGAAGAAAAACGAATAAGGGAGCAGAGAACGAAAAAAATCACAAAACTGAATAAAAAAGAAGAACTCTGGTTTGCTGTTTCTTGTTCACCCTCTCCGCACGCACGCGTTGAAAAAAGAAAGAAGAAAAAAAGGCTAAGTAACCTCAGAAAGCAACCTAGGAGCAAGAATGCAAGTAAGCAAGCAAGCCGCTTCCAGAGAGAAACTGAAGCAACGAGGCAAGGGGCAGGACGATGAAAGGGATCGGGGCTGTAATACGGGAGCCGGTTTGGTGGTCAGTTCACCGGGAGGGATACATAACTCTATACTACTCACCACACTAGCCTGGTTAGCCTGGGTAGCCTGGGTCACCCTGAGGAGCGGGCGGGCAGGCCAGGGACGGCGGCAGCGGCGATGTATGATCTGACCGGCCACAGCGGGACACACTCGAGGAGACGCGGAGCGGAGGGGGATTCGAGGCGGGCGAAGTTGGAGAGGCTGCAGACTGGTGCTGGTTGGTGCAGGTTGGTGCAGCTGAGGTTGTGTTGATGTTTGATGCAGGCGATGTCGTCGTCGAGACGGGAATGATCGATGTCGCGAGGCTCCAGAAGTCTTACTTAACCAGGGCCGCTTTGGGGGGGGGATCATGCAACTAACTGTGTCGTGTACATACATGTACCTCTGCTGCGGAAAATATATGCACAGGAACCTCTGATGGCTCGGTGGGCCCCGACTGGCCAGGCCCGGGGAATGTTCTGCTATGGAGTCTGCGGACGCTTCTACGCGGTATCTATCTGTTTTCTTCGGCCCATTACAGAGGAATCTTATATCCACAGTGGAATGCAGGGGGGATTCTAGAAAGAAAGCGGAATTCATCGGTCTGATCTACGCAGTAGGGATGTTCCCCCACGCAAAGTTGGGTGGTGGAGGAGTATGTACTGTACAGTACATACAAGGTGACTAGCAGTTACAACCGACTGATGAAGAATTAATTATTATTCTTAATTCCGTCGCAATGGACACGGGGCATCTATCAAGGGCTAGAGCCTGTCCTCTCAAACCATCAAGGACGTTGAAACAAAGAGAAACGTGGTTGCGGTGGGGACTTGGGTTTGTTTATATCCCACAACCGTGGAAAGTTGTGGGTATTCATTTATTTTACTTCAAGGGGAAAAAGAAGATAAAGAAAAAGAAAACAAAACCAAAAACAAAAAAGGGAAATGAATGCCCATTTTCTTCTCCTGTCTGTCTTCTCTAGTATTCCTCATTCTTCCCACCGGCCACAGGATAATCGCATCCAGATGTTTGCGAACCGGCTGCATGCAGCAGAACAGACACAGGTTCCAGCCAGGCCCATATATGGTTATGGTCATTTATCATTTATTTGCTTCTCACGCTCCCTCCCTCGCCTTCTCCTCGGCTATTCTTTATCTAAAACGTGATGGAGGAAAAAGGAAGCAGAAGCCACCGCCTTATATTTAGCTCAAAACCCTTTTTGGACCCTCGTCAGCACAAGAACCTCGTCAACCTGCATGTGCTAGGTCGAAAATGAAAGAAACAAGAATTCTATGGATTCGATTTCGATTCCGACTTCTACATGTTCCCGGTCCTCCTCGTGGTATGTATGATATAGGTTGCTGTCAATGATAGTATCGATACGTATATGGCTTGGCCCCTCTCGACTTCCAGAACATCCAACACCCAGTATATAATTACGATCATCCAGCATCCAGCATCTGGACAATAGCCCGCCGCTCCAGATTCCCGCTTCCAAGTTCCAGCTGTTCAGCCGGGGGCTCGTTACGTACTCGTCCTGCGCCGACGATGCAGGTAGCCGTTCCACGCACATGATAAAAATAACCAGAGCAGTGATAAACCAATGGCTACGTGCCCATCGTGCCCATCCCCATGCACCTGGATATTGGACATGTACCTGTACAGTAACAGTCATACCCGGAGTCGACTGGTTGATTTCCCATCAATAATCGGTTATTAACCTTAAACGTACCCACGGGATTCCGTCTGACTCGGGGTAGCCTTTAGTTAGTTAAACCAACTAACTAATCATAGCCAATAGAGGAAGAGAAGAGAGCGGGTGAAATGGTCCTTTATTGGCGAGTGTTTTCCCCTCTTAACTTTGTATACTTTATATATATGTACAGATTAAGTTACTTCTTGATCGGGCAGCCTGCCATGGATGCGGTGGCTCGGCTAGCAGAGCGCAAAATGAATGGACTGGTTCTAAATTTTTGTTTTCTTTTTCTCTCGAAGAGAAGAACCTTTTCTTCAGCGTGGTTCCCAACAATGCAGGGCCCATGATCTAAGGCCCTCAAGCATATGTGCACGGATGAGTTGACTAACTGAGGTTCCAAAGAGGCGGGCCCAACGATGTAACTACTAACCACTGCGTAGCTGGCGGCGTTGCTCGGGATTGAAGCCTTTGCATAAATGAAAGTTACACCCTGCATATTGCCTCTATCAACACGCATAAACTAGTCCTCTTCTCCGTGTACAAAGGACTCAAACCACTGCTCTTATCGTGGGGGGACCACCTGATTTCCATCCCTTTCGCGTCCTATCCTCTGTAGCCCAGCGTGTTAGTGTGTGGACGATCGGCGAAAATGTCAGCGAAGATGTCTCAGAAAGAAGAGAAAAACTTGCTTCGTTTCCCCTCCAAGCTTCATACCTATCGTTGGATATTGTCAGCTGCCAGCCAGCATCCAAGCTAGCAGGCTAGATTCCATATACAGATCTGTACATGTACAGATGTCCAGTACACTCCACTCTATCCTGTACATTGTCCATTGTACTCCGTACTGTACATGGCTTCGAAAGCCACTTTGGGCGGGGAAATTGTTCTTGATGGGAAAACCACTGCACCTTCGCGCTTTCTTTTCGGGGTATTCGTGCTGGTGCAGTGCAGTGCAGCGTAGGTTTGCCATCTGGTTTACAGCTTGCATATTCGTCAGAACCTCCAGCTGTTAACAGCATTTCGGATGGAGCGTTTCTTCTGGTCTGGCTTTCCTCGCTGGGAGTTGAAAAAGCCATGCTAAGGATGTTAAAAAGCATGTTTGGACCGCGTCATCGCCAGACACACGAGCACGCCCGCGCGCACTTTGAAGGGAAGATTGGTCTCCTTCCAACGTGTGAGGTTGGTGTGAAGGTTATGCTTCATGTGTTTGTTGGTGGCGGCGAATGGGCTCCATTCGAGTCATCTCTGCGCTCTGCGGCGTAGTACTGCCAAATGATGATGAATTGTGGCTATGCCTATGCCGTCCTAGTTATTGGCTAGTTGGGTGTAGGTTGTAGGTAAATGCACATGTGCTTCGTGCTGGATATCGGCCCCGTTGCGGGAAACAAGGCTGACGACGGGCTAGTAGAAAGACATTAATGACATACCACAGCCCTCGGATCGGTTCAGGGAACCATTGAATGTCTTCACCGGTATCGTATGGCTTGATGCAAGTGGTGGAGGCTGGCTGGGTCAACTCTGATAATTCGAGGCAGGGCCTATCAAAACACCATCCTAACGAATGGCAGACGAAATTTTGGGCAAATTGTGTCTTGGTGCTGAGATGTGAATGGCAATGGAGAGTGGTATGGTAGGCATGGATGAATGGAAGAGAGCGAATGAAGAGACCTTTACGTTGAGACCAGTCAGTTACATACTCTTTTCTTCCCCTTTTCCGGAGTGATTTATTTTTCATATCCATTAGCTTGTGCTGTACATACATAGAGATCGACCTTCGATCTCTTCTCAGAAGCGATCTTATCTCATTCACCCAATTGGCAAATGCAGCGCAGCGCACTGGGTTATTGATGGATAATATCCCAAAGTCCAAAACTTCAGTCAAGACCCAAACTATGTCCGCTTTCAGCCCAGGTTTGGATAGGTCACACTCACACCCTCCCCATGGCAACAGCAAAATACATTCCAGAACTGCAAAAGAGGTCTCATAGACTTGTCTATGAATATAGAGAATGTCTCATGTTCAACCCACATCTTTCGGCCCCCTCGCACCCATAGACGTCACCCCGGCATCTCGCATCCAACCGGAAGATGGCCCCTCAGAATAAATGAACATAAACCCACGAAGCAACAGCCTTCTGTGGTCTGAGATATTTCAACCCTGACCAAATAATCTCCAGAATCGATCTCAAAATCCTGTCAGTACACAATCCCCACTCCATTCTTACCCTCCAACTCTACCTCTAGCACAACAGCATTGCACCTCGAGGCCTGCCGTAGTATAGTATGGGGGTGAGGGCGTGTAGCAAAAAGGAACCCCTGTAGTTTGTCATGGATGCAGGCTTGAATCAGTCCAAAATTAATGGCCAGCAGGAGCTCGCTCGGTGCTAGCTGGGGTCTTCGACGCAATTCATCCCCAGCGCCCGCCAACCAACACCAGGACAAAAAATGCTTCAGACACACCCCTAGAGGAGAACATATTTTGTATGTCTATCTCCTAGTAGATAGCAGAATGGTTCCACAGAAAACTCAGTCGAATTCTTCAGCCTTATTTTCTCACTTCCATGTATGTATGTATGTATGTACAGTACCATGCTTCCAAACGTGCTTGAAGTCTGCCTAGCTCCATTTTCATCTCGCATCTGGTGGACAGGTGTGGCCTCGACCTGCGACAGATGGAAGCAGAATGGGTCATTCTACAAGCTAGGCAAGATGGAGGCACTATCGGCTCCCTGCATAAATATATGGTCAAGACACATGCAGCGCAGGAGAGTTACGGGACAGAGTGGAATAGACGGCCATGCTTATCTTGCCACGGTCGGTGTCCTGTTGTAGAGAATTTGGTATTCGTAGCTGCAGTGGCGATTGTCGTCAGCATGCAATGTATTATCTGAACATATAGCAGACAGGCATGGAAGATGTACAGTGATTCAAGAAGGATCGCACATTGCACTAGACAGAGAGGAAGGGCAGTCATGAGAACGTTATAACACATCTCCTTGAACAAGAGGCGGATGTTCAATTAGAGGAATATGGCAGGATGACTGTCGAGGCGGTTCCCACAAGACGATAAGGGGATATATGGTTGAAATCGTACCCACTTGTGCGGTGCAGCCTTTCCCCTCGGTGGCTTTCATGCCTTGTGTGAAGAGTTATCTTGTCCACTACGCTATCAGACTATTCCGAATTGCATGTCCCAGATCCATATCAATTGGCATTGAGGTCTGTCAGTCTTGTGTATTTATGACACCAATCTCTGAAAACAAAAGGACTAGATCCAAGGTTCTACCCAGTTGGGACGTGGAATTTACAACCGCAACCGAATGAATAACTAAACCTCCCAGTTAACCAAATAAAATATCCAACTTTTTCCGCTGACTCAAAGGAAGGATCCCCCGCGATATCGATCTCCAGCTGTCTATCTGACACCTGGCCGCCGCTGAGCTGGAATCTTTGGACCATTACTCTCTCCTTACGCCCACTACAACGCCTTACTTATTTAGTTACATTGCTGACCTTCTGGCCAACCCTCTGGTGCTATCTCACTTAGCCCCTCATCAACAAGACCCCTCTTATCCATCTGAATATCAAAGCCCTTGCTCGCCGCTTCGAGTACACGCTCTCCCTACCTAGCTATTGCGGACGGGAGCCTAGCTTGTCGCATCGTATCTCCCTCGTCCCGTTCCTCCTTGCCTATCCTCTCGAATGCGACTCCTGCTACTCCTCCCTTCACCAAGGGTTTGACCAACCAGTTGGCGGGCGGCCATCGATCTAAATAGTTGACTTCTTCAGTTGATACCTGTTGAACTCGGCGGCGATTACGCGGAGAGAGGACACTTTGGTACATCGTTATTTAACTCTCTGCTGTGCTGTCTGCTGTTGCTGTTGTTAGAATGATGGACGTACACCTGGTGCCCGTCGGTGGACGGAGGAACTATACAGGTTTCGTGACGAAGACGATTGTATACGCGGCTACGTTGTTTTTGTTTTTGACATGTATGTCTTGGTTTTCTGCACTTGCTCTCCTGCTTTTTTTTTGATTGACACTCACTGACATGCTGTTGCAGCATTCGCCTTGACGCTGGCGTCAATAATCCTGCCACGATGGATCAGTTCTCTGAAAGGAACGGTACGACTGGCCCCTCCACACCCTCCACAAGAAAAGGATATTTACTTCTGCGCCCCCGTAGTCCGCCGGTGTCTCCTACGGCCTCCACTACCGTTGCTTCTCCAAAACCACACCCATCGCGACGACAACCTGCGTGCGCTTCCCTCAGTTCGACGACTGCACCGGTGACGACCGCCAATTTTGCTCCATGTGGCGCACCATCGGGTTCCTCATGTCGTTCGCCGTCGTGCTCGAGGGCATGACGTTGATGACGTACATTGTCATCCTGACCGGGGGCAAGCAGATGCGCGAGTCTGGATGGCGTGTCCTCTCGCTGTTTCTTGTACTGGTCGCCCTGGTTCAGTGTGCTAGTATGGCGCTGGTGGTGGGTTTATTTCTTATTTTTATGCTGTCTTATTTTCACATCTTCTCCCTTTCCCCCAAGTGACCCTTGTTTTCGTGTATATATATATATATATATATATATATTTCACTGCATGCCATATCTAATTCACACGTACACGTGTCCACAGTCGTACCTCAACGACAACGACGACCACTTCTATCTCAGCTTCCGCCTCGATGACTCCTTCATCATGTGCACCGTCAGCTGGTGTCTGGCACTCTTCACGGCCGCGACGGTCGTTTTCGCCGCCCGCGTCTTACCCTCAGAAGGCGGTTATGAGCTGATAGCTGACCCTAACGACTGAGCTGGCTTTCTCGGATTCTTCTCCTTTTTCTCCGTGGGTGTCTACATTGGCTATTGTATATCGGGGTATGTTTTGTGTTTTTGTTAACGAGTTGTATGACTTTTGATCTATCTATCCCCTTATCGCCGGGGAGGGGAAAAAAAAAATAAACAAAAAAAACACGCCATTTCTTCTCTGATTTGAGAGAGGTACAGCGCAAATATATATGTCAACAGAAGCAGCAGTAGTAGTGGTAGGGAGAGATGATTGTTTCTGATCCCGCCCTTACATACGCTACGTCATTCCGCTCTATCCGCACTTTTTTTTTCAGTTTAATTCCTCAATCATTGAAAATCAAGAACCCGCGCTGTTACTTGCTCGCTCCCCTTGAACTTGCATTACTCATTTATTGGCTATAAATTCTTGCTTAAATATTCCTCTCACCCCCAGGCGCTTTTCATGGTTATAGGATTTTGATGATTTTAATGAGCCGGACCCCTTCCCCCCCCGGCGGCCCTTTTTTTTATTTTTTTATTTTTATTTGCGCTTCTTTCTGTCTGGGGAGAGATCGAATAGGGCCTGGGACACCGGATATTCTGTAATTTTACGTTCGTATCCTCTCCGTCATTTCATGGTTATTTCTATAAGGAAAATAAATACCCTGTGTTTCTTGAAGCAAACCCCCAATGAAAGGTGCATAATATATTCCTGCTGTGCCGCAAATGTATAATCTCTGTCAATTTATCTTCGCTTCCGTCTACACTCTACACGTAACAAACAAACGCACTTCGCTTTTCTTTCAGGTGACTGGGAAACGATAACAAACGATGCGTCAGGGGTATCTAACGTAAAAAACTCCACACCAAGTTATCCCATCCCATCCCATACCGTGTCATATACACCCAAGCAAGCAAGCAATCACTGTCGCGCCCAAGAAAAGAAGTAAAACTAAAACTTAAAAAATACAATAAAATAAAATAATAAATACAGTGAACATAAAAATAAAGGTTCCGAAAAGCCTCAATTCCTCAAATCCGCTCTTCTACCATCCTGCCCCTCGACCAAACCCTCTCCACACTCCAGCACTTTCTGCGGTGGCTCAACCACCCCACGACCACCTTCCGCTGGCTCCTTCCTCCTCACAATCCGCACAAGCACCGGAATCACACCCCCCGTCTCCAACCTAAACTTTCGATGGCCCATAACCTCCAGTAACGATGTGATCGCCCCAGAATGCGCCGTCAGTGATATATACATGCTCGCGCCGCTATCACGCTCGACTATATCGTCGACAAGCTGTCGCAGGCGGGTCGTGCGTGCGGAGTCAGATTCGCGCAGGTCTGGATCCCAGAGGGGGTCAGTGGGTGCGAATCCGGCCTCGAGGGCGTAGTTAGGGTAGGTCTTTGCTATGTACGCTGCTGGAGAGCGGCGGTCGCACGTGTGGACCCCTAGGGTTTCGCGGAGGAGCTGTGCGAGGGGCGGGGCGCGTGTAGTTAGCCTTTGTGCTCTCCCCTCTTTCTTATCTATCCTGGTCATATCCTCTAGGCAGTGGTGAGAGACACTGTGCATACCTCTTTCACGACCGGCTTGTATGGTCGATCTGACGGAAGGTCTAGGTCGCCAAATGTTAATTTTGACGTTTGTAGGCATCGATCGAGGGGACTACTGTAGTATGATTGTGGAAGGGGTATGTGGTATTTCATCTGCGTGGCCCATGTGGAGCGCGCGCGTAGGGCCTGGGAGATGCCTGTTTCCGTCAGATGTGCGTCGGCCCATGTGATGTTCCCATTGCCGTCAAGTTTGGACCAGTAACACTACGAGGGTGATTAGTTGAAGTGCGGGACGAAGAATGAGTTTATTAATAGCGAATGCAATGTACATACATCCCATGCCTCAGTTCCGTAAAGTGCTTCTGCAACGTTATGAAACCCCTCGCCATGCCGACCCATGTAGAACAACTTGAATTCCGTATGCTTGTCTGCGTAGGTATTTAGAGATCGCAGTTTGTAGGCGAAACGCTCCCACTGGGTCCTCTCTCGGTTCGGGTCGAAGTCGTCATCTGTATCGTACTTTTGGTTTATGAGGCCGAATGCGCTTGATGACTACGTTTTGATTAGTAGATGGCCCTCTTCTTTCTGCATTTTGTTCTAGAGTAGATAGGGAACACACATAGTCGAAATCTTCGGGGTCCGTTGCGGGATCATCTTGGAGGAAGTATCCGGTTACAGTGAAATATTCGAAATGTGAGAGGGAAAGGGATTCAGCCATGCTGGCGATAAGGGCGACGACAACAGTCACGGCGAGAAGAACGGGGCTAGGTATGACTAAATAGTCAGTTTGTGCCAGGTATGCATGCTTGAGAAGCAATTGCGATAGAGTCTGGCATATCCAGAGACGATTTTTCTGACTGTTTTGGAACGCAGAGACACCCTCAAACCATAATGTAATCTGTAGTGTCATAACTCACATTACAATTTCAATGTGACAGCAACTCTCCAACGTCCTCTTGAGCCTTTCTCCGCGTCGTTCTCTGCCGGATTGCTGCCAGAAAGCCTCCAGAAAACGTATCATAAGTGGTGGTAAAGGCTATCAGCTTAGCCACAACCACAATCAGAGCAATGGCTCTCTTCGCCTGAGCTTGCGGGCCCGTGTTTGTTGAGATGGAGTCGAGGAACTCGAGGTTGCCAGAGCCGTGGATTGCTCTCGTAGGTTATTGAGGGAAGCTTCTACGCTGCGTATATGGATATGCTCTCCATCTGGGGAGCCGGCACCACGCCAAATGTTGGCATTTAACAGCGCTATGTTTCGTTCAAGAGCAATAAGAAGACATGCGGACACGGAGTGGATTCACAGTTGACATGTATCTGTCCACACCTGGCAGGTACCTAGGTATGAAATTGCCCAATCGGGACAATTTGAGGCTTGAGCAACGCCAGTATATGATTGGCTGTAATAATTACCGGCCGCTGCTTCAGGCCTAGCGTTGTCCACTGCGGTTTGGTGGCGGCGCATACTAGCTTATTCAGGCATAGTGTTGAGCATTCCCTGTCGACTTCCCTATCAATGTTCATCGGTTGACCAGAACAAACCAACACAACAACAACTACTATAACCAAGGCGTCTGTTCTGATATCAACCACCTATTCAGCACCATGGCGTCTACCAAGGAGTCTGCAGAGGATGTCGTGGACTCTTTTTTCAACGCCGCTAGTCGATCTGCATCGCCTCCACCCCCAGTTTCACAACTCGAGGAAGATACAGCTAGAATGAAGATATCAGCGTATAAACCACAGTCCCTAAATGATAATACCATCAGTATCCTCACTGCTTTTCTTGATGATCTACCTCAAGAAGGCAAGCAAAACTTGATATCATTTATCTTAACTTGCGAAAACGATAATGTCCTTTTTATTCTCTCTCAGCATTTGAAATCGGCAATTCTTCTCTCTTGTAAGATTCTCCGTTAAAGCTGCGAGTCACTTCCATGTCAGTTTTTTCTTATTGACATTTTCTGTTAGTGAGAGCACGAACTACTCCATATGTGACTCCTTCTCCTCTTCCCGGTGCTGAGGATCTTGTAAATGTCGTGTCATCTCAAATGACTCGGTCCAGTGATAGAAATTCTCAGAGCAAGCTTAAGCAGCAGTGCTTGAAGCGGGACGGCTACCGTTGCCTTGTGACTGGAGCGTACGACCACGAGCATGCGGCTGGAAATGTACGGGATGACTTGCTCCAAAACACCGCAGAAACTGAGCTCGCCCACATCATTCCCTTCGCGCTTGGGAAGTTTCGAACCAGTGATGAAGTTGGTGTTGCCTGCTCCTATGCCATATATACATATGTCTAATTTAATCACAGGAAGGTCAAAAAGCGAGAGTTTGGGCGGCGATATATACTTGTTTCCCTGATGTCCGCTTGCATACCAATTGTTCCGTAGAGACAGTCAATGACTTCCAAAACCTCATGACACTGATAAGTCCAATCCATGCAGCATTTGGCAAATTCCAGATCGCTTTTGAACCAGCGGTATGTACCCTACCAGGCTAGCCATGTTTGTTGGACAACCTGACAGTTGGTCGTCTAGGATGAGGAGCACACCTATTACCTTCGGTTTTATCGTTTCCCCTCGCTTACGATGCGTTTGCTTCCCGAGCCGGATGAGAACAACGAGCGTGTTGTAAAATTCACGAAGAATGCCGACTATGAGCTCCCCAGCCGCGTTCTCCTTAGCACTCATGCGGCCGTTGCAAGGATCCTACATGCAACTGGCATGGCAAGAACAATAGATCAAATCCTCCGTGATCGAGAGGAGCTCAGTTGTCTTGCTGAAGATGGAAGCACCGACATAGGACAGATTGCTCTGCTCGCATATTGAGTGAACTATGGGGGATACATAGCAGATCAGACATCTTTCTGCAATTGTTTCAAGGGACTTGTGATAGATCTTGTTTTACACAGGTTATCTGGTAGTTGCTATTGAACTCTAGTTTGGGGAGTTAGGCCTGAGAGTAGTGCCTTCGACAACTGCCAGTTGATCTTTTTACTCCTGTACTCCTGTTGAATGCCTACTGTGGCCCTAGGGAAAGGAAACCCCAAGGAAAGGGGAGAAACAGAATCCTATCCGATCAGGAAATATGATATTTTATTCGTCTTTGCTGTGGACTACCGAGCATGGAGGATGTAGTTGGGTTATTTATGTACATAGAATAGAAAAAAGAAGGCGGTAAATGTCAAAATATCTAATACCAGCAGACCGTGCCCTGTGAGGGTGCCATAGGAGATGGTGGCGAGGAAAGTAAGAAAAGTAAGAGAAGTAAAGAATGAAAATGTTGGGGGTGACGGTTGGTGTCAAACACTTTGCTTACAACCACAACCACGCTATGTGAACGCACGCATAGCATAGCGAATTCGGTTGCATCAGTGTAGGGTAGGGTATCGTGGTCATTTCACTGCGCAATGCGTTCTTGCTATGCGGTGATCAGGAACGGCAGGGGATTTACGACTGATGATTTGCCTGGCATGGGCCAGGTTACTTGACGACGGGGAACATCTGGTGGCACGATATAGGAAGATGGAGGCAACGATTGAGAGGGTTGGTGAGACAAATGAGAATCCCAAGATCATCAGGAGGCATGTTATGGCTGTGCTCGGTTCCCCTGCTTCTGGATGAGACGGCTTTCTGTTGCGAATGGCGTGTTGTATCTCCCATTTTCCAGATGAAGCGGAAGGTTGCCATGAGGCTGATGATCGCGAGAATATAGATGAAGGACATGTAGCAAGTCGCAATATCGTCCCCGACATTAGGCGAACCATGATTTCTAACACTGCTCTAGTCGTGGGCTCCCAGGGTTGATTGTCAATTTGGGCGTGCGGACTTCTAGTGCTCCTCTGTCCATCAGTGGGGATGGTGCCAACATCTATACCCAGCTTGTCGCTGCATCGTACCAAGAGATGCGAGTTCGGCCGACTATCCCTGGTGCTAGCATGGGTAAATGTAATGTTGATATTCGCTGGATGCGGCCAAGTTGGTCTATCTCCCAGATTGTCTCGAGAGGACTGTGGATCTCGAGATGAGTACGCTCGTCCAGGACTTGCGATGGTATGAATATCCAGATCCTGGGCAGCCCTGACGGACCCAGGCACACCGGTTGTCGTCTGCAAACGAGATCGGATCGCGCGTTGAGTCTGAGACGCTGGTTCCAGCGATTCTCGCACAGGAGGCAGAAGAGTATATCTCCGGTGGTCGCCTGATGGTTCTCCCCATGGCTGCCATTCTATCAATTCCAGTGTTCCGCGATTGATATATGGTTTGTGGCGTTGGCAGTCAAGACTGGATTGAACCACAACTTGAAGACGTTGGGTAATTGGTTCCTCATTACCACAACATTCGAGGCATTCGGGATCAGTGCATGACAGGCCTCCGTCGCATCGCCAAGTGGAGTTGGGAATGACACACGCTTGTGGCGTAGGCGAGGATTTCAGCGGCCCAGAACATGGGCGGACATTGGTTCTGCGCCATCGATCGCCGGCCGAAGCCGGTGTGACAGCACTTGAACAATGTTGCTGGGAAGTTTGAATATGCTTCATTAGCTTCTTCCGTTTGGCAGTTGTGAGGGTGGAGTTCGTCTTATCGACACATGTGCACTAAAAATTGGGCGTTAGCCAGGATATTCACTCTGAAGGGGATAATATTGAGTCAAAAAGAACGAAACACACCCTCTTGCGTTGCTTGCGGTGCCATTCGCAGGCGCCCTGTCTGCGCACAGCGATATACCTCTGCCGCTCCTCCTGGGTCTTTGGGCGATGCTTCCTCGGCAGCGATGTGGTCTCGTTCAGGTTCATGTCCAGGACCATTTGAACCCCACCGGATGCAGGCAGCGGTGTAGGTCTAGAGGGGCCAGCGGATGCTGATCCGACTCTTGTGATAGACGCGGGGGAGAGTTCCGGGACATTGCCGGTTGATGAGCCAGGCGATCCGGTAAGGGACAACGAATTGTTGTCGAATGACGAGTCGCTTGTGGTGGTTGAGCTAGGTTGCCAGACCATGCTTTGAGCAGCGGGTGCGCATTCTTCCTGGAATCCAGAGCTAAGATCGTTTTGAAGCTGCAGATACAATTCAATTGACGCATCCATCTGCTTCGTCTTCTGTGATACAGGTCGTGTATCCTTGGCTGCTCTTGCCAAGGCAAGGTCCTTCAGTGTGGATCTAACCCAGTTCAGGCGTTGGACGGAGTCATCCGAATCGGGTGAGGGGGGAGTGCGGTCAATAGAATTGGTATCTGCATCTGCAGAGAAAAAGGTGGGTGAAGCATAGCCCATCTGAGGGGTATCAAAACAGATGGAGGACGGGTCAGGGAGGGAATTAAAGTCGGTGGACCAGATGTCGTTTAATAGCGAAGTGGATGGATGGATGGAAGATTCGGTAGTGGAGCCCAACAAGTCTGGGTTGAAATGGTCCCACAGCACATTATCGAAGGAGATGCTCTCATCCAGTTTGGAGAGGTCTATCGGCCCGCAGTTGGCTGCGGGGTAGGTATTCGATTGGGGCGCGAAGGAGAAGTCATCAGCAACGACATTGGGCAGAGTGAGCTCCAGATATGCAGAGTCCTCCTCGACACAAGTGGATTGGTAATGGAAGGAGGTGGACATGATGCAGAAATAAATGCGGGAAGGGGTTCTTAGAAAGAGGTAAACAAATATACTCTCCTCTAGGAGATACTAGAAACAGGGCTTTTTGAGGTTTTGAAGGGAAGTATATAATGTCTCAGCAATGGATCTATAGATAACCTCTAGTTATCCGCAACGGCCGAGAATATGGGTTTTAGGAAGAAGCTAACTCCTTTTCCAATGAATTGCACGCTCTTTTTCCCTCTGAGAAGAAGCACGGAGGGATGCACAGAGGGGCAGCTTTGGTTGGATGTCAACGGGGGAGTGGCGGGGGGAGCAGAGCCAGCCAGCGCTCTTTGTTTAGCGCACCGATTCTGATGTCTCTACCTCGTTGTTGGAGACGGGAGGGTATTACTGTGTTCTTCCAGGCGAAACAAAAGGAAGAAAAGAGAGAGAAAGAAAGAAGAAGAAAAGGGAGAGAGGGAGATGAGAGGAGAGGAGTTTGAGTTCTTTAGCACCGCTGGGGGGGGCTGAGGGAGTGAAGACATACGCAATACAGACTCCATACATAGACAGAGCATGGAGGATGTATGGGCTCTTGTATGGGCTCGGTATGGACGATGTATGGACAATGTATGGATTATGTATGGGGTCCATGGGCAACGGCTGATCCAAGGCAGATTAGGGCTCGGGAGGCCCGATTCGGAGGTGTCAGCGCCGCCTCCGATTGGCTGTTGCCCGATCAGGCTGCGCTGGCCTAGGGCTGCGCTAAACCTGTTGCGGTGCCCGCTTTTTACATAAGCAGCCAAGTGACGGTGCAGGTCGACTTCCCGGCCAATCAGAGCCCGTCGCATCGGGGATGACTCAGGCCTGACAAGTTAGTTCCCTGCAGACTTTGGGGCTTCCTTCTCAGGAGTTACGCTGGACAGCCGCATGGAGGACATCATCTTCAGTTCTGACGGTGAAGCCAGTTCCATGCACGGGGAGGGGACGGCACATTGGTGGAACCTGTGGCTGGTTTGGATGTGCTGTGCATGAGAGCGCAGGATACAATACAGTTACTAGCACTCATATATTCCAGGGCATAAAGTCCACGAGCCAAAGCCATTCAATGCTTGTTTCTCTACCAGTACTAACCGCCTCTGCTTCTTCAACGACAATGCTCCCCCTTCCTCCACCGCTCACGATCCCTTCTCGAAATCTACGGCGTTGTGAATATGCCGAGACATGGTTTTGCTGCTGGCGTTAGCAGAAACTCCCGAGTCTCTGTAGCGGGTGGTAGCCCCTTTTCCAGGGATGGGCTCGTTTGTGGCTGGTTGAGAGCTGGTGGTGAGATGCAGAGTCTTTTGTTCGTCCGCGTAAAATAGCATAATTGGGGAATGGCGGAAAGGGGAAATGCCAAACGCCCGAGGGATTCAGGGTTACGAATGGACTGAGTGAGTGAAGCATGTGCAGTACATGGACATGGTCTGTACACAAATCTGCTAGGGTTTCGTTTTGCAAGAGACAGCCTCCGCAAGATTGTTCAGTCCAGTTTGGGGGTTGATATTCGGCCGTTGGTGGACTTTGTTATCATCGCTTCGGCACAGACGGACCAGCACCGGACGAGCACTCGATTCATGGCTTTTTAGTATCTATATCGTTTGTTTTTGTTCTTACTTCCTCGCTCTCGAGAGTACCAAATTATCATATTTCCTCCTGGTTTGTTCTCCATCGCTTTGCTTTGGAGACCAATCGCCATGTATTTTTGCCTTGCTTACGGTTTGTGGGACATCCTGTTATCCACCAACCTCGAAAGTTACAACAGATGATGATATTATTGGGTGATACCGAAGAAGGCCTAAGGGCCAGAGCGCAAAAAAGCGCTCCTGTTGCTCAAAGCGTATCCATCAGACCTTTTCCATCCTGGTAATGATGATGGTGATGCCCAGGAGGAAATGCTGAGGGTTACAAGGTAAGTTGCATTTGCGCATGCTATTGCAATTGCCGCCGCTCTCGTTTGTTAAAAGCTACACAGGAAAATATGTTCTTGCAGCCTGTTTGGATGCATTTCTTGTCCTTACGCCTCGGTGCAGATGGATGGATATCCAACAGCCGCCATAACCAAGATGTCCTGCCTACCTCAGTTCACCTAATAGAACGAGGTTTAATAGTGTTTGACAACACTGCTTCTCTCCGTGGCTGAGAGGTATATGGCAAACGATCAAACGATGCAACGATGCATTCAGTGTGCATGCATGTGCATAATAAACAGAATTGAGGCATGGAGGAGAGGGAGCGCTTTCGCATTCCGAGCTAACCTTGCTGACCGTCATTTTCCGCCAGTACACAAAACAGCACCGACAACGAGGAATCGAAATGCTGAACCCAACTGGTGGGCTCGCTTTCTCGCACTGCAGAATGTAGTGGGGTAGTTAACCGGTTATCATGGCTGCGCACCTTGGCCAAGCTGCAGGATGACCGTGGCTGATTATCATGTATATCGCCGGTTCGCAGAAAAACATCTCTTTCAGCTACTGCTACAACTAGATCGAATATATGTGGTTCAGCAGGTGTTCTTTCGACCGGGCCCTTGCCCTTCCGGCGCCGCTCTTGGCTTCCTCAAATATACACAGTACGGATCGTGTCCTGCGCGAGTTCAAGGCAAAGTCTCCACCAAATACGGAGCGGAGACCCCTCAGGACGGTTCTCCTCACTGCTACCCCGTATTCATCCCAGGAGCTTTCTCGTGAACAATAATACACTCTGAACCGCCCAATCCGCCCCCTATCACTCTACGTTTTGCAAAGAACTTGGCATGCAGCAAGAAAATGTATAGCTTTGAATAACATGCAATTGGGATGGATCTATCTGCTCTGTACTCGCCGCGCAAAAACGGCAATACTTCCCAACAAGATCCACGACAAAAAAGGGATTATTGTATGGGAAATGTGGAAATATAATGGAAATGGTAAATAGTACACGGATGATAGGGTATGGTATCTCTATAGAGAAGAATAACAAAAAGGGGGTTGAAATACAAACGAAATACCAAAAAGCAAAGGTAGTGGAATCCCGGCGGCCTTACAAAAAAAAATGCATACAAATATAATTGGAATAATAGCCAGAAACAATATACATGTTATATATAAATATAAAAGAAGAGAAAAGCGAAACTCCGTTTATCTTATCCTAGCTTCAGGAGGCCCCTTTCTCTCCACAAATTGCGAACATATTACGTCTACCTCTTGACACCGCACTTGATCGTCATCGCCGACACGGCCTCTTTGCCTAGAGAAATGTCCATGCAGGAGAAGGGGGTATCTAGTTTCTTCTTGCCCTGGGCATCCTTGAATCGCTGGCCCGTGACGGATGTGACGGGCACGCCTTCTGCCCTGGCGATGACGGCGTCCAGGACTTTAGGACCGAGCTTCACATCTTCTGTTGGGTCGTAGGGATTTGTTAGCCGATTGATCTTTCTTTCTCTTTCTTGTTTTTTTAGATGAGCATGCTGATTATTGGTTTGTTGGCGCAAGTTTCCCCCAGTTGAACTTCTGCTCGTATGTACTGCACAAACTCGTCAATGCCGGTGCGGGACTATACACTTGCCTTCTAGTCTTGCCCGTCCTTCCACGGATCGAAATCGTCGTCCTTCAGATCAATTCTCTCGTTCCCGCCATCGCCATCCTGGAGATCATCGTCATCATCATCATCATCGTCGTCGTCGTCGTCATCATCATCGTAGTCGTCGTCGTCGTCGTCCCCGTCATCGTCTCCATCATCATCCCCATCCCCATCCCCATCCCCGTCACCCTTCCCAGCGTCCCCCTGCAGATGGTCGTCATCTTCGCCCTTCAGATGATCATCCAGGTCACCTCCCTTATTTTTATCACCTCCCTTCTTCTTATCACCTCCCTTATTCTTATCATCGTCATCGTCATCGTCATCGTCGTCATCGTCGCCGTCGTCCCTCAACCCCTCGACGGTGTCCTTGCACAAAAACGAGCCTATGGGCACAGGTTTATCACCCGTTGTGAAAACAGCAGCCTGGCCCCTCCAGAAGGGCTCTCCTAGCTCATCACGGCCTTGGGGGTCCGAGTACGCTTGACAATAGGCACCTGGCTGGTCGACGGAAGCCCCAATTCCGCTAGTTACGGAGCCTGGTTTGTGCATGTTAGATCTGTATCATAATATATATGTAGATGTGCAGGAATAGATGTAGATATGCAGATAGATATGCAAATCTATTCATCAAGTTTGGCCCGGTGCGCAGTTGCAGTCCCCCTGGAATTTTTGACTTACGGTGTGTTCGCTGAAGTTGATCCAGTTGGGCGACGAGACTGGCTTGCTTGTCTGGGGCCGTATTCACTTCGATCTGGAACAATCTTGCCGACGCAACGGCTGCGCACGAGGCGAGCAGAATGCCCGTGGTCTTCATCTTTCACGGAGCTTCCGTATAAATATATAAGTACAGAGGGGATATAAAAATTGATGAAGTCTCAATGAAGGGCTCCTCTTTCTCAGAAGAAAAAGGGAAATGAGAGAAGAATGATTACAGAAACAAAAAAAGAAGAGATCTGTCCACGTATGAAATCAACGTTGTTGAGGGTTAGACTGGGGGGTTCCAAATGCTAAAAAGGAACATCCCAGGACAGGACCAGCACGATGTTGTTTGATTATATACGAGGAGGTGCAAGGAAGAATGCCCGCCGAGGCCGCACCGCCTTCCTTCATCTCCAAGCCGAGGCATCATTGGCTAGCAGACACTGCGGAGCCTTCGCGAAACTTGAGAGTCAAGCAGGACTAGTTGCTGTAGTTGGCTCTTGGCCCGTGGTGCGTCTCAGCTCATACGCTGGCTGCGCTTAGTGTGGCCAGGGGTGGAGTCGTGATGCTTGCAGCCTGTCAGGATGGAAAAGGGATTATTATTAGAACTTGCCGAGCGATGATTATTGATAATCTGACATCTGCCTATATTTAGACAGTCCCTAGTCGACAAGATCCATCTCACTCCATAAAAGATCCAACACGCCGCAGAGGGCCCCCCGGATCGTTTTCTCGGATCCTTTTGGGTCAAGAAACGCTGGGATTCTTCTTTCACTTTTGCAACTGGCACAATTGCAGCTTTTGAAGTGTTTTTCTTCGTATCGCATCCCAGCAGAAACAGCGGGTCTGCTGGCTGTTGGATGCTAACATCACGAAATTCCGAGTGGACCTGTTTCGTCTTCGCTCCGAGGACAAAGCCTCGATATTGTTCTTGTTTCCCCTGCTTTTTACGCTTAAAATCCATCCCGATATCTATGGGCAGTGAGTAGTGAGTTCAGCATTGCATGCATGAAGTAAGCGTCTGTTCATAGAACGTGGGATATGACGGGGTTGGCTGGAGCGGTAGTTATCCATGCACCGATGAGATGATCAGCTATGTTATATAACTACGCTGCGTAATATTTAGCAAGCTTATCTTGTTAACTAACTAGTTAACTAACTTACCTTAAAACTTTGGTCAGCAATGGCGGATTAGTCTGATGATTTGATCGATGGGCTTCACTGGTTACGAGGACATGATTCCTCTCATCTCGTACATATTCGTCGAGGAACCTGGCTGAGAGCCACCACGGGGGTGGAAATGAAATTCCTCACTCTGGCACAACAAAGCCACAAGATGTGTGCACTGACTTCGTGTTGAACAATGAAGGGTGAAGGTGAAACGAACGCTGCCGCTGTCGATGAGATGCCCAGCGTCTTTACAGTGGCTGAGATAAGACGATTTGGGTCTTGAAGCCGAAGCGGAGTCAGTTTGCTCTAGAATTTTTGCAATGTTCACAAAAATCTTTGATCTTCACTGCTTTCCCTCAATCAACAATCATGATTCGTAAATAATGATTGCCTCCGAGTCACTTGGGATTTGTTGAGGCCGGAGAAATGCAATTCACCAGAACACTATTTTTGCTTGTGCAGGGCCATCAATCGTACCACAGACAAATATATACACACATTACCACTCTTCCTCCCACTGATGGAACATCAATGTGATATCTTATATGAACAGTATGGATATAGACAGATACGTAGATACACGATGGCAAACGGATGCCAATAACAAAAGCGACCTTCACACATGCAGGAAAAACAGTTGAAAGCAAGATCGTCATCGGTGATTTTTTGTTGGGTTGAGTGTGATGCTGCGTCAGCTCTTAAAGCACATCGACTATAAACCTGAAGTAATAGAACCAAGGAATTCCTCATTTCCGCGCTTCCATTGTCATTTTTGTAAAGAGTGCGCCCAAATGCCCGGTCAGCGGATAAATGACAGCACAGCTCGGTGAGACGCTTTGCACCCTAGCCACAACGTCTCCTTGTCCAAGTTTCTCAGTCTTGGTCATTTTTCAAGTCAGAAAAATTTCGTCGGTATTTTTGAGAAATTCAAACTGTGATATGACATACATATATCAAGCCGCCCCGTAATCTCCCTTTCCCCGACAACAGACTTCGCCACTTTTACACCTGGGACATTGACGGACGGGAACGCCGGCCAGGACGCGGGCCATGCATTTCAGCCAGCGTCCCACGCATACTAAGCCCTGACAAGATCGTCGATATCAGAAACATAACCCACAAAAACCAAAGGAAGGCTGTAACTGCCTGTGCTTCACGGCAGCGTTTTTCCGGTCTCGGGGAGCCTCTGGTTATCGAGTTCGTTACAGTGTACATCTGCACCAAAAACATATGTCAGCGCCATTAAACCTTTTCTTCTCTCTTCCTCTCTTTTCCCCTGAACCTGAACTAGCTGCTTCAACTCCGATTGCTTTTGCACTTACCACGTTCCTGCATGAATGCACACGTAGCTTCGCCGGCATAGCAATTGCACCGCAGAAAATAAATATGGTATTCAGTAGATCGACAAGGAACATGAAGCCAGGATGAATGAGGCAGGCCTCGCTGACCCCCGCAGCAAATAGGTAGAAGAGTGATAACATCGAAAATGCTGACACGAAAAGGATGTAGTTCACTGTCGACGAGCTGCCGTGAAATGCGTCTGCTACCATGTTGCCGACAAGCGCCATGATAATCACGGTAAAGATAAACTATATATATATGAGCGACGTGAATCCGTATTAGTTAGTTATCATGTCGCATCTCTCCATCTTATCTCTCCCCTCCTCTTCGTGGTTTTTAAAGTACTGAAATCACTGATTGCGCGGTGGAACGCTTGAGATTACATACCTGGGGGACCCGAAGGGCCAGATTAACCGATCTCAATCCCATGTTGGCGGTATGTTGTGCAAGCGCTTGACTATTAGTAGCTAAATGGCCCGGATGTATGAGATGTGATAGAGCAACGTGATTGCTGAGTATTGCACTGACGGTCAATATATGGGGGACAAAGATAGCGCAGCTGCTTGAGATGAATGGCGCGTCTATCTAATTCGACTCTTTTGGAATCGGATTGAAAGAGGGAAGAAGTAGAGCAGGGTGAGAAATATGCAGAAGGGTGCCATTCGGACTGAGCGGCAACCCATATGACGGTTGATCAAATGGGCTACGTCATATAACTTTCTTTTGAGCATCCACAGCGGAGAGAGGAGGTTAAGGCTGCTTTTGACTTTTGGTGTTTTCATGCTTTCTCAATGGATCTTTTTCGGCTAGATCCGACTTGCCGCCTTTTTGATGCTGGCCCCATTCGTCTACAAGATAGAAGCTGGGCCTGGATTCAGAGCTGTCAAAAAGCAGGGCTGCAATTTGTATAGTCTGTTGAGACGACCCAACTGTAGTGCCCGAGCCTTACATTCAATTCAAGCATGCCACTATCCGCTTTATCAAAAGAATGGCAATTAACTTCTCCCAGGGAGAGCCAAAATGGAAAGCATTGGCTCGGTCACCCCTCACCTCATATATTAGTCTATATCAATTGCCCAGGTTAGCAAAGTGTCAAAACGCCAAAATGGAAGAAAAGCAAAAACGCAAGAAACCTGTTTAGAGCCATGTTCTCCCCATGTCCTTCCAGCCGCCGTGCCAAGGGGGCCAGCAATTTCGCCTTTCACAGGCTTGCCATCCATGGATTCGGGGGCTCCCTGCGCGATATAAACTTTTACCACAAGCAATCTAATACGGATATGATGTAAGAAATAATGAAAGGAGCCTTTGTTAAAAGTGACGTCTTGTTTGCCATTCGCAAAGCTCGGAACCAAAGGAAGCTGGGATCGAGAATACAGTTCCAAGGTTAGGGTTCTGGAATCACATGATTAATTGTTCGGCATGCAGGGTTGATATTCCAGAATGACCAAGGAGAATTTGCTATTAGGCCACTGGGGCAAAAGAGCTCAATCACCACCGACGCCGTGGTGGTAAAGAGGGAACGAATCAGCCAACCCAATCCCTCCAGCATTTGCTACTGTGGGACATCTAAGTGGTTGTATTAGCATGTAGGCAGTGGAGGCATATATGTGCGGTGCGCTAGTCCGTAATATGTAGCCAAGGGCCAACAGCTACCTCTATCGTCTAAGCACAATTGAGACCACTTGACATGAACATACGCTGCCTTTGCTTGGAGCATTACCGCCATCCCCATCGTCAAGGAACTTCTTCCTTTCCATCTCTGCCTCGCCAGTCATGACCGTTCGCGATGTTATATGTTATGAGCCTCATACGCGGGGGCCATTGCAAGGTGTTGGTTCCCTGCTCTTCAAAATGTATAAATTCAGCAACTTTCCCTTCAAGTGATTTGTTTTTATGGACTTTCGTCACCCATTGCAAGTAGTATCATCATTGCTGTGCCTTCTGCTCCTTCTCATTCCTTTCATACTTGCTGTTACATCTCTCTGTGTTTTCTCCTTCGTTCGGTTTATTGGCAATATGCACTTGCGCTAGCGCCATTCCTGTCAGCCTTCGAAATCCATTCGGGGGCCTGGACAAGAGCAAAAGAAGGTGGACGATGAGCTCTATATGAGCGTGGAGGGCCATGCTAATCTTGCCATATGCGAGGCTGAGAGCTTCCGGGTCAATGCGGATTGGCGGCTGAATAATGACAACATCAGGAAGCAGAGCACGATCTGGGTGGAATGGAAGTTCCTTCGACTGTTGTTCAAGAGGGAGACAGGCCGGAAGGTGGATGAGCTCGTTGGCGAACAGATTAGCGAGGTATGGCTCGTCCAAAGCGATGCTTTTCCCGTCTAACATTCACTCTTTCAGTTCATCCTAAGTCCTCTTACCGATGAGTATGATTTGGGCCTGTCCATCGACTACAAGACGGTAGTAAGCGTCAAGGACCTGGTAGCCATTCTCCACTATCACTGGTGTTTGGACACCGCCTCTGTCATCCATGAGCGGTATACGCTGCAGAATCCGCTGCTGATGCTATTCATGGCCTACACATCATCGCGCCCTGGAGCACTGATCGAGAGTGGCTGTCTATGGGGGTCTAATGATGGTCTCTGCTACAAGGACGTTGTGCTGCGTGTCATTCCAAACCCGGATCAGCAGGACCGGCATGTCCTTGTAATGGAAATATCCCTTCTATTTATGAAGGAGAAGCGAAACAAGTCGCAACCGTGAGTTCCCACGTGCTTGGCATGACGCCTATAAGAAACTGATGACACCTACGCAGGACGACGTATATTTTCCACGAACGAGACGACAACTTCGCGCTCTGCCCTACCTCCCACTTCCTTGCCCTCGCGTTGGCAGATGGTGCCTTTGAAGCAAGAGGCATCAACTCGATTGAGGATGTACTCCTCATTCGGGTACAGGCACCCCGCAACAGCCTGCATCTGAGATGGAAACCTCACATGCTCAACACTCCAATCTTTCGTCGAGCCATACACACAGCAGAGGGGGTTCGGATCTCTCCGGATAAGGCCCTACCCTATGACACGTTCAACTAGCACCTTCAACGTGTGGAACGTAATACGGGCTTTGAGCACAAGTTAACGCCGTATTGCATCAGGCAGGGTACCGCAAACGCGATCGACAGTGCGTGTGCTGCCTGCCATGTTCTCCTCTTCTCAGATCATCACTCCAAGCCAGAAAAAGCATTGCAGTCTTCATACAGCAATTTTATAGTACCATAGCCATCTATCCAGCATTTGTTGATGATATCCTCGTAAAGTAGGCCGCTTGTTACCGGGAGATTTTCTAGCTCTGGCCAGCAATCATGTTCAAAATAATCATAGTAGAAGACCCGCCATGCTGCAATAGAATAAATAATACATCCAAGACCAAGTATATCAACTCGTGACAATGGATCTTTCGCGCAGATCTCTTCCATATCAGCATCCAATGCATGCATTGTGGCGTTGGCAAAATCAACAACCTTCAAACTGCCATTCTCAACAAGTATATTGTTGGGCTTGACATCTTGATGGTGGATTTTTTGAGAGGAGATATACCAGAAAGTCTCCACTAGCAATCGAATCCAGGTGGCGCGAATTGCTTCAGATGGCTTGTCATGGCTTTGAATATAGCATTCCAGATCCCCTTCCTTTGCATATGCCAATTTTATCGCACCGGTTAATTGGTCGTGGACGCCCAAGTATGAAATAATCCCTTTATGACTTCCCAGGCGCTCGTAGATCAGTCTTTCGTTAATGATCATATCGCGGTACATCTGATTGTATGAATCATTATTCGGAATGACCTTTGGGTGTTTCACAATGGTATCTTCGTCGATTTCACAGATGATTCCGGAAAAACCAATCGATATACATTTCGGTGGGTGCTTCACGTGCAAGATTATCTCGTTACCAGACTGTTCGGCGGTTGGGCGGTCGGCAACGAGGTGGCTTGAATCTTCAGGCGATTTGGCATTCTATATAATCAAATCAATAGGAGGTAGTTGTGGCATTATTAGCTCACTGACATGGTGGAATTGTGCTTCTGTACGTCCAGGTTCAACATCGTCGTCAAGGGTTGGCCTTGCTGTCCCGCCGAGGTATTGGAATAGACTGATGCTCCTAATGAAATTGGAGATAAAACCCCAGAGCGACGACCATATGTGCCAGCGAAACAGATTATTAAGAGACAGCATAGATGATTCTTCCAGTATCCTTTGCAGGTCTCTACTATGTATGGTCAGAGACCAAGCAAACGAAGTCGGGAGAATGCCGGTGAGAGACAGCAGAATTTGCCAAATCTACAAGAGTTCAATTCAATTAGTATCAACATGCACCGTTACTATAGATGTCTCTTTGAAAAACATCCAACCAGGAAATGACCAATAGCTTATTCATACTATCTCAAATCAATACAAACAAAGAGAACCACTGCAAGGTGTTTACCCCCAAAGATGCACCAGATTATTATTTTCACCTCCCAAGATCACAATACCATGCTGTCAGCCTGATGTCAGAGCAATCCAGAGCAGAATCGTTGGTGAGAGGTCTCATCCAGCTCCCTTCTTCAACATTGATCCAATCCCTTGCTCACTCAGTCGCCGTTTCCATGTTGGCAGATATTTGTAAAAGATGGTGTTCAACAGGCCTAGATATAGTTTAGTATATGAGAGAAAGATAGACAAAGGACTACTCTCACGCCAATTTGAAACTGAATTTGCACGGGTTGGCATTTGCCAATCCAATCATAGTATGGTTATGTGCCCGGTTTCCAGGAGCTAATAAGTTCCCAAGAATATTGCTTGAGCTCCTGAATATGGATGTCGCCGTTCCCAGAAACATATGTTGCATCACGCCCATGTGTCTTTGGGATATCTGGAGTGCACGGGAATGCCATAGCTCTTTCTGGAAGCTTCAGAACATGATGCGCGTATGCCTCAGCAACCACCAGCATCAGGACAACACCAGGGGAGAATGTCACCAGCAGATCAGCGCTGCCAGCATCTGTACCGCGAACGAAATGACTTTTCCTTTAAGTTTTAAGTCTTATACTTTCATTTGTACTTTTCAATTTGTACTTTCTGGAGCTGGGATGGGAGTGGATTTGCTGAATTGCAAAGAATGCAGAGGATTCAAAATCCAAAAATCCAGCAATGCCAGAAGTTCAGAAATGACTTATCTCAGTAAACCTCAGTCACTTCAAATTTGAAGAAGAAGAGAAGTGGAATTCAGCAGCAGAGTTGAGAATGGTTCAGCTACAGCACAGTCAATCTGTATGACAATTTATAATGAGAGTCAAAGTGAAGGTGATGTGTCGGCACACATGCGTTGAGACAATGATAAAAAAAAATCAATGGGAAAATAGAGATGACGGGGAGCAGGTGTTGAAGCAGGGGCTTTTATACTCAAGAAAGTGATGATATTATGCTATGTAAACCTACTCAGGCCGCTGCTAAACCCTGCGGAGCAAGTCAGATATTGTGGCAGATGTAAAGCTTGTGAAAACAGAATTTTCTGCCACCCCCTGAAAAGTAGTAGCAAAACACTGCAAAAATAATCAAAATATCCATGTATCTCTAAAATCATTCAAATATCATTCAATTCATTCAAATATGCATCTTTATCATCAAATATACATCTTTATCATCAAATCTGTCAATATGTCTCACAACACTCATCATTCTACTGTCTTATAAACTTGTAAAAGAACTTCAACTACTCTGTGTCTTTGTCTGCTTAAATTATCTATTCTGAATATTCTGAATAATAACAAGAATTCAACTAATGATAAGAAGAAGAAGAAGAAGAAGAAGAAGAAGATATAGTCAGAAGATTCTCAATTTCTGTAAATATCTATCTCTAAATCTGAGATTTTATTCAAACTGTATGAATAGATGATTATCAATGAAATAAAAAAGTCTATAAAGATCAAGTTATAGAATGTCACAATAAATGATATGATTGTCAGCTTCTATTATATTCAATATACTGCAAAAAGAATAGCTGAAGAGTATGTTATAAAGCAGAACTGTAAGAAGATAGAAGTTATAAATTATATAATAGTTATCTCATCAAATAAATATAAATCTTCAATCAAAATTATTCTTGAGAAGAAGATAGATTGAAGAGAGATTATTATTTTTTTAAAGAAATTATATAAGAAGAAGATGAGCAGATTTAGTATTGAGATTATCATCTCTTTTAATCTTTTTAATATTTCAATTTTATTCTCAAATATTTCTGTAATACACAGTTCTGCAGTTTTTATTAAAGTATCAGATTTACAATTAATAATTCAGATATTAATATTAAAAAGAGTATTAGATATTAAAAAAGAAGTAATCTCATCATCTATCAAATTCCCTCTCTATCATTCTGTCAAATTCTTTTAAATTTATGAAATATTCAATAATGAAAAGCTGCTGTCTATATATATAAAATCCACAGTCACTAGTCAGCAGCTAAAGAAGACTTGAAATTAACAGTCAAATAAATACAATTCTTTATAGATTGAATATAAGATAACTATTCACTGATATTATTAAAAGATGAATTATTATAACTTTGAGTAGAGTATTTATTGAATGATTTTTAATAATATTTATATTCAATTTCTGAGTAGTGAGATTGTCAGTTGAATAGATGATGTTGAATATAGATATACAATAATTAAAAATTTATCAAAAAAGATAATAAAAAGATTAATGAATAAAAAAAAGAAAAAGAAATGAAAAAGTAAATCTATCTCTATTTCTAATTCTTCTATACAGATATCTCAGATATCAGTAGTTATCTTTTCTTTTTCAACTTCTTCTTCATCTAATATTATATCTTCAAATAAGATAATCAATATGATGATGATGAAATATATAATAAAAGAAATAAAAGATATAAAAGAATTGAATTCAAATTTATTATTAAATTCAAATCTATCATTAAATTCAAATCTGCTGTTAAATTCAAATCTGCTGTTAAATTCAAATCTGTTATTAAATTCAAATTTATTATTGAATTTAAATCTATCTTCTATTCAAAGTAATTCAATCTCTCAGTTTGATGAATATATGAATCTATTTATTGATAAGTTTTTCAATTGATTGATAATAGAGAGATTTCAAAGAGTAGAAGCTCTTTTAACTGCAAAGAGTATTATTTAGAATAAAGAATTTAAACTAAATTATATATGAATAATGATAAATGAGTAGATGATTCAGTTGAATATTGAAATGAGTATATTTTTAATAATAAAAAATGAATTAAAGAGTTCTATCTGATAATTATAATTGAAGAAGATTAAATTGTCTTTATTTACTGTTTATAATAATGACAGTAGATTTTATACTACTTCTACTTCTGAATTTGAAACTTAGATATTATATATTATTATAATTGAATTACAATCTGAATCTTTTTAGATTTTACAATATTATTCTATATAAGCAGATCTGAAATATTCTCTTACATCTTTTTTTTTTATAAAGTTTTTAATTATATAATATAAAAAGATTTTAAAATCTTCATCAAACTGATTCTCTAACTGATATCTGTATCTTTTAATTCATTCTTTCAATGTGTGAAATGACTTCTCTATAGAATTATAATCAGAAGAATATAAAAATAAAAATAAAAGTTTAATATCAGCTTCTCTACAGAGATCTTACAGTGTTTATGAACAATGAAAAAAGTAATTATTCATCACTAAATAGTGATAATCTCATTGATATTTGAGCAGTATCTAAATATATACAAACTCATTGAATCTCTCTGTATTATAGAATCTCTGATATATATTATAATTAAGATATTCATTGATATTTATCACAGATAAGATTGATCATCTGTGAAATTATTTATAGAGTCTTTTAATATAATAAAAGAATTTTCTATTTGATTATTTATATCATTGATCTGCAGTATATTCATTTATAGCACTCTCATCTAAAAATATAAATTGATCAGATTGATACTGAGTAATTTGAATATATTATTCAGTTTAAAGTTTTTTATTGTATTGAGTAGTCACAAATTCAATCTATATCAAATAGAACTGATAGATTAGCAGATTCTATAAGTGATAATTATAATAATTAATTATTTTTTTTCATATTAAATTCAGTTTCTTTAATAATCTAGATATTAATCAAGAATAAATATCAACATCAAATTCATTCTTTATAAAGCAGACAGTTTTATTGTGATATATAGTTGAATATATCTCAAAAAAATCCTTCAAATCTAACAAGATATTCAGTGTGATTTTTGACTTTATATTTTATATTGAATGAGAATTTCTAGCAGTTTCAAAGTAGTGAATATTTCATTGAATTTGATATACAGTGATCAGATGATACTCAATGATTCACACAATCTGAGTAGATATATAATCATTGTTTAGAAGATGTATGATTTTATTGATGATAAATTCACTGAGCTGAGAAGACATATTGACAGATTTGATGATAAAGATGTGTATTTGATGATAAAGATGTGTATTTGAATGAATTGAATGATATTTGAATGATTCTAGAGATATGTGGATATTTTGGTTATTTTTGTGGTGTTTTGCTACTACTTTTCAGGGGGTGGCAGAAAATTCTGTTTTCACAAGCTTTACATCCGCCACAATAAGCTGGGGAATCCCAAGCTCTCAGCTCGCCCGCGGACTGACAAAATTTCCAAACAAACACAATCATTTAATATTGAACCAAACAGCTATGCCGATCCCCTTTCCTGAAAAGGAAAGAATATAGAAAAGGGGGACCCGTATATATATATATATATGTACGTATGTATGCATGTAGATTTATATTGAACCCCTCCTGAAACCCTCAGAAGATAGCTCACCAAAATATCTGGTACCAAATTTCAGCTATGTAGCACCTAAATCAGACCTATGAAGAAGCCAGTCAGTGTTACTGAGCACCAAATATCAAATTGTGAAGAGGGCTCGGAAAGTCAGGTCTCAGAAATCAGTATCAACAAAGCAAACGAGCACGAAATCAACAGCCGCGGAACCATCAGAGAGAAGATTAAGTATTCGTCATGGCCTGATAAAAACCCAAGCCTCCCTTCCTCGAATTCATGGCCTCTTTCAAGGACAGAATAAGATTAGAGTGAGATACATGGATTTTCCCAGTAGGCATACGACTAAGGATGACGATCTTGGGATTTCTCATCATTATGTCCTATTGTCATTCGGCTTCTTTTTCTTTCTTTCTTTCTCTTCTTTCTTTCTTCCTTTTTGGTGTGATTGTTGTTCTTTCGTTGTGGAGATGGATGATCTGAAGCGTGGGGAATGTTTATCACATACATATCATTCAACTTCCAATGTTCATGTAGCTAGCAAATACCATTGTAATTCCTGAACCAGGAGAAGTAGCGGCAATGCCGGCGGGATCAGGAGAGTAAAGTCTGAACTTTCATCTCTTTTGATAATACGTTAATGCCACGCACTAGGTAACGTATGTTTTCTATCGTTGTCTGGTATGCATCCTCCGATAGGAATAGGGAGGCGTAACTTGTAGTCGATAAGCTCCAAAAGGGGAATAATGGTAAGGAAAATAATGCTTATTTTGGACGAATGTAGAATGGAGCTGGCCTGGCGAAGAGTCGATATATGTGACACTCTGCCGAATTGATCGCAAACGAAATTTCCATTTCCCCCCGGTTTATCCTCTGTTTGTTTCCTTTCCTTTTCCCTCGGACCCGTGTCCGTATGTCACATCAATGCGGAGGAATAATAAAATAGCAAATGGTATCGAAAAAAATTGAAAATGGAAAATCAACAGCATCGTCATCATCATCATCAACATCATCAACATCATCATACTTATGGACATGAGTCTGAGAAAACCCCCAATGCACAAACGTCACGACGACAATAACGAATGATAAGCGGAGGCAGTTAGGTCAAAAAGGAAGAGTTTTGAGAGATGGACAAGATCCAATGACTAATTCGCAACGGCCAATTGTGCAACCAAATCCGACGCAACGTCCAAGAAAGGAAAGGGGCTAGTGACTTCTTTCTCCTTGTTTCGGATCCGCTTGCTGACCGGTCGCCACTCAGCGGCAGCAGCAGGGTCACCACTACTGCCACTTCCACCCTCGTTCTCAACGCGGATCACGTTCTGGTAACCATCGCATTTGAAATCGACCATGAAATTGTTCTCTTCCAGTTGGTATAGTTGAATGTCGATGAACACCCAGACGCCGTGTACGATGGCACCAGGGTGTTGAAGTAGCGAAGAAGAGGATCCCAGGGCCGGCGTAGAGCTTGCTAGACCTGTACCACTGGAAGTTGTGGGAGCAGCACCTGTAAGGTGTGGATTATCTACCGAATTACTCCTGCTCAGGGCAGCGGTGGCAGCTGCTTTTTCTTCTGGGTCTGTTATTAAGCTAATTCGTCGGCGGTATTCCTCTAGATCACTGCGGCTGGAATGGCTACTGCTTGATGGGCCAGGCGCGAGGACATCCTTTTTAAGCAGCCGGGCTCTGATGAACCAGAGGTCTTTGGGTATGTAGTAGTCTGATGGAAGGTTGGGGTATTTGTGTTGTAAGGGTTTTGGTAATTCTGATGACATTTGAGGGGTTGCCGCTGGGTCGTTGTCTGTTGAAGTACAGCAAGAGGTTGTATTAGCTAGGGGTCATTTTCACCAAAACTAAAATGGCGTTATAGAAAGCAAGTATAGAAATAAACAAACAAATAAATCTTACCAGATTCGGCGGGTTGGATTTCCCAAACGCCACCTTGGGCTCGAATAGCTTTATACAAGCACAGCATGGCTTCATATGGCTGATTGCGTGACCGTATGCCAAACTGCCACTTGCGCGATCTCTTTGGTGGCGAAGACATTTTCTCGAGACCTTCCGGCGGTTCCAAGCTAAGCTTCTTCAAATCGACAAGGCTGCGTGAATGGGGCTTGAGTGACCTTGCAGTCGCAGCTTGCTCTTCCGGAGATCTCTCCTTGTGGCTGTCTGTCTCGGCCTCAGTAATATCCTGGTATTGCGATCGCCCACGCGATTCCTCCATTGACTGGTCTTGGGAGGGAGCATGCCTCTCCCTCTCCCGTTGGTCCATTATTTGATTATGAACGTATGGCAAACTCGTAGGTAGAATGCGTACGTGGCTGACGCGCTCCTCTTCGACCTCTGGAATTGTGAACGCTGGTGCTAGTGATGCTGCAGATAGTGGGGTGGACGGTGTTGGGACTTGCCCTCGATGGGACGATTGAGGCGCGGTGTTCACATTTTTGGCGTTACGGGTGGACCCGCTCCCAGCAGCAAGAGAAGCTGAGGATTCCGGGGAAACAGGTGGAGTGGTTGGCGATTCGCTGGCGTCTGTAGGGGCTGCAGCTAAGTCAGTTTGAACATTCTTGTGAAAAAGCATCATGGGAATTGAGATCACAAGTTTAAGGACTTACAATTCGTCTGCATCATTTCGTTTTCCACCACTATAAAAAATGCGTCTTTGATCGCACTTGGTTCCGGTTTCTTCAGCGCGTCGCTAATGTCTTCTCTATCGACACCCATTCTCTTCTCGAGCTTGGTGATCGCCGTCTGTTGAATTTTCTCTTGCACAGCGAGCGGTCGGCCCGGAGCGATCCTGCGGGGATCAATGGCTCTGTTAGGATTTGCTCCTGGGCTGACCCACTCCTCCGCTGGGGGTTGGAGATATTTCGGAAGGTTCTTAAGAAACCAAGGGTCCTGACGGATCTCCGGGATGGTGATTCTTTGAACAGGATGGACTTGTAGCATAGCTCGTATCAAACGGGCAGCACCAGTCGATATGTAGGAGGGCATATGGAAGTTCCCCGCGGCAATCTTTTTAAATAAAGCAGGGATATAATCGTCGTCGAATGGAAGCTTGCCAACTAGTAGCACATAGAGGATCACGCCACAGCTCCATACATCCACCTCCGGTCCTGCATAGAGCTTCCCCGAGATGACTTCCGGCGCTGCATAGTTGGGGCTCCCACAGCTCGTCTTCAAAAAGTTGCCGTCGGTCATGATATTGCTAAGGCCGAAATCAGCGATCTTGACGTTTCTTTCTTTGTCAATGAGCAGGTTCTCTGGCTTCAGATCTCGATGGACGATCTTGTGACGATGGCAATATTCGACTGCGCAAATTATCTGTTGAAAAAACTTGCGTGCTTCTTCATCGCTACACCTCCCACGCTTTACCAAGTAGTCGAAAAGCTCCTTTTCTGCATACTCGAGCACCATGACAATATCGGTCTTCGTTGCAATCACAGTGTATCTGACTCCCCACGACAAATTAATTAGGTCAGTGAAATAACACGACATCGTTACGGCAGAGGAAATATCAAAATGGGCCATCCGATCTGAGAAAAAGAGCGAGTTGAAACCAAAATAACTCTGGACGTACAGCTTTATGATATGTGGATGCCGTAAGAACTGTAGATATTGTATCTCCCGATCAACCCTCCCCACCATATCCCTCGACAATAATTTCCGTCTCGGTATGATTTTCAGGGCTACCTGCCTCCCGCTCGCCTGGTGCACCGCCAGCTTGACTTTGCCAAATGAACCTTCACCTAGTATCTTAACGGTGGTGTACTGGTCCAGTCGCTGCATGTCCCTTGCGGTGTCGGGGGATTGGTCATTGTAATCCGGGCGGGATCGTTTTGGAGGTATAGCGGGATGGCCGCGGTTCTTGTGCGAGGATGTGTTATCGTGTTCATGGGAAGGGAGGGATGCGGAGAGGTCTTCCTCATCGAGGGCTGCCGCCATGATGAGGCGATTAAGGACGGCTGGATTATTGTTGGATAAATTTTTTATATATGCGAAGGAGGTGTCGGATAGGGCTGCCGCAATCAATGACGACAGAATACTTTGGGGATTATGATTAGCCGGAGTTCTCTGGCTTTCTGTATCCGTGAGCGTCGAATTAAGCCATTGGTATTGTCGGGTACGGGCTCTGGCATGAGATATGATCACAGGCCTCGAGAAGGTGTGGTGGTGGCAGTTGATGTCGACAAAGTTTGGAGGGGAATGTTTAGGCGGGGAGAGCCGCACCGTCACCCAAATTTAGCTGAAGACGGAGACACTTGAGAGCAACGTACGGCATGGCGGAGAGCTACGCTAACTATTCATATTATCCTTAAGATGTCCAAATAGCCGATCTTCATCTTTTAGGTCGCAGCAGATATGCGCCTGGAGCACAATTGATGGCTTGGAAACCAAATAGAAGCTACCTGTCCAGCGAATATTTTCAGCTCCCAATGTCGCAAAGCAGCAGATATATATATCCATTATTTCATGTCAAGCCGGCTGAAAAAGAAGCAAAAATAGATAAGGACAAGATAAGCAAATATATGAAGTGAATGAGTTGACGAGAGGACGGACAAGTTTTCGCGCCCCTTCGACGCCACCGTTGCCTCCACATACCCACGCCATGTGCCATGTCTACTCTGATGGGTTGAATAATGTACAGGTCAGGAACAGGTCATTTCTTCCGTTTCGTCACCCACTCTTTGCTCAGCCAACAGAAAAGAAGCAATGATAATAAATACAGTCAGAAAAAAGAAAAAGAAGAGAAGAGAAAGAACTTCTTTGCAAAAGGCGCAAGTAGCGCAAAAATTCCCTCCGTCAGAAAAGGAACAGGAGATGTTTGAAATCCAGAACCGCAACGCCAGAACACCATGCTAGTTTGTAATTGAAGAAGAAAAAACTTTTCAGATTGCGTCGAAACCGCGGCGCGATTGAACAGCAATTGAGCACTCGTTGTCGTGGATGTAGGAGGTCGAAGTTATCGATTCCCCCGGAGTTAGCCGGAACTTTAACCATCGTCATCAGCATGGCTGTGAGAACGGGGATGTTCGTGGTGACCGTGAGCGCCATGCATCCAAACACGTTTCCACGGCCCTTCATGTCCCGCTTCACGATCCTGCTGCATCCCCTCGAGGACTCCGACGATTCCGCCATTCCTTAACCGCTCCAAAACCACGTTCATTCCTTGTTTGCTCTTCAGAACAGCATCTCGCGTTCGCTTCACGCCCACGAGCTCAATTGTGCGCTGGATTCCGGCCGTGGACCATGATGCGAGAAGGCTTCGTTTGCTGTGAGACTCGTCATCGCCGTGTTCGCCTGCTGATGAAGCATCAAACTTCTTGGAGCGATTGAGCACCGCTTGCCCCAGACTTGAACGAAACGTAACTGTGGTTTTCACGCTTGTCCTCTCGTCTTTGGGTTCGTCAATGGACGAGCCTGACCACCATGTCCGTGGTTTGGGATTACCGTTGTCCGAGGAAGGAGGGAGGCGTCGATATAGTTGCTTTTCCACGACGCTGAGGATGCCCGTCCATTCCATATTACGAGATTCTGTATGCATCCAGCCTTCTTTCACGTCTACAACGGTGGTCTCGAGGATGAAGCTCTGGCCTGAGTTCTCGCTGCCGCCAATTCCCTTGGGTAGTAACTTCAGCATGGCCGAGGGGATCTTGGATTTTTTAAGAAGCAGCCTGGTGGTATGCAAGCGCTCTGTGACAGGGTCGACATAGCGATCGATGACATCGGTGGTCAGGACATGGCGGGAGTAAGGGTTCGGATAACGGAGGAAGTAGGCAAGTGAGACAGCGGGAAAAGAGTAATCGTAGTTGAAGGTGCTTTCGAAGAACTTCATTGTTAAGGCATTGGCGTCTGGCCCGTCAGACAGAGGAGATATCGAAAACACTTGATGGCCGGCTGGAGAGACATAGACTGCAGCCTCCAGGTGTTGGGAATCGACAACGTCAAGCTGCGATTTTCGACCCTCGTTCTTCGGTGCCTCAATTCTCTTTTTCCTAACTGGGGCTTGGGAGATGCGTTAGTCAGCACAGACTAAGCCTATTACGACCTAGTTAGCCAATAGGAATCTGAGTAAATCCTCACCAATCATAAGTCGAAGATTGATCGCTGACCTGGGAATATCAGCGAACCTCGTTGATATACTCCATAGTTGCCTACCACAGGCCTCGACCAAACTGCTATGTCAATCCATCCAATTGCGCGTCTCCACCGCGAAACCTGCTCAGTGGAGGGGTGCATATGTCTCTGCTCGTCAATGACGCCAGCATGTGCCACTCAACTAGATAAAATTTCCAGCCAGACGATGGCATGGCTTCAATACCTTCGAGAGCATTGTCCCCTTCTCAGTTGACGGCGACGGATGGAGCAGGCCAACAAGGGATCTGTTCGACCTCCCTCATTTATGGAGGAAGCAATTCCGTGTTTTCGTTATTGCGTTCCATTGTTTGTGGCTATTGCACTATTGCAATCTTTAAGGGCGACAAGGATTATGCCTCACCATGGAAGAAGTTAGTGCAGGTGCCAACGTTGTTACTCGAGTTGAAGCGTCGGTTGATTCATAGGCGAGCCATCCTTCACCGTTTTTCCGGGACGATGACCGCTCAGTCGATAAACTTGCGAATCTTCCCAACAAAGCAGGCCGGAATTGCCAATTACACTGGGTCTTTGGAGGACTGCAGGAGACGTCCATTGGGGACATGATATTTCACGATATCCCACGTTCGGCAATCAGACGTGAATACATATATCAATTTCTGAGGTGCCAATTATCGCAAGTCAGGAGCAATCCCATACCAATTCTCAGTACTTGCAGCCCCTTGCCACCTCCATATTGGCCTCGTCAAGATCAGCTTGACATCCTCGTGGACAATGGCTCCACCACTCTTCATATTTGCAGCCACCATGTGTCAATTTGTCAAGGATCTGAGGTTCCTGGAGCTCGTGCTAAATTTCAAACGGCTTCATAGACATCCAAACTTAACAAAATCTATCTTTCTGAACCGGACCAGTTAGATACCAGCCTCAACCTGAACGTAGAAGAGAAACAGGATATTACGGGTTCAACGAAGTCGCTGGCTCAATTGTAACCCTAACCGAAACCTCTGTCGGAAAAATCCCTGGAAAATACCCCTAGGACTTGAAAGGACGGAAGTGGACTGGAGATCGAAACACTTCGCTCCGTCCTGTTACGTGCCCAGTAACCCAACCCAACCCATCCCACCCCGCCTCCTCAGACCGCTAAATCTCTGGCTCTGTGATTTCCTTGTTGGTTCGCGAAGTATCCCCACTGTGTCATGACGAAACGAGTCAACACAAGCGCATACTCGCCCGATGCTGCCCGGAATTTATTCCCTCCAGCCTAGGCCCCTCAAAAAGGAACATATGCAACAGAAAGGGACCAGGAACATCCTTTAGAAAGAATCTTGACTGCAAAGCGATAGATACACGTGCCATCCGCGACGGGAGACCATGTCAATCCATTCCACATTCCTCCAACCTACATTTCATCCGCTGGATTGAAGCCCTTGGCTTCTTTGTGGGGGGAGGAGCGGGGGAATGGGGGGAGGGGTCGCTGCTGGTACAGAACCTAGCCATGGTGCATGAATCTGCGCTTATAATGTTCATTGTCCCAGGGCATGCCTCGTACCCCATTCTCGCCTCCAGAGTATATGTAATGTAACTATATAAACTTGCGTATGTTTGAGGGTGCCCATCAGGGGATAAGTAATAAATAATGAAATATATCTATATCTATATATATAGATATATAAAAAGCTTTGTGTGTTTCACATATTGCAGATGATGTTTTGGATTCAATACTCCTAGGTTACTGCGTAACACAGAGACGCAGAAGGAACTTACTTCCCTTATGAAAAAATAAAATGTGCTGTAGATAAGTAGATAAGTAGATAATAATAATAATAATAATGTAAAATAAAAATAAAATCCGTGGGACGAACAGACAAAAGAGCAATGCTGTACATCCTAAAATGTCATTTTTTTCATCCCTCTTTTCTTCTAGGACCGTTCCCGTTCACTTTTCCTGTTCTGTCGTTCGTGAATGATTTATTGTCTCTATCAACAGTTATGCATTATATTGGCATTTGTTTCCTTTCCAGCTACTGACTACCTTAAGTACTGCCCACCCTCGTCTCGTCCTCGTCTCGCTCTCTCGTCTTCTCCTTTTTCCCACCGCAATCACCACCACCACCACTGCATCCATGGTATATAGTAGATCACCTCCCCTTCGACCCATCTCAGCTCTTCAAGACACGATCGTATTGTGTATTCCGCACCGTCCCCCCCTGCATGGCTGTCCGAACGTTGCGTCGGAAGCCCTCACGGTTCAGCCGAAGGTCGTCGGCGACTTCTTGGATTAAGGGGTCTTCGTACGTGGTGTGGATGAATATGTGCTGTTTCGTTTTGGCATGCTGGCGTTAGTTCTATGCACCAGGTTTTTTTCTTTCTTTTTTTCCCTTTTCTCTCCCTTCCGAGAGGATAACGCACCAGTAAGCCAAATGCAACGGCCTGGACATCCAACGCGGCTGTCCACCCATCACGCAGTATGTTCAGACACACATTTCCTTGCGGGTCGATATTCGGGTGGTATATCCGCTGGGTGCATTTTACTCTGGGCGGTTCAAACGGGTAGTCGTGTTCGGGAATGTCAAAATTGAACTTGAACGAGCCACCCTTGTACATCCCCTCGTCCGGTTCGATCACCACACTAAAATGAAACGGATCATCGCCGTTCTTCCACTCGAATTTAATGGGGCGTGCACCCGTGCGGCTCTCCTCCTCCTCCTGTTTCCCGACCCGGAGCAGATCTGTGAAAGGTGAGAAGGACGAAGCTGACAGTTAGCCCATGCCATTGGAAAAGTGTTTCGCATCTTATCACAAGAGGGAAGCGATGCTGGCGGAACGTACCATGTTGAATCCGTGCTTTCGCACCTCCGACCCTATTCTTGGTCTGCCCAGCAGCAGCAGCCTCCGCTTGTTGCTTCTTTTTCTGCAGCACAGAGTCAGCTGATTGCCTGTGTATTCGGCATCTATATTAAAATATAGGAGGCGCCATTAGGCGGAGGGAAGTGGGGGGAGTTGATAACCATTAATTAACAACAACGGAACAAACTTTGACTTACCATAGATAATATCTTCAACATCGTGAAAAAGGAACGCCTCTCGGCTCAATCACCGAAACAAAAAGCGTATATGTGCAAATGTGCAAATATATGCAAGGATACCGGATAATGACAAGTGCCAAGCTTGTTATGCCCAGAATCGCTCTTCTCTCGTCCTTCTGTTCTTGTAATTTTCCCTTCCTACCCTTGCATTCCCGCACAAAGCAGCCTCCCTTTTGTCCTCCTGATAACTTTTACTTTGCGCCGTGAACGTAAAAGAACCAAAAGAAAAAAAAAGGAGAGCCCGAGACGCAAAAAAGGTGTAACCGTCACCAAGTCCGGAAGCTTCCCAGTCCAACTGAGACCCCACACAGAACTAGTACTAGGTCGTGTCTCTTCCTGGCTTGGTCTGGACAGGAGACGAAGAAAAAGCTGTATCCTGTATTCGAAGGCAGCAAGACGGCAGGAAGGTCCGTACCAGGTAAATCGACGTGCAGAGGAGGGGAGGGGGGAGAAGAGGGCGGGGAGAGGGCGAGGCTTTCGATCGGCGGAGAGTCTCCGCAGGCAGGCCGACGGTTTATGGCCCAAGCAAGGAGATCCGAGGGAGATAGAGCGGGACACAAACTACGGGGAAGAGAAGCCAAGTGGAACTGTGCTCGGGGTTGTTTATACTATCGTTGAGATGCGAGGCGGGGGCTGGGGGGGTATGTGTGTGTATGTACAGTACACAGACAGTGGTGATGGTGTGCCGTGATAAGATAGATTTCTTTTGGTACCGTGAAGGGGGCAAAACAAAAAGGGGCCGAAAGGGAGCGGAACGAGGGCTGACGGACGGGTTGACGGACGGGCTTACGGACAAGCAGTCAGAGTGCAGAGCAACGGCGTTGTGCAAAGGTTGGCGGATAGGGAGTGAGACCTGGGAGGAAGAAGAAAAAGACGGGGATGGGATGAGGAATGACGCTGATGCATCGGGCAGGGGAAGAGGAGCCGAGTGCACGTGACACGGCTGGTTGCCCAACGGCCCGAGCTGTGGTTTGGCGGGTGGACTCCATAATATACATACGCAGTGCAAGGCTACAGGCTACAGCCGTCAATAAATGGATTCGAAAAGTAAATGCCTTCAATTCATTCCAATCATATCAGCCAATTAGCTACATCATTTGCAGAAGAGGCGGAGAGCGAAAAAGAAAATAAAAAGCAGTCATCTAGGTAGGATATAGTAAATTTACACAACAAGGGAAAACCAGAAACAGAAAAAGCAGTAACAGCAAGAACAGCAGCAACAAAAACACCAGGGGGCGGGAGCGATCAGAGAAATAAGACAACAAACAGAACATTAGATTCAGAATTCAGAGGCTCTCACGCATATAGAAACACACAAAAGAGAGGCCAGGCAGGAGGAAATAGGACACATCTTGCCATTATTATAGGAAAGGAATCGAGAAAAGCGAAAAGAACAACAAGCAATGGGAAAAGAAAAACAAAATCGGGACATATTCGTAAAAAAGAAAAAGAAAACCTTTCCAACAGTTGGCCAAGCGGCAGCTGCCAGTTTCTTGTCATTTCCTTTCTTCTCTTTTCAATTTTCGATTTTCGATCTTCGATCTTCATGCTCTCTTCTCCCCCATCCTTGTTTTATATTATTCCGGGTTTCGTTGCCGTCGTCCGCAACAAAAAGGTCACCCGAAAGAGAAAAGGAAAAAGGGAAGCAAAAGATTTTTGCACCACCAAACAAAATATATAGAAAATCCAACAGAGCCAAATGGACTGACTATCTTCTCGCGAAGCAGCACATAATTCCCGTCCGGCCAAGGAACCAGCATGCGCCGGTGAAGCGGATGAGGGAGAGCGCTGCGGTCGCCCACAGGAGAGCCTGGAAGAAATGCGTGGTTCGGCTGGTTGCTCGGGACTGGATTGTGGGAAGAACACGTTAGCAGAGTTTTTTTTTTTTTTTCCAAAGGGCGAAAGAAAAAAATGAGGAAGGGGGAAAAAAAGGAAAGGAAGGCCTACAGTGAATCCAAACTTGTTCACATCCTCGCTAGTAATGGCCACGGCAAGAATGCCATTCGAGAACAGCCACAGCGTCACCAACCGCGTGCGGAAACTCTTATACGAATCATCCAGCGACTTCCCCTCCTTCACCTTTGGCTCCACGTACGGCGTCAGCGCCCGCTTCACGGTGCTTTCAAACTGGCTGTCGATATCCGCCTGCGGCTTGTCGATCTCCTCGATCACAGCAGCTTTGCCGTCGTCTTCCTTTTGCGTTTGGGCAGAGGGCAGAGCGTCGGCTTTGTCCGCACCCTTTGTGCCCCACGACACATCGTGCCAGTTGCTGAAGGCGTAGACCATCAGGATGTTGATGTACGAGGACATGATCAGGAGGTAGGCCGGGAAGGAGGTGAACATGTGCCAGGGGTCGAGGTACATGAAGGAGGCGACGAAATAGAGGCCGAAGGTGGCGGCGAGGGCGATGATGATGATTCCTGGTCCTTCGGAACTGAAGAAGGATTTGAGGAATTCGCCGATACCTTTGTCTGTTACGAAGGCGAGTGTGCCACCGCTGAAGGCGCGGACGACGAGGTACATGGATAAGACGATGATGTACAATTGGATAATGCCGAATACGACGAAGGAGGTGATGTACGAGTGTTTAGATCTGAGGGGCGTTATCAGTATCATCTAACGCATATATGGGAGCTCAACGCTGGGAATCTCGCCGGGGAGAAGGGCAATGAAAATAATAATGCCACGAATTGGATATTTCTGAGCCTCCCCCTTAGTTGACTACGAGATTATGCAAACTCACCCTTTAGGCCGGTTACCCAAAGCCAAAATAAACTGCAAGAGCAGGAAGGCCAGATACAAGTACTTCAGAACGGTGTTGACAATCGGAGTCGCGGTATTGCCGAATGGGAATGCCCTCTGCGTGCTGCCAGATTCTGGAGCGGGAGGGCTTCCGACGAGGTCCATGATGACGGAAGTTGTGAGCCAGTATGAAGCTAGAACATGTTAGTGTTGGGAGACAATAGACGCAAGAAGAAGGTTGAAGTTGAACGAAGGATGTCATTGTTCGGAGGAACAAAGACATATTGTTGAACAACACATACCAAGCGCAAACCAAGCCATGATAACGGTGCACGTATTGTAGATCATCTGAATATGGAAAAAGAACATTCGCAGAAGGTTATGACCGCTCTTATACATTCGGCCAAAATGCATCAATGAGTAGATACTAGCTGCGAACGAGCCGTTGAGCCACCGACGACGCTGGCCGATGAATTCGGGGGCTCCCTCGGGCACGTCAGTCTCGCCCTTGGACGACTTGACGTAGGACAGATGCCATTTGGACCCGGCCTTGGCCACGAGTTCGAAACACAGAATCCGATCCTCGGCCAAGAACATGTTCTTCTTGAAAATATTCATGCCCTCGATACCCTTGGGACCGAGTTGTTTGGAGAGTGTATGGTCACCGTGGAAGTACTGTTCGAGAGGTCTGCCCATGATTGCACGGAAGCGGTAGGCAGAGAAGGCACCGGGCAACACGCTGACGTAGCCGAAGGAGGATTCCAGAGGTTTGTCCAGGATGTTACTGATTTTGTATTCGAAGTTTTGCGCTGCAACAAGAGGGTTGATGAGGTTTTTCCAGCCTTTGCCCAACATAGCGTGGATTTCGCCGCAGGAGCCGCCCAGATCTTTGTCGTTATAGAAGGCTTCCCACAGTGCCAGGAGGGATTTATGACCCGGCTTCGTACCCGCGTCGAGCAAGATGCAGATTTCCGGGTTGAGGATTCGGCCAAAGGCATTGAACAGCCATCTGTGAGAGTTGATTTTCTTACTGTTCTTTTGTTTCAAGCAGAACATCATCTGCACAGGGGGAAGCGTCGATGGGCCATCATCGTGCGGTCGGATCAGTTGCTGATTTGCGGTGACTGAGAGTTGGGTTGTATATTCAAACTAGATGGGAAGTTAGTACAGTGTAGCATTAGTGGAAGGCGCAAAAAAATTGGGCTACGGGTATCATATATGTACTGACAATGTGGGCGATGGTTTCCTTTCCATCGACATCTTTTTTCATCACGCCATCCTGGTAGATTCCAATTGTGGCCAGCACGTCGAGGGTGTCTTTGTCGCAAGGGTCGATTCCATCGAAGACCAGACAGACAACGATTTTCTGCCAAGCAGGTCCACCTTTGTTCCAGAATTCGGACTTCTTGAGGTTCACAATGTCACGGATATTTTGCATTACGCCGTGCAGGGTGCGCGAAGTAAGCATTTTGTCTTCATTGTAATAGGTAATAGCGATCAGCAGTTCGGTATGACGGTTATACATCGCCGGGCGCAGATTGTACCCGTTGTGCAGAGTGAACTCGTTGGGATCACAGGTAGCGGCGGTGTCTAAGATGGCAGCAGCAAATCAGCAAGGAAATGACCATAAACCAAAGCAGAGGGGAGTAAAAGAGAATGAATAAAGAATAAAAAAGAAAAAGAAATTAAGGACAAAAACCTACATCGCATATGAGTGAATTCCTCACTACCACCTTCGAGATCATTGCGGTATTTAGCCTGCACGGCATTCTGAATAGCACTGGGAACGGGATAATCGACACTGAGAACGGAGCCTTGGACCAGTTTGACTTTCCTGGTGGCATAACGGCGCAGATTGCCGGGCGCCTGTCGCTGACGCCAGGCCTCCGTGGAGGAGGTCTCACTGCGGGTATAGGGGGACGGAACCCGACCGGGAACACCAAAGCCAGCGGCGGGATTTTCCATGTGGCCGCCGTAGTGATCTTGAGCTTGGGGATGGTCGGTTACGTAGGATTCTGTCAGGCTGTATCTGGAGGGGGGTCGGACAGGAGAGCCACCGCGGTGGTGGTGTTGGGGGTCATCAAAGGGGCCGCTGAATGGGCCTTGGTTTTGGTGGAGGAGCGATTGGGAGGCATCGTGTTCGGCGGGAAGATTATATTGCTGGAGCGATTTAAGGGGTAAGTTAGCAAGGGGTGTTCCTGTGTTGAGAGGATATCATCCTGAAACCACTGGTACCGTGGCCCGCGACCAGGGGGAACCAGTGCTGAATACATAGCCAAAGCATATATCGATGTATATATATATATATACACACAACAGACACACACACAGACACACACGCTCTCTTATATATGTATATAAATGTATACCTATATCTATATCTATATCATATGCATATACATAGGAAAGAGTGGTTGCTCACGCTGCCAGATGGGAGGTCATGGAGTCGATGGCCATCGCCGTACCCCCCTGGAGAGTTCGAGCCTGGATAGGCCATGATGAGGGAGCTGTGGCCGCCGTCAAAACGAGAGGCCGGGTTGATGAAGCGGATAGAAGGATAGAGGGGAGAATGAATGGATGGATCGAGGTCGAGAGGAGGAAGAGAGGCAGAGAAAAGAGAAGAGAGACGAGCGAGAACAGAGCAGCAGAAGAAGAAGAGAAAACAACGCAGAAGTTCTTTTTTAGGGGCAGCGAAGCCACAGGGAGCTAAGGGAGCAGCGGACACAAAGCAGGGCAACGGATAAAAACAAACCACAGACGAGCGCTTGATATTCCCAGGCTTGCTGGACAAGACCAACAGGCGAGAATAAGCAGCGAAATAGAAATAGAAATAGAAAAGAAAAAATAGAAAAAAAAAAAGTAAGATACAGGCCCGAAAAGGCGATGATGATTTCTCTCGGGGGCAAACAGGTGGATGAACGTACGATATGGTACGGTATGGTATGTTATGGTATGTTATGGTATGGCCGGACTGTACAGAGTACAGGAGCCGTGCCCAGCAACTAGCGTGAAATTTACCGTAACTTTCTTTGTTCAGCCGCGTTTGGTGAGGGTGGAATACACATTGTTACCATACAGAAGGTAGATATATATGTATTGATCACAGAGGAGAATGACATGAACATCCGATTAATCGCTATCATTCAACATGCGCACATATCTGGGATATGGTTATATACTCGCCGTTTGGATCTCCAACCAGGTGAGCCAGCTTACGTTGCTTCCATCGAGCATAGACCGACAGTTCACAACTCTACTCAATGGTACTCTCCGCCCTAGGCCCAGCTCAGCTCAGGGTGGATATGCTCCCCCTTCCTCCTCGCTCAATCAGCCTTTCCTCTGTCTCCTCTAGCCGGAAGGAAAGGGCCACATGGCGGCGATTCTGCCATTTACTCAGTTTAATTTCACCTTCTTCTCTTGTCTCGCCCCTTTGAACGTTGCCGCGAGGACTTTGTCCACAGTTGGACTGCATACAGACAGACAGACATACGCACAATACATACTTACTTGCCCCATACTTAGAGGCAGCGAATCATTCATACTGCGCGCGGCACCGTCACATCACGACACATATGTATATGTATATGTATATGCATATGCATATGGATGGATGTATCTGAAGGAAGGAAAACGGGCGTGGAGGACATCATAATGTGATGACCTCTGCAGCGACTTGCTGTATTCATGCATGCATCCTGCGAGGCTGTTCGTCTGTTAGTCGCCTCCATTTGCAGCGACAAGATCACTTCTCAGCAGTCAAGTCAAGATGCTCGCTGCGATACCTATTGTCTGTGATATTATCACATGAGTTTGAGAGCAGTCAAAAAAAAAAAAAAAAAAAAAAAAACAAACACAAAAAAAAATATCATTCCCGAGAATGTCCCCACATATCTGAAACCCGCCAGAGATCAAAGTTGTACCAGAATTTCGTTGCCCCAAAAAAAGTCTATTCCTAACCGAAAGACGGGAAGTCAAGAGATCCTGGTCCAATTTGTCTGGTTGCGATCCTCGAAACTTTTGTTCAACACGGTTTTACTACGTAACTAACTTTCCCGTTATTCAAGGCCAAAAGGGGGAGGCAAAACGAAGCCTGATTTTTGGAATTTTGGACTTTTGGTTTTTGTGACTGGCTGGGAATAAATAAATAAAGCTCATATGAAGATGAATTAATTGTCTTGCCATCCACCAACATTTATGCGTGTCGATTGTTCAGGTGAGAGCCGTGAGCAATGCCTGCTAAATAAATGCCCCCCCCACCTTGCATGATTCTTATCAGTTGTTCGATTTGTCAATCACTGTTCAGGGGTGCTTTTTGGGAACTGTGCATGGGTTGGTTGCATGTGTTCCATACTCCGCTGTGGGTGAATTGAATGTTGCAATTTGGAGCGATGGACATGGTTACAGGATCTGATAGTTAACCATCTCTCTCGACCGATGATGGGGATCATGTCCCAAAGAAAAGAAGAGGAGGAGGCGACTTGGATAGGTAGACCTAGTGGAAGGGCATCTCAAAAGCATTTTTGCATGGACATCTCTCTCTCTCTATCTCTCTCTTGTCACCAGGACACCAACCACAAGACACGAGACACCAACAGCCAACACCTAACAACCAACAACCAACAGCCAGCACCATCCATCGACCATGACCATCCCCCACTGCATCTAAATATAGTTGCTGTGGTGGCTCCCCCTGACTCCGACTGCATGAACCACCCAGGCTCCCAGCCAGCGAGAGCGGGGCCGTCTGCGGGCATCCTGGGTATACACAGTGTAAGGCATTGCGAGTCGACTCGGGCTGAGAAACGATATTACAATACCGTACTGTAATGACTGTACTGCCTGTACTGCCCCATGCAGAAAATTCCTCTCTCAAAATAACACGGCTGGGATGATATTTCAAGCGCAGATCTAAACATGATTCGATGCTCTCTGGCCGCCCGGTTCTTGCTTATTCTTCGTGTGCGAGAGTTGACTAACTAACTAGCTCCTAACTAGCTAAATGGCTTACGATTTCTGATAAACTACCGCTTAACGCCTGTCTCAGCTGGCTGTGTCGCGGGTGCTGGGATGGATGTGGCTGGTGGCTGTGATGGCTCTGTGGAGGCGCAAGTAGGCGTCGGCATCAGAGAAATCTTTGGTGATTTTTAACTACTTGATGACAGCTCTGACTGATATGACGGATGGTTGAAGGAAAGATGTAGCACTCTCATTATCGGGCTCAAGCGTCCTGAGGTAGGTGGAAGCGGAGTTTGTCCCTGATCGAATGATGTAGAAAGAAACCCTCAATATTTTTAGCATATCGTATACATTTTCTTCTGCCCTTGCTGCCGGTTTCGGCCTTCGATAAGCGGTGGCTGTCCGCTGCTTTTTTGGGGACACTCGTCTTCGGACCACCACAATTGGATGATGCTACGGTAACTTTGTAAATACTCTTTTCCCCAGTTCAGCCCTCAAGCAGAAGAGGGGTGGCAGAGGAGCAGGAAGCGAGGCCATGACCTGCTGCGTACCTGATCACAGCGGACACTGGCATCACAAGGCGCTGTAGGGCTGAAGGAGGAAGTGGATGATAGGACCGGACAAGGTTCGAAGGTTTGCCAAGTGAAACTAAAGCAGGGGGGAAATTGCAATTGAGGTGAGAAAAGAATGCATTCTACTCCATGGTTTATCTTCCAATATGATCCTTTGTCCTGCCCAAATGCCCGCTATGTCAATCATCATACACGTAGGTGCTATGAGAATCCATCCATGCACACTGATGACTGGGAGCGGGGGAGATCTCCCTCCTCCATTTCCCAAGGAAGAGGCTGCAGAGGCCAAGTTCTGGTCTAATGCTCAGACCCCAAAGAAAAACAAGCGGCTTGGGTGCAGTGCAACTCTACGCCGCTGGCATCATTGACGATTCCTCCGCCAGCTTCTCGGGACCCGCCAACTTGCAGCAGAGTTGATGTCAAATGCACAACCCTCCGCAGCCAAGTACCGCAGCATATAGCATCATAGTAGGTGTCGCGGCAGCGAGTTTGGCGACCACATACCCGCCCACTCAGAAGAGTTTGAGAAACAGACGTGGTGGACTCCTGCCTCCTGCAGTTCCCACCTGGATCATCGCCATGGCATTGACATCCTTGCTTGTCATCTTCGCTTTGGTCGTTCTCACGATCCGGCCTCAAAGCTCAATTTACTTCGCTTCGCTGGACGGAGCGTTTGCCGCTGAAGTACTGGCGGGGGATAAGGTCGGTTGATTGGCGAAACAGGCGCTCATTGTCTAGCGGGTCATGACGTCTTGTAGGCCCTGACGACGCATGCTCTGCCCAGTGGCATTTCAAGAGGGAGGGGTTGAGAGAGTCGTTGGCTACGCCATGGTCCCATTTTAGCTGAGCTAGGTGAGGTCGTGGAGCCAGTGATGCATTCAACTCGGGACGGAGCGCCATGTAAGCGGGGGGAGTGGGCGGCATTAACTACCTAGCATGCCGGTCGTGAGTAGATGGCATTGCTGTTCGGACAATTGTAATAATGATTGCAAACAGACAATATCATCGGGATTGGGTCGCTGAGTCAGCAAAGACATCTGATGCCCCACATCAACAAACGGATTGAGTAACATAACAGTAGAGCGCAAATTACTCAATTGACTTGTATATGATGCTCCAAACTAGATTAGCATCTTGGAGCGAATTACTCCCAAACAGAAGAGAAAGAGAATAACATTTCCCCTCCCATCCTTCCATATCCCCCCTCATTCTCACAATGCAACCGTCCCAAACACCCCCAGAATCCCATAACTTTCAAATCACCTCGGCTCTCCGCTATGACCCAGATCTCCCCAGAAACCCTCATATACCAGACACCTATCCGGGCCCCCAAACCTCCCCCTATTACCTCCTCAGCTATCACTATGACCGCCTCCTTGCCGCTGCAGTCGACTTCAAATGGTCGGCCGCAATTACACTCCTCCAACAACAGCCTCGAGAAACAGCCATTGCGCAACTCGCCCAGAAAGTCAATGAACATACCCAATCTAATCCAGCACATCCCTGGCGTATACGCGTCCTCCTCAATGCCGTCGGCATCATCACCGTCGAAGCTGTTCCAATCTTACCCAACCCCTCCTCAGCACCAAGTATATTCGTCCTGCCGGAAAAGCCAGATTTCTCTCGCCTCCTTCCCCGCAACGCGGCTGGGGTATATTCCGGAACCGCCTCCACTGAAAGGATAGAAACGTGGACGCTACGATTGGACACCGAACCGACCAGCCCCTCACTCTTCACGCGCCACAAAACGACGGTACGAGATCAGTACACGGCATCCCGCGAGCGCGCGGGAATCACGGCGTCGCCGCATGATAAGACGGAGGTGTTGTTGTATAACCCCGCCGGCGAGGTGATGGAGGGCAGCATCACCACTGTATATTTCCGACGCCGGCGAAGACAGGGTCCTGGCCCGGCTGCGGCATCAGGATCTACGTCTACACCTGGGGAGACGGGTGATGGTGATTGTAACTCAGTAGATGACCCCGGTTATTATTGGGTAACACCGCCACTGTCCAGCGGCGGGAATGCGGGGACGTCGAGGCGCTATGCACTTACAGCGCAGATGTGTGTGGAGGAGGTTGTGAGGGTTGAAGAGCTGCAGGAATTGGAAGGGGAGAATGACCGGGTGTGGCTTAGTAATGGGGTTAGGGGGTTCATGCCGGCCGTTTTAAAGCTCAATAAGTAGTTTAGGGCCGTGTGGTTGCCGGTGCGGGGGCAGACAGCTCCTTCTATATTACTTATCTAGGTTATGGATTTTTCTCGTTAGAATTGGAGTGGGAAGACTGCGGGAACTACGAGATACTACTGCAAATAGGACGTGAAGGCAGTAGTGGAAACTAGTCTGGGGAGATGCAGTATAGGAACCGTTGACATCTCCATCCACGCCCACATCCATTGGGTGTTGCGACATCGATGGATCGAAGAGGGTATCGGGCGGGTGTCCAAAAGGTCATAGATTGTTTGGTAACAAGCCGGCAGGTCGTTTTTAGGTATTGTTTAGTGGTGATTGTTGAGATAGATGGATGGATGGATGGATGATGTATGCTACTGAAAATTTCTAATATCTCTTCATCCGTTCTTTTACTCTTCAGGTTAGGGAGGGAGATTCTGTCTACTAGTAATGCATACACCCCACACATGTCGTAGATACCCCGAACCATACCTGGTTCTGTTGCGCAATGTTATATACCAACGGAAACATCTAATCTCTGCCTTGAACTAGCAAACGAGGACAGCCAGCAGATTGAGCAGTTTTGTGTAATGAACATTGACATGATAATAAACTGAAATCTCATGATATTTTTTTATTTTATTTTTTTTTAATTTTAATTTATTTCCTTTCTGATATGACCGTATATATACAGATTGCAACATATCACACAGCAAACATCCAACAACCAACAAAGAGGAGATTGAACCAGATTAAAAGCAAAAAGCTGGAGAAGAAGGAAGCAAAGGAAGGGGCAAACGGAAAACAAGCAAGAGCCACCCCATCTCCTATGTTATTGGAGAATGAAAGAAGAACGAGCTCCATATCCAGTTCTGTTCTGTCAAGATAGAGATACCACGAACACATAGAGAGGATTAGAGTAGAGGGAAAAGCTTTTCAATTCGGATTTCATAGTTATATATACAATGTACATGCACATGCAAGATGCGGGAGTACCCCGTTTATCCACGCCTCCGATTCGATTCGCGCTACGGTTGGAATTGGAATTGGAATTGGAATTTAAGGTAGAGGGTGGATTAGGCTTAAGCAGAGATTCCGTTTGTTGTTATTATTTCCTTTATCCTATCTTGTCTTCCCCTCCCCAGCCTTCTTTTGTATTTTGTTGGCGTGGTTGTCACCGTCGACTTCTAATTCAGAAGGCCTTGGGCACGCTCAGTTTCGAGGCGGGCGTAGAGGCGGTCACGGGCCCGGACGCGGGGGAGGTGGTAGCCTTGTTTTTAGGCACGAGTCAGATACATTGTCCATCACACGAGGAAAATGCGGGCACATATTGGTACTTACCGTACCAGAATAGGTAGCCGAAAGTGGTTCCGAGGCCTATATTGGACGGAGGGATTAGCCGATGTTTTTTGATGAGGGTGGTGATTTGAGGGGGTAGGTGAATGTATTTCGGTGAGAATTGATATCGGGGTAGGAATGGCGATCGTATATATATAGTATCCATTTAGAGAATCCCACTCCCGCTCCGGGGAACGCGTGGAAAACTTCCTGCTCCGGAAAAGTGATCAAATCGAGAATCAAAACCTACCGAACGCAGTGCTGAGATCCAGCACAAGGCCCCGACGGAGCATCTATATATATGCCAATTAGCATAACAGTCCAGTTGAGAGCGAGGAGAGCCAGATTGTTCCGGCAAATGCGAATTGAATTGGAAATTTGCGAGGAAACTTACACCCGTGATGGGCTGGATGGCGGACATTGCTCCGCAATTGGGTGGGATGAAAGGGTAGAGTGCGAGTGAGGCCCTAGCAGGCTAATGAGTATTGCAGTTGGAGTGCGATAGACAGGGAGCTGATATAGCTGTGGCAGTTTGCTGCAAAGGCGTTTGTGGATCGAAGGCGACACCAGAGTGGACTGATGTTGGAATGTTGGAGATGCGGCGGATCAACACGGCGCCGATAATCACGTGGGGTGTTTATTATTAATACAGCTAGCCTGACATTTTAGAATATCTCTACAGATAGGATATTTTCATTTCATAGAAGAGTTTTGATGTCTCTGGGCAATTTAATATATATATGGCACAGATTCCTATACCAGCTGATAGCTAAACTAACTCTGGGCCATCATCTGGGCACTCTGGGCACCAGTATACCTGGTGGATTGTTGCTCTGTAAATGGTGAAAGGCATATATATATATATATTCCTGGCTCACCAACATCATCATTAACACCCGTCCATCAAACGAGCATCAGAATAGAATTTGTTTGATCATCTGGAGGAGACCCCCTTGCTCATGGTGTACCTTCTTCACACGTACCTCTTAGTTATCATACTCGGTCCCCTTAGATTAGCTGCAAAGGACGGTGGGCCTTGAGATATGCTGTAGTGACACCACGAGCGATGAGGTGATTTTCCAATATCAACCTGCAAGTGCAAGAGTTACTGCACCTGAGCATTCTCTGGAATCATGAAGACAGATACCCACCAGGTTCTTGGGGTTTAAACATTGATGTAGGGCGACTTACATGTCAGAGAAAAGAGAGGCTAATCGTTTTTGTTTTGCCCTGGCTACTTTGTTTCTATTACATTCAGACAATGCGGCGCTCAACTTAGTATTTACTATCTATCGGGGGACAATGCGGAATAACTAGTGGTGATCTTTAGCTCTTGATCAGGTGGGAGGATCTTCTATAGGGATTTGCATATCAGATGAGTAGATAAAAAAGCAACTAGGCGCCTGAAAGACTGTAACGCTTTATTCCATTCTTCAGTACGGGAGGTTCCTGGGTATGCGCTGCCAAAGCCTGCCGGTGAGCCATCGAGCCGTCGTCCTCTTCTGGTTTTCAATGAGAGTGAGTCGGAGTGACTACCTTGACAACCCCAACCTGCGCTGTTATAATCACGTGACATACTCTACCAGCTCCTATAATTTATTGTTCCACAGAATACGGCCAGCTGCAATCAAGAACAACGCGAGCCCATCATGTAGTGTACTACCGCGTGAAGGAACAGCACCTCTGATGTCAAGAAATATTTGATTTGATCTCTCTTCCGACGCTCTCTCCGCACCGCACCGTCCAGCTTCAAACGCCCCCGACCTCATCTTGTCGCCAACTGCACCCTCCAATATGAGTATCCCTCCTCCTCCAACCGCTTCGGCCTCCTCGCCCACAAAACGACCCTCCTCCCCCTTAGATGCAGAATCCACAGACCATCTTGCTACAAAACGACAACGTCGTGGATACCGCCACCACCACCGGCTCCAGACACGCATGAGACCAGATCTCCTGCCCGATTCCGCTTTCACGGATCCGAGCACTGTTGATACCTTGCTCAAACTGTCCATTGGCATCCTCCTGCGGGACTGCGGCTTTACCCATGCCGACCCCGTTGCACTGGATAGCTTTAGAAGTGCAGTTGAGGAGTGTATGTATTTTTTGTATTTGATATTTTGCATTTATACGCAGCTTGTAAATAGGTAGAGTACGATATATTGACGTAAGGACCCAGACATCCTCCACATTCTCTCCTACACCCGCCAGTCCATGTCCTCCTGCCGTCGCATGCAACCTATCCCTCCCGATTTCGAACACGCCCTCCGCAATACAAATATCCATCTCGACGCGCTGCACGAATACCTAATACCCTCGCTTCGACAGCAACACCAACAAATACCCTCCCTCCCCTCCCCACCCCCCTCTTCCCCCACTGCAGCCGTAGACCTCCCCTTCCTCGGCCCAGAACTCAGCGGCACTGCGCACCGCCAGCTGAATGTGCATATCCCCAAACACTTCCCCAATTTCCCCGGCAGGCATACTTACCGGGCGACGCCGGTGTTTACGGCCAGAGAGACGGACCCGAGGAAGATTCGAGAGAAGGCTACGGAGGAAGGCCGCTTAGGGGAGGAGGCGTTGAGGAAGTTGGCAAGGGCCGGAAGGGAGGGATTGGTCGTTCGAGATGGCGCGGATGCGAATGGGGATGGCCATGGCGAGGGCGAGGGCGAGGGCGGGGGCGGAAAGAGATTGTGGGGGCGTCGGCTGGAGAATATGGAGAGTATGTTTGAAAAGACTGTTAGGGGGGTTGTGGGCGTTGGCGGCGGGGGAAGGGCAGCGGGTGATGCAGGTTTAGCGTTGCCATCATCGTTGAAGATTCCTGACAATGGGAAGCTCGAGCTGAGTCCGATTGTGAATTGTGACAAAGTCTATTGGCGGAAGCAGACTAGGGCGGATGTGCGCAAGACGGATCAGCGCATGGTCCATAGTAATAACGATAAAGGGGCCAGAGGGACGTTAGTTCAGCAAAGGGTTTAAGTGGACTTCATTTTTTTGTTTCGGTGCGGCTGCTTTCATCCACGGATTGTTTTGTCGATTGTTCATATGCGATGCACGGTGTTCCAGTTGGGATTGGCTTTGGCTTTTAGGAGCGGACATAGCAGATATTTAGGAGATCTTGCATGCCCTAATGGCGTCGTCGAGTATATCATATCACATTTATTCGTAATCTCTTCCTTGCTGCAGTAATTTTAGGGCCTTCATTTCTTTCCCTCGCCTGCTTCCTTTTTCTTCCCCTTCCCTATCCTCTCCCACGTCGTAGTCTCAACCGTAAGCCCACCCGCACACCTGCCACAAAACAGAAATCAGTCCAATCCTGATAGATATACTATACGAGTGTATGGGACGTATGTATCATTTGCACCTCCGAAACAATCGAACCACACTCTCGCACTCAATCACACTGCCAGCCGCTCCCTGTGGCGGGCCCTTTTCCGGCGGATTACACGAGTATTGCACCATCTCCATCAGAGCGCATTGGGAGAGATTCACCGCAGGTGGTTTTCGGGCGGTTTCTTGGAAGTTCTTTGTGGTTGTCTGGACGGCAGTGGGGAGGGCGGAGGTGGGGAAGGGCTGGGTTAGGGAGGACATTGCGGAATGAATTGGCGGGATAGATCGAGAGGGTTGTTTGGGATGAGGTATCCGATTGGAGAGTAAGATGCGTTGTTGAAAGGCGAAATAGTTAGTTAGTTGAAGTTGTTGTAAGAGTTGTTGGTTGGAGGTGATAAGAATAAAGAATACTAGCAATTTGCGGAGTTCGGAGAAACCTCCACGAGGAGTTGACGCTTTGCCATCTTTACATAAACCAAAATATTCAACATTCTTCTCTGAATAACTCCCAACCACACCGAGTGTATAGCACTACACACATCAGGGGCATTGCTCGCGCGTGCATCACATGGAACAATGGAATGCGAGTGAGCTGGTTGCTTGGTGGAGGGGTGCCGAAGCATGAACGACGATGAGTGTCAGTATGAATGTGGACGCTGGCGGTGATCAAATCCGAGCTCATGCGGAGCGGTTGCTGAGCGAGGTGAAGGAAGAGAATTTGGCGGAGGTAACTATCCGACAGCGATATATATATATATATATATATGTTATGATATAACATGCTGATTGATATACCACAGTTCCTCCACACGCTGCACCACCTCCATTCCCCTCCACCGACGTCTCCCCAATATGCACCTCTGGGTATAAAGCCCCTCGACGACATACTCCGCATCTCCCACCCCTTATCACATACATCCACCACATACACACCCCGCCAGCCCGTTCTCGAAATCACCTCCCCGTCCTCCGCAGACGGCAAGACCCATCTGCTCTACTACATCACCGCCGTCGCTGTCCTACCAGATACATACCGCAATGTCGCTCTTCCCGGCCGTAATAGCGCCATCGTATATCTCGATACCGATTTCCGGTTCGATGCCGTAAGACTGCGTGAGGTTGCGAAGGGGATTGTGCTGGAGAGGGCGGCGGAGCAGGGGGTATCGTTGCCTGTGACTGGAAGCCATTACGAAGGTGGGAATGGAGATGGAGATGGAGATGACGATATTGATCAATTGCTGCACACCGCTCTTTCCCACGTTCATATATTTCGCCCGCAATCCTCTACGTCTCTCTTGGCTACGATACAGAGTATAGAACACTATCTGCTTCGTGGCACGGGCACGGTTAAGGGGGAAGGGGAGGGGATACATAAACATGCCTCGCATTCCCGTCCACTCCATTCCATCCTGCTCGATAGTGCCAGCGCATTTTACTGGCAGGATAGACGGGAGATGGAAGTTCTTAACATTCCTGGCGTGCGCGAGGAGAGGGCGCGGTGGGCCCAGGTCCAGAATCAGAACCAGGACCACAATGATACGGAGACAAGTACGGCCACCGTCCAATCTCCGCTCCCACACCAAATCATCCACGCCCTCCGCTCCCTACAGCATACTTTCTCCTGTCCGCTCGTTTTCACCACGTGGGGGTTACTGCGGGCTAAGCCGCGCACATCCTACAGCACCTCTCATGTGCTCCCTGCATCAACAACTTGCACCCCGCTGTACACATCCCAGCGGCCTTCCATTCGGCCACACCTACCCAGACCGTGGGCCTCGTTCCCTACGTGTAGAGTTATTGTGCAGCGGGATGTAGTACACCCGTTTGCGCCCTTTTTGACTCTGGAGGAAGCTAAGCGGGAGGCGCGGGAGAGGCAGAGAGTTGTGAAAAAAGGGAGAGTTGTAGGGTGGGTGGATGGGCATGGATTGGGTAGGGAGAGGGATGGGGAGAGAGATGGGGAGAGGGAGGCGATGGTAGAGAGACTGTTTGGTTTTTCGCTCACGGGCGGAGGAGGAATTAGATGGATTGATGAAGACGAAGATGGGAATGGGGATATGGAGGGGTAGAACGCGCTTTTATTAAATCGAATAACTTGTATATACACCACGAACCATAATATATGACTATGAAGCTCACTCTAGAAATAGAAAATACCTACGTACAGCACATTTCACCCCGCCACACCTATCCCTCCTTCTCTTTCCCGTCCATAAACAACTCCCCGATTCTCTCCACAGTCGTATTCCCCCCCGAAAACACAACCCCAACATCCCACCCCTCCTTGCCCTGCCTCGCACACTCCTCCACCACCATGCGCCGAAACCCCTCATCGTAAAGACAAACCGCCAACCCCACCACCGCCGACGGCTCAACCACAACCTTCACCCTCTCCAACACAAGCCGCATCGCATCCCGAATCTGCCCCTCGCCCACCGCATACACGCCCCGCACCTTCTCCCTGTCCGAAACAACCCCCCACCCCACCTCCCCAACCGGCGTGCGCAGCCCGTCCGCGATCGTCAGCGTCTTCACGCTCGTGATCCGCGCCCCCGCTGCCAGCCCGCGCCGGCAGTCGTCGCCGCCCTGGAACGACGGCTCCGCCCCGAACACAAGCGTCTTCGGCGTCCGCTCAGCGTAGTACGTCGCCACGCCGGCTGTGAGCCCCGCGCCGCCAAGCGGCGTGATCACCGCGTCCAGAACGCCGGGCCTGCCGTTCCTCGCGCCCTCGTTTGTCGTCGTGTCACTCCTACCGCCATGCACGCTCAGCCCCGCGCCGCCGTTCTCTACCAGCTCCCGCACCTGCTTCTCGAGCTCTAGGGCTACCGTGCCCTGGCCCAGGACTACGTCGGGGTGGTCATAGGGCGGGATGAGAATGGCGCCCGTCTCGGCGATGACGGTGGCGACGACGGCTTCGCGCTCATGGCTGGTGGAGCCAGAGAAGATCACCTTTGCGCCGTGGGCGCGGGTGCCCTCGATCTTGGACGGGGTGGAGATGGAGGGCATGACGATGTAGGCGGGGACGGAGAGGGTGGATGCGGCGAGGGCGAGCGCCTGCGCGTGGTTTCCTGTTTGTGGATTGGGGGAGCTTGGTTAGTTTCTGGTTGTGCTGAAGAGGTGTGTGTAGTATGCATGTTGAAGGAAACGCCCTGCGATTTCTCAATTGCGGAGTAGAAATCCAAACGATGTATATAGGACAAAAGTAAAGTACCAGAACTATGCGTAACCACCCCGCGCCGCCTCACCTCCTCCTCCCCCAAAACCTGCACAGCCCGCAGTAGCGCATGGAACGCCCCGCGCGCCTTAAAGGCGCCTATCCGCTGCAGATTCTCGCATTTGAAGAAGAAATTTATTTTCGGCTGCGCGGGCGGCTGGCCCTCGAACGGCGTGCCAGCGAGCGCTTCGGGTGACTGTGGTGTGGATGCGATGCGGTTGAGGGTCTTACTGGTTAGGATTGGGGTTTCGTGGATGTCGGGCTTTATCCGGGCATGGGCGGCAATGACGTTAGAGGTGGTAAGGGGGAGCCAGTGGCTTGGATCGGTCATGGTTGACTTGGTGATTTGTATTTTCAACAGTTTTCTGGTGTTGGAGTGAGGTAATTGGGTTAGAATTGAGGGGAGGGTAAGGTTAACAGATAGATATACACAAATCTCTCAAGAATGATGAATACGAGGAGGGCGTAAATTTTTACAACATGGACATCAATCACTGGCTCAAGTGATATACTAACTGACTACAATACTATACGCCCCGCGAATTATGGGCCATCTAACAGTCGAGGGTTTGCACTTGTAGGCCTCCCACCATCAGCACAGTCAGAGTAAACAAAGACACGAGTGATCTAAGGGAAACATACATCGAGCATGATAAGAATGGAATACAGAGAGTGGCAAATAGAAACGCGAGAAGGTCGCGAATAACCAGACATATGAAGCGTAGTGGGAAGATTAGAATGTTATTGATTTTAAAGCGGAAAAGGAAAAGGAAAAAGAAAAAAGACGAATTGGCGGATGCGTGAAGCAATCTTGTGAGGTCTCAGTCTTGTTTACCCCAAGTATCAAAACACATTTGAAATGCAATCCAGAAGACATGACAGAAATACACCATAGTTTTTTATCGTTGCCCAGATAAACAAAAGACACACATCTATCCATAAGATTTTTTACAACACACCCTTTCGTTTGTTTATTTCTGGTTCTCCGGGCGGAGGGAACTGTAAAATAGATTAGCGACTGTCAAGCGTGAGAATAAAGTACGAAAACAAAAGCACTAACCGGACGGCCTTTCCAGCTCGCCAGATCTCCAAATCCCGAATCTCCTGCATCTCGTTCTCGTACTTCTCCCGATAGTCCGGTTGCGAGTTATACTCCAGGCTGCGTTTTGTCTCCCGCCCATCTTTGACGCTGTCATACAGCTCGTTGAACACGGGCTTCAGGGTGTCCTTGAACTTGCTGCTCCAGTCAATGGCACCGCGGCGTGCCGTCGTCGAACACGCTGCATACATCCAGTCCATGCCATTGGCGCCGATGAGCGGGTACAAGCTCTGCGTCGCCTCTTCAACGGTCTCGTTGAAAGCCTCGCTGGGGCTGTGGCCACGCTCGCGCAGGACCTCGTACTGGGCGAGGAACATGCCGTGGATACCGCCCATGAGGCACCCACGCTCGCCGTAGAGATCTGAGTAGACTTCCTTTTCGAAGGTAGTCTTGTACAGATAGCCGCTGCCGACGGCAACGCCAAGGGCTATTGCCTTCTCCTCGGCTTTGCCGGTGACGTCTTGGAAGACGGCGATGGAAGAGTTAATGCCACGGCCCTCGCGGAAGAGTGAACGGACAGTGCGGCCTGAGCCCTTGGGGGCGACAAGGATGACGTCCACGTCTTTGGGGACATCGACCTTGGTGAGGTCCTTGAAGACGGGGGAGAAGCCGTGGGAGAAGTAGAGGGTCTGGATGATCGGTTAGAATGGGGTCCAAAGAGAAACAGTGCAACAGAGAAATAAAAGAGTAATAAATAGTTGAGCCAATAGATATGTTTGTATACCTTTCCCTTAGTGATCAGGGGCTTGATGGTGGGCCACGTCTCGCTCTGGGCGGCATCGCTGAGGAGGTTCATGACGATAGTGCCGCGTTTGATGGCATCAGTGACATCGAACAAGTTTTTGCCCGGCACCCAGCCGTCAGCGACAGCCTCCTTCCACGAAGCACCGTCCTTTCGCACGCCGACGATCACGTTGAGGCCATTGTCTCGCAGGTTGAGGCCCTGGCCGTGGCCCTGGGAGCCGTAGCCAATGAGGGCTAGGGTGTCATTTTTGAAGTATTCCTGGATACTGGTTAGAAAGGTAACCAACCGCCTCTAGGAGTACTTCAGCTACCGGTAGTTGGGACGTACAAGGAGTTTTTCGCGGGGCCAATCCGCACGTTCTAGTAAGATGCCATCAGCATGAATCGTACATACAGAGTTGTTACAGCCGTTACAGCCCGCTATAGATCTTTCCACGCGCAATTGACAGGAGAATGGAAAACACACCGTAGACAGTCTCCTTGGTGCCAGCAAAGTCAATGGTCTTGACTCCCCGGGTCTGTTGGGCCGAGGGAGCAGTCCAGAGAGCAGATCTGACAGCAGCAGCGGCAGCGGGACGGGAGGAGGAGGAGACAGCAGCGGAGACAAACGAACGGCGAGAGATGCTGGAGGCAGAGGATAGGGATCGGGTGGCAGGGCCACGGAGAGCCTTAGCAACGGGTCTGGCGGACATTTCGGGCGGGAGAGAGTTGTGAAGCAATTGAGACAATGGAGACAATCGAGGCAATCGAGGAGAGAACGGGAGAGGAGAGGGTTGAAACGGCAGAAGTGGGAGAAATGGGATTGGATTGAAGGATTCCGGATGGTTTCTCTGTCTCCTTTTTGTTTTGCAGCTGGCGAAAGAGAAAAAAAAAACAAAAGCTGAGGTTTGACTCGGAGTCAAGAAGCTTCCGAATCGGGGAATTCTGGTATTCTGCCGACCATATTTGCCGCATTGGGCTCACCGCCTGGGCAGCTTCCCCCGATGTCGGCGATGACACATGCTGGTTAGTCAGCAGATTTTTGTTGGAGTTTTAGTGATCCAAAGTTGACTTTTCTGTGGAACGCCTTATCTATAACGACATATCTGTTACTCACAAGTTAGCTACTCGTTATTGATGGCGGCGGCGGTGAGAATAATAACAACATTTCCTCCGCTGACGTGATTTGATTTCTGCGAATATGTAGACCGCGTACGAGGTGGCGGGTGGGGGGGATCAAGCCATGCCATTGTTCATTCCTCTCAGTCCTCAGCAGTTGAAGGCGGCCGTGGGCTGCATGGACAAACTTAGTCCAGGATTGCCTCTGCCTGTGACTTCAAGTTTCTCAAAGTACGTGGAGATAAGGAGGAAAAAAGAAACATGGATTGTGAGTCTTCATAGGCTGGGCTTAGTACGTACATCGTACTCCGTGTAACATCGGGGGAGAGGCAGACGATCTGATCTACAGGTGCTGCATATGTGCAGTGACATATTTTATAGAGTAACCTACTAGTATGTAGTACGGAGTACTACATAGTGACACTGATTCTTCAGACAGCCTGAATCCTGACGGATGCTGCCGCCACTGCCGCCACTACCGCTCTCCTCAGCGAAGGCCTGTCCGCAGCGGGCAAAAGGTCTGGCTCGTCCGGTTGGATATCAGCATTCGCTTTAGCCCCCAAGCCATTGTGATCTCGCCCGGGGATCCTGCAGGAAGCCGGGGGTCAAAGGCCCTTCAATTTTGAGTCGGTGGAGTGCGTGCTGCGCAGCATATGCAGTCCAGATACTCCGTACAGATTGTTTTTGTTGATGATTATTGAGTTTCGCGTAGAATAATCGTTCAAGTTAGCCTCTTACAAACGAATGGTTTTGTCTAAGGTTCAACTTACCCATTTAACCATTTCCCATTACCCATCCCCAGGCCCCTCGCCTCCCCCGGCGCTGGGTCAGTTCGCCAAAGCCAAAGCCTGTTAGAGTTCGCTGGCGCTGGCCTGGCTGTCCCCCCGCTGCACACCGAGTCTCAGCGCTTCCAGGCTCGTTAGATCTTTGATGTTGATTCTTCTAAGTTCTGCTGATCTTTGATGTCGTCAGTGGGGAAAGCAAACCACAAAGCATCCGCCCGCGAGGATATTTTCTTTGCTGGCTCGACCGTACCGATTTGTTCATGAGTCCTTGAGAGTTGCTGCTCCCAATCCCACCACAATGGACACGCTAACCAAGGCCCCTTTCGTCCCAGCATTAGCACCGGGGGGAAATGAAGAGAAGCAGAAGGAAAAAGTGTGAGAGACTGAATAAAATCCGACAGGTCCAAATCCGTGGGACCTGTGTTGCGTGGTCTTCGCAATAGCCAGAACGGATTATTATTTTTTTTTTTCGCAGGGCTACAACCGCCGCCGCAGCAGGGGGAAACTGTTGATAATAAATAAATAGCCTGGTCGGTGCTATTTTACGTATTTTATTATTTTACCTATCCATCTCTTCATCCCGTAGGCCTGGTTGTGGTTTTATCTCTCTGTCTTGCCCGCTTCTCAGGGCTGCTTCTTCGCAGGCTCCATCCTCGTCGTCGTGCAGCTCGCTATCCTCGCTCGATTATACACAACATAATCCTCCTACTCATCCATCCATCCGGGAATATAAATACCGTCAACCACCGCCCCAAGATATTGCTCCTTATGATATAGCGACACCTACCTGGGCGACTCACCAACCATGACTACGAGTTGACGCCCTGCCGTCCCGGACACAAAAACAGAGAGAGAGAGAGTCAGAGAACGAACATAACCCCAGTAATACTATTCATTACTCCCCCGCATCACCACGCAAGAAGACTCTGCAGCATGTTTCCAGCCAATCTTCTGTCCCAGAGTCTCCCCAATGTACCCTGCCGAAAAGCGCTGTTGATCCTTGACCTCCAGAACGACTTCGTCAAGCCTGATGGAGCCCTGTTTGTGCGCAATGTGCCCGAATTCCTCGATACAGTCGCTGCGCTAGCCCAGCGCTTCCGTGAGACTGGTGAGGTTGTCTGGGTGCAGACTCAGTTCGAGCACCGCCGCCCTATCTTCAGCCCCGAGAGTGGCGGGGAGGTGATCGTCGTCGACAAGCTGCTTGCTTCGGGGAATAATAATAATGATGATAATGATAATGATAATGATAATGATAATACTACCAGCAAGAGCGCCAATGACAAGGACAAGGGCGCGAACATTCGCAGCCATCTGAGCAGTCACAGTGCGCGTCACCGCAGCGAGAATACAGGCAATACGAATTCCAGCTCCAATGGTGGGGCTAAGGATGGAAGCGGGCGGCCCAACTCCTCCCAGCGAAGACAGAAGCGTATCAGTGGTGGAGAATCGCGCCGAGAACAATTCTCTGTCTACTCAGATGATCCCGAGGCGTTTTTGTCCGTATTGCCTAAGGGTGATGGGCCGCGGCGCTGCTGCCTGCAGAAGACTGTCGGTTGCCAGTTCCCCGCGCCTATCCTCTCAGCCATCGACCACGAAAGAGATACCATTCTCGTGAAGTCTGACTACTCGGCATTCCAATCAGAAAGCTTGCTGCTCTCCTTCCGCACCCAGTTTGTCAGAGAACTCTACATCTGCGGCTCGTTGTCGAACGTTTCTGTCTACGCTACTGCCTTGGATGCTGTTTCCCATGGCCTGGACGTTATCCTAGTCGAAGACTGTCTTGGATTCCGCAGCTTTGCCCGCCACGAAGAAGCTATGAGACGCATGGCGGATATGATGGGCGCAAACGGCATTACAAGCAAGGAGCTGGCGGAGGAACAGGACTGGGAGGAAGCCGCTGTCCCCAGCTCGGAGTGGCCTGAGCAATCGGCTGCCTCCACTCCCGTTGGAATCGAGGATGATATGGGTGTTCTCGCTGTCAAATCGCCGCCTAAACAACCCTCCCCGCAAAAATCAGATGATGCGCCTCTTGATGTTGAGGATCAGGAGCCTGAAGGCGACGAGCTCGCCGATGATTTGCTGGGACCATCTCTACGTAGTGCCGCACCGCAACCACGGGAAGCGCCACTGACGTCTGCTTCCGCTACCGCCACCACTCCCTCTAGTGACCTCAAGGGTAAATCTAATCGCGCGCGGATGAGGAAACCTCGACGCACAGTTTCACGAGATGACACAAGCCAAGCCGAGAGGACACAATCCCAGAGACAATCGGTGGACATGCAGCAACCGTGTGGCGCGACCAGTGGAACCCGCCGTTCTAGGAAGAGCAAACACAATCAAACCGACCTCGGCCCTGATGATAGTATTGGGGAGGGCGACTCCCGAATTATCTACGATCTAGCTCTACCTCCCAAGTCTTTCCAGCTGCTACGCGAGGAGGTCAACTGGCAAAAGATGTATCATTTGTCAGGACAAGTCCCACGGTTAGTTGCCGTCCAGGGCGCAGTTCAGCCAGACAATTCCGTACCTATCTACCGTCACCCAGCAGACGAGTCCCCGCCGCTCTTCCCTTTCTCCAAAATCGTGAATAACGTGCGCCATGTCGTTGAGAAACATATTGGCCACCCCCTAAACCATGTTCTAATCCAGCTGTATCGGGATGGTCAGGATAGGATATCTGAGCATTCCGACAAAACATTGGATATTGTCCGGGGTTCATATATCTGCAACGTCAGCTTTGGTGCGCAGAGGACAATGACCTTACGAACTAAATCATTAGCTGCGAAAGCTGCTGCGTCAACTGGGGATACATCGGATGCGGCAGATGGCGGCGATGAAGAAACTCCCAAAGAAAGCTCGACGGGACGCCAAACTCAGAGAATCCCACTGCCACATAATTCTCTGTTCATTCTCGGTGAGAAAACAAACATGCGCTGGCTGCACGCCATCCGTGCCGATAAACGACCAGAGTCGGAAAAGTCACCTGAAGAGCTCGCTTATGGCGGTCAGCGCATCTCCCTTACGTTTCGCCACATCGGTACCTTCATCCATCCAGAATCAGACACCATCTGGGGCCAGGGCGCCATATCCAAGACTAAACAAACAGCGGGCCAGGTCATCCACGGCGACTGCACCGAAACAACACAGATGATCAGAGCCTTTGGTCAAGAAAACCAACAATCCGACTTCAACTGGGAGGCCAATTATGGCCAAGGCTTCAACGTAGTCAACTTCGTCACAACCTCCGCTGGCAAATTGAGACTGAGCGGCGACGATGTCGCAGATCTCCGTGTCCAGATCTGCTTTGCGGAGTATGGCGTGCGGTATGACATAGTCGCCATCGATGACTTCCCCGCTGCGCTGAAGGGCACGCTCTCCCTCCCGCACAAGAGTGGGAATCTAGAGCCTCGCCCCGTGTACATGGACGTGGACGGTTCCACATGCTTCACGGGCGACGATTGCATACTCCTGCACGTCGCGAAGCAGAAGGGACTCATTGATCATGAGCGATCATCGCAGCTACAGTCACAACCGCAAGCACAATCCAAAGGTCCAAGTTCAATCCCGCATCAGCGGCGGCAGCAGCGAGCACAACCACAACAACCGACCCTCGCGTCCACACTGCACGAGACAGACGATCTCCTCCGCTCCTGGCGCCGGTTCCAGAAACTAAAGACCCCGCACGGCGTACTACAGAAGATGGATGTGTTCGAGGCCATGCTGCGTCGCAAGCCGTATCTCGCTGGCCAGCTCTTTGGCATCGAGGACTGTGCGCTGTGGCCCGTCGTGCGCGATATCATTCGCGAGGTCGGCCATCTGGACGAGATGCGCTTTCCATCCTTGATAGTCTATTATAATAAGGTTGGGAAGAGGGGATGTGTGCGGACGGCGTTGGAGGAGTTGGAGGGTGCGGCGGAGGCGCGGGGGTAAACTGGGGGGTGAAGTTGAAGTTGGGATTGGATTTGAGGGTTCGAATGAGAGATCTTTTTTGAGAGTCAAGTGGATTTTCTTCTATTATGAGTTGTCTGGAGTTTTTATCTTACTTTATCTTCTGATGATTTTTTTTTGAATCTCCGTTGAGTGTTCTTTCATATCTCAACACATGTGTCAAATCATGTTGAGATTTCCGAGTTGGGCTTCTAAAAGAATTTGCATTTTTTATTTATTTATTTATTTATTTGTTTATTTATTTTATTTTGTTCTTCTTTTCTTTTTCTCTATTTTCTACTTTGGCATTCCTCCGGCGCACAGGAAATTGGAACCATAGCTAGTCATTTGCATCTACTAATTCCATCCATATCGAAATGATTGAAATGATTATCCTTTATTTTCCGCGTGCCATCCCGCTCTCATTCCGACCCAGTGCTTTTTACCAGCCACTCCACAAGTAATAGTATCTATGTGGTCATCAATGTGAGCTATTGGCCCGACATATATTTGCTTTAGGAACCATGCGTTGAGCCACATATTCGTGGATGCAGAAGTTAATTAAATCGAACATACGGCCTCTGGATTTGGAGTCCTATTATTATCTAACAATATTCGGACATGACTATATACATAGTTATATGTGAGTCAAAAGACTGCATTGAGTGTTCGTACATGTGTCCACGCGACCGAACTGAGAATCAGGACGAAGTATTTACCAAGTTGCTGTCCGTTTGTATGCACTGTCAGCAGTAAATAAATTGGTCCGACCCGGGCAGTTAGGGTATATATATATATATGTGTGTGTGTGTGTGTGTCTGCCTATTTATATAAATTGGGAAAAAAAAAAAAAATTCGTAGACATTTCCGCGAGTGAACCCGACTTCACTCTCACAGCTTCTCAAAAGTCGGCCTTCGCCTTTCAATTCCGGAGAGAAGAGCGCGCTGGATATCAGTTGTCTGGAGTGCGGCGCCGTTCCAAACACCTGTGTATCGGAGGCCTGGTTGAAGAATACTTGTTGTTAGAGATTTCAATTTCCATGCCAGCATATGTTTCTACAGCAAGCAACGGGTCGCAGAACGAGAGAGCATATATATATATATATATACTAGTACTCACCATCCTGCACGCTATGATCCCGCGACCAATTCAACACCTCCTTCGTCCCTTGCACTGCCACTGGGCTCTTCGCCGCCATCGCAGCCGCCATCTCCAACCCAGCCTGGACAGCCGCCTCCTTTGTCTCGGACACCGCATTCACAAACCCCACCCGCCTCGCCTCCTCTGCTCCAAATATCCGCGCCGACATACATACCTCCTTGACCCACCCGAACGACCCGACAATCTTGCCCAGCCGTGACAGCGTCCCTATGTCCGCCGCGAGGCCGATATCCACCTCCTTCACGCAGATCTGGGAGTCTGCCGAGCACAGACGCACATCTGCGGCGCAAGCCAGGTCCACGGCGAGCCCGTACGAGATGCCGTGCAGGACTATGATGACAGGCTTCTCGCAGCGTTCGAGGGCGGTGACGCAGTCTTGGAAGTCGGCGATGTAGCGGCGGAGTTTGGCGGCGGTGCGAGCTGGGTCAGAGGAGGTTTTGCCCGGAGCACTGAGGCTCTCCGAGGCGGCTTTTACATCTAGGCCGGCGGTGAAGGCGGGGCCTGCGCCGGTGAAGATGATCGAGCGAATGGAGGGCGAGACGGAGAGGGTGTCTAGGATTGTGCGGAGTTCCTGCCACATGCTGGGTCGGGTTTGGGGTTAATTCAGGTTGGATCTGGGAGAGGGGGAGAAGAGGGAGGAGAGGTATACGGCTCAAAATAGGCGTTCATCTTCTTCGGCCTGTTGGTTTCGATGTGGGCGACATATTCCTGTGGAATGGTGACGTTGAAGTATGTGAATGATGGCAAGTCGGCAGCCATGATGAAGCGTATCTACTACTAAATAGTAGTTAGCACTGGACAAGGTGGGTCATAGTTGTCTATTCGATGTTCGAGTATTATTACAGGAAGGATATGTTATCGCGGAGAGTGTAGCTTTGTATAGAAGCGCGAGAGAGATATGAAACGGACTCGATGGGGCCGAGAAAATTGGATTTTATAGACAGACATCGTAGCTACTATACACTATTGCACATGGTCTTAGAGTTATCCCCGCCTAAGTTCGGATAAGCCGACCAGATGCCGAAAGCAAGATGATTGATTTCAAGTTTCAACGAACGGATGATTGAATTTCTTCTGGGTTTACATATCGGACTCAGTTCGCTAGTTTATTTGGTATCTTCGCCGATAGAAGCAATCGAACAGGCCATTCGCATTTCCAGCACTTTCTTCAATGAAAAGTACTATCTAGCTATCCGTAATTCAAGCTGAACTGTATATAGCGCCTCAAGGCAATGAGCCGAGGCAGCGGATAGTTAGCGTTACCCTAATTCATTACTCCACTAGTTCGTCTCTCAGCATCGCTGAAGGAGAACAAACAACTAGCCACCATTCTTTGCTGATGGTGTGCGATTGCTCAGCAGGCAATTTAACTCGATTACTTTAAACAGGCTCTTCTTTCATATTTCGCGTCCGTGGTGAATGCTCACTCCATTCGCTTTCTCCCGAGGAATATACTCGGCGTTATGATATTTGCGAAAGATGAGAGGTGTTAATAGCTGGCCGCATTGGTTGGCCCGCAGAAGTTCTTTAAGCTTACTTTCAGCGGCTCTATGATCCAGTTGTGCACTGCTTCCTGGAAGGCGTCATTTGAGAACCTTGCTTCTTTGCCGTCAAATGGACATTCGATGCAACGGCGGACGGCTTCACTGTAATCATATCCAGCTTCATCCTCGACACCTTCCAACAGACGTTTGATTGTAAAAGTATCAACAAGCTCTTGCATTCCGCCACTGTCCTCGACGTCCTTGTCTGTCCTCAAACGGCTCAAGGGCCTTCCAAACGCCAGTTCGATTAGCACGATGCCGAGGGCGAAGAGTGCTTTATTGCGGATCAAAGGTGGAAACTTTGTGCGATTCTGCTGTTTCTTTGGCGCCTTACTGGATTGTGAGAAGACTGTTGATAGATATGCCTGTTCTGGCATTGATGAGGAAGGATTGACGAGAAAATGAATGTCGTCGGTACCCCAGGATTGCTTGAGCCAGGGAGTGTCATCGAATTGCAGAACACTCGTCGAAACGGCAACGGCTAATTTGAACCGTTCTTTGCGCGTCCAAGGTTTGAGCTGCGGATCGGGTGACGGAACATGGCTGTCTAGTTTTATTTTCTGCGAAGTGGATGTGCTCGAGAGATAAATCTGAATGGCATCACGAAGCGATATAACTTCCCAGTCAGTATTGGATGGAACTAGGTGGAGCCCGTGTAGTCCGCTGCATTGGTCCTGGAGATACCCAATACAGAACTCACGATCGGAGCTCGGAGATTTTTGCGAAGCTGAGCCGGAGAATGTAGCGCACAGATCTGATATCTTTGCAAGCCCTGATGGGTCGTTGATGGGGTTTAAGGGCGGTGAAGGTGGTTTGCCTTCGACTACTGGTGAAGCTAGGGTTGTTGCTCTCGAGAGTGACGAAGATGAAGAAGTTGGCGCTGACGGTGATTCCGCTCGTGCGGGCAATGTAAACGCCACTTTCTTTTTCGGCTTTAGCCAAGCTCTAAGGTTAGAGGGCGTTAGAAATATATCCGACATCTAGAATTTTGGTGTGCTTGTCACGTACAATTTCTTACTGGGTTTCGTTGAGGACATGCATGATGTCGAGACAGGTCTCTTGGGTAACTTTGGTTCCTGGACTACTAGTTGCTGTATATATGCCTGTTGCCATTGCCATTTTGTGGTAACATTGTTTTGGTCTTCCATGGCCTGGAATATCATTTGGAGTTTTATATCGGACGGCAATGCCAGTTGGTTGGCCATAAGCGTTGGCAAATGTAAATTTGCAATATGGTCATCCTTACAGCAGCATCCCCAGGCTTGGCTTAAGACGTCGTATAGATTGATACAGTGTTGACGTATCCGTCCGTAGCCTGAAGATGTCGTTCGTCTCTTGTGAACTTCTAATCGTTGTCGTTGCTCGAATAAAGCCGCCAGCATGTTATTGTTCTTGCTGATGCGATCTAGTAGCTCTTCACGTTTGTGCCGTGAGAGTGTGAAGGCGAGTCGGCGAGGGCGTCTATATTTTGAACCTGGACTTTCCTTTCCTGCTATTAGCGAATCTCTCTGATTCCGATGGGTGGTCGACAGAGTTCTGCAAGATCAAATGAAGATTTGAACAAATATGACCTTGAAAACTACCAACCTCTAATAACACTTCCTATGGTGCACGCCAACTAAGGCCAGAGATAAGAGCGAAATATATCCCTCACCTTATATCGATTGAGAATCTCTTTCATCTCCTCTAGCGCATTATTCATATCAGCGATGGTCTCAATGTAGGGATCGTATGAGCGGCCAAGCATTCCCCGCAGTGATTCTTGATGTTTCGCCCATTCTGCACCTGCGGGATCAACACCAGCAAGCAGCGTTTCTATCTCGGACGTCGAGGCATTTGTGCATGCACGAAATAGACTATCGCATGTGTTGAGAAACCGAGTCTGCTCAGTCTCCAATAGCTGTTTTAGGTGCATCAACTGACGCTGATGTCTAGCCCATCCCTGGATTGTGTGCACGCCATTCATGTATCCATCAGCAAGATGGATGATGAGGGGAAACGCCCCGAGAACGATACCAGCAATCTCAAAACCGCTCATTTTTTGGGACCATGCACGCAATTTGGTTGTTCCCCCGAGTAAACAGCTTGTCAGAACCCGAGCACCAGGGGAATCTCGTTGTAAGTAGCGCCGTTCTGCGAATCACCTAAGGAGGATAAACGAACTCGGGAAAAGAGGTGAAAATGACATTTTCATCTATGAATATAACGACGGGGGAACCCTCAACATATCTTTTTATTTAACAAATGTGGCTGAGCCCTTTGCGATCAACCTTACAAGGAAGCCTTGAGGAAGCCTTTTTTGTTCAAACGGGTTCAGTCAACTGGGAGCGCTGCATTTAGCGCCCAGCCTTGCCAGCTTGTCGCCCAAACGGCCCGTTTTCCCGCAAGACAGGGCATGATTGGGTCTCTTTGCATCTGAGTTAGCCGGCGTTTCTCTCCTGCCGCTACATATATGCGACGCTGAGCAATTTTCTGCGTTGGCCGAAGAGCTTCCGGTAATGATTCTAATTCAACCGCGCCATGTAATGGCGGTAAATTTCTTATCACATCCTGAGGTAGTCAGCGATTTCCGAGGCTCACTGTTTCAAAGTATGTGGCAGAGGACTGCGGGGTTGAATGCGATCTTAGCATGTCCTCCACGCTGTCCAGCAGACTCATCGCTTGTCTGTATTTGTTCGAAAGGGCCTGCTCCAGATGCGACAAGATAATCGCAGCACAGCACGATCCGCTCACGTTCTATTATGGCGGCGACGATGAATCAACGGGTATCCCGACTTTGTTCGAGCAATATGCCTCTTCACTAGAGAAGTTTCTGCCAGTTTTGCAAGATGAACATGGCCGCCTGCGAGTGTGGACGGGCAATATAGGAGCACATAAGAGCGGAAGGTCGTCGCTGGACTATCGCCTCCGGGACGCTTCCCATGTCAGAGGCCAGGTTGCTTCGCTTCTTGACGTCTTAGAGGTATCCTTAAGTGAAGGTGAGGTTTACTTGTTTATTTTGTCGTTTCATGCTGCTTTTTCATTGTTTTGGTTGCTGTTCCTCGAAATGTAACATCTAAAGGTTTGTCCCTTAACAAGATTCTTTGAGTGGAAATAGCTTCAAAGTTCATATAAATTTTGGATCAAGTCAGCATGGTTTCTCTTGAAACTTTTATCTTGACCTTCTACATCATGATGTTTCAAATTGCTTGAATTCCATTTGTTAATAATGCTTGCCTAGTAAAACTCTGCTAAATATCATACCTCACCTTAGTACTCGCCATTGTATCTGGAGAAAGGCCGGTTGAGGAGGAAGACACCGAAGAATGGTCCGACGATGACTATTTGGACGATGAATCCATCCCGTCTGAAGAGGAACTCCCTCAGCCAGCAGAGCTGTTCCAGCTGCTAGAGGACATCCAGGTCGTTATCAAGTGCCTTTACAAACTGTCCATGGTCATTCGCCATCCAGCCCAACGCGACCGGATAAAAACCAAGGTTGACCTCTCCCACTTCACGCAATTTGACATTCAGCATGTCGAGCAGAAATTCCCTAATGCGGAACGCTGGCTCGTCCAGCGGCTGGGTAAAGCCATAACGAAACGACGGGAATATTTGAAGGGTCGTGAACGGCACCATGAAAAACTTAATCATGGGGCTGATGCGACTGCCGCAGCTTTGTTTGAGGATGACTCTCACACAGAAGCTGCACAAAGAACCCTACTGTCAGAGACCACGGCTACAACCTTCGATTATGGCCTGGTTGCTGCCCTACATACTGCAGCTGGAGAGACAGACGCTGGTCCCGCCCCGTCGGAAACTTCCTATGCATCAACAGTCGGTGACGATACAAAACTGCATCTTCCCCCGATTCCGGAGGAAGCAGAGCATTATCCTGACGGGTTTGAATGCCCTTATTGTTATTACCTGATATCCATCCGTGGGCCTTTGTCCTGGGCACGGCACATCTTTGATGACCTGCAGCCATACATCTGCACTTTCCGTGACTGCCCAACGCCTCACCAAACGTACAGTCGGAGGCGCACTTGGTTCAACCATGAGAAAACAGCGCATCGAGCCGCAAGATTTCCACACAGTGATTCCCACTTCGTCCCTTTGCAAAGCTCCGGGCCCGTGGATAGCTTATCTGCTGTTGACTGCCCTTTATGTGGAGTGACAATCCCGAATCTTCATCATCTCGAACGTCACCTAGCACGCCATCTTGAACAACTCGCTCTCTTCGCCTTACCCCATGATTTTCGGGACGACAATAACCAGCGAGATTCTCAAGAGAGTGGTGACGATAACCCATCTTCTGATAGCCTTGAAGACGGGTCAGAAGGTGAAATGGAAGAATATCATGCTGCCTTGCCGAAGCCCGAAGAGACAGACGTGGATATTGACTCGCCCCTTTCGAGCCTTTTAGAGGAATATAAAGAACCCACGCCTGAATCCAACACTGAATCACATTCGAGCACCATGCGACAGGATCCCCAAACGCCCATGCCTGCTTCGACAGACACTTACAAAGAGGTCAAAAATGGACCAGATCCTCTTCCGGAACAGCCATCTCACGCCACACAAGATGCGACTTCGGCAGGGACATCTACTAAAGTTAGCCCTGAGGAGGAGTGTAAGTAATCCATTTCTAACCTTTCTAGCTCACGAAGTTTGAATTCCTCCTTTCCCTGAGCAACCCGGACGTTGGGATTGGAGAGAGGCAAGCAACTGACATTAGGTGAAATCTGCAGCAATCCAAAGTCGACTCTCGAGCATCCAACGAAGGATCGACGATCTGTCTAGAAACCAAGAAGAACGGAAGAAATATTTTAACCCAAATCCCAGACGTGACAAGACCTCCGAGGCTTTCTCCCCAAAAGATCCGCCTTCTGTATAACTCGCGCCCTATCTGCCTCCAGAATCAAGTCGAGGACGATGTCTCCCTTTGGGTTAGTGGCAATATGGAATGGATAGGTTAGTAGTCATTGGATGAAATCCTGTATCGTTTGGAGGACTTGGATGCGTGAAGAATTGTTTTTGTTTTTGTTTCCTTTTTTTTTTTTTTTTTTTTTTTTTTTTTTGCCTTAAAACAAGTTTCCCAATAGTCTACTCATAATTTATAAACCGTCACGATATGTCGTTGGTTCTACTGCGAGGACACTCGATCGAGCTATTCAGGAAAGTCGTGGTAAACACCCAAGAGAAAGGAACACGCTACCTGATGGTCCTTTTTATTCTAGTTTATTTCATCTAAGCATTAGACAACATACACATACATACATAAATCAGATCACAATTACCTTTCATCCAAGTGCATTAGGGGTGCTGAATGGGTGGGTTCGTGTGTGGGTGTTTGTGAGTCGCGAACTCATAAATGGACCATAAAAGCGGTTTATATTACATTTCCTCTCATACGGCTTCCTTCCTTCGTTTCTTCATAACCCTCGGGACTACCCCTTTGCCCACTGCCCCGGTACTACGGCCCCGGGCCTCACAGATCTCCTCCCACGCATCTTCAAAAGCCGTCTTCCTCCGTCCAATCTGGCCCTCATAAAAGTTGAGGGCGCGTACTACTTCCATCGCCCCTGTGCCCAGGGACACACTCTTCCCCACAATAATACACTCCGACACTCCCTCGATAAGATCAGTCCTCCCGGCCCCGCCCGCATCGAACAGATGATCCGCTGTCTTCTCAAAACTAGCCAGTTGTAGGACGGAATCGCGCATCTTGGCGAGGCCAAACCGTGTAATCCCCAACACCTCACCCTTGTACGTCATGACGTCTGCAAGCAACTGCATGTGTCTTGGGTCAATGGCCATGTCTTTCATAACCTCGCCAATCTCGTCGACGATGGTCGTTCTCGCGGCTTCGATGCCGAGCACGGCACGTGTTTCCATGATGTTGTTTGTGCGTGTGTGGCGACCGTTGATACCGTCGGTGGTCATGCAGTCGCGCAGACCATAACCTTCCACAAGCAGGGTGTTGGTGGTGTTTGTTTCGTCTGTTCGTATGATGGCTCGCGCACATTGGGGATGGCCGATAACCTGGATGTTGGGAATGAGCCGTTTGAGATGTTTAAGGCGGATATACGGGTCAGCACCGGTAGCAGCTTCTTCAGTTTTGGAGAGAGCGGTTCGGGTGGTTTGTTGATCGACGAAAATGTGAATGTGTGAGCCGAAGGAACGAAATTTTAGATCTGCGGATTTGAATCGTTTGTGTTTTTTAATGGCCATAAGGATATCTTGGAGGGTTAGTTCGAGTTGTAGGTTTTGAATGGTGGAAAAGTCGATTTTAATATTGATGTACGCTTCATTGCCGGTCCAATCTTCCTCGATATAATATATGATATCTCGGACAAAGGTCTTTTCCACTCGGCCCTTTACAATCTGCGCTGCGCGAAGGTCCTGCTTATTGACAAGCTCACAGGTGATAACTGGTGTACTGATTTCCTTGGAAGCATTGATAATCTCCTTGATACGCGGTACACCTTGAGTTATGCTCATACCAGCAACACCAGCGAAATGGAAAGTTTTCAATGTCATCTGCGTCCCCGGTTCTCCAATGGACTGTGCACCGACTGCACCCACTGCATGACCTGGCTCAACTTGGGCTCTCTTATACTTGGTTAAGCAGGCGGTGATGAATGAAGTGAGAGCTCTGGTTGACACTTTTGCGGTATGAATTACGCCCTTTCCCCGCTGTTTAGTGCCGCTATCAATGGACCTCAGTTTTTCAGCTTTCGCACATACATAATCCTCAATGGACTGGAGAAAATCTCTGGCGCTTTCCAGCTGATCTATGCCGTGATCACTTCTGTCATTATACTCTAACTTCTTGCCTAACAGGTCAAATCTTGCAAGCTTGGCCCGCTCAGGAGCGAGTAAGTTTTGACACAAAGTTATTATCTCATCCGGAAGAAGGCCTTTGTCGGAGTTATCAAAGGTTGTCACCTCAGCATGGGTAAACGTGCGATCAAAGTGGACTGGTTTAGCTCGGCCCTCCATATCGACAGGGTCCAATTTATCGTCACCATATTGGAACTGCACAATATTTGAAGACGAATTCCTTACGGTATCATCGTATCGCGTTGATAGGTCTTCAAGAGATTTCATCAACCTACGGGACATGTAACCAGTCTCCGCAGTCTTAACTGCTGTATCGACGAGACCTTCTCTTCCAGAAATGGCGTGGAAAAGAAATTCCGTTGGTGTCAATCCCGAAAAGAAACTGTTCCGCACGAAACCTTTCGCGGGAGGTTGGCGAGCATGCTTGGGGAAATGTGGTAACGTTCGATCTTGAAAGCCGTCCTGAACCCGTTGATTCCCTATAATTTGTTGGCCGACAAGGGCAACCATCTGAGCGACGTTAATATCCGAACCCTTGGACCCTGAAGTGGCCATGATCAGGGGAGAGTTCCATCTACTCAGTTCCGCGATACAGATCTCTCCGGCTTGCTGTCGAACTTTACTGAGTAAACCGGATATCGCGTTCTCCATTGTCATCTGCTCGTCGCAGCCTGGAGCCTTCTCAAGCTTCCCGTTTTTAAATAGTTGAATAACTTCATCACACTGCGCATAAGCATGTTCTACTATATGGTGTTTCTCCTCTAAAAGTTTTTCACCAGGGTATACGTCTGTTATACCGATCGAGAAACCTAGGTTGGTGAGCCATCTAGCGGACAGCCTTGAGAGCCGGTTCATGCCCTCAGATGCGACATCGGGGCCGAAATCTCGAAGCATAACATAAAATACCGAATCTTTTTTGCCGGATCCGATGGTAGACTTATCCATGACACCACACATGATTTCGGAGTTACGAATGCAAAGCCATCCATCGTTAGCATCCAAGTCACGAGGAGTTCCTTTCGGCGCTTTGAATTCTCGACATGCTGCATCTAAATTAATTAAAACCGGAGATTGCTTATTGGGTCGCATCAACACGTTGAAGACTTGTTTCCCTGTCCACAATATTTGGGGCTTTAGCACTGAGGGCGGCGGAAGGTCAAAACGGGTGTCGGATTCAAGCATGTAGAGGCAGATGTGTGTGAAAGTTTTGCGATCATAGAAAATATCTTTACTACTCAGCAAGTAAGCAGCAGTGATGAAATCCTGAATAGCGGAAATGATGGGTTCGCCGTTTTTTGGTGTAGCCAGATTATTTTTAACTCCCATCAATTCCATCGCTTCGGCCCTCGCTTCTTCCGTTTGAGGGACATGTAGATTCATCTCATCGCCATCAAAATCGGCATTGTATGGGTTACATACACACTCATTCAGACGGAATGTTCGGTGAGGCCTAACCTTGGCAAAATGGGAAAGAATACTGAGTTTGTGGAGGGATGGTTGTCGGTTGAACAGAACGATGTCTCCATCTTCAATATGCCGCTCAACAATATCCCCTTCCTCCAACTCGTTCGCAACCAGGTTGGGGTTACCGAATTTCAAGTTCATTTTAAAATTCTGACTTTTCTTTAAGACGTAATTTGCTCCCGGCCAAGTCTTTGTGCCATTTCGAATACGTTGGCGGAGTTTTTCTTTATTATATCTTGTCACCTGCTCGGGATAAGTCATGTTCATGGCAACAAGCTGAGGAACAGCGACCTCGTTGACACGCAGATTCGGGTCTGGAGAAATGACGGTTCTACCAGAGAAATCCACTCGTTTGCCTGAAAGATTTCCACGGAATCGCCCCTGTTTCCCCTTGAGTCGTTGGCAGAAGCCCCGAATCGGCTTTCCAAAATCAGCCTTCTGTAAACCCGGCACATCACTGTTGATATACACTGCGAGCTGCAGCTGCATATAGTCCCAGCATTCGATAATGGTCTGTACCGGCGCACCCTTGATGAGTGCATTTTTGAGATTGATATTGCTCTGGATGATATCTCCCAGTTTTGCTGTCAAGTCATCCTCGGTACTAGCCGCCTCCTGTCCAACCGATGGTCGAATGCACACAGGCGGAGCCGGAACGTATTGCCAGAGAAACACTTCTGGCCGAGCCTCCTCGGGATTCAGGCTAAGGAGCTCGCAGTCTTCGTTAGAAACGGACCGAAACAGTCTCAGCACGCGCAGTGGATGTAGATCGTCGTGGGCCTTTTTGAAATGTTTGTCGATATCCGGATTGCTTTTCTTGGCTTCTTCGAATGACTTGTCGAAGACGACTTTGCTGGGCGGGGGAATCTTCTTCACGGACGCGGACGCGTTGAAGGCGCGGAATTTCTCATGAGTGATTTTCAGTGCGCTTGTTCCGGCTTTCTTCACCACACCGTTGACTGCGTTGCATTTGTAGCAGGTCCGCGTTTTTCGACATCGCTCGTTGATCTTCTTCGCAATCTGCATGCGCCTGAGGTTATCTATACCAGGTCGTCTTAACTCTCTAAGAAACGCTCTGCGCTCGGTTTCGGGAAGGAGGATGTGTGAGCATTCCTAGTGCGCGAAGAGAGAAGGAACAAATTGTGTCAGCGATGTTTAAAAAAAAAAAAAAGAGTAGCAGGAAGACCAACCTTGCAAATCTCCTGCAGAATGCTAATAACCCGTTTAAAATAACCCACATGGAAAGCCGGAAGAACCAGCTTTACATGCCCGAAATGTCCGCTGCAGACCTGTAGTGCTCCGCCGCAGGTGTCGCAAGTGCCCGATTTACTCGATATTCCCATGCGCCCGTCGAGCGGGCCGTGGGGGGCGACAGCGCGATCATTGTCGAGATCGAAGAGCTTCCTATCAGAAACCTCAACGACGGCTTGACTCACGATATCTTGGGTCGAGCTTTAATAATACACCATTTTTGTGATCAGTCAATTGTTTCTCATTGGGGCCGATCCATCTTTAATCCCTAAGTTTCCATGTTTGTTTCTTTCTTTCGCTCAGGTTTCACTCACAGGACGCCGAATTTTATCTCCTTGATGACCTTTGGCACGCGATCCACGACCTGGGCTTTCCCCAGGTCGATTTGTACAGCCTCTGCAGACTGCATGATGCCGATATCACGAAACGGTCATTCTCAGTCTGGGTTGGGGCAATCGAAGTCCCAACCTGGAGTTAACGAAGCAACCTGAAGCTCGGGCGGAATGCGTTTATGCCCGAGAAATAAATTATGGGTAAAATAATAGTTTGGTTTAGGGCGTGCGGGTGGTTGAAAATGAGTCTGATGAAGTTTGCGTTGCGTCGGAGCTTGGAGTCATCGATTACTTTTTTTTTCCCTCAATGGCGGGGTTGGCGACGAAAACATTTCCCCGAACCGCGACAGCTTTGGAGGCTATAAGATAGGCGTCCCCCCAAATGTATAGCTACACAAGATACATTGGATGCTTCAATTTATTTGGAAAAAGTGGTTGAATAGGAATTGGATTGGAAATTATTCTATTTGTCCCAGTTACTGAATATCGTGTCGAAAACAATCTGATTGGGGGGATATTTAAAAGGACTACATCAGTACGCCAACGCCCAACTATGCTCTGCGTGTATGCAACAAGGATCATCAAAACAGCTCTATACAGCTGGTATATCGTACACTATCTGTAGCTCCAAGCAGGGTCAATATTAAATAAACAAATGAAATTATTTGGCCAAAAAGGCCTGGAAAGCCTTATGCTCTATTACCACATTTCCAACAGCCTTCAGTTTCTTCCGCCCCTCTTTCTGTTTCTCTAACAACTTCTTCCGTCGCGTAACGTCGGCGGCATGCAGCTTCTGCAACACGTCCTTCCTGAACGGCTTGATCGATTCTCTTGCCACAACATTTCGTCCCGCAGCGGCTTGTATCACAACTTCGAACATTTGACGGTCAACATGTTCCTTGAACTTGCTCACCCATAAACGCCCCAGCCGCTGCACCTGACTAGAATGAACGACGCGAGATACCGCATCGACGGGGACTTTATTTACGAGGAGTTGGAGTTTGGAGATATTGCTGCGTCGCCAACCAGATTCCTCGTAATCCAAGCTGGCGTAGCCCTTTGTGGATCCTTTGAGCTTACCAAAGAAGTCATCGACCAATTGGGCAAGGGGTAATTCGTATTTGAGAATGACCTGGGTTGACGTGAAGAATTCAAGGCTCTTTTGCTCGCCTCTGTTGGATTCGCAGAGTTCTATGACTCTTCCTAGGTATTCTTCGGGGAACGTGAGAGTAGCGAGGACGAATGGCTCTTGCAATTCGGTTACTTTGGCACGCAGTGTGTCTTCTTCGGGGAAGAGGGCTGGGTTCGTGATGATTTCCTCCTTTCCATCTTTCCATATAACTTTGAACGGCACCGTAGGTGGTGTGATAATAATGCTCGCGCCATGTTCTTGTCGTAGGCGATCTTCGAAAACGGAGCAGTGGAGGGTCCCAAGAAACCCCAGTCGAAAACCAGCCCCTAATGCCTCGGATGACTCCTTCTGCAACGTCACGCTGCGGTCATTTAAGATGAGTTGATTAATGCTGTCCTCAAGGTGAGGGAAGTCGCTGGCATCCACGGGGTATGCTGCAACAAACACCATGGCCTTAGGTTCTTCGAATCCAGGGAGCGGCTGAACCAATCTCTCTGAGCCAACCTTTGTATACGTGTCGCCCACTTTAGCTTCCTGGCTGCGCTTCATGGCCGGATTAAAGTAAATATAACCGACTTGCCCGGCCCGGAGGACGGATTGGGCCGTTTGCCCCGGATACATAATTCCAACTTCGCCAACAGTGTATTTCAGGCCAGTTGCAAAGGATACAACTTGATCGCCTGCTCTAATCTCGCCGTCGAATAGTCGAACGAGGAGAATCACACCCTTGTAGGTCGAGTACCATGAGTCAACAAGAAGCATTCGGAGAGGCTTGGTACGATCTCCAACAGGCCTACTAGGGTTAGCACTAGGGGAATCATTTTCTTGAGGCTTGGCGGATCAGAATAAAAATAAAACGTACGCAGGAATCTGCTCGATAACCGTTGGTAAAAGCTGTGACACATTTAGACCAGTTTTTGCTGATACCAGCACAGCAGATTCGGGGTCCAACTCGAACGTGTTCTTCATTTGGTCCAAAGCGCGCTGCGGATCTGCCGACGGTAAGTCCACTTTATTTATGACCGGCACCAACTTGAGACCCTCAGCAAAGGCGAGGTAAAAATTTGCTACGGTCTGTGCTTGGATTCCCTGGCTGGCGTCAACGAGAAGTAAAGCCCCCCCGCAACTTGCGTAACTCCGCGACACTTCAGCACGGAAATCGACATGACCAGGAGTATCGACGAGATGCAGCAGGTAGTCTTCGCCCTGATGATTGTAGAGCATGCTACATGTCTGTGCTTTTACGGTGATACCGCGCTCTCGTTCAACATCCAATTTGTCCAGAACCTGCTTGTTCGCACCCGCTTCGATAGTGCCGGTGAGTTCGAGGAGACGGTCAGAGAGCGTGCTTTTGCCATGGTCGACGTGCGCAACGATGCAGAAATTCCGGAATCGTTCAATTGGGATTGCTGCAATGCGCTGCTCTACCTCTGAGGCTGGCTTCCTCACTTGCGCATTGCGTGGGGCAGAGGTACTGAGAAGTCGACGGGGGTACCTGGTGGACGAAGCCAGTGATTGAGACGGCCGCAATGCTGAGGTCAGCCATTTGACTGACTGCAGGCATCCTCGCATCGGGATATCTACATTGACGTCAGGTATCAGGCGTCGCTATATTGCTATTGGATAGCTTATCCAATGGCTCACTGATGTTGTCCTTGTATGTCGCTGGATATTTCTTTCTCTGCAACTTCAGAAAGATTTTCGGCGCGGGATTGATTGCGGCTCCGCAAAGTCCGGCCCAGAAAGGAAGGCGAGCCGAGCATATCGTAACGTGACTTGTCAATTGCCGTAGCAGCGCTGAGAAAGTAAACAATAAAACAAATTAAAATATACTTTTCTTCTTCTTATTTGACATTCTGTCCGAGAAATTACCAGTTATTCATTGCATCGAAACTCGTATATATACATACTTATATAAACCCCCAGTCGAAATGTCTACGCAAAAGGAGAAATCGAAAGTCCACAAGTTGTCGTTGAAGGGTAAGTCAAGGAGCGCGCACCCCGCACGGCTTGAATTGAATCTGATAATTGGAGTTTAGGGTCGTCAAAACTAGTTGCGGAATTCGTAAGTGGGCTTGCCAGAAAGCAAATGTATTGATGCTAATAATTATAGTTTGAATATTCGATACATTCAATTTTGTACGTGCAAGATGACCAGGCGAGTCAGAAGCGGCCTGCGGGGATAATGAAGCTAACGACCAACTGTCACAGGTTCCAACGAGGGGTATATCCAGCAGACGATTTCACAGCGTGAGGGCATTCATTTTGCAACTTCCGAATGAGAAGAAGCACTGGTGTTAACAGGTTTTTACAGTGTCAAAAAATATGGGCTCAATATGCTTGGTTGGTGCTGGTTACTTTTTCCCCAACATTCCTGTTCACTAATAATCGTCTATCTAGTATCTTCCGATGACCAAGTCAAGGCGTATATAAAAAAGATCATGTCGCAGTTGAACAAGTGGATGATTGGGGGCAAGATATCCAAACTTGTCATCGTGATCACAAGCAAAGATACTGGGGAGCATGTGGAGAGATGGCAGTTCGATGTATGTCATAACCGCATTTATACCTCAATGTAGAATATCCCAAGTTGACACAACGCCTTATGAGAATGGCAGGTTCAAATATTCAACAATGGCAGATCTTCCCGAAATCGCTCTACACAAAAAGCATCGCCTGACAACGAAAATGCTCCTATGTACGTTCACTCATTGCTAACCCTATGCCACTCAGCTACAAAAATCATTCACACATGGCTCGCCGTTATCGAAATCCCTGACTAACAATTTGCAAAAATGATGCCAAATCTTAGCCCCACGAATACCGCCGCCACTACCCCTCCTCCCGAGAAATCCGAAAAGGAGATCCAAGAAGAAATCCAAGCGATTTTCCGCCAGATCACCGCCTCCGTGACCTTCCTTCCAGTCCTCGATGGTAACTGCACATTCAACGTGCTTGTGTATGCGGACGCCGATTCTGAGGTTCCCATGGAGTGGGGTGATAGTGATGCCAAGGAGATCGAGAATGGAGAGAAGGTGCAGCTGAGAAGTTTCAGTACAAGCAACCATCGCGTGGATACGTTGGTTAGCTACAGGTTCGTCTATAGATATTTCTTTTTTTACCTGCATTCGTTTGTGTATGGTTGCTTTCTGTATGCGAGATGACGCTCCTCTAACTTGATTTACATGTACGTAGACTCGCGGATTGAAGAAGCAGGTGGCGGGGTGGAAGATACGCTTTTGCAAACAGTCGCATTGGGAGTTTCTTTCCTTCTCTTTTTTTTCAATTGGGTACAATCTTTTCTTAAAGCTAGCAACAGGCGTTGAACGTGAGATTCAGGTATTTAATTTTATATGGGATCTGGGAGGTTTCGAAAATGGATTTCTAACTGCGTACCTGATAGTATGGTTTTGGTTGTTCACTTTCTGCATCATGTGCTGTTCAAATACAGGGCCTACCTTCGGCATTTTCCTCTTTTTGAAAATCTTTGTTCCTACGTGCTTCTCGTTCTAGGATCCGATCGCTATATCCATATCTAAGTACAATTCTGACTACCCCTCCCGATGTAGAGGTTACCTTTCAATAACCGACGCAAAGAAAGCAGAGTGCCGAGTGGATATAATGTCAATTGGTAAAGGTAATTTTTTGTACTGTACATCTAAGATTTCCAGTCCCATTTTTGAGGTGATAAGTGGTCAGCCACACCGACCGCCGCATGACCACCTTGATACATGTAGCTTGAGATTTCTATTGTTCATTGGTGTAAATAGGAGAAGTATGTCTCGTTTACGGAATTGGAATTTAGTGCCAGGATCTGTATATTACGATGTTTCACAGTGGGTTGGATCAATGCCTTGCAGATCACATTGATATCATTGTTCATTGTGATATTCATTTCCTAATTTGATGGGCAGTTAAATATAACTCCTCTCTTGCGAGAAAAGTCGGTTAGGAGAAAAGTAATGAACAAAGGAAAAATAATAGATTTCCCAAAAGTCAACCTCTAAGCGGGTTGAAGGTATCAAGGCACACAAGAGAAACAAAATAAGGGAGCGGGTGGTCAGTGGTTCCTCAACGTCATTCTGTCGCAGCTCCCACGCAATGCCCCGACCGCAATCTTTATAACCCCGCCTTTCCCAAGGTTCTCAGTCCCATACCCTGAAGGATATAGCCAATACCGACAAGGTATAATAAGGGATACAGGAATGGAAAGAAAATCGTCAAGCGTGCATGTTTCCAAATCCTTATGCGCCGCTCTTTTGCGCCCATGTTTTTAGCAACCTTTGCTGGAAATGCAGGTGTTGGCCGGATCTTGAATATATTTAGTTCTGTGGAAATAATAGAGAGGCATCTTGGAAAGTTGTAGAGGGCACATGGAGTAAAGGAGAATGCAGAAGAACAAATAACATCACTGTACAAGGATGCCAGAGCGAGGCAGGAAGTTGCCAAATGCTCATTTAAGAGGGCAATGAGCGCGAGCCTTTTGTAGAGGCCATCAGTAGCTAACAGGAAAAATGGGGCTCAGATAACACCTCTATTTCGGGCAAATGTTTAAACCGAATCACGAAATATGCAGTCACCTCATACAATGAAGTTAACAGGGAGCGGGCAAGCTAGCGATCTATTGAATAATGAGTACAAGATATGGTATCTGGAGGTTTTTTTTCCACTTCCATTTGCCATTTCTGGTTGGGAAAATGGGCTTCATTTACCGTTTGTCCCTGAGATTTTAACCGCGGGTACTTGGGCAGAACCTAGGGCCATAGCTTGCCTAACAGCTTCTTGCGGCTGGCAATTCCAGCAGGGATATCGCACAATGCGCTTTTGGCGGCAAAGCACACACACATTACTTTGGAAGGATGATAGGGTTAGTGCATGCGTTAAATCGGGGAGTGGATCAGCCTTAACACGTACCGCAAATTCCCGTTGCATTCAGGACAATCTATAATAGTATTTTTGCCAACGCAAAAGCGGTGATGTGGGTCAAGGAGATAGGACGGCGTTTCCCGTTGAGTCGTGCTGGCCATTACGAAAACTTGTGACGGGAAGCTGGCGTTGTATGACAAAATGAGAAGTAGAAGATATCAATTATCTGGTACAAATGCAGCACCGTATAAGTGTATACCAGAACCGATCTGATACAGAAATGGGATTCTGGAACAATGGAGATCATGTAATTCCGTAGATGAGCTTTGTAAAACTTGCGGCGGAGACGCCAACCAGTAATCGTATTCGACTCAAAAGATACTAAGGACCTGGCTGTTGGTGTAGCATTTGCATTCCAGATGAGGAGGATAAGACCGGGTGAAGGGTTTCATTATATAACTCCTATCCCATTCTCATTGTTTCGCCAATTACTAGGAGGTTACACTCAGTAAGGGACGAGAAAGCGATTGAGAGATATAGTAGTAGGAAGTATGCAACAGTACTAAGACCTTGGACCTGCCGTGGCACCAGGGACAATACGGCAACCTAGGATAATATCTTGCCAGTTCATGGCTGAGATTTCGTGGGGGTATGGTTTTCCAACTTTGACAATAGCGGAGCAACGGATCAGCAGGACAAGGATGGTGATCACATCTCCGACACTCGACAACCCAGCCCGACTACGCCACAACTTCATCCAGCCTTGAGAGGATTTATAGGCAGGGATGGAGTAGAAGCGGCGGAATTCAACGGTCCTCTTGGAAACCAGTATTAAGCGAGTAGCATCGGAAAGCTTAGAGCTGGCTGCATGGAGAGAGTGTAGGAGTGGGAGATCAGAAATCAACCGACTATGTTAAGGTTAATAAATGGACGAGGCAACCAAAACCACACGTTTGCTAGTAAAAGCAACGACTCCTCTTCACCACGCTGGGTCAAACCCAGGAGTACGGATAAACTGTCCCATAAGTAGCGCAGTAACCACGTGCGATAATCAGCGACTGACCATCACGTTGAAATAAAAAGCAGGCTAAATGGGGCGTTTATGTTTGAGGCCAGCGTTCCGGGAAGTCATTCGATTGAATTGGAAAAAAGAAACCAATAGCGGCTGTGGATTCGACAAAGAAAGGATATGCTGCATAGCGGTTGCAGCTTTCCGTATACGTCCAATAATTGGCGCTGTCAAATGACTCCAAACCCGGTAGTATGGTACGGGATAACTCTCATATGCCGTAGATAGCCTATCGTTTGTTGTCCAGCCCTCACCGCTGGTCCAAGCGAGATATGTTGGAATTATCATGTGAAATAACAGTCTATTATCACATAGACAAAACGACAAATCAAGCACGGTAACAGACATTTCCGCGAAGTCGGAAAAGTCGGAACAATATGGTCGTAGCAGCCCTATGGTAAGCAGTTGAGGCGTCCAAGGTGCTGATGTTGCGGGGTGGTACGATAAACGCCGCCCAGCGAAAGAAAGATGGAATATACGCGGAACGCGAGGGGTAGGGTAGAGGAAATCCATGTTCATTTTGACAGCGGTGCCATGGGAAATTAACATGTATAGCTCAATGGCGAGTTAGGGATACAGGCCTTAACATGGCGAAAGGACGATGGAGGACAAAGGACAAGGGACATTCTAAGCTGAAGCAAGCTGTAACAGTTCCGCCCCAATTGGACATGGAAATCGGAATAGCCGGAAGGGCGGGATCGGTGGGGTCGTCAGCGAGTTGCGGACCAGCCTAGGGAAAGGAGCGTCTGGTAGGGGTCAATTGGTATGGTGTCAAAGCAGCTGGCACATTGTATGCCAGCTGTGTCCAGCTCGTATATGCTGTACCGGGAGTCTTTCCTCCATAGACGGCGTATGAATGGGGGGAAAGTGCCAGCACAGAATCGACCCTGATGAGACTCTGTGACCAAGCCACAGGAGAATGGGCGCAACGAGTTCCTAATTTTTCAGTCTATTTGCAAAATCATGGAATTTCGTTGACTCGACAGGAGAAGGCAATCGCCTAATCCCATGTAGATGCAGGCTCCACACGTTGGCTTAGCTACAGCACAAGCGAGCCCTCGAAAGAAGGAAGAAAGTTGGATAGCCAGGTGGCAAGGAAATCTGCAAGCCAACTAATCGGGCTGAGGGTATTTTTTTTTTTCTGTCGCACGACGGCATTATCTGAGGCTTGATTCCTGCATTGGCAGCTTACGCAGGATATCCTTTGCGCTGTCCACACAAAACCGGTTCAAGACTCAGCCTAAGCTCACGAAGTGCACAATCCTTTAATTCTGTCGAACACGGCAATCACGAAAATAAAAGAGGCAATCCTTTTTTCCCTTGGAACACAAAGCGGATGCGGAATAATTTGCCGGCGATTTGAAACATCGTAACAGAAAGCGACTATAACGGGAGCGTGAACGAGACGGCTGTGCCAGATCTTCCCGAGCCGAATAGAACTAAAGCAGGCCAAGGCGGCACGATAGCTTAAAATAAACCAAGGGAAGATAGATATGCAAGCTTCAACTTAACGGCATATCAATGACATTGAAGGCTCAGAAATGCGGGAGAAGAGGACCGTTGACCAGGTCCCAACAGCGTCTGTCAACAAGGCTCAGCACCAATCAAGATACCACTACCAAGATGAGCCAACTTTCTAATCAAGGCATAGTCCACATGATTGAGAGAGTCGAGGGAAAACGGGAAGAAGCGGCCGAGGACGTTGACGCTTTGGATGTGCTGCAGTTGACTATCGAATCACCAGTGGTTATCTGAGCAGGGTTGAGAGCAGCAAATAGCCCACTGACATGGCCGTAAAGCACTCATCAACTAAACAGTCATGTTTGTGAGAATATATTTGAAACGACAAAGGCCGTTGCAGGAACAAGCCCAGTGGTGATCGAATCGCAGCGGTTCGTCAGGGAGCAACTGCTGCTGGCCTGCAGCCTGTAGTCTGTTGCATATGAGGACCTCGGGAGGACAAACATTGTTCAATGGGAACATTAGCCTGTGAGAGCTGAGACATGCCTTCGGAGAATTTAGACCAGAGGATCCAGCAGAATTGATTCGGTTTGAATAGTTAATGAGTCTGGGAATGTAGATGCCGTCCAACAGAATATCCCGTGTTGTGCTAAGATGGTGTGTATCGAACTAAATATATAAAACACCAGAAAATTGAAGCACGCCAGCACCATTCCATATAAGAATAAAAAATGTGCCAACAAACAAGAGGGGAATATATCAAGCCTATTTACAGAAATACGTGTATAGGTAAGTTAGCTTCTCTAATTATGTCCACTCGATGAACGGTTGCATCAGTTCGGCCACAATGTTTAAATCAGTAGTTATCTATTTATACTATTTATGGTCCTAAAAAACGTGCAATAAACGTGTACCGAACCCCTGATATCGCTCGGAAGATTTGATCTTGTACAGTGTCTTCCGTTGCCTTGTAAGCCGCGACCTGGCATTCGGGTGCATAGAGTTCTTATCTGGATAAATATTTCGTATGAAACCTACGGAACCGAGGCTACACAAGACAAAGAAGAAAAGAAAAAGAGAAAAAGGAAAAACAATAAAGGAAGAAAAGCATTCCAGGAACAGAATGGACTGGGATGCCAGGTTCAACAAAAACATGATTCAAGCGATGGCCATCTTTAAAACGGAGCAAAATACCCGATAATCCTCCTTCCAACGGCCAGCGAGTGCTCAGAGGTGAAACATATCTTTTTGCGGGAATCACTCATCTTCATCTTTCCTCTTCCCTGCCACGAAACGAGCTTCCTGTAGATAATTGTCCGGATCTGGATGAACTGTCTCCTGCAATGGAACATATCGCCCGCCCATCCGTTACTGGCTCACCAATATTGTGCCCGTAAAACACAAGGGGTCAACCACTCACTTCCCTTGTTGCAATCCGGAGACAGCTGCCGGTAGCCGATGGCATTTGCATTTTGGCTGATGCTGCGAACCGCACCGTCATCACCACCTGTATGAACGGAGCCCTAGGCGAAAATGTGCTTGAAAGTGAAAGCAGTTGTGTCGACAGTGCGTTTTGAATGCTCAGACGGACGGGATCGTTTTTTCCATTGCATCTAAGTTGACCTTAGCGGTGGTTGGACGGACAGGTTGTCCTCTGCGAAGCGGTTGATACATATCGCTGCATATACTGTAGGTGATACATTGTTGGACGGGTTTTTAGGGCTGGCTGAATACTGGCAGGAAAACATTTCAAGAAGACTATCTAAGCTGAACAGTGCAAGGGGGCAATAATATCGAGCTCGTATTTTCTAAATATCTGCTGTGGATTTGCATGGATATACATATATGCATGCATTAATGACTGTAATAGATATACAGGAATACCCAGGCCTTATATGGGTCGAAGAATCATCGTGATGGTCACAGTTGCGCCCAAAATTGAAAGTCTGATATCGGCTCGAAAATATATATCTTGGCTCGAGAGCTGTAAAATATAAATGCATATAGAGGAGCAAGGAGCAAGCCTCACAATAACGTTATTTGGTGTTGTATTACCTATAGACACTGCATTTCTGACATCCAGCAACCCTCCTGCACCCACTTGAAGAAGTAGCCTAACATCAAGATGATTGAAAAATGTAAAACACACCCCCTCAGCTCCATATACATACCATGACAGCTCGGTGTGAAATGATTGAAGAACGCCCCAAAGGGAGGACCGCTGTATCAGGCTAGAAGGAGGCAGCGATAGAATATAATATGGCAAATGAGAAAACATTGCACTAAGAATCAGCCTTCTTTCCCGAGTTTCCCTAACGCCTCTGTCAAGAACTCCGTCGCATTGACTAGATCCGTGCTCCCATATACAATTCGTCGTGACGTGGCGCCAGATGGCCCTGATCCTCCACCACTGCCGGATCCGCCAACTGTGTTCGAAGAACCACTCAGCGGGCCTGCACCTGCTAAGGTTCCCCTCCCTGTTCGATGTGCCCAATCTTGAAGATTGCCATATTCATCCATACTCCCACCTCCCACCGTGAAGACGATCGCCTCGCTGAATCCCTGTCGCCGTTGGCCGAAACTCGCGCCAGTGCCGGGTGCGGGACCACTTTGTTGATTACGAGTCGAGGCCGCGGGGGGTACGGCGCCTCGTGCATTCGCGCTGCGTGGATCGAAATAAAGGTAGTTCTCAGTCTTTGCGATCGCGGAACTTGATGCGCCCGCTGGATCCATGATTGATTCCGTGATTTTGGTAAGAGTCAGATCTTTGTTTACAGGGAGGAAGTTCTTTACGCCGGATATTAAGGAGTCGAAATTCGCGCCAAGCGCGCCGGAGGTAATGCGGTCTGTAAGGCGGTTCGAGAGCGAGGAGAATCCACGGAAGAGGTCAGAGGAAGGTTGTTGGGTAGCAGCAGTGGCCGCGGTTGTCATCATCGTCATCCGAGTAATTTCTCGGACTCTTTTCACGAACGCTACTGCGTCAATGTCTGTGCATCCGGCTTGCATGAGCGCCTCTTCAAAGCGGTTCAACTCTGCTCTTGAGAGGTCTGTTTCTGTGCTTAGGAACCAAATTAAAAAGAACCTTAGTTTGTCGGATGGATCGGTGCCTCCGTTAGCATTGCATAATATTTCGAGGATTTGTGATTTATTCTGCTTCATAATGTTTTCTTCAAGCTGGAAGTAATTATCTAGTTGACGATCCTTAATTCCCTTCAGAAGAGCAGTAGCGATGTTCATGTGCATGTCGAGCAGTGCCTTGCGTTCCCGCAACTCTGGAAGAAGTGTGATGGCAGTTTTGAGGTGTTGAGCGGATGCGCCCATATCATTTTGAAGATCTTCGATGGAAGAAGCGCCTGTCTTCCTCGTGATCTCAGCCGCGTCTTCCTTGTACCGCGTCAATTCAGCGTCAATGTCTTCGGCCACCTGTGGAAATGGGACGCTTGCGTTGCGGTTCCAAAAGAAATCATTCACACTCAAATCATATGAACGTTTCGTGGTGCCCTTCGCTGGGTTTGAGTCGTCGACTGGTACGTCCACGGTGATACGGTTAAGATGCATTTTCAAGACATCATGAACCAGTGATTGGTAAGACCAAGAATGGGAAAGCATAGGAACAAGGTCCACATTACGGTCAACGATAATGAGAACTGGGCGGACTGATGGGACGCTAACACCCTGTCGTTGGGATGCACTGGAGAACAAATTATCCTTTGAATTTAATATGTGATCCCTCAGTTTACGATCGAGTTTAGTCGCAATCAGTTCGGATGCTCCTCCTTTAGGGCATCTGATTATTGGGATGGAGCCTTCAATAACGTAAGTGAGAGACACAAAAATGAAAAGAATATGGGTGAAGAAGCGTACCCATCGTGACACTGACACTAAACAGACCACTCACAATTCTGTCTATCATGTTATCCAATTCCTCGTCCGTGGTTTTGGCGCTGTTTAATTTCCAATACATGTCTTTCCCCATCCCTAAACTGAACAAATCTGGTTCTGAAACAATAAAGTTCAAATACTGATCATAAACTTGGGCAACTTTTTCTGATGTCCCCGTGGAGGCTATTTGAGATGCAAAGTCCTCTAAGAGTGGCCGCGGAATGGAAGATATGAAATTTACGTATGCGCGGCAGTAGATATCCCTGGAAAGGTCTGAGGTCACAAGTTGTACGTTCTCTGGGGTTGGTTCAACGAAGTAGATCACAGGAACATCGGGAATTGGGTATCGAGGGCTATTGATATTTCTATTTCCATGAGTTAGCAGGACAATACAATCCTGAATGGACAAACCAACACCGAAAGCGTGCCTACAGATGAATCGTCACACCCCAAGTTCGCAGGTCGTTCACTCGTAAAACGCTACTTATAACATCTCGGCCCAAGTTATCAAACACCAGCACTTTCCATATGGGATCGCCATCTTCATTGAGGATGGGAGTGGAGTGTATTAGGCCTGTCGGGCTGGCGGCGTCGCCCTGGAATTCAGTTTGGTGAGGCGCTTCATGGTTCAGATTTAGGATCTTCTCAATGGAAGCTATATCAATATATAATATGTATACATTTAGCCAATGCCGTTATGGAGCAAACGGAGCACAGTTCATACCAATTTGCCTCTGCCGCAGAGATGGAGGATGCGAAGCCATGGGTGGGCGGAAGGACAAATAGAGATGCGCCAGTCGAGCGGACTGGCGAGGTTAGAAAAGGGCTAACCCTTGTCTCGGATGAATTAATTAAAAATTACTGAGGGCACGAAATGAGGTTGAAAGTCATTCAAGTCTAGCATCGGCATAGAGCTAATTCGATCAGCGAGGTGAACATGATATGATATGTGGAAGCTACAAGTAGATGTCGTTTCTAACAATTATCGCCAGATCTCAGAAATGCTGATGACATAACCAGCATCTTGATAAACGACGGATGTACTATTTTTCCGCAAAGCACATGATTTCGGGAAAACTAATCGGGCCGGTGGCGGGTGACAAAACAACGCAAAACAATCTTGCGGCTTCGCCGCCCACGGAACGTTCTTCTCTCACAACGACAAAACCCAACCTCCATCTTCTCCACCATTCCGCACATCTCGCACATCTCCCATATCACCTCTCAACTGCTGAATTCTCATTGTAAAGGCATTTTACTATGCTCCTAAGCTGAAGCCCTGAGGTACGGGACCCAGTGTGAGACCTTGGTCCGTCGATTAAGGGTGAGTGGAACGCCGGTAAGGCTGTCCCAAGCTGGTGGCTTAGAACGAGAACACTGCGCAGGAACAAGGTGTGAGGATAGAAAAAAGGAACATTTGAGAGATATTTGAGTGGGAAAAGCAGTACAATACAACCTGGGAGGTATTTGGCTGAAGTTGAGCGGCTGTTTTGGTGGATATTGCTGTACTTTTTGACTTCACTTGTATTCTTGTTGCAGCAACATTTCCTCCATATTAAACCCGGCAACAACCCCCCAAAGTACCGCCAGAGCTGACAGTCAGGAGGGCAAAGTAAGCCTGTTTGATCCTCCTGCATACGCTCATTTTTCTTTTCTCTATTTATATGCCCCTCTTTAACGTCTTAACATTATGTTGAAAACCCTGCAACAAATGACGTCCCCTTTTGGCATTTAACACAAAATCACCTAACAAACCCCCAAAGAGAGACATACCATACGCCATCACAATTCTACACCAGGACGTGCAGTGCCGCAGGCATCCAGCACCTCCAGCCGGATATTGCCAGTGCTCCCAGCTATTACTAAACTAGCACGTTACGCCATAACAGACTGCTCTGGAATATTTGAGTTCCTCGGAAAGCCGAAAAGGTCCTTCCAGGGAAGGGGGGCTGATCTCAAACTTTGCTCTGTTGGTGAACCAGTGGACAAGGGCGCCAGCCGCGCCTTTCCTAAAAGAGACTGCATTTCCTTTCCGGCCTTCACTAGTACGCATTCAGTTAGACCGGAAAATCTTGTGACGGCTCTGTTCTAAAAGCGGCAACAAATCACACCAAATTGGGAAGAAATCACTTTTCGGGTTCCATACAACCACGTGACCTGGCCAACCCTTCCTCGCAAGCAGATAGACAAAGGAGCTAAGATGATCATGGACCCCTCGTCGAACCCTTCTCCTGCGCCTGAGTCCGCGACCAATGCATATCCCGGAGAGTTCTGGGGCGGGATACCTTCGCTGTATACTTCGAACCAGCCCGATGGACAGCCTTTTGGTATAGGCTGGGACCACCCTGTTTTTCAGGCCCCTCATTCCAACCCGCCATCGAAACCCCATCAGCCACAAGATATTTATCCTCAAACGCAGCAGCAATGGCAACAACCACCGTTGCAACCTCAGATGGTGCAAGAGCCACAGCGGAATTATACCCTGCCAGCACAATATCATATCAACCAGTTTCAGCCACCGAATCCTACTCCTACATACGAGACTTCACAACAAAATGCTCCTTATCGCCAATACACCTTCGATCCCCAACCCTTTTATGCAAACCCCCCTTCAGCCGCTAAGAGTGCGTTTAATCAACAATCCGCCGTTGATCTACATACAGCAAATCATCCATCACGGCTGGTGCCCTCTCCCGTTCCAAGCCCCCTACCGTCATATGGAAGGCCAGTATCACTGCAAAGCAATTTGCAGGTGAGTGAGCACCAACTTTGAACTGCTGAGCATAGTGACTAACTCCACTTTCGTAGAATGACGCCATTAACTTCGCGACTGGCTTCCAAGAACATCACTCCGCTTCTACATATCACAACACCATTGATCCTCAGTTTCTTTCTGCACCCCAACATTCAATGATCCAACCCGTCTCCTCGCAATCCGAATTTTTTGTCATTAACCCCGCAGATCTAGACAATCACTCCACCTCTGAGTAAGTTCTTATTTCATTTTTGAGGGGGATGTGTGTAGCTAAACTACTGGACATAGCCATTATCATGCGTACAATACGGAGATTGCTCCTCGCTTAATCGGGCCGAGCCAAGCGCTTAGTACTGTGCAACCAATTCCCCAAATTACAACAACCGGGAAAAAGCCAACAAAAGGTAGGACTGCCGCCAACTTTGTGTACACTTAAGCATTCCAACCTGGGTTTCGCGGACATCTGGCTAACTATGACTAGCACGAACGAAAGCTGATAAGCCGCCGGCAAAACGAAGAAAAAAGGATGCGCCGGAGAAGGTTCAGGATCGCGCAAAGGCTGCAGCCAATAAAGCTGTAATCAAACAAGGTCCACGACCACCTGATGCCTCAGCTAGCTCCGATAGCAGCGACGACTCTGACAGTTCTTCTGATCTCGAAGTCGCCCCAGAGCCGTTTCCTCTCCCTCCTTTGCGCCCTCTGGATGCCGAGGGTGGCATCAAATACGACACTTTAAAGGCAGTTTGGTCGCCGAGGAATAAACAACCACCAATATCCACCATAAGAAATGCACTGATGCTATTTTCCGATCTTATCAAGGGGGTTCGGGATAGTTGGAAAGCGAAAAGCGAATCATTAAAAGCAGCCGAGAATCAAAACCAAGAGGATAAGATTCCCGGAATGAAGAAGGAGGTCACATTGCAACGGCGTCTGATAGATTTGATTGTCACTACAGCGCTGGACGGTGGCCACCCTGCCATCATCCAAAGGTATGTTCAATTTTCCATCTAAACGCCAGTTTCTCCACCCCCGAATTGTCATTACTATCACCCCAAATTGTAGTTGTTTGGGGAGATAAAATGAGGAAAGAAAAATGCAGAAGAAAAGACGAAGATATAATTATAAGTAATAATGTCATGCATGGACAACCAACATGATTTCCGTCTTGTCATGAGGCTAGAAGCAAATGCTATCACATCTACTCCTTAGAATTTTCCGAGGGAGTAGTTTAACATATAAGGCTTTAAATAGCTGGTACAATTAATATGCTAGCCTCCATATTTCGCTGCATCTAATTGCACCAACACATTGACCCCTGACAAAGCTCTTGAAGAAGGTGATGGAGACAATAGCTGTTCGGTACTCGAGAGCGTATCTAGTCACGCAAAATTACCATCCAACCCGCCTACTGTGTTTTCTTTCCAGCTTCGTCTCTATTATCATGTTGTTTTAAAGAACATCAACTAGGATAAGAAAGATACTTATATCTATCACAGGTTCGGTGAACATCCTATTATCGTATCCGCGCTGTATTCCTTTCTACTCGATCGACACACGGCGGCAGATAGCGACGGGCCGCTGACGGTGAACATTTTAAAGGTAATTTTGAACATGTTTTTTCTTCATGCCGTATCATGTCGATTCTAAAGCTCGCTACTAACGGAAGCGATAGCTCATGACGAAATTTGTGACAATGGATCAAGCAATGCTCGAGAAAACTAAAAATGACAAGATCCTCTCTCGTTTTGTGAAGAAGGGGGGAGACATCATTAAGCAGCTCGCCCAGACAATTTTATCCAATGCCGCGGAGTTGACAAAAAGGAAAGCTGAAATCGCAAAAGCATCCCCTAAAAAGACAGAGAGTGCGCTGAATGAGGACGGATTGGTGGCCATGGAGCCGGAAATCGTTATCCGGAACCCGCTCCCTTCCACCACTGGTGCCAAGCGGCCCCGTGAGCTGGAGACGGATGGCTCGCCATCCACGAAACGTTCTGTAACCACTTCCAACGGCAAACCTGCTGCGAAACCTACAACTGTGGCTGTCACGAAACGAACCACGACCACTACTCCGGATGTCAAAAGCACAGCGGCCGCTGGAAATGCAGTAGCAGCCAAGCCGAAGCCTAATATGGTGATCCCCAAACCGACCCCAAGCCTCTTTAGCAGCTTGATGTCTGCTTCGAAAAAGCCTGGAACTTCGAATGCGGCGCGTGCAGCAGCAGCCGCCAAAGAAAGGGCAAAGTATGTGATCATTAACCATTGTAGATAGGCCTTTTGCTAATAATGACATGTAGTCCTCCGGAACAGAAACCCGCCCCACCCCCAGCTGTTGTTCAGAAACCTGCTTTCTCATTCTCAGAGACGATGGCTGATTTAAGCAAGCCAAAGGAATTGGTCCCCAGTAAGCCAGCGGAAGATCTTCCTCCAGAAACAGAGGAAGAGCGCAAAAAACGTATTCGAAAGGAAGAACGTCGTAAGCTGCGTGTCAGCTGGAAGCCAGATGATTCTTTAACTGAAATACGTCTGTTCACCCATGATCCTGAGGAGGATATTGGCCATGATGACAGCATGATACGGGATGTTGCTGATGTAGGAGGCGAGGGAAGAACCCTTAAGCTTCATCGAGGGATGGATGATTTGGATGACGAGGATGAGGACGATGATCCCGAGGCTAGAACAAAAACCTTCCATCCTTACACTTCACCAACTGGTATGTCGATATCCTGTTACATCTAGTTTTATGTGATTCTCTTACTGAAATTTTGATTAGAAATTGATTTCTCAGAGCTTGATTCTGAGGAGCGCCAGCGGAATTTCATCAAGAGAGGCGGTATTCAGAAACCTGAGAGTGCCGAAAAGCTGGCCCAGGAGCAACGTGAATCGAAAACACTAAGTGTCTTCTATACATCGCTAGCTGATATCCCGTCTTCTCCTAAAGAGCCGCCTGCCCCTGATGCGGATGAATCGTATGATCCGGAAGTTCCGTTTGGCGAACCAGGGGATCAGACAAAGGTATACTATATAAGCGCGTGCCATAATATCTTATCCGCAATACAATCTTCTAACATTCAATTAAATAGGCGCGCTCCGCGAAATATTTTGCAGCCAGAGCACCAATCCAACCACCACCACAACCTCAATCTGCCCAGACACCTCAAAGCTCCAGCACTGTCGACATTTCCTCTCTACTCAAACTCATCCAGCAAGCTCCTCAGTCGGGACAACCTCAACCATCCCAACCGCCAATCCCTATACCCGACCTAGAGAAAACCTATGGTCAATTCGTTGGAAACCAGGGTCAGCCCACTCCCACCTCAATACCGCAAGTACCCCAAATTCCGCAAGCTACTCAACCTGCCACGTTGCCAGGGGGCCTCGACATCCAGGCACTGCTTGCGGTCATGAATGCGCAAACACAGCTACAACAAGGAGCTCCTGCATTCCCTCCCGCTCAGGGCCCAGCAGCTTCTTCGTCTCAGGCCCCGAATCTCGCCTCGATCCTTTCGCAGTTTCAAATCCCAGTGGTGACAGGGCAGACACAGACACAGCCACCGCAGCAACAGCAACAGCAACAGCCACCCTCCCAGCCGCTTGCGTATAATCAGAACCAATCTAAGCAGCATGGGTCCTTTTATGAAGATGCCGATCGGAAGAGGATGCGCGAAGGCCATGGCCACGGACATAAAAAGCATGGCGGATATGACAATTATGATGAGGTAAGCCACGGTCATGGCCATGGCCACGGACATGGCAATAAGCGGGCTAGAACGAATGGCGAATTCAAGCATAAGAAACATGTAAGCTGCCTCCCCCGTTTCCTCCGCAATCTCCTAGATTCTCCCTAGCTAACCCGTTTCCCTTCCACTCGATACAGCCCAAGGCAGGCCTCGTCCCCTGCAGGTACTGGAAGGAGGACAAATGCCTGAAAGGCGATGACTGTACATTCCGCCACGATCCTCTTGATTGAACATTTAATAATACTTGCTTATATACCTACGACCGTCGTCAAGTCGTTGGGTGTAAGAGCATTTTTGTCGAGAAACATCTGCATGGAAATTTTTTTCGATACTTCCACGCAAGTCACAATTCACTACCATCTTATCTTGACTTGGCTATGCCGTCCACCGCAGAGCGGAGACGACCATCGAAATGTGACCTTATCTTTCACCTACCTGTTCAACCCAATCTGATACGTCCCTTTAAATCTTTCGCTTTATTCCCCGCACTCGCAAACTTATTTTGGATTTTTCTTCTCGTTCTCAATTTCCAACTTCTTATGCTTAAACATAACCATACCCACCATTCCTCAGTCTCCATGAATTGCCAGCTTCCTGTACTATATGATCATTCCCACCACGATACGTCTCAATTACATGCCCAGTCCCTTACCCCAGCATGCATTTCTGTCCGGATATCATCCGTCATCTACCATACGATCATTCCTCTTACCATGCTTGTACAAATTTCCCCGCCCATTGCTTCAAGCCCTCGTATATCCATGTTTTATGTCATATTTTTTTTTGAGTTTCCTCACGGGCGAGCATGGTTGTTCGTCTCCTGTACCGCTCGATACATTTAGTAGTTCTTTTTTTATCTTTTTTTCTTTTCTTTCTGTTTTTATTTCTTTTCTTTTCTTTTCTTTTCTTTTTTTGGCAGTGCTTGCTATTCTTAACTTTATTCTTTTCACATCAAATCTTGATCCGCTTGTCTGCACTCCTGTATAATTATTTAGATAGAGAGAAGATGACATACTGCAGACAGAAAAGAATTCGGTTTTTTTCTCTAGTTCCTTTTCACTTCATTAAAAAAAAACTTTACTTCCTACAATCAACATTCGTGGAAGTAGGTTCTCTTCGTCGCTGCCTGCTTTCGTCCCCTGTGATCCCGGATCTCTACATTGTTCTTCCTACTTTTTCCAAATCTAATAGTAGCATGCCAGTCCTCGGACGTGTTTTCACCTCCACAAAGAGGTAAAGTTGCATTGCCTAACTGATTAGCCACCTCCTTTTCAGCTTACCCAACTCCGTTTGATTCGTCTATGTATGTAACCTAGTCGACTTCTTGCAATCAATTTCAATTCTGTAGAACTTAGAGAACTTCAATTCCTATCGAACAAAACGGGATAGAGGAGGGGAAGGGGCCACACCGACACAGAACGCGTTATGTTTAGACGCTTCCGCCACTCTATCTCCGATCTCCGATCTCGGACGAAGAGACCGAATAAATATCTACAACCTCAGCGGTTGTTGTCATTTACATCTCTGAGAGAGTGAAGTGTCTCCTTTTTGACCATTTTGTTTTATTTGTTTGTATGTGTTTTGTAGTAAATTTGTCTGGTGATGTCAAATTTCAATAGGTTTTTTTTTTTTTTTTGGGGGGGGGGGAATCCTTGCTGTTTCCTCTTTGGTTACAATAGAAAAGAAAAATACACAAATTGAAGGGCATTGGAAACGAATAGGATCATTAAAGAAGACATGAGCCAGTTAACTAGTAAATAGGAAAATAATAGAAAAGAGCTTAACTAATTCCGCCTTCGACTCGATATCCCATTGGAAGATATTATTAGAGAAGAAGAAAAAAACATACCAGGACAGAATACATTGAAGTACTAAACAAGGAAGAGAAATAGAATAAAAGAGAAAATTAAAGTCACACGAAAAAGTGTGGTGGAAGTGGGAAGTGGAAAGCATATCAATATTGTTGATGACAAGGGAAGGAAAATGGAAATTCAAATGAATGGCAAGAACAATCATTGTCATCATTTTACTGTGGAAATGGAGTCTGTTAAAAAGGAGGAGATCCTGGTGAAGAAAAAAGCATCCATCAAGACCCATATAACATAGATGAAGGGAATTGCCTCCTTTTCCATCTGCTGTAGCATTTTCTTATAAATGAAAATCGTTCCATGAAATCACACTGCCATTTGCATTCACCTGGGGACATCAAGTGAACCCATCTCCTTGCTTGTTTCTTTTGTTTCAGGCCTAAATGCAAAAGTCAGTAGGTGGAGAGTTAGTTTATAGCCGTAGTTCGCCCAAAGGCAAAGTCTGGGAGCTAATTATTATTTTGTGGTCGCGCACTGTGGAGCAAATCAGGTCCCGCTGGCAAGGAGTAGTGCTGTAGAATTACCTCCTCTTGGTTCTGATATTGGACCACCAGTAGGAGAGTGATCCGAGTGAAAATCAAACCTAAAAGGAAAAATGCAGACAAAAAACCAAGGCTTCAGTGGGTTTTGAGTGACAAGGGAACACGAGCAACGAAAGAAAAACATCTACGAAACGTAGAATCGGCCCGATAGCGATATGTAATGCCCTCCTCAGCCTACGTTGACTTCTCTCCTCAAAAAATAAAAGAGGAAAATAGAGTTCCGACATTCCCGCAAGGACTGCCAAAAAAACCTAATTAAAGAAATCAGGTGGCAACGACGCCAAAGCCACAACGACGCCAATTCCACCAACTGCCGCCCCCAACAATGCACTAGCAGCGTAGCGGGCAAGGCTGGGCGAGGCGGCTGGTGTCTCTGTCTTGATCTTTTTCGCTTGCGGCGGTAAATGTGCTGTCTCATCTGTTTTTGTAGGTTTGAAGGAACGGCCGAGGCCATGCGGCTCGTTATTGGTTGTTTTGAATTGGGACGGGAGATCGTGTTGATGAACGAGGAGGTCTCGCGGTTGGGCTTCTGGGAAGCTGTCATTTTCAACGTTGTCGTACTCGTTACCATTGTAGAAATCATTGATGCTTTTGAGTGTTTCTACTGAAACTGGTTCCGGATTTACTTCCCTCGCCTTACGCTTTCGTGGGTTCGTTGGTCGGTTAGACTCGGTAGTCTGCTTGTACGCATCAACTATATTGGCAATTGGGATCGAGGCTGCAGGTATCGGATCCTTTGGTACGGGATTGGCATATTTGGATTGGGGTGGGTTGTTTGGTACATCACCTGTGCTCTCAAAGGCAAGCTGCCACGGAGGGTGCGATTGGAACTGAGACTGGGACTGGGACTGGGACTGGCAACGGGTTGAGCCTGGGTATGCGGGCCCAGAAGACGGTCCGTATCCAGGAGCCGGCGAATAAGGAGAGTCGAACCGATATATATCCCTGGAGTTCTCAGCCAGTGCTTGATCGCGTGCACTATCCGCGGAGTAAGTGAGTGGACACCTGCTCTCAAGAGAGTATGGGCGAACGCACCTAACAGCATCACCTAGCCAATTATTGTCTCCTTGGCTTGAAGCGGCAAAGGGACCGTCTGAATATAGCGGTCGTAGAGGTGGGAGGTGGGGGAGCCCGTAGTCACTGGCGACTGATGTCCCTCCGTATAGTGGTGTTGATGAGTCGGGTTCAAAGGACCCTGAGCTCCCAAATGCTCGCTGGCATTTATTAGCAGCCGGAACCCACCGGGGACAAGTGTTATCGTCATGGAAGGTCAAATACGGGACGCCTGCAGTCGGTTTAGCGAGTGCCTTGTCCGAAGGACTGGGTGATCTTTTTGAGCCGAGGGCTAAATTCCGATCCCGGGTTTGAGTTTCTTCAGCTGGAGTTTGTTCACAGCCCGAAGTTGGCGGCTGCACAGTGTTCACCAGTTCTTCACGCACAATTGGACTGATAAACGCAGAGTGTGTGTCATTGTCGCACCCGGTCAACTTTGGCATACTCCCAGTAGTAGCAGTAGTAGTGGGTCGCGGGCATTCGGGTTGACTCGTCATGTCAGCGCGTTCGGGGGCCAGATCTATCTTATCAGGGACGGAAAACGGTGCATGGACAGCCTCCAAGTTCTCCGAGGAACGAGGAATGTCGGTTTCAGTAGTGTGGTCAGCGTTTTCATTGCTGATGTGGGTGTGGGTGACGTGGTGCTGGCCAGAATCGGAGTCTGCTTCAATTTCAAGTCCAAGGTCTTCTCTATCAGCATCGAAACCAGAGTCAGGGCCTTCCTTTGATACTTGGGCATGTTCATTTTTCGGCACTGTGTTGTGAATGCCGTCGTTTTCAATAAGAGTCGGCATGGCCGTTTCAACATCAGAGTCAGGAGCGTGCTGAGATGGGATGACCTGCTTAGAACTCGTTGAATTGTCGCCCTTTGACTCTGAATTACTAGGCGGGGAAGACGGCAGAGAAGACGATGGAGAGGATTTTGATTCTTGCCCGCCATCATTAGAGGAGGGGTGAGCTGATCCCACCTCAGAGTTAGCGGAGGCTGAAGGCTCGCGAGATATGGCTTTGGTAGCAGATGTATTTGCGAATATAGCTTCGGCTTGCGGGTCGCTGGAGTCCTGACCGCCATCGTCATCGTCGTCATCCGGTACGACGAAGGTATTCGCCGAGTGACTCTCGCTAGGCTTCGGAGGGTCTTCCGTAGGGTTCCTGGAGGAATAGGTGTTAGTGACTGGGCCTACAGCCAATAAAGAAGGTGCATTGGGTAAAACGTAGGGACGTACCATGACAAGAGGACACTAACACTCAAGGGTTTATAGATCTCTGTAGGGATCAAGAACAAGTTAGAACGAGGAGTCGACGAGAGTTTTTGACAAAGATGAAGGAATACAGACTTGAACCACGGGAAATCGTCGACCCGAAAGTCAAGATGTCCTCATTCTTCACCACTGCCTTCGTGTTGGCGGTAAGCCTTTTACCATTCAACAAAGTTCCATGCATAGAATCTGTATCGACGACAGACGCTTGCTGTATTGCAACACAAAATAAAACCGCCGATTAGCCTTCATATGCATCGCAAAGCATATATACATCCACAAGGAAAAGTGTGGAAAAGCGTGGAAAATACAATACCTTTGTCCCGGGACAGGCAGTGATTATGGCATGGGTGCGCGACATGACCGGGGAGTCGAACCAGGCATTCTCGCGGGATGGATGGAGGTTGGCATGCGTCTTGGACGAGCGGCCGACGACGATTTTATCTTGCTCGGAAGACAAAGTCAAAACACGGATTTCGAAGGGACTTTTGGATTTGGGGAGCAGGCGAACGACAACTATGATACAACACATGAGATTACTCCACGCCGTTGTGAAGATATTGGTAACTCGATGATGGGGTGGGAATGGACGAAAGGGTACATACGCTTGTTACGATCCATGATGACCACTATGCATCAGAGATAAATAAACCCCGTTGCAAGGAATTTATAGAAAACAATTGGAATCTTTTTAGTTTTGGTACAGGAGAGAAGTTACTGGGGAATCAAGAACGATAGGAGTGGTTGCTGCAGTGAGCAGAAACAAGCAACACAAGTTCAAGTGCTGGAGCTTATGGCAATGCCCAAGTTTCCATTCGGAGCAAGCAAGATTCGAACACTGTCTGCGCACAGAGCTATTGTGAATACGAATGGAACAGGAGATGATAAGGTTGCTGTTCTTTTGGAGAGGACGCGGGAATGATATCCTCTGTCGTGTCGTGTTCTCCTTGAGGGTACGACGTAATTGGAATCTGACGTGGTGGTGGGTTGAGGTGGGGCAGGACAGGCAAGCTTCCGCCAAAGCAAAAACGCGGGGAAAGTGGATTGGAATGAAGGAGACAAAGCTTCTAACAACAGCCGTTGAGAGCACCGGACGGACGGAGTGGCGAGATGGGAGGAAGAGAGACGAGTTACAACTGGTGAGGATGCGAAGGGTTGAAGTTGGAAGTTGGAGTTGACGTTGGAGGCGGACAGTGCCAGGGTCAGGTGGTTATTATTAGGCAGAATTACCCGTATAACTTTAGTATCCCGCAGTACCAGTTACCAACTTCCTGGCGCATGGTTGCAGGCAACACAAGTCACAGTGACAAGGAACTGCAAGTACCCCGATGCATGACGTCACTGGTCTGGTGGTCATGTGACATGCACTCACTGCCTCGGTGGATAACGTCATTATCGAGGCAGGATAAGAAGTAAACCAGACGTAGAGAAACAAATAAAACAAAACGAAGTTCATAATGTACCTAGGTAGTTGGCTACACATACAGACAAGAAAGGGCAGGCGGTAAAAGGGGGGACAAGAAACAAATATATATATAATTACATTGAGACGTTGCACGCATGCCAACCCCCAATCGTGCTCAGGAGCTCGGGAGACGAAAGCCGGAAACTAAAGAAACCAAAACAAAATGCAGGGGATAGGGATGAGGATGGGGACGGGTATGCCAGCAGCCGGGAAATGGGGCCACGCAGTCTAAGATAAAGCAGGAAAAATTAAAATAAAACAGAGTAGAAACAAAATATAGGAGACAGAACCCAAGCCCCCGACGGGGGGGAGTGAAATGTGAAAATGTCCACTGAAGTGTCTGCAAGGAGAGGAAGCGGAGGGAACTTTTTCTGCTTGGCCCTCCTTCAACCTATTTGCACCAAACAGAACAGACCAACGCAGAAAATCCTCAGTCGTGGAATGAGGGGTTTATAAGGTTATGCTTGTTAAAAAAATCTTTGTTGTTTTTGTGTTTTGTTTTGTGTTTTTATGGATTCATTTTCGATTTTTAGAGAGACCAAACAAACAATGTCTGGGACTGGGGAATCTCTTTGTTGTCTGTTTTTTCTTGCTTGGGGGTTACAGATCTGCTATACACGCGCTTGTTTCATTCCCAGAGGGAGAGCTAGGAGCACACACACACACACACACACACATATATATATATATGTAGATAGATATATATGATCTTAGATAGAAGGAGGGAGGAAGAGCGGAGAGGGAGGCAAAAATATGTTTCTCTTTGCTTTCTCTTTTCTTTCTTGTTTCTTTTACTTTTCCTTACGCGGGCGGCACCCCCATCGCACCCGCACCGGCTACCTGCTGGAGCCGCGCAGCGAGCTTGGGATACCGCTCCTGCACCTCGAGTTGCGCCCGCGTCGCTTCGGCGTATGACACGGCGTTGACGACTTCTGCTTCCGTGCGCGCAAGCTCGCCCGCGCGTTCGAAGTATTCGAGTGCTTGGGACACCTTGCCTTGTTGGAGGAGGAGTTGCGCGAGGGTCGCGACGGCGATGTCGCATTCCGGGTCAACTGTGGGAAATTATCAGGGATTAGATTAATAGCTGTTTACGGGAAAAGGGGAAAGGGTTGGAGGTATGAATAACAGGTAGATAGACATAGGACGGGAGGGCACGTACTGATGAGCGCCGCTTGGCAGAGATTCTCCGCTTCAGCGAAATCGTGTTTCCACTGGAACAGCGCGAGCGCTTTGTTGATAAGAGGAAGCACGTTGACGCCCCACGGCTTGTTTTTCTTCTCCAACTCGACCGCCTTGTCGAACTTCTCAATCGCCTCTGCATGTTTCTGCTGGTCGAGAAGCAACTCGCCATAGTAGTTGTAGACGTCGGAGATGTTCTCGAAGTTTTTGACGGAGCGGCGGAAGGTGGCCATCGCAGACGCCACAGAGCCCATCTTGTATTGTGTTACTCCGAGTTGGATGTGGGAATAGATGAAGTCCCGGTCGATGTCAATGGACTTTTGGTAATCCTTTGCGGCCTCGGGGAGCTCGCCAAGGATGAAGTGAAGCTGCGCACGGTGGTAGTAAATGTCCGGATCATCCTTGTTCTGTGCCACGGCAAGGTCAAAATCATCTGCTGCAGCTTCTCGGTTGCCTGTCCGGATGTTAGCTTCAATCTGGTCGAGATTTAAGAGCGGAAACCCCCCACCCCCCAACAAAAAAAAAAAGTAAACACTCACCAAGTTCAAGGTGCAAACTAGCCCGCTTGATATAGCTCTGGACCAACGACGGATCTAGCTCAACACTCTTATTCAGGTCCTGCAACGCAGCCTGAGCATCGCCAGCCAGATACGTGAAAGTCGCCCGCATGTTCAAGGCCAGGGCCTCAAAGCTGCCCAGGTTACCCAACTCAAGCGACTTCTCAAAAGCCTTGGCTGCCTCCTCGTACCCATCTCCGGTCGGCTTGGACAGGGCGAGGAATCCTTTGCGCAGCTGACCCTTGCCGTTCTCCTCGTCCAACTCCACATCCTCGCCCAAACCATCCGGTAGGGGCCGTGGGCGGAAGCTCTGCAGGTAATTGGACACGAATGTAGCGCTGGGCAATTTCTTCCCCTTCGCTTCCAGGATTGCGCGGCCCTTTTGCTCTGCGACTTTCTTCAGCAGCCGCTCCACGGCCTGCTTGCTGGATTCTTTGGCGAAGCCGTCGATGATGCAGCTGGCGGTGTAGTCCAACAGCGCCTCGTGGAATTTGCCCAGCTTCTCGTACGCGTTTGCTCGGCGGTTCATGGCTTTGATGTATTCGTCGTCCATGGCGAGGGCCGCGGAGGTGTCCTCCACCACCTTGTCCCATTCGCTGAGGGCGTTGTAGCACGCGGCACGGTTTGAGTAGTACACGGGGTCCGGTTTGCAGAGGATAGCCTTGCTGTATAGTTCGATGGCTCGGTTGTAGTCAAGGGAACCGAAGGCTTTGTTTCCTGCAGCCTTGAGCTTTGCAGCATATGCCGCTCGAGTCTGGGAGGGAAGCAGGAAAAAATCCCGCTATTAGCAATTATCTAACTGGGTTTTTCGTTTTGCAGGGTGTGCCTCAAGGCGCACGTACTTCGGCGGACAGACTGTCGACAGTGAGTTCGTCGACCTCTGGCAATGCTTCCGGAGATTCCTCTGGTTGTTTCTTGGCGGCATCTGTAAATGGAGAGTTAGGGTCAGGTGAGTGTCTGGCGCATTTGAACTCAGGTCGATATTTCAGGATGGGATTGCAGCCATACCGGATGAAACAGTACCCTCACCCTTTTTCTCCTCCTCCGCCTTCTTCTTCTCACGCCGTCTCTCCTTTTTGCTCTTCCTTTTCTCCGCGGGTTGCGTCGAAGCTGTTGATCGGCCGGAGTCGGTTAAGTAATAGGCAAAACCGGCACTTGTGATGACTACGGCGACTCCGGCAATGGTGCAGACAATTGCCTTATTCTCGGAGGCCCATGTGGAGATGCGATCCCAGACTGAGGATGATGGTTGCGCTTGGAGAGAGGGTGTATTGAAGGCGGCCGCGTTGTGTGATGGGACAGGGAGGATTTTATCTGACGACATTCTTGACGTTGTGGACGCAAATTGGGATATTAGAGCACCGGAAGGCGATTACAAGATATCAATTGGGCTGCTCTGTGAAACGGCAATTGATGAGGAATAAGTAAACAAGAAGATAAACAGATTACAAAATAATCAAAACACAATACAAAAATAGTGCAAGCGGAGCAGGGAGAGAACAGAATAACACAGGGCCAGGAAGAGTCGCACCCGGAACGAAAAAGGCTCCCCCGCAGCAGACGACAAATGACACGCGAATGGGGAGGGATAGCAGAGAGGGTTGTATCCGGGCTGGGGGAGATGGTGTTTATGCCGGGGCCTGTGTTGACTTGAATTGCTCCAGTTCAGCATTGTTGAAGCTTTTTTTTTTTTTCCTTGGAAGGGATTTAGTCAGCTTGGATCGATTACATCAGCACAAAACCCTTGTTCGTCGATCGTTCTAGGATCAAAGTGTACGATGAAATATGTGGATAATACATTTAAAAAGGCAGATAGATATATATCCATTTTTATAATTGAAAAATACTTTACGAAAGAACATCCGGCGTATTTATCTATGTATGTACAGATCAAGACCGTGATTGCAAGGTATCCATCAGGTATCAACCCTCCCATCTTCATATTCACTCCCAATCTGACTGACTATCCACCGAAGGAAGTATGTAAAAAAGTAAGCAGGGAAGAAAGAGAAAAGAGAATCAATAAATCAATCACGCCCATTTACCCAGCAACCCCATCAAAACCATGCCGGCCACCAACGACAGAAGGCCCATGCCTGTCTTGACGATTCCTGCCTCGTGCAAATCGCCATACAGCCAGTCATGGCTCCACATGTCAATCAGCGCAACCCAAGTTAAGATGCCGGCCGACAGCGCGTCCAGGGTGCCGATAGCAAGGAGGGTTGACCGGTCATTGCCGTTGAACTTGCGGATCACACCCAGCCCGACCGCCATGCCGACGGGGGTTATTAGCGCGAAGACTGCCGCCATGCCCACCGAAGTGGGCGTGAGGGCGGACCCGAGCTTGGCGATTCGCGCGCCTAGCGCGAGACCTTCGAACATCTGGTGGAAAATGATTACGATAAAGAGGCTTGTGTAGCTGGAGTCGCCGGCGACGACGAGTGTAAGCCCGATGACTAGAGGGTGGAGAACGATGTGAATGTCCTGTAACGTTTATGTGATGCGCACGAATGGTCCAGGGTTATGACTTACTGATTGAGTGAAAGATAATGCCGGCTTCCATCACCACTACGCTTAGCTTGTCGTCTGGTCGAGCCAAGGAGTGGTGGTGGTGGCCGAGATTGGTTAGGGTGGGAGCAGTCTGTTCGGTGTCGCTCCCGTCGATGGATTTTGCCGTAGTCCGCTGGGGTTCTACTCGGGGTTCGACGCGGGGTTCGACATCGCAATAGGCGTGCGGGTTGCAATCGGGTTTTCTTGTGAGGAGGAATCGGTTTCCGCCATATTCAACTAGAAACGAGAGGAAGATTCCGGCCATGGCAATTGACCCTGTGGTTGCTTCGTACGTCAAAGTCCCCAAGCATGGGTTGCTGAACATCAGCTGTGCATGGGTAAGCAGCTGAGGGGCAGCGGGCTGTCAGCGTGCAGTCTTAAAAAGAAGAAAGTGCCGGCTTCGAGAGAACAAACATGTATGAAGGCAGTTGACACCATAACTCCAGTGCCAAACTGTTTAATGACCGTGAAAACCAACCCGTTCATGCCCGTATTGAAGAGTCGAGCCCATAACATTGGGCCAAACACGGCGATGGCGCTGGTAGCGAGAATGGCAAAGAGTGACCCGATTCGGAGGGGGATATTGTAGTCTCGATCTTTTCGTTCACACGAAGGTGGCTCCGAAACTTCGGATTCGCCCTCGCTCCCGCAATGCCTTGGTATTGTTAGTCAAAGGGAGTTTATTTCATAGCTGTGTTGTCATCGGCTGCTACATACTCTACACCGGCATGGAAATGGCAATTTTCTCTGTGCTCGGGTTCCATCGCCCCATGGTCACCGGCCGATGTGGAGGTTTGGGATGGAAGGAGAATCTGCACCTCATCGCCATTGGGAGCTATGCAAAATCTAAGCAATGGGATTAGTGTATAGATATGATATGTGAGGGATGTGGTGGTGCGGGATCAACAACGGAATAGCAGACTTTTCAGATTCATGAGTGTGGCAGCCTGTGTATTGCGAAGGAGGTTCTGCGGTTGCTGTTCCAGTCGCGGTGACCTGAACCTCTTGCCCGTCGCCCGCGATGCAAAATCTAGAAGATATTTAAGTTTAGCAGAGTGAATTGTGGATGCAAACTTTCGATTCATCCCATCTTTAACCCTATTGCCTTGCTATTGGGGGAGACATACGTTTGCGTGCCGTGTGTATGGCAACCGGTGACCGCAGTCGTTTGAGGAGCAACAGAGGCGGCAGCCAACACGG